CCTAACCTAACCTAACCTAACCTAACCTAACCTAACCTAACCTAACCTAACCTAACCTAACCTAACCTAACCTAACCTAACCTAACCTAACCTAACCTAACCTGTAACATCTTCAGTACTCCATGTCTACTAATGAAAATATTAGGGTACCATGACAAATACATTTTAAGCCTATTGAATCAGACAGAATTGCGTGCAACTTCGGATTTGGTTCCCAAAACCCAGACTGTGCTTCACACAGTCTGGTTTTAGGGGGTAGACTGTTTAAATCCATATCTATTGAACCCCTCATTCAATTTCACTGCTTCTGGGCCTCAAAGTTGAAGCAGGGTATGAAGATTCCAGGAAGGATTTTTTCATATTTATATTTACATTTAATTGGCAACACAGTAGTTTCGGATATCGGTGGACTCAAAAGTGTCGGTAATACTACTAGGTTGTCGTGGCAGACGGCAACGATGCTGGACACGATCGTGATGATCTGCGTGAGGTTCTCGTTGACAGTCGGCGAGGGCATCGGTGAGGGCGTCAGCGAGCGGACGCCAGACAGCACGCTCTGGATAGTGTAGACGATTGATTCAGTCTGCGCTTCGAGAGAGGGCTGTGAAAAAGCGTGAGTGCGGGGTAAATGAACCATCAGAAGACAAGTATTACCTTAAGCTCTGTGCAGGCATCCTCCGAGCCCTCCGCAACCGCCGAGTCGTTGCTGAGCATGCCCGCTGTGCTCCCCGTTGGCACCTAACCAAAGATTGGCGGCGGCGAGCAGCCCGCGGAGCTTGAGCACTCTGACGACGCTTTGCGGAAGCGGCCGTCGCCCGACGAGCGCCCTGACAATGGCAGACGCCTCGACGGCGACTCGGCCGAGTAGGGCGGCTGCTGGCGGAGCAGATTGGGCTGCAGCGGGTAGTGGTCCTCCTCTGGGCGGTCCACGCGCCTGTTCGAGGCCGACAATGAGCTCGCGCGCTGCACAGGCGCCGCCGGCTTTGCCTCCTCGACCGAGTACAGGGTGGGCGAGAACTCGTTCGATGCTGATGCTGGGGCGGGCGTGTACTGCCCTAGCTCCTGTTTGATCGCCCTGCGGATGGACACCGCGCGCCCGATCTCAGTGATCACACGCGGCGTCGTAATCCTCGTCGTCATCAAGCTTGCCCGTGGACATCACCTCGACCTCATCGTGGACGCCCCCGCGTGGTCGACCCCGCCGTCATACATGCCGCATGAGGCGCGCCCAATGACCCTGTCGTCGTCCTCGGCCCTAGCCACATAGGCCGCCGCCTCTTAGCCGCCTCCGACATGTCCGTACAGGTTCCAGCCGTTGCCATCAAGGAGGTATCGGGGAGGAGTTGTCGTAGAAGGTGTTGAGTCATGGTTCAGGAGGCAGCCTCGTGCCCGTCGTCGTCGTCGGGGCTGAGACTGAGGAGCCATTCGTCGAATCTCTGGTCGTTCTGGGCGGCCTCATCGGGGCGGGCCGGTGGCCGTCGACGCCGTGCGTGGTCGGAGACAGCATCAGGAGGGGTCCGCGCCCGGCGGACGCCACATCAGGGCCCTGCCAGACCCCTGTGTTGGCGGCCCCACATGTGGTAGAGACGGCGACGAGGCTGTCGTCATAAGCACGTCCTCGACGCCGCGGTTCACGAGGCCGCGGTTGTGCATGACGAGACACCGGGCAACACCGCGTCCTCGGGGAGCCACCGTTGGAAGCGAGGAGAAGGCGGCGAGGGGAAGGCGGCGACGCCGTGTTGGCGAGGAGGCAGGGCCGTCGAGGCCTCGCCGTTGACGATCTCGGTGGTGTGCACGGGGAGGCAAGGCCCAGGCGGTGAGGTGGTCGGGACCTGGCATGTAGAGACGGCGTGCAGGCGGCAGCGTGAAGAGCTGGCAGGATCGAGAAGGCTGCTGCACGCCTGGGGTCATCGGGACCGAGCGTGCAGGCGGCATCGCGGAGGCCTCGGTGTCGTCGTCAAGGCCGTCGTGTCGAGCGGGCGCTGTTGTTGTCGAGGAGCAGGCGGGGTGGATGAAAAGGTGAGGAGGCGTCGTCGAGTGAGGAGGCTGGGGTGAGGAGGCCAGGGTTGTTGACGAGGAGACCTCGGGCGACGCGCCGTTGTCGAGGCAAGGGACCGGCGGTGGAGGCGGCAGGGTGGAGGCGGCGGCGTGGTGGGGACCCAACGTGTCGAGCCTGGGACCGTCGTCGGCACCGGGCAGGGTCGTGGTGTGGTCGAGCCTGGCGGTGGAGGGGGCAGCATCGAGGCGGTAGAGTCGAGTCGGCGGAGTCGAGTCGAGGTCGTCGGAGGCGGTGGCTGCGAACCTGGTGTCGTCGTCGGGAGTGGGAAGCATCGAGGCGGCAGCGTGGTCGGGACAGGGCCGCGTCGAGACGGTAGGGTCGAGGCGGCGTCGTCAAGTCGGTGTCGTCGAGTCGGTGTCGTCGAGTCGGCATCGTCCGAGGTGGCAACTGCGAGCCTGATGTCGTCGCTAGCACCGGCCGGTGCGCGAGGATGCGGATGCGGATGGGGCAGCTACTGCCTGGTCGAGGAGGGCGGCACGGAGGAGGGCGGCACGGAGGAGGGCGGCACGGAGGAGGGCGGTGCGGAGGAGGTTGCACGGTGCAGTCTCAGCCGCCGGCGCTGGGCATGGTGCGCCACAACTCAGAGGAGCGGCGTGAGGTGGAGGAAGCAGTGGTAGTGGTGGTGTGGGTGGTGGTGGTGGCGACAGCGGAGGAGGCGGAGGAGGTAGAGGGAAGGTGGAGGACGTGTCGGGGTGGTGGACGGCGGTGGTGTCGAGCTGGAGCGAGCAGGCGAGCGCGGCGTCGAGCGGGAGATGCGGGTGAGTCGAGCGTGGGTCCGGGCAACGCATGCGATGCGCGAGGCGATGTGGACGATGCGGGCGAGCCGGCCGGTGGGCCAGCGGGCCAGTGGGCATGAGATCGTGCAAGGAGAGCGGGGAGGGTAGCACAGCGAGCGATCGGGTCGAGAGGGTCGGACGGGGGAGCGAGTCGGACGGGAGAGCGGGTCGAACGAGAGAGCGGGGCGGACGGGAGAGCGGGTCGGAGGTGGGTGAGGTTGAGCAGACGAGAGGAGGGGGCGGGTAGAGTCGAGGGATAGGCCGTTGAGGGCGACGTGGAGAGGAGGTCGAGGGCGAGAGGTGTGCGTGTACGGGGGAGGAACTGGGGCCAGTGACGACGTACCTATGGTTATGTCCTCGTCGTCCGTTTCCTCCCTTTTCTGTGCTCCTTCTCGTTCTCCTCCTCGTTGTCGTGGTTTTCCGCGTCGTCGAGCAGCGTTGGTTCGTGGGTGTTGGTGGAGCGGGACGCCGCTGCCGTGGAGACCGTGGATCGTGTCGAATGAGACAGCGGTGGGAGCAGGCAACTGGTCGAAGGGACGTGTGTGCAAGGGGCCGAGGGAACGAGTAGCTGAGGCAGATGAGCGGTCGTGGTATCGAACGAGCCAAGTGGGAGCGCAGGAGGGAGCCGAGGGAGGGAGGGATATACTGGACGAGAGCGGGAGGGATGGATGTGCAGGTCGACGCAAAGAAAGACGACGTACCCCGTTTGTGCCCTCTCTGTTCCCCCTTGTCTTTCCGCCGCCGCCGCCGTTCCTCAGCGTCATCATCCTCAGCGTCGGCGTCGGCGTCATCGTCATCTTGATCGCCTTCGTTGTCATCGTCGTTGACGCTCGGACATTTGCGATGATTGGCGTGCCATCGGGCAGCGTGGGCGTAGGGACGTTGGTGGAGCGGGACGCCATCGCCGTGGAAACCGTGCAGCGCGCCAAACGAGACAGTGATGGGCGCAGGCGTGGAGTCGAAGGGATGCGTGTGCACGACGCCGAGGGAAGGAGTGAGGGGTTGAGGCGGACGAGCGGGAGCTGGAGAGTCACGAATTTAATTAAGTGGTCGCGTGCGCGCGACGCGAAGTTGAGTCCTTCGCACCCGTCTCTAACTCAAGTCTGTCCGTGCGCAAACCTCAACCTTCGTCCCCTCGCCCTCGCCTCGACACCATGCACACCCACCACCCACTTCCTTCGCCTTCGTCCTCCCATCCTCCCGGCCCGATGCACACGCGTCCACTCGGTCACAACAACTCCTTCGACTGCTCCCTCACGCGGCCCTGCCGCCGCCGCACCCGTGCTTTGCCCTTGCGCACAGCGTGTCGCAATCGTCACGCTACCCGTGCTTCAGCGCGTCGACGGCGAGGGTGAGGAGCGTTGTTAATGAGAAGAGGAGGTGCGAAGAGGAATGCCATTAAAAAGGTCTGTATCACTTACTTTCGTTCGCCCTCCCCCGGCCCTAGTCCTGCCCCTCCCTGCCCAGCCCCGCCTGTCCCGCGCACCTGCGCACATCCGGAAGCGGCTCCTCACGCCGCGTCTCTTCCCCTGCTCTCTCCTAGGAGGCGAGGGCACGACCACGCTCCCCGGTACCCTACCGCCCGACGCCTTCTTCTCCAAACACGCCCACTCGACGCTGCGCACCGCCGCGCACGCATCGCACGAGCACACCTTGTCCTCCGCCTCCGGCTACGCGCACCACCATGTGGCCGGCGCTGCCAAGAGCACCACCTCGCCCACGAAGCAGCGCTACGTCGCGGACGCGCACGGCCTCGAGATCGTCAAGAAGATCCGGCAGGGCGAGGTCGAGCTGCGCGATCGCACCATCGTCCTGTGCGACATCAAAGCCAACGTCCGTCCAGCTCGCTTTGCGAAGCTGAGGGCCATCAAGGACGCGAAGAAGCCAGGCAAAGCCCCCACCGCGATCCCCGCTGTCTCAGGTTTAAAACGCCTCCGCAGCCGACATCGTGGCGGCGCAGGGGAAAGAGGCGGCGGTGAGCGGGGGCATAGGCGTGGACGAGGACAGAGATGGGGTCGGGAAGGGAAAGGTTAGTCCCTCGAGGATCTGTAGATAGTAGAAGTAGAGGAAAAGAGAATGAAACATCATGTATCAGTACATGCCCTCGGCGATGCAGGGGCCCATCGTCCGTTTGCAAAGCCGAGTGCGAGAAATAAAGGGTACAATAAGATATAATAAGAACATACTCACAGTGCAGGCATCTGTAAGTTTAATGCTCGTAGGCTGTCTCATTCATGTAGAGTCGAGTTTGTGCAGGTTTTGTGCTTGTTGGCACAGCGGAATCCTGATACGCGGCTGACATGACGAGCCTCTCCAGCCACAGCGAGGCTCGTCATATCAGGCGCTTATCGGGACTCAGCCCTGTCAATACGCGGCTGACATGACGAGCCTCTCCAGCCGCAGTGAGGCTCGTCATGTCAGCCACGTATCGGGACTCAGTCCTGCCAATACGCGGCTGACATGACGAGGCTCTCCAGCCGTGGACAGGCTCGTCATGTCAGCCGTGTATTAGCACGGGTGGCTTCTTCACCTCTGAATGGCCTCTTTAGCCCTGCCACACCCCTGTCCTACCCTGAACCTTCTAGCTTTTCAGGTTAGAATCGTAAGGTAAAATTCGACCAAGAAAGGACCCTCTCGTGAGTCGCAAAGGTATGTGGTATCAAATGGCACCTCCACACAACGGACCAAAAAGCGCCACGAAATAAAGCTGGGGGCTCTCACCGCCGCAGTCAGACCGCGCACCCCCAACGGCCTCCGGCGAGCCCCCGCCGTCCGCGGGCATGCCCTCGACGTTGGTGCTGTCCACGCGCTCCATTCACTCGTCGAGCGCGGTCCTAGCCGCGCGGGCGTCGCCGGGCGCGCGGCGGCGATAGGCTGTGCGTTGCCGATGAGGCCGTAGGGCGGGACGCCCTCGAGCATCTGCTGCGCGGCGGCTTCGTGCAGCTTCGCGGGGAGCGCGGGGAGCGTCCACGGCGCGCCCGTGCCGTTTCCCTTCCCTCGTGAGGAGGGGGGTGGAAGGGGGAAGGGGTCGTCGCTGTCTGGATCTGAGCGCAGGAGGTTGAACGCGTGCGTGTCGACGGAGTCGTGCGCGTCGTGCAAGTCGGCGTGCTCGAGGCAGTTGCAGGGGAACCGCTGGCGGCAGGTGGGCTTGGGGCAGAAGTGCATGGGGCGCGCATCGTCGAGGTTGTAGACGGTGTTGCAGTCCGCGGTGCAGGTGACTAGTTCTTTGACTTTTGGCCGGGGGCGGGAGGGGTGTGTGGGGATTTGAGGGGGTTTGTGAGGATCGGGAGGGCGACGGGTGAGAGCGAGGGGCTCATGGTGGCACACTTGGAGAGGCGGAAGTACGCGCGGCGGACGTAGAACTCGCCATTGGCGATCTGGGGCTGCTCGATGTCCGCCTCGCGGTGCTCTATGACCTTCGTGGGGCCTTCAACATGCAGCGCCGTCAGTCAGCCGTCGCGGGCGGGGAGAGGTGCGGCGGAGGACGCACCGTTGAAGGAGGTATGCGCGACGTAGTCGTAGTCGGATTCGTCGGCGCGCAGGCGCTCGTAGCGGCCGTAGCTTGCCTGGATGTTGGCGGGGCTTTTTTGGGGGCGTGGGCGGCGGCGGCGGCGGCGGCGTTAGCGTGGACAACCAAAGCGGTCTGTAGAATGGAAAGGACTGTGGGAGACTCACTCTGTGTCGGTGTCGTTGGCGACGTCAGCGCCGGAGTAGTACCACTGGACCTTAGCCCAGACCTACGGTTGCTCGCGTCACGGCGAGGACGCGTCAGACGCGCGGTGAACACAGGCAAAGGCAGGTTCCTGTCGTCGAGGGGTCGCGCGTGCGTGCTTTGGAAGCTGACTGGCGCTTGTCATCGAGCAGTGTCACGCCCTCGAATGAGCTCGCGTACCCACCGTCATCCTTGTTTGACTCGGCCGAGTGCGAACGCGATCGGCCTCGGGAGATTGTCGATCGTTTCCACCGATGGCGCTCGCCCGAGTCAGACGAGATGTTGCGTGGACTGGGGGGTGTGACGAGCCTGACACCGTGGCGCGCGTTCCCATTCACCTTGAGTTGGTGTTGCTGCAGCGTCGCGAGCCCGGCATCCACCTTCGTGACGGCGCCGTCAAACCCCTCCTCGGCAGCCCGCACGCGCACCTCCCAATCCTCACGCGCCCTACTGAGCGGTGGCTGCGAACCTGGTGTCGTCGTCGGGAGTGGGGATAGAGACGGAAGCATCGAGGCGGCAGCGTGGTCGAGACAGGGCCGCGTCGAGACGGTAGGGTCGAGGCGGCGTCGTCAAGTCGGTGTCGTCGAGTCGGTGTCGTCGAGTCGACGTCGTCCAAGGCGGCAACTGCGAGCCTGATGTCGTCGCTAGCACCGGCCGGTGCGCGAGGATGCGGATGCGGATGGGGCAGCTGCTGCCTGGTCGAGGAGGGCGGCACGGAGGAGGTCGGTGCGGAGGAGGGCGGTGCTCATGGCGGATATGGGCTTGGAGTGGTCCTGCACGGTGCAGTCTCGGCCGCCGGCGCTGGGCATGGTGCGCCACAACTCAGAGGAGCGGCGTGAGGTGGAGGAAGCGGTGGTGGTGGTGGTGTGGGTGGTGGTGGTGGCGACAGTGGAGGAGGCGGAGGAGGTAGAGGGAAGGTGGAGGAGGCGGAGGACGTGTCGGGGTGGTGGACGGCGGTGGTGTCGAGCTGGAGCGAGCAGGCGAGCGCAGCGTCGAGCGGGAGATGCGGGTGAGTCGAGCGTGGGTCCGGGGCAACGCATGCGATGCGCGAGGCGATGTGGACGATGCGGGCGAGCCGGCCGGTGGGCCAGTGGGCATGAGATCGTGCGAGGCGAGCGGGGAGGGCAGTACAGCGAGCGATGGGGTCGAGAGGGCCGGAAGGGAGAGCGGGTCGGACGGGAGAGCGGGTCGGATGTGGGAGAGGTTGAGCGGACGAGAGGAGGGGGCGGGTAGAGTCGAGGGGTAGATTGTTGAAGGTTACATGGAGAGTCAGATAGAAGGCGGGAGGTGTGCGTGTACGGGGGAGGAACTGGGGCGAGTGACGATGTACCTTTGTAGATGTCATCGTCAACCGTTTCCTTCCCTCTTCTGTGCTCCTCCTCGTCCTCCTCTTCGTTGTCGTGGTTGTCCGCGTCGTCGAGCCGCGCGAGTACGCAGGTGCTGGTGGAGCGGGACGCCATCGCCGTGGAAACCGTGCAGCACGCCAAACGAGACAGTTATTGGCGCAGGCGTGGGGTCGAAGGGATGCGTGTGCAAGGGGCTGAGGGAACGAGTGAGGGGTTGAGGCGGACGAGCGGGAGCTGGAGAGTCACGAGCTTAATTAAGTGGTCGCGTGCGCGCGACGCGAAGTTGAGTCCTTCGCACCCGTCTCTAACTCAAGTCTGTCCGTGCGCAAACCTCAACCTTCGTCCCCTCGCCCTCGCCTCGACACCATGCACACCCACCACCCACTTCCTTCGCCTTCGTCCTCCCATCCTCCCGGCCCGATGCACACGCGTCCACTCGGTCACAACAATTCCTTCGACTGCTCCCTCACGCGCCCCTGCCGCCGCCACACCCGTGCTTCGCCCTTGCGCACAGCGTGTCGCAATCGTCACGCTACTCGTGCTTCAGCGCGTCGACGGCGAGGGTGAGGAGCATTGTCAATGAGAAGAGAAGGTGCGAAGAGGAATGCCATGAAAAAGGTCCGTATCACTTACTTTCGCTAGCCCTCCCCCAGCCCTAGTCCTGCCCCTCCCTGCCCAGCCCTGCCTGTCCCGTGCACCTGCGCACACCCGGAAGCGGCTCCTCACGCCGCGTCTCTTCCCCTACTCTCTCCTAGGAGGCGAGGGAACGACCACGCTCTCCGGTACCCTACCGCCCGACGCCTTCTTCTCCAAACACGCCCACTCTACGCTGCGCACCACCGCGCACGCATCGCACGAGCGCACCCCGTCCTCCGCCTCCGGCTACATGCACCACCATGCGGCCGGTGCTGCCGAGAGCACCACCTCGCCCGCGAAGCGGCGCTACGTCGCGGACGCGCACGGCCTCGAGATCATCAAAAAGATCCGGCAGGGCGAGGTCGAGCTGCGCGATCGCGCCATCGTCCTGTGCAGCATCAAAGCCAACGTCCGTCCAGCTCGCTTTGCGAAGCTGAGGGCCATCAAGGACGCGAAGAAGCCAGGCAAAGCCCCCACCGCGATCCCCGCTGTCTCAGGTTTAAAACGCCTCCGCGGCCGACATTGTGGCGACGCAGGGGAAAGAGGCGGCTGTGAGCGGGGGCGTAGGCGTGGACGAGGACAGAGACGGGGTCGGGAAGGGAAAGGTTAGTCCCTCGAGGATCTGTAGATAGTAGAAGTAGAGGAAAAGAGAAGGAAACATCATGTATCAATACATGCCCTCGGCGATGCAGAGGCCTATCGTCCGTTTGCAAAGCCGAGTGCAAGAAATAAAGGGTACAATAAGATATAATAAAAACATACTCACAGTGTGGGCATCTGTAAGGTTACTGCTCGTAGGCTGTCTCATTCATGTAGAGTCGAGTTTGTGCAGGTTTTGTGCTTGTTGGCACAGCGGAATCCTGATACGCGGCTGACATGACGAGCCTCTCCAGCCGCAGTGAGGCTCGTCATGTCAGGCGCGTATCGGGACTCAGCCCTGTCAATACGCGGCTGACATGACGAGCCTCTCCAGCTGCAGCGAGGCTCGTCATGTCAGCCGTGTATCAAGACTCAGCCAAGCTGATACGCGCCTGACATGACGAGCCTCTCCAGCCGCAGTGAGGCTCGTCATGTCAGCTGCGTATCAAGACTCAGCCAAGCTGATACGCGCCTGACATGACGAGCCTCTCCAGCCGCAGCGAGGCTCGTCATGTCAGCCGCATATCGGGACTCATCCCTGTCAATACGCGGCTGACATGACGAGCCTCTCCAGCCGCAGTAAGGCTCGTCATGTCAGCTGCGTATCAAGACTCAGCCAAGCTGATACGCGCCTGACATGACGAGCCTCTCCAGCCGCAGTGAGGCTCGTCATGTCAGCCACGTATCAGGACTCAGCCCTGCCAATACACGGCTGACATGACGAGCCTCTCCAGCCACGGACAGGCTCGTCATGTCAGCCGTGTATTGGCATGGGTGGCTTCTTCACCTCTTAATGGCCTCTTTAGCCCTGCCATACCCCTGTCCTACCCTGAACCTTCTAGCTTTTCAGGTTAGAATGAAGATTACAGAAAGGATTTTTTCATATTTATATTTACATTTAATTGGCAACACAGTAGTTTTGGATATTGGTGGACTCAAAAGTGTCGGTAATACTACTAGCTTTTCAGGTTAGAATACAGTGACCCGGGCAGCAGTGCTGCCCTCTGCCTTGCACTAGTCCATGCAATGACCCGGGCAGCACTGCTGCCCTCTGCCTTGCACTGGTCCATTTAATGACCCAGGCAGCAGTACTGCCCTCTGCCTTGCACTGGCTCATGCAGTGACCCGGGCAGCACTGCTGCCCTCTTCTTCTGCCGGTCCATGCAGTAACCCAGGCAGCACTGCTGCCCTCTTCTTCTGCTGGTCTATGTGTAGCATATGACATGCCCTCACCACAAAAACCCTCACCTATGCTCATCTACGGCCTCTTATAACTGTGGACATGGGGTAATCGCGGGTTTTGTTCGTGATGGCGGCTTGGCGTCACTGCACTCCTCCTGAATGGGCATGCCATCGCCTGTTTCCACGTCGCCTCCCTCTGACACACCGTGCTCGCCCTCTATGTCGCTGTCACCACCCCGATCAGCCCACCGCTGCACTTTACCGAGGCGCAGATCTATTCCGAAAAGACCATCGCAATACGAGTGCAGACGTGGAGAGCGTGAAGAGATAGATGATGAGTTCAGTGTGGGGCCGTCTCAACCCTCAACCAGGACGCCACCGGAGCGGAGTAGGAGGTAGGCTGCGAAGAGGGCATATAGGGCATAGATGATGGTGTTTTGGCGGCCGTCGAAAGAGAAGGGACAGCAGAGGGATATCTAGGGCGGCGACGCAGACGAGGGAGAGCAGGGAGAGCAGGGCGTTTCCGAGGCGCATTTGCGCGAGGGGTGAGCATGGAAGGGCGTAGCGGGGCGTGCGGTGGACGTATCCGAGCCTCAAAAGCGGCCTCATCCATTGGCTCGCCGTCGACAATGCCCTTGGGGCTAGGATGTCGAAGAGATCGCCATGGTGGTATTTTTTGCCATCTGCGTGCAGTGGCCTCTTGTGGTGCTGCGAGGCTGAAGAGGGCTGCGCTGGCGAGTGCGCTGAGGGTAAGAGCGACCGCGATTGGCAGCTGGAAGCGAGGCATGGGCTTGCTCCGCTGCTCGACGGAGGTCTACTGACGTTCTGAGATGACATACGTCTGGATCATCTGATCCCAATTGAGATGTACAGCGAGATGGGCATGATGCTTTGGAACGCGATGAGACACGAACTGCACACGTACAAAAGGTTAAGCCAAAACGACGCGTAGGCAAATAAAGATATTCCAGCGCGCACGCTGATAAGGGCGTTGACGACGTCTGAGTCGCCCATCTCAGAGCCGGCCTCGGAGACGACAGCGCTCTTGCCCGTCCTCAAGTCAATGGTACAGTTCGCAGTGGCGGTGATGGTGCACTTCGGGATGAGTACGATAGAGTTGACGATCACGTTGAAGTTGGTATCGCGCTCGATCTGGAATCGCTTGGGCGGCATGTCGCCGTCGTTGAGCAAGATCTTTGTGTCCGCCCCTACAAGGCGACGAGGCCGATGGTCCACCTCATCGTGCATCCAGAAGGTTAGGGCGAAATTGCTGCCTTTCACGAGCTTCCACGTCCTTTCCGGTACATTCAAAGTTCGACAAGCATGCTCACCGTGATCGAAAATAAGTGCAATTTCGACAATTATTTCGATACCTTCACAAGTGTGCGTAATCCTTCTCTTCCTATTTTTTCATGCGACCGAAGCGATAGCTTCCACCTCTACTAGCCCATCTCTAGGAATACGCGCTACCTCGACTGCCGAGCGCGCAGGTTTGTGATCGCCAAAGAAGCTCTCGTAGATCTTGTTGACCGCCGCAAAGTCATTCATATCCTTCAAGAAAACCTATTGGAAACATGGGAGTCTTTATAAATCCTATGACCGACGAATGAGCACTTACTGTTGTTTTGACCACTTTCCCTACTTCACTCCCGCTAGCTTCCACAACTGCCTTCAGATTCAACAGCGCTTGTCGTGCCTGCTCCTCTACACCGCCAGCGACAAATTGGCCAGTCTTCGGGTCAAAACCAAGGCAGCCAGAGACAAAGACGAAGGGGTGTGCAACAATGGCCTGGCTATAAGGTCCGATAGCAGCGGGTGCATCTGAGCATTGTCCACAATGATTGCAATCGAGTCATCAAGGCCTGGGTAATAAAGCTAGTATATCCGCGTCAATCACTCACGCTCAGTGGAGACCTTCGTCAAGGATGGATGAGAAGTAACAGAAGACATCGCTCTTAGAATTCGGATATGTGGTGATGGAGAGACCACAAGTTTCGCCAGATGGCTCGCAATGTTTGGAATCTGACAAGGAGATCGCAAGAGGACACGGGTAAGCATCTCAATGATGGATTTGTGACAGAGTTGTGACGTTCAGGCGAGTGACATCTTTATTCCCCTCCACAACCCCGAGTTTGACCGACTGGCGCTCGCGTATCTCCAATATATCCTCACAAGCCACCCTAATTGCAATTATATATGCATCAATGAAAAGGTTAGATCCCCTTTCCAAATTATTTGCTAACGCCTGCAAGGTCACAGACGTTGAGAAAAGAAACAGCAGCGAAGCATGCTCCGAGATGTCATACAACTGATGTATCCCTAGCTCACAAACCTGCGTGGTACTTGCTACGGTGACTCGTGAATGGTCCCCATGTGCCGATGTCCTATAACGGTGTGTTCTCGTGTTAACAGCATGTTCTCGTGTTAAGACTCTCGACAGCACTGCCAACTTCTGACATTCCTCAGAAGACACACAGCTGACACAGATCGATATCGTCCACCCTCGCTATATGTCGAAAATTGACTGATATCCCATCGTGGGTTTATGCGCCTCTGGCCGCGGCAACTGCCTTTACTGCGCCCAGCTTTCGTCCATACTGTACCCTCCAACTTCCTGCCGGTCCAAGCTACTGGTTGATGCCTAAACTTCCACTTCGCAGAACCCATCATGCTCCTCAGAACTAGTCGGAGCTTATCTGAGCGTTCTCATGCAGAAGACACCAATGCTGTGTTATATGCAAAGCACTATGTACGCGCTCACTGTTTATCGTGTACCTCAAGGAGAATGAAAGGATATTACGAGTCTTCATGTGACTTACCTTCTCGGTCGACAGTGCTGACGGCCAAAGGACTTTGATGAGCTGAATACCTGTTGCATTGTCGAGCTGACTTCTCAATCAATGGGGATAGCTCTTCCCAAGCATGACAGCATGCCCCGCCGACGAACTGAGGGGTCAGAGCGGATACTATGTACGTCAGTATGCGGTTGTCATGTCGATACGAAGATTGAGAATGAATAGGCAAGTTTCATATGTTTATGTGCCACGGTCCACCGAGGCCCACTCATAAGGCCCCTATCAAGGCAGGTGGATGCTTCGACCGACGTAGATGGCATAAATTACCCCTCATAAAACTTCCATACCTCACCAGTCAGCTAATAATTATTATGTGTATTCAGACATTGTCAATACAATCATTACAATCTTCGGACCTGTTTGATGTTGATGGCATAGCGCAAACTACTAGTATTTCAGAATTGTGGCTCCTCCGTTGTTTGTCGAACGAGAGTGAGTGCAGATTCTGAACGCGGGACGATGACACATTTGAACGGTTTTGGTCGGCTGAACAAAGCAAGGATGTCACTTCGCCTCGCCCTATCTCATTTACACCGTGCACGAACTCACCTCACTAAACCCGTTGTGTATTCTGTATCGGGTTCGATCACAATTCCGTGCTCGTTTACTTCTTTGCGGAGCGTATATACCGCTAACACGGACGCAATCGTGATCCAGATGGTATCGTTGACAAGCCAACGGCCAGGACACATCCTGAATGGGCGAACTTCAACGAAGGGACATGTGCCCATGGAAATCTATCCTCACCGTCGTCCGAACCCGAAGGCCACTTCCGGTAAAGGGTTGATACCAAGCGCTACATTCTTATGTTGGTCTTCAAAACGCTCAGGCTTGAATGTCATAGGATCTGGATAAGTCGCCTCATCATGAAGAATGCTCCTATGATGAGAATGCATGGTGAGAACGAGGTCAAAGAAGAGAAGGCGAGTCATACCAGACATTAGGTAGCACTGTCGTGCCTTTCGGTATTGTGTATCCTTCATAGACGTCGTCTTCCGTCACATAATGTGCAACGCCCAATGGTCCAACTGGATTCCATCGCAAGCATTCAGCAACAATAAAGTCCAGATATGGAAGGGCATTTCGATCAGAAAATTGCGGGAGGCGATCCGATCCTACCACGCTGTCTATATCTTGCTGTGCTCTTTGTTGGATCTCCGGGTGAAGCATCATTGCTAAGAAAAACGATAGAATCGCAGACACAGTCTTCGGCGAAAGTCAGAGACCGAAAATTACCATAGCGATACTACTCACCGTATCAACACCAGCTGATTTATCCGACATCGTTAACAAATGTATGACAAAATCGAAGGTTGGTAATTACCAGCATAAGATGTTCCTGCAACGCCCTTGATCAACCGTGCATACTCCGGATCTCTCCCAGACTTCACCCACTCGTCGAGTTCTGACGTTGTAAAGCAGGGTTTGGCAGTTCCCGACTCCTGAAGATTATGTATCAGCAAAGCAGAAATTACATGCCAAAATAAGAGAGGGTCACCATGCGCTGTCTGACCATGTCAAAAGGGCGGTCGATCATAGCCCGTGACGCTCGCCGCCATTGTCTTGACTGTTTCTTGAAGGATGCTCCAGGAAACCAACTCGGAACATGTTTGACTAGCGATACTTCATCAAAGTCACCCAAAGATGGTATGCTACGAGCGACGTACGAAGAGGAATGTAGTCGACCAGATACGTTCCAAACAGACCTGCCTTGCCGAAGGATGTCATCGCCTGGTCTGCGAGAGTCACGTAGATGTCTCCTTCCTCTGGAATATCGTGTCCATACAAAATTTGCATCACTGGAGCCACCGCACTTCTACGCGATCACTGAGAAATGGTGGAATCCCGTGATGAAAAAAATCCCACCTTCGTATGTGATGTTCTAGTCGATCAGGCCGATAAATCAGATTTCGAAGAAGCGCATGCGTTTCCTTCAACTGTATGGGCTGATAGTGTGGCGATGAATGAGCATGAAAATGTTTTTGAAACAATGTTCGATGCTTCCGCCAAGATGACCCATACGGCATTGCGGAAAAAATCCAATCAAAGCCCATTCTACCAAGGTCACGAGGAATTAGCGGTGGTGGTATATCACGAGATATTAACTCACATCTCTTGAACCATGGTTCGCACTGGTCTCGAAGAATACGTCGCGCTTCGTTTTTCGAGTAGGTCGAATGCTGCTCGGGCTGAATTCAAGATGATGATGGGATTTCCGAAAGCATGGATATATATAATGTCACCTGTTGGACAGAAGACCTCAGAAACAGCTTATCAATCGAGAAGCATCCACGAACCATATACGTGCCGCCATTCAGCATATGTGCGCCATGGTGTGGACGTGGGGAGCGATGTAACTCCCCCAAACCACGATGTCTTCGGACCTGGGGGCAATGGGAAGCGACGACTCTTTGTCCTTAGGGATATACCAACGCATATGGTAGAGAAAGGTATGACAACGAGAGCAATGAGAATGGAAGCGGGCAGGAGATTGGAGGGAGTGATATGATCGAGGAATAGGTTCATGTTGGAACAGGCCACAGACAATGAGGGTAGCATGCAAGGGGCAGGATGTGGGCGGTTGTGCACAAAGCCATGATGGTATCATTAATACAAGTCTCAGAGGACGTGGCTTCTCTGGCAGCCAATCTTAGGGCCGAACCTGTAGATCTAGCCGAGTTTATTCCCCATCTGGAGATTAAAGGAGAAAAGGGTCGATCAACTGTGATCAACTCCGCGGATCTGTCGATGTTGAAATCATTCTTTTTGCCTGGGCCAGAATTTGAAAAAGTCAAGTCTCCAGGAGTCTTCAGGGACATTGTACGCTTAATATAGACCGAAATACACCGCCACGCAGGTGAACTCGTGAATGCCATATCGGTCATGTATCACGCGCCGTGCAGAGCGGCTTGCGGCGGCCTGATAGCCCAAGGTTTGATGGTGTGGGCGGTTCGCTCGCGGGTGAACTCTGCAGAATGAGGCGCGCAGGACTGCCGCAGGTCAACAGCATCGCATCCGGGAAACATTTGATATCAGAAGTTGCACACAGAACGGAAGTCCCGGCCCATGCATGATTACGCGACTCACTCCGACGAATCTTCAGGGTCTGACCTTCCCTCACTCGATCAAGTATGACGATGTTGCTGCACAGCAGCAAATGATGTCCCTAACGGTTATGAAAATAACGCTCTCGTAAGGATGGTTGTTCCGTTGATTTGAGGTATGTGGTAGGGAGGGTGCTGAAGATGATGTGTGCGGTGGATGGGCGCCTGCAAATTTGGAGGCAAACCCTTACATCTAGGCCACGGCCAAATTTATTAGGTTGACATAGTATTTTGGGATACGCCTACGCGAGCCTACGCACTGCCTACGCGTGAGCTACGGCTTCGATTTGAAAGCCGAATTACAATTCCATGGCAATATGCCTATTTAAGTCCATTCACAAGAGACGACATGTATACTCTTTCTTCGTCAATTTCGAAGACATGACTTTGCAAAGCGCATGCAATTGCGATTTTGCGGAATCAACACGTTCGCCAACGGACGTTCGGAGCAGAGGCCTGTACGAAATCCGCGGAGAATATCAGAACTAGACAGCACGCAGAGAAAAAAGTAGTCAGGTTGCCGTCGTGTCGGAAAAGAAGAGCGCCTGCCTAAGAGTGAAGGACAGCGACCGTTCCATGGGCGGCTCAAGTGACGCAGGGCTGCTCACAATTTTGATCGAGACGAGTTTTACAACAAGCTTCGCAAGAAGGAGTCACCATGGCGGAATTGGGTGTCTAGATTATTGACAGCGCTGAGCCAGCCGCAGACAGCCGCACAGACTTCTATTTCGCGCATTTGCAAAGTGTTGAGGGAAACCCACTTTGCTATCGCAGCGGCGTAATGCCATATGCTGATGGTTGCTGATGATAAGAAGAACGTGAGGTTTGAGAAGCTTGAGTAAGTGATGAGTCGTGGCAAAGGGTTTCGCGATAGCCCTTGATCAGTAAGGTAGTTTGCTTGCGACTTGGTCAACAATTGGTGGCATGCGGTAACGAGCCTAGTGCTTTCTTTTCTTTCGCACGGACCCGCGAGGCAGTTGGTATGCATAGCTGAGCTGAGGACCACATTACCACAATCTTGTGACAATTCACTTCCGCTGTCGTAGTTCTCCTACATGGGGATCGGTATCGTACGATAGCACAGATCCCGACAGCCCTCCACGATATCATCGGATGAAGATTTGTGGGGAATGCCATCTGCGAAAGAGTGGCGTGGTCGGGTTCAGATGAGACCCGAGATATGATGTGTGGGTGATACGCAGATCTGGCTTCTCAAGATGCGCGTGCACGAGGTGTGTATGAAAGCCCAGGCTCTGCAGACAGAAGCCTTGGATGGGGATAGCATGGGTATGGACCCTGTAAGCACACGATCCATACTGGCGCAAACGTCTACTGTCGGTCGTATAAAGAATGCTTCTGGTTGTTAGAGTTCGAGGAATGCGGCCCACCGAAAGTGATTACATCTGAAGACGACAAATGTAGCTCTCTGCGAATCCAAATGGGGACCATCGGTGCGCGTCTGAGGAAACAGGATGCTGTGCTGATGTCTGAGACTCCGAGATGTGAGAATGGTGTGAGCGGGTTTCTAGGTGACTCCAGCATCGATTGAATGTTCGCAGTAAGGGTTCCACGTAAAATCAGACAGCGCGGATACAGGGCCCGCACTCGGACCGGGCGGAGAACGCGCTGCCGTGATAGCTTCTTCGATATGTGCATTGAGCGTCTTCTCTCCAGAAAAATAAAGGATTTGACAAATAGTCTGCCAGAAAGTCTTCAAGATTCTGTCTGTAGAATTCGACTGACGTGCCAACAAATATCAATTCCGAAAATTGGAAACTCAAAGCGATCTTACAGCACCTAGCTTCTAACCTTGACTCCGAGGAACCGGTAGTTATCCGAGGACTTTACCATCGCAGCCACCACATACACTTAGTTGCATATGCAAATCAAAGGCGAGCTGATGAGATGTTAGCGCTTCAGTGCTTCCAATGACTGTCGTTTTTGGTGTCATGGGAGAAACCCAGTCTCGGCAACCTCCATATCTGTATGCATCCTCATACGCCCATGGCTTTGCCTTCTGGTAAGACTGCTGCATCCAGCGCCCATATGATAAAAAGTGAGGAAGATTCGGGGCGTCGTCGGTGTTCGAAGGGTCGAGTGACGCAATTAACTTCGTCGGTTGAAGGTCAAATGCTGCGGGTGCCGAAACATCTGACGAAGACATCAGAAGAGGCGTTGGGAGAAACGAATAGTCGATTGAAAATAAAAGAGGCGAGTGAGTATATCTATGAATTGTTTACAATGGCAATGTCGACGAAAGAGTGGGCGCCGAATTCAGCATTACGATTCGTGGATGAGCTCGCGAAGGCAGTGGCTTCATGGGGCGGGAGGATTTTGTCAAAGTTGAAATAAGGTCGTTGTCTGACGAACCAATGACATCGGCGGAATCGGAGGATTCCGAGTCGGACGAGGATTCGGAGGATAGCGTTTCCTCATTTTCGTCAGAACTAGATGCATCGCCTTCAGACGCTCCCTTAGCGCGCTTCTCGAATAATCCGAGGCCAAGATTCTGCGATCACCGATTAACATAGTCATTGGGAAAGTGTAGCGCGACGAACCATTTCGATATGCTGCTGTACAGAGTCATCAATATGCTCAATGTCTACGCTTCGTGGATCATTTTTTGCTTGCTGGAGAAGTTGAGAGTTAGAGGCTTCTAGAGCTGGCAGAAACGCTTGCACTCGGGATAGAACTAAGATAGCATGGGCATCAAGAAGACCGCAGTGAAAGGAATGTCTTACGGTCCGTTGGAGGATCCACAAGGAATGTCTTTCTCTCACCGAAGTCGAATGCTGTAGGTGTTTTGTGGGCATGAGATGCATGAGAAGTATTGAGTGCCTGAAGCATCCGCTCTGCAATTATGCTAGATAAAAGGTCATCTGAAGAAGAAACAAAATAAAATACTGACGAAGTCTGTTTTGACGCTCTTCATCCGTCTCAACGTCTAGGGTAACCGCCGCCTTTTCTGTGCCAGATGTTGCTGCCATTGACTGATGAGACGTACGATAGCAATCAACAAGAGTAAGATAGTTGATGTCCGGGAGGGAAAGGGGTCCGCCACGGTTGGGTTGAAAATCTGAAGCCCAATCTAGGGTTAAGGTCAGTGTTCTTCATCTTCCTCCATCATCACCGAGGGCGAATCTAGGATCACAATTGCTTCATACCTCTTGCGCTCGTTGCGCAGGCTATATACCGAGATGGTGATAGATAATTCGATAAACACTGCATCCTCACCAGCTCCCCCATGCAAGCTTCGAGGGTACCAATTCTATCACGAGATTCTTAAGAGTCCAAAATATATCGTCGCACCTATGGTTGATCAAAGCGAATTGGTGCGTTATAGCTACACTTGAATTTTATTTCATAACGAAAATCACTCTGATCGCTCTTCTAGGCTTGGAGACAACTCTCTAGACGATATGGCGCGCAGGAAAGTCTACCTTTCTCAAGTCTTTTGGCAATGAATTGACGCCGGGCGATAGTTAGCATACACTCCCATGATCAATGCCAAAGTACGCCCTCATTATCTCTTCCGCATCACAAGCTGACTTGACTTTTCTCAAGATGTTCGCGGGGACAAAGCAGAAAGGATACCGCGACACCAATTTCAACACTATTTATGGCGAAGAAGGCGGCGCAGGCGACCGCCCATTGATCGTACAATTCTGCGCCAACGACCCCGACCAGCTTCTTGAATCCGCTCGCATCCTAGAACCTCATTGCGATGCAATCGACATCAACCTCGGTTGTCCACAAGACATCGCACGTAAGGGAAAATATGGCAGTTTCTTGCAGGACGACTGGGACCTGATATATAAGCTCAGTAAGATCACAGTCATTCTTTACATGTTCCTTTCTTGAACTCATTCATTAAGTCAACACTCTTCACACGAACCTCACCATCCCCGTCACTGCTAAATTTCGTGTCTTTTCCTCACTGGAAAAGACCGTAGAGTATGCAAAAATGTTGGAAAGGGCAGGTGCACAAATACTCACATGTCATGGGCGCACGCGGGAACAGCGAGGTCATAACACCGTAAGCCGTACTTCGAGTTCATATCCCGCCCAATCTTCTCAGCCCGATGCCTCGTCAACTAGGGTCTAGCAGACTGGTCGAAAATTCGCGCTGTGAAAGAAGCGGTTTCTGTACCCGTCTTCGCCAATGGGAACATACTCTATCACTCGGACATAGAACGATGCCTTGCCGAGACGGGAGCAGACGGTGTCATGTCTGCTGAAGGACAACTCTACAATGCCGCATTATTTTCACACTCTCAGTCGCCCATTTCGTCGTCATCTCTACTGCCGCACAAAGGACTCTACCCTCCTCATACTCAGCTCGCTCTAGAGTATCTCCAGATCGTAGAATCTCTCAAGACCCCCACGCCCCTGAGTGCAATCAAAGGTCACTTGTTCAAACTCATGCGGCCCGGGCTTGTAAAGCATCCCGACTTACGGGATAAATTAGGCAAAACCAGGGGCAAGGAGGGTGGTGGTGTCAGAGCATTTTTTGAGATCGTAGAGGAGCTGGCGGAACGCATGGAGAAAGACCAACACGAGGCTAGTGTCAACGGAGAGCCCAATCTTGAGGAGAAGATCCCACACTGGCTCGCGCAACCATATTTTAGACCATTACCTCTGATGGAAGGCAACTCCGCTAGAAAGACTGGTGAGTCCACGTTCAATTGAATCTCGATGCCAACGAGTGAGTGTTTCTAAACCTCCTTCGATTTCACAGAGAAGGATATCGTAGTCGCTCAAAAACGGTCATACTCGGAGAGGACGCCTGATCCAGACATCGACACGGAGGCGGACGATGAAGTAAAAAGGGCTAAGCTTGATCTTGCCCATTCTACGTCAGTCAGTCTCCAGCGTTGACTTTCAGGACATGTATCACATACGGATAGACGCGCATTGAGGAATCATGTTCATGCTTCCTTTCATCGCAGAGTACAGTACAGTGTACTAAAGTTATTTTACTTTATAATGCCCCTAATAGATGGTAGGCTGTGACATCGTGACGCTTTCGAAGTAGCATGTGTGACCGCACCAGAACTTCCTCTCGAACCTCGATTTTATCCACGGTACTTAGAAAACTTAGCCGGATCATTCGTTGAGAACAAACTGGACATCCAACCGCTCACCGAGCTCGATTATTATACCCTTCTCTCTGTACAACCCAGCGCTTCCTCCGCGGATATCAAAGCTGCATATCATCATGCCTTGCTGAGCCTTCATCCCGATCGTAATCAAACTGCTTCTAGACTCTCATATCAGCTCGATGCTCCTCGCGCTTCAGTCGATATTGGGCGAATCAAAGATGCATATCGTACTTTATCCGACCCCGACTTGCGAGAATCATACGACGCTGCACTACGATTCCAGAAAGGAGAGGGGGTTGCAGGAAAGCCGAGGCCGGCGCAAGTAGTTTCTCTAGAAGAATTCATGGAGGGTGGAAGCGAAGGATGGACACATGCTTGTCGATGCGGGGGAGTATATCGAATTGGAGAAGTTGAGATGGACAGAGGACAGCATCTGGTAGGGTGCGGAAGCTGTTCCGAGGTCATCTGGGTAGGATATGAAGTTATCGAGAGCGACGATGAAGAGAGCATCACTTGATCGAAGCCGAAAGCCATCGAAGATTGCATGCAGAAACACGGAGCCCATCGTGGCATCACCCTCGCTATAAACTCACGTTAAGATGCCGATGTAAGAAATTGCATCGAGCTTGGACATCATGCAATCGTTGCTGGTACGTATTAATTCTTCTGATCTTCGTTATTTGACGTTTGAAGCTAAGAGATTGTCAGTCCAGTGGTACACAGAGCTCCTCTCCATTTATAGTGTTACCGATGATGTACCTCATTATCCGGGCGCAAATTCCTCCCTTCTTCAGTCAAAATTTCATTTCTGACCGAGATGGTGATGCAACCTAAAACTCGGGCATACAACCTGCTCATGCTCCAGCTTCATTCTGCAAAACGCCACCTGCGACACGTTCTAGGAGTTGTGAAGACTAGTGGACAAGTACTTTTCTTTGAGGTGTGATATCATTGATAAAAGTACAGGCATCATCCCTTGTTCATTAATTACAGAATCTATCGAACCAACCGATGATGCTATTCGCACTTTGCTCTTTTGCCCATCCTGTAACAGAAATTGGTCGGACTCGAATGCAGGGGATCGGCGGGCGCACAACTCACTCTCGTGGGGCACGTCGGGATTTCCGCGGATCGCAAAACCGTGGGCAACGCGTGCAAAAACCTGGAAGTGATATTCGGGCTTGAATGCGGAGTCTCGCAGGAGTTCCTCGGACCGATGACGAGAGTCAGTGGGGAAGGTGTGATCGGTTTCTGGATATGCAGAATTAGCATCAAATGTAGAACACAGAGATGCGACTGAATCACCGGCGCAGGATAAGAAAAGAGGTCCTAGAAAGAGCAGTGAGTGAGAATTTACAAGTATACTTGAAGAATGCCAAACTTTTTGAGTTCGCAAAGTGATCTTCGTCAAGCATAGCAGGGTGCGCAATTGCTCCTGATCCGATAGAAGTAAAGCTAAACCTTAGATTTCAAGGATTTAACATAATCGTATTCACCTGCAGCAAGCCAGTCCGTGGCGGTGAGGCCTAATACGTCAGGGCCACCGAAACAATACCCTGCGCATATATTGAGTCCATTATCCGCACAATTCAGTCATCTGTTGCCCATACCGACAGCAGCATACTTGGTCTCAGTGGTGCCTGTATGACACCGCTACATTTAGCGTGTACTCCATTGGAAGTCGCAATTACACACCGAACTTGGCCTTAGCAGCGTCGACGAACGTGGGCACCAGTTGATATGCCTTCTCGCGCTTTGGACCTACCCACTTCCCCAAGTCAAAGTCGGGTTCGACGCCGTAATGGTGGAACACAAAGTCTCCTTCAAAATAGTCGGGCCCAAGGATTAGATATCCTGCTCGATAGGAGTAGATGAGTAGACAGGCAGGGAAAGAGCGGAAGACAAATACCCTTTGAGGCGAAATAATCCATGATCAGCTGATTGTTGATGTACATCGGGCCAAAGACATCCGCGAAGAAAAATATGATGCGCCTGTAGCGTTCCTGCCGGGTCGGCGGATAAGACACATATGTGTTGACCCCGTTGAGGTCTTCAAAGACGCCAACGGCTGTGCCGCTATGCTGTACAGTCTTTGTGCAGCATTCTCCTGGGGGGGACGCAAGGACCTTGGAGTCAGACATCGGGGGTACTGGGAGGAGTACTGGGAGAGTCCAGTGCGAACTGCGTGCGGATCCTTTATGTATGGCGGGAACAAGAACCTGGTACGATGGGAATACGAGTTACCAAGATTGAATATTGAATGGCCACATGCGCTGTGCCATAAATATCACATGGCCTTCCCCCACCCGTTTACGATAACGAATTTCCGTGAGGGCTTGAGGCGAATATTGCCAGACCGGGAAAATCCTGCGTTTGATTTCGATAGTTGTTCTTCATATGAAGAAGAAAAAGTAAGCGAAAAAACTAGCTTTGGTCGGCAATGTGAACAAAGCAGACTCTAAGCTCAAACTCCAGGCGCTCCCCAGGCGCAGCATTCAATCTCACCATATGGATCGAACCAACAGCCACAATACGCCTGACAGATTGATACTTCATCCATGAAAATAATGGAGATCGTAGGCGTTAGCTGACAAATATCCACATCCTATCTTACAGTGAGGCCATAGATGCCAAACCCAAGAGTTTTGTGAGGGCATTAGTGAGCACCGTGTCATCGGATTTGTGAGCACCTTGTCATCGATGTGTGGTCCATATTTGTCCATATACCGCCGGTCGAAATACTTGCTTGAAAGCTAGAGCGAATGTGGCATGTTACTGATGAAGAGCGCCTGAGAGCGCTTGGCTCATAAATGCTACAGTAGATATTGAAATGGCACGGTAAACGCCTAAACACAGCATGCTCAACAACGTGCCGTCAGAAAATAATCGCGCATCATTACACTCCGAGATCACATACAAAGAATAGACCCTGTGTCAAGCTCGCGCCATCATCCAACCTCCACGCCTCCTGCTTTCACCCCAATCTTCATCGGAAACGGCGATATGCTTGGGTTTGTGATGGGCGGCACGGCGGTGCGGCCCTGTTCGGAAGACGTGCGGGTAATCATTGTGTGCAGGCTCTTCGTAAGCGTCGAGGCAAGGTTTTCGTTGAACGTGATGCGTTCTTCAAGAAACCGATTACCGCCAGTACGAATTCTGCTCTGTGAGGAGTAAAAACACAAACGGACCTTGTTCAGACGTCGGTTGGCGTATTTCCGTGTTTATAAGCCTGCGTACGACACGGTGTCAGGGGGGGACCAGAGCGGACGAGGAGCGCGAAAACCATTGTTCCCAAGGCACTTCTTCCTGTGGAAGAGTTCATTTTTGCTTCGTGTTATGAATTATTTGGGGTCTGGTGAGACACGAGGAGCCGCACCTCATAAGTGATGCCTATCCACGATTTTTTCTGGTCTTTCTTCGAAAAGGTGACACTCAGCTGGACATTTCACGGTCAGACATGGTCGACTTAAAACGGAGTGAAAATGCACTTGTCCGCGCCTGTGGGAGCCATTCTCCATAGCCCTCCAAAGTGTATCAACTTTCTCCGTCACCAAGCGCTCGATTTCCGGGTCTGCGACGCCGGGCTTGGCGGGCGACGCGCATCAGCGGAATAACTTCATGCGCGATGGGTGATGCGTACGATGGTAACGTCTAGTACCTCGAATGTTTGAGGCTTGACGGTTCCGAAGAGGCGATGGAAGAGGATCCCATGGAGGAGAGCGCGCAGAACCTCTCTGCAGTTGTGGCGGTCAAGGACCTAGATGCATGAAAATCTAGCTTTCCATGCAAACAGAGAAAGAAGGTGCGGCTGACGATGTCAATGGTGATGATAGCGTGTGTTGTGCTCATTGTGATCTATTGCAGCAAACACGCCAGTGATCTGGACAATGCGTCGAGTCGACAAAGGAGCGCAACGTGATTATGCTGAGGTGACACTGCGTGACATGCCGCCTGTAAACCCTAGAACAGGGTTTATTAAGTGGACGCGTCTGTGGCGCGAAAGTGGTCACCGCGTCGCTCTTGCTCTCACCAGCACACGTTGGACAACGCGATGAACGACGACAACAACCCCCGTCCGCACAAGCGACAACGCACACAGAAAACAGAAAACAGAACAGATGCCGCGATGTCGGCCTTGCCACCTCTCCCGCCGCCTGTGCTCCTCCTCTCGCTCCCCGGTCTCCTCGCCCACCCACCTACGCACCGCTTCCATCCGCAAGCCCTCATTCTCTCCCTCAAGTCGCTCCGCAAATGCCTTACTCTAGAATCCCTCGCACCAGACGTCGAGTGTAGGACGTGGACGGCGCTCGCCGAGGTAGGTATGAATGCCATCGACAGCGGCTTTGCACACAAGCCAGAGCACACATGGGCCATCGGCATCGAAAAAGAGGTGGATAGCCTTGTTTATCTCGTTATATGCGCTTTGTGTTGACCTGTATATGTAGGTCGAGAAGTCGATAGGCAGAGGAGTGAGTCGTGCGCCATGCGCTACCCTAACTCTAGTTTCACTGAACCACTCTTTGCAGCGCTTGATCGCACAGAAGGTACGCGCTCTCGGTCTTACGATTATATGCTGCTAACCCACCCACAGCACCCTTCCCTGCGCATATACAAGCACCACCTTACCCTCATCCACGCGCGCTTCTCGCACTGGCAGCAGAACGACAAGTTCGCGCACGCCCTCCTCCGTCGCCTTCTCTCATCCTTCAATGCCTTTGACCCCCCAGCACTGATTTATACGACGCATTTGGCGATCATCTCTCACCTCGTTTCTTCCAGAAGCATCTCTGTGTCCCAGCAGACCGTCGACGCGCATACAGCACTCCAGGCCGTAGACACACTCCATGCGCTCGCTCTCCAGCGTGTGCACCCGCACGTCGCGCTCCTCACACAAGTCTTACGCATTCAGCTCCTCGTTACGCGCCAGCAATGGGCCCTCGTCCACTCCGCACTCGATGCGGCCGAGGCCGCGCTGGGGCTCTCGTACGTCGCGCCACAACCGGACGCAGGCTCCTCCACAAAAGACGTCAAGGATCCGAGGCGGGAGACGACATTTGTGTCATTCGACGACCCGTTCGAGGCGCTCATGGCGGTCCACACGCTCATCCTCGGCGTCACGTTCTTCACGTCCGCAGGGCTCGGTGCGGACGCGTCCCCGCGCCTGTCGCATCTGCACGCGCTGCTCGACGCCGGCGCGCTCGACCACTTTCCGGACGGGATCGTGCAGGTACGTGCACGCGTCGTATGATCGCGCTGCGAAGCTTACAATGGGCAGATTGCGTTCTCCGCGGGCCCTCCGCTTGCGCTGCGCACGACGCACCCGCGCGTCCTGTTCTTTCTTGGCTACCTTGTCAGCGCCGTTTCGAAGCGTGACGCGGTCGGGCGCAAGCCTCGCCGTAAAGTATTCGCGATGGAGGGGCTCTCCATGCTCGCAGAGAGCCCCACGCCGGAACTGACGCGTGCGTGCCGTCTTTATATTTGCTTCGCGTTGTCTGATCGAGCTTCTCTAGTCCCATCGTGGGCAAGCGTAGGCGAGCTTGAGGAGGTGGGCCAGCGATTGGCGCACATCAAGGCGGACCTGCTCTCCGAGCTCGTCGCGGTGTGTAATTTCTCCACGCGACTACCCGGTGTTGTATTCAATCACGCGTATCCTAGGTCACCATCATGCGCAGCGAATTCGACACTGCGGAAGAGGCGAGTGCAATCTAATGCGCCGCGCCCGAATCGACACTGACCGACGCTGCAGAACCTCGCGGCGCTCATCGCGCACACGCGGACGCACGGGTTGTTCCCGCTCTACGCGCCGCGAATCACGCTGCACCACGCGCACCTCGCGCACGCACTCGGCCAAAGCGCGCGAGCAGTGCGGTGCTACCGCGTCGCCGCGGACCTCGCGGATGTAGGCACGTTCGTGCGGGCGGCGGCGCGAGCGGGGGAGGTGCTGCTGCGCATCGGGCTCCGGGGCGGGCGCTTCTGCGCGGAGGACGGGAGCGCGGAGGACGCCGAGATCGTCGAGCTCGGGCGGGAGGCGGTGGGGCTCTGCCAGGGGATGGGGGGCACGCTCGAAGCGGCGGGACACTTGCTATCCGCGTGTCTGTCGAAGGAGATCGTCAAGTCGAAGTGCGCATATCTCCTAGTGATCGATCCGCGGTCGGAGGAGACTAACGTTTATCGCCGGGCGGGCGGCGCAGACAGCATCTGCGGCAGGCGCTGGAGCTGGCGTCGCGGGCGCAGGACAACCACATGCGGGCGCTGGCGCTGGCGTTGATCGCGTCGGAGTACATGGACACCGCGATCGAGCACGCGGGGTCGATCTTGCAGACGTGCGACCAGCTGGCTGCAGGACTGGGCGCGCCGGCGAGCAAGGGGGCCGGACCAGGGGACGCGGTGGCGGGGAACGCGCCAATGCGGCTTTGGGTCGGCGAGCGGGTGGTAGGTGAGTGACAGGCCGGGGACGTACGTGGTTGGAACTGTGCGGCTGACAGGCGTGGCAGAGCTCTGCAAGCGGGCAGGGAAGGAAGACAAGGCGGGGAAGCAGCTGTTGCTGAACGCGGAGCTGCACAAAGCGGTCGAGCGAATCGCGGAGCGCGGAGCACGTATCTCGGCCGGGGAGAGAGGCTAGGACGGACTTGGACAGATGAGGGAGGGCGGACGGACGGACGTGTTTTGAGGGAGGGCTGTCGATTTTTTCGTGCTATGTGGATCGAGAGTAGCTCAGTTTCGTAGTAGCGCTGCAGGGAGGGGGGATGTGTGGGAGTCGCGACGGAGTCGCCCAGGGCAGCCGATAAGCGGGGCGGAAGGGACTCGGGGGGTGATGAGCCCATGCATTGCGCACAGGGCCTGTGCGCGGTGCTGCTCTCCGTCCTCTCTGTCCGTGTCTGTCCGTGTCTCTGTGTGTATTCTGTGTGTTTGTATCTGGATGCAGCGCGTGTGGTCGACGTATCTGGCGCCGTCCTCGACGTCGTCGCACGGGCACGCGCAGGCGCAGCCGGGCCGCCCGTCGGTAGGTTTATTGCTTCGGCTGGGGCACGTCAGCTATTGACCGTCTCGTCACCTCTTCACCTCCCTTCGCCCCTTGCCTTCGCCTCCCGCCACGCCACGCCACGCCACCCGTCGTCCTCGCCTCTCCCCCTCCCCCCGACTCCGTGCGTAGATGGACAGCCCCGCGTGCGTCCGTCCGTTGCTCCATCAGGCAGCCTGACTAACATTCCGTCTTTCATCTCCCTCACCCCCCATCGCCATGCTCCACGTCGACGACAGCCCCTCCCGCCGCACGTCCTCCATCATCTCCCACGCAAACTCGATCGCCTCCGCCGCCGGCTCTACAAGACCCATGCTCGCCAACATGCACTCTCTCGAGCCTCCCAGCGCCCCCTTCGCCTCTTCAAATTCTCTCCGCTCGGCCTCTCCCCGCACCGACTCGCCCCTCCTCTCCGCCGAGTCCTCCCACTCCCTCAGCGTAAACTACCTCCCAAACAAGTTTTCCGACGCCCTCCTCTACAATGGCCTCAAGCGCCGCAACGGAAAGGGCCCGTCCATGCCCATGCCCAAGCGCGGTGGCGGTCGCGAGGCCTTCCGGAGCGGCGAGGCCCGCATGCCCGGCGAGGGCGATGAAGACTACGACGGCGTGCAGAGCGGCTGGTTCAGCAAGGGCGGCAGCGTCAAGTCCGCCCTCCGCTGGAACAGATTCAAGTGGACCCTCTTCGTCGCCAACACCCTCGTGCGTTCCACTCCTTTGCCCCTCCCTCCCCTTTCTCTCCGATCCCGACCGCTGCTCCTGACTAACCCCGGCGCTTGCGATCCTCCAGTTCTCCGCCTACTCCATCGCGGGCCTCATCTTCCTCCTCTGCACCTGGTTCGACGTCTGGAAACACGCAGACGTCGTCCGCGTTGGCAACCGCCCCGAGCTCATCGCCTCCACCTTCGCCGCTTCCTTCGGTATCATCACCTCCCTCGTTGGCTGGGCAGGCATCCTCCTCAACAACCGCTCCTTCCTTGCCGTCTACACCTTCTTCCTCTGGCTCTGCTTCGCCTTCCTCGTCATCCCCGGCTACATCACCTATAAAAAGCACACTTTCAACCTCGACGGCAAGATTAACGCCCAGTGGTCGCAGGACCTTGGCGTAGCCGGCTGGCTCCGCATCCAGAACCAGCTCCGGTGCTGCGGCTACTTCTCTCCCTTCGTCGAGGCCGCCATCTCGCAGACCTGTTACTCCCGCAGCGTCCTCCCCGGCTGCAAGGGCCCCTACATAGACTTTGAAAAGTCCGTCCTCAAGCGATGGTACATCATCGTCTTTGGCCTCGTCCCCTTCCAGATCGCCGTCATCGTTTGCGGCCTCCTCTGCTCCAATCACATCACCTACCGCTTCGGTAAAGGCATGATGCCCAAGGCCTATCGCCTCGACATGAACACCATGGCCGTTATCATGGACCAGTACGCAAAGTACGTTCCTCGTTCTCCTTGCCTTTCTTTGTGCGCTCGAGCTCACGCGTCTCGTTGTAGTCAATTGGCCGAGCAGTTCGGCGCCGACGCCGCTGGGGAAGCCCTCGCGCGCTCTCGCTCGAACCTGCACCTCGACACGATGCCGACGATGCCGTACACCTCGGGCGCGCAGCCATCCGCGACCGGCGGGCGCTACGACGCGCTCAACGGCCGTACGTCCGACTCATGAGTGCCGTTCGCCCATACGCGCAGGCGCGGAAAGGCGCGGAAAGGCGAGGGACAGGAAGAATCAAGAAAAGCGTACGAAAAAGGACTGATGTGCATCCGCTGTGTCAATAGCTGCTCCGACAGGTCGTCCCTCTTGGACGGACTCTTACTTTCTCTCTCATCCATGCGGCTGGCGCGCTCCGTGTGGCCGCCGCGTCCCTTCGTTTTATCCTTGTCATCATATCTCCGCATATTACATACCCAGACTCTCTGCAACTCCCCGTGTGTTCGCGTGGTCCATCGAATAGTCTCTCCGAGAGCGCTGTGAACGGGCTTCGTAGCAGTACATCTCTATGGCAGCGTCTGGGGCTGCGCATGCTACTACAATACAGTTTCTTTTTTTAGTTCTAATGTCTTCTTGTCTTTCATCGTCACTGTCGTGTGCGCGTGCGTTTGCGCGTGTATGTACCCCCCGCCTCCTCGTTTACAATTGTACTGCCAGCAGCGAACGCCCTGTCATCTCTGCAGCAAACGAAGTGATCAGAGCCGTGTCAAAAAAAGGTGAAGACGCAGACCCCACCTTCGGGCTGGGGCAAACCCAAGAGGGCCAGCACCGTCGGCGCGACATCGCACAGCGCGCCTTCGTCCTCCTCCCCGTCCTTCTTGTCCTCGGTGAATTTGAACTTCGCAGGGTCACCCGTCATGATGAACGGCACGGGGTTCGTGGTGTGCGCCGTATGCGGGTTGCCCGTCTCGGGGTTGAGCATCTGCTCCGCGTTGCCGTGGTCGGCGGTGACGAGCAGCACGTAGCCCGCCTCTTGGCACGCCTTGTACACCGTGCCGACCGCCGCGTCGGTGTGCGTAATCGCCTCCACCGCAGCATCATACACGCCCGTGTGGCCGACCTGCACTCGAGCGCGCGTCAGCACGTAGCACGCCGGCCGTAGCGGCGGAGAGAACGCACCATGTCCGGAGGCGCGAAATTGCACATGACAAACTCGTGCGTCTGCGCCTTCACAACTTGTGCGACCTTGTCAGCGACGCCCTGGACGCTCATCTTCGGCAGCTTGTCGTACGTCGCGACCTTGGGCGAGTCGATCATGTGGCGCTCCTCCGCCTCGAACTGCTTTTCCACGCCGCCGTTGAAGAAGAACGTGACGTGCGCATACTTCTCGGTTTCTGGCGATGCGGGGTTAGAGATCGCCGGAGGCGCAACGAAGTGAATGACCGACCGGCGATGTGAGCCTGCTTGATGCCCTTTTTGGAGAGCCATTCGGCGAGGACGTTGGTCATAGGTTGAGGAGGGAACGCGACTCCAAAGGGGAATTCAGCGTTATAAGTGGTCATGGTGGTGATGTGCTGTACAGAAAGTAGCATGAGATGAATGGACTCCTCCGTTGACACGGGATGCGCACCAAGTTCTTCGGAACGTCGACTTCCATGGGCTTGTCGGGAAGCCCGAATACGGTCACGATCTCACGCATGCGGTCCGAGCGGTAGTTGAAGAAAAACAGGGTATCGTCGTCTGCGAATCGCACCGATTAGAATGCCCGCGGGCAGCCATAGAGCAAATCCCACCCTTGATCCTTCCCTCCTCGCCTACGATGATAGGCTTCAGGAACTCGTCCGTCTCGTCCTTGGTATAGCGCTCCTCGATGGTCTTAATGATATCGTCGCTCTTCTCGCCCTCCCCCTTGACTAGCCCATCGACCGCAACCTTGACGCGCTCCCAGCGCTTGTCGCGATCCATCGCGTAGTAGCGACCAACGACTGTCGCGACCTTACCAATCTTCTCCTTCTCGATGAAGGCGAGCAGGTCCTTGGCGTAGCCGGCGGAGGAGCGCGGCGCGGTGTCACGGCCATCGCCAAAGAAGTGGATGTAGACATGGGGGACACCGACTTCCTTTGCGGTTTCGAGGAGGGCATAGAGGTGCCTAATGTGTGAGTGCACACCACCGTCCGAGATCTGCTCAGCGTGCGCACTGTTAAGTGGAATACTATCCGGAGAACGGCTCAAAGACGTACCAGGCCGAGCAGGTGAAGGCGGCCGTTCCCCTCCTTTGCATGTTTGAAGCTTTTCAAGATGTTCTGCGTCTTGTGGAACTGCCTCTTCTTGATCGAGACATCGATCCTGACGATGTCTTGCCACACGATACGCCCCGCGCCGATGTTCAAATGTCTGCCTCGACTCTCAATCAACCATCTCTAACGGGCATCTCGCGAGCGCACGTACCCTACTTCCGAGTTGCCCATGAGCCCCTCACTGAGCCCGACAGAGATTCCGTGCGCAGCTAGAGTGCGATAGCTGTGATCCTTCGCGATCGTGTCCATGTTCGTCGTCGTGCCGGCCTCGATGGCGTTGCCCTTGAGGCCTTTCTCCGTCGCGACACCCCAGCCATCGTGGACGCTTGAGATGAGATCATCAGCAGAGCTCCGATTGCCAAAGAAGAGGATGTTCACATGAGGCAGACTTTGTTCTTGACTTCGACCATGGCGGTAGGTGAGTGGGGACGAGGGAGACGGAAAAAGGCGCGCGGCTGCGACCCAGCTGGGTCAATCGGGCATCGATGGTCAGATTTACGCAGCGGCCGGCTGCGCGGTTTACTCGGACTTTACTTGATCACGCTCGTCGTTCGCTACAACGTTACACACTCAATTGCAAGGTTGGGTATGATAGACTGGGTCAAGTACACGAGCCTGATACAAAGCGAACACCGAAAAATGGGACAAATAAGATAAATGTGCCTCAGACCCTCGACGAAGTCCAAGCAGATCCGGGAGGATATGCGAATCTCGTCGGCCTGAGGTTCTCCTTTGCGCTGCCTTCTGCCCTTCCAGAAGCGCCAGCAAGGCTGTTCTTCGAGTCGATATCCTTCGCGACAGCCAAGACTTTGCCAATGCTGACGACATTCGTGCCGGCGGCCCAAGATGATCGTTTGCCTTTCTTCAACTGCGACGCCGATCGATGAAAGTCGATGTTCGGCTCGTTCTCGGCGAAGGGCATAGTTGGATCGTCCGCGGACGGCGAACTCTTCGGCGTAGGCGACTTCAGGGAATGGTGAGATGAGACCCTAGCTCTAGATCGCCTGGTTTTCCCAGGATAAGGAAAGCGGGGGAGCGAGAACGACATGGACGTCCCAGGAAAAGAGCTCGACTCGGGAGAAAGGAGCTGGCCATCAGGTTCGAGATCGCTAGGCTGAACGCAAGACCCCTCGGAAAACAGGTCGTCCACTCGCTTGGGCCCAAGGACAGGTGTATCGGGCGAGAGTCCAACTGGAGCAGGCGAAGTGGCGAAGAGTTCCTTGATCTTGAGAGCTAGGCTAATAGTTGGAGATACCTTGTTTTCAATCACCTTGGTAAGCGGACTAGAAGGCGCCGTCGAGAAGATCCCAGAGGTGCTGCTCGAGTCTGACAAAGAGATCGAGACTCCAGAGATACCGCCTGCAGCATTCAGGGCCTCCAGTTCCCCGAACGCCGATTCTGTCACATCGACCGAGATGGGGACCTCGCCCTGAGCCTTTTCATTCACGTGGGCACCTGCTGTCCGACGCATCGTGGGTCCTGCCCACGCGTCTGCAGCTTTGGGCGCATGCTTCAACGGCTGAAGGACCGAATCTCGAAACGCGACATCCATATCGGCTCTGTATTCTTCTAGCAAATGGGCTTTAAGATCCGTGGGCGCTTTGAACAGGCCGGCGACTAGGTTGAAAAGGACAGACTTAGGAACGCTCCGAGACGACGCGCCAGGTTCAGAAGAGAGGGGCATAGCACAAGAAGCCGGTCCAGACCCAGTATCTACAGAGTCCGGAGGCCTGAACGTGGCCAGATATTCGCATTGTGGGTTGACGCTCAGATCAAAAGGCCGGCAGCCGGCAGAGCCATTCCGCAGAGCCCTAGCGAGATATTGAGGAGAATGAATGAAGGCTTGCATGACGTGCCCAATCTGTTCACAGTATGACACAGAGAGTTGAGTAAGCGCGGGAGGAGGTTGGAGAAAAAGATAGTTGAGGGCTTACGACGAAGGAAGTGCACGCCGACGCGGGGAGATAAAACAGCTTTGTCCTGAGCTTCTCCATCAGTAAATCGCACCCCAGCCCCCCGTTCCCCTCCCCTCTCCCAAATGCCGTCTCGAATGTCAGCTCCTCCATTGGGGGGTATTCATACACCGACACTGCATCAAGGCCAGGATAGTGGATCCTCAAGTACCTGCGACCCTTGTGTTGCCCCGCTTGCATCTCGTGATAGACCGTGTGATAGAACATGGACCGCCAGAGATGCCCGGGCGGGAGCGTTGCATGGGGATTGACGTTGATATTGTTCTTGCTCCCGCCGGTTCCGCGAATGGGGAGAGAGTGTAAAAGAATGTGTTCGAATCTGTCGGTCCATCCTTGAGATTGAGTAGTTCGAGAGGTTGTCATGTGCAAATACAGGCGACTAGGTTAATGATCTATGTGAGCGACGGAGTGGTGCGGTCTCGAGTCCAAGCGATGAAGATGTTGAGAAAGCTGTCACTACTGGCGGCGGGCCGGACCCCTCTTGCGGCCCGCCCATACAGCTCTGTGGCCGACAAGACCCCAGTCGTTCTGTGTACAGGAGACAGCCTCTGTGGTCCACATCCGCTGCCATGAATGTCGTCGATTTGCCAGCAGCAACGAAGAAAGATATCGTGCAAGATCGTGCATCCTTCCGCACCGGCCGGGATCCGCTGACCCATACAATCCCTCGCAACCAAAATACCGAGACATTCGTCATACAACAGCCCACAACCAGGAAACTCGCTGCGAGAAGTAGCCATTGCCATCATACCAAGTCCTCAGGTGAGTGGGAGATGCATCAAGGCAGAACTCGCATCTCGGACTTTCACTCCACTCTTGCGGCAAGATGTGAATTCATGGAACTCATGCGCCCATGCCGCTCCTCCACATGTCGCAGCAATTGTCTGCGCCTGGCGCAATGTGCGATATACATGAAAGACACCCTCAAGGACGCTATAAAAGCGAAATACAAGCCCTCGATGTGAGTGCAATCTCATGAATTTCGCGAATTGAATCGGCGTCTCGCTATATCATGGGAACATCAGCACATGAAGTCCCCGAGTACTGAAATCAACACGGAACTATTGCACTATCCGCCTGCGGATTACCGGGACACACCTCAGGCCTCATTAGTCCTCGTCCTCATCCACCTCTCCCACCTGGCGTGGCACTCCACACATCCAGATTGCCTGCCATGCGAAAATAAACACAATTCCCTCATACAAAACATCTGTCGTGGAAAGGCCCGGTCTCAGATCGTATCGACCAACGACGCCAGGTATGAAGACCGAAAGTTCAACGACAGAGCAGACCAAGCCGATTATCTGTGCAGATCCATGTCTGAGTTATTCGGTCAGTAAGATGGACAAGCACGAAGCACTAAGCGCGACATACCGCCCGGCGAATGTTTGCGCACGATGATTGAGTAAGATTTGGTAGATATGTCCTACCCATTGCATAGACATCAACAGACCCTCGCTAGCCTTGCGCCATTGCAATAAAGACGTATCCTCGACTGAGGGAGCCGGCGTGTTGGGCGGTATGATCATTTGACCACTAGGATAGAACCAGTAGTAGGCGGTCAAGCCGAGCAACAACTTCACCTGTCGTGTCAATAGCAGAACAATCGAACTTGGTTGCAGACTTACTCCTATCATCATGACTCCATTCGTCCTCCTGTCAAGCCTCTCGCTAGCCCTTTCCTGATGTGTGGGTCGCAGTCTTCTCAGAGGGGCCTGTTTATTCCAGTTTGAACGCGTCCACTGCCAATCCACTCTCAAAACCACCTTCATCATGTAAATGTAAGGCGAAATCGCGACCGGAAAGAGCAGCAAGGCGGGGAGCATAGAGCCCCATTTGGTCAAGGTCCATCCTTTGGCATCGTCAAACATACTGAACAGCCCAATCAATTCATAGGTGAGTTGGCCGATCGCGATGAGTATGGTGCCTGCGATGCTGATGGATCTCGTGGAGCTACGAGTGTACCAATAATGAATATCCAGCACGTGCACAAAAGACATCAGGGCCGGACTGGGCACGTATACAATTTAAATCATTGTGAACAACACGAGAGGCATAACAACGCACGGGATAATTTCAATCATAGCTCGACGTCTCGGATGGGCGTCTTCATAAAATCGATGACCTGCAAACCCATCTGACAGCAGTGAGAGGTGTAAGGTCAATGATCCTATATCTGGACACCTCGCCGTAGCGCGTACTCAGGATTTCAGACCGGCTATGCCCCTGTTGTTTTTCGTATTCGGTTTGATTGAAAAGACTCCCTGCGGAGATTCCCCCGAGGACATCTCCGAGAGTTAGCTTGCCAGGAGTTCGACCGGAAAAGGAGATTCGCCAGGTGATATTCATGTACTCTTCGTCTATGAGCGATAAAACATCAGATGATACAAGGCAAGTATCTCTATAGATGACGAACACTGCTTTGGAAGATTTGCCGCCGGAATTGTATCATTGCCTGCAATTGTGCAGTTCTCCCTGCTGACGGGTACGGGGATCAAGTCCTTTAATTGGTCTGGTTAGGGTGGAGAATGAAATTCAGCGAAATGACGATTGACTGCTCACCAGATGACCAGCAGATCCTTGGCGAGGGCTCATAAAAGGTGAGTACACCCATTCCGTCCGATTCACCTTCGCGCCACTGTCACTATCATCTTGAGGTATTTCAAGCTTCATTCGTGTATCCCAGTGGCCGTTAGACTTGTAGGCTCTGCGACAAAACTTCCGACTAGGATATGAAGAACCGGCGACGCGACACTATACGATAAATTTGTTCGACAAAGTAACTACGGGTGAATCGGATTGCGGACGCACGTATGTCGCTTGTAATTCCTTGTGAGCTTTGTTATACGCCTTGAGATTGAAAGGTCTGCTCTCTTCCACTACGCGAAGCTGGGAGCGGGTGACGATGTGTGGATGGGGTACTGTATACGCATATATTGGCTGGCCTTGATCGTTATCAGCTATTTTTATTTTTCGTGCGGGAACGGATAAGAGTTTGTCGTCGCCATGCGTTTTCAAAACTCGCTCAGGTTTACTCTGATCATCAGAGTCGTCTTCGTCTTCGTTTACCACATCCCCGACTGTCGGAATATCTGCATCAAGTAGTGCGGATGATCCAGACATGGCACAACGTGGATAAATTTCGTGAAACTGAACCAATGGTGTCGAGCAGCCGAAAGAATCTACCGCTTCGTCCGCAAGCGTGCGAGCTAAGCTCGTATCATCAGAGCCCAGAGGGAATCTGTTTTGCATCACGAATTTCAACGGGTAGAAAAATGATGGAAATAAAAGTACTCACGGCCATGAGCGAAGTGGAAGCCGCGAAATGGACCTTGGCCACGAGGTTGAGAAGTTGACGAGGTAGTCGAGGGGAGACGGGGAGGAAGGTATGAGCACGAACGAGCCACGGAGGTCCGTAACCGTCAGGTTTTGATCGAGGCTATGTCACGCATTAGTCGAGGGATCGGGTACAGGAGATGTTGTCTCGTACGCACAATTTTCCTGTCGGAAGACGGAAGTTAACGTCCGCCGTTATGTGCCTGTCCGAGAGATGAAGTCCACGAAATACGATGTCGGAATAGAGGGGAACCTCGAGTATTTCTTCGCTCAAGCGCCTTTCTCGCTCATCAGCAGAGTCCTCAGAGGCAGAATTCAGTGGCAAACTGTCTTTCCAAATCTTCTCCTCCTCTCCGCGAGCCCGCAACCACACACTGACCGCGATGTCAAAGGTCTGGTCCTCGTTTACAAGAGGTCTGATGACTTGGTCATCCACCGAAGAGGCGTTTGCCAGTAAGTTGAGATGGGGATCGCGCAACTTTGAAATCGCCTTGTAGAGACCCGTAGACATGGGTACGATCAGCCAAAAGACTAGTGTGGCACCGAAAACCAGCGAGGACCAGACCAGACATATGTTGCAAAAGGATCTAGATCGAGGTTTGGACAACACACCAGGATCCAAGGGAGGTAGAGAGTGGGTGGAAGGTTTTGAGGACATGACAAGACGATGGCCAGAGCTTGCAGCAGACTCGAGTCATTATAAGGCAAATTGCATCTACCGTATATGTAAACTTGATGGCCGAAGGACTGAAGCGCTGAAGCTGTGGTAGCCCACAATGATCGGAGTCAAACTACCAGTGCAGACCCACACGCTCCCACACATGAGTGAATGAATGAACAATGCACTCACTAATACTTATGAACGCCCCCGACCGTCTGCATTTACATTCACGTTAATGATGGCTTCTCCGAGCGCAATGCGGGCTAATGCGGGTGTTCATTCACCCGAGTGGACGTGTGCCGGATATATATGGCATGCCATCTCCGGATGCATCCGACGCAACGTAGTATGCACGGCCAAATGACACTGTCAAGAATTTCAGCCTTCCTTGAAAGCTAGAGGGGCTATATTAGCGATCCCCTCAGTCTCTCTCTTCAATACTATGTACATTCCGTGCATCTTCTACGTTTCGTGTATCGTGACTTGAAGATGTAATCCTTCGTCGGCAAAATACTCTCTCAATGACATGTCAAAGGGTTTGGGCTCCTATTATTTGTACTTGTAAAGATGAAAAGAAATGCTTCCAGTCAGAGGATCTTATTGGCATATGGTTTACATGGCTGTCCAGGATCATCGATCATGCTCAAGACTATAACTTTATAGTGTTTGGTCAACCCTGGAGATGAGATGCTTAGATCACCCACTGTCACGAACTGCTCACGAATGTCGTTGATTTGGCAGCAACGAAGATAAATGATATCGTGCATCGTTCCGCACCATCTGCCATATTAAGTACACCGTATACACTATTCACGCCCAAGATCCCAAAAGATAAAGCACGGGACCGCAGAAAATATCTATAGTCGAAGTGTCATTTTCACTGTCAATAATGAAGGCAGTCAATGTGGATGTGAATGCGCATCCGAAGGCTGGCCGTCCGCTCCGTGTTCTAGTTCGGGCTCGGACACATCAAACTGAACGGTCTTCTCAACACTGATTTGAAGCTGAAAGAGAATCGTTGTTAGATCTACGAATTCATCAGCAATCGTTCACCCACCTTTGTCGCCCCTGCTCCCTCTCCTTGTTCTGTCTATTTCTAGCGTCAGCGACGGGTAGAACGTTGCGGAGAAGGTATAAGATTCACCGTCCTGAACCGATCATTCACCCGTGAACGACGGCTGAATGAACTAGGGAAAAGGACAGGCAGCGGATGGTCGCTGTCTGATGGCTCTGTCCGCCCGCGAAGCGATCGGCGAGTGTTGAGTCTATTTTTGGACATAATGTCGATGACAAAGAACCAGGGATGCATAATTTTGCGCTTACGTCGTGAGGAGAGAGTTGGCATACACTAAAAGAGAAATCAGCTACTTCGATGAGATTGGGACGGAGGTGAGGAACATACACTTGCTGATGGCGAAGTGGAGACCAAGCCAGATGAGGTTATCGGACATCGTGAGCCACTGAATATCTTCAAAATCAGACTTGACACAGGGCAAAAGGCGACGAAGGTTGACTGACACAAATCATCGAAATCACAGTCGTTATGCTAGATGAGTCCACATCGTTGTGAGCGGTATCGTTGATTCGTATGTGGTGCGTACGAACCAAGTAAGGGCTCCGTTGTTTAATGTGTATAGCATGATCACATCGATCACCTGATCCATGCTTTGGAATGAAAATTGATGAACAAAATGGAGAGAAGTCAATCTCAGATATCTACCTTCCGAAGCCTGTGCGATTGGCATGCAGGTAAAAGCACAACGAGCTTGCAATCAAGATGTCGAGGGCGGATGATATGGATAGGCCGAGCGTAAATACCCACTGTAAGCAGAGTCGTTGAGAAATCAGTGAGCGTTGCAGTTGCTTTATGAGAGAACGATGACGTACGCCGACTTTATCTGTGAAATTGTGGAAACTCTGAAGCCTTGACCTGTGCATTTTGTGTTAGCGTGCCACGATTGATGAGTCAAAATGGCTTACATTTCAACCGTACTGACTGAGATGTAGTATGACAATGACATGAAGCTGTGCCATTCGAAAAAAGTGCATATCACATACCAAGTGCGGCGACTGAAGAGGCATTCAGGAAGCTTAAACTCAATGCAGTCTTGAACGGGCGGAGGGCACTGCTAGGGCTCACCGAGTCGCATAAAAGTGAGGACAATCTGGCCAAGGCTCTTCAAAAGCGAGAATACACTGCATCAAACATAGACAACGTACCAGAGGTGTGGTCAGAACCCAATTTCCCTTGCTCACTTGAAAACTGATCAATGCACATTTTGGCGAAGTATGCGGGAACACTCACAACGCAATACCCTGTGTGCAAAAAACCTAAGGGTCGAGGATCATCAACACCATGAACAGCGATGCGGTTACCCAGTCACTTACAGATGAACAATGAACGTGATGATTGCCTGAGGAATACGTCAGGTACGATTTACAGATGAAAACGACGCCACGCACCGTGAACGCAACTGTGCACTATCGTGAGGAGTCAAACGATGCTCTCATACGGATAAACAGGATACGCACTGCTAGTGTGCTGCACAAAGATCTCGACATAAGCGCTCGTCCGAAGACGAGAAGCGTTGCAAACTTACATGGGTATGTTATCCACAATGTTCGCATCTCCAAAATTCAGAACGAGATAGTGCCAGGCAGATATACACATGAGAGAGGTATGGACCGCATCGAGGGCCCTGGAAATGGATGAGAGAGGGACATGTGTGTTATTTTGGTAATGGCGTACCAAACGGCGATGACCTAAGACGCGAAAGGGTTATGTTTCGAACATGGGAGAGGTACGAGTCGGAGGGCGTACCATCAACTTGATTCGTGGCAGATCATGAGGGTACATACGAAAGAACATGAACGTCTGGATGCCGAGGACAGCCGAAAGGCTTTTTCGAGAGGAGGAAGCAGGGTCAGGAGGAGCCAGGAGAAAGACAGGAGGTGGCTCGACATACGCGACAGAGAAGAGACAGCCTATGAAGACGGCCCCCAGCGTCGAGCGGACGTCCATGATGGCTGACATTGAGTCTGCTCGCAGACGGGGACGTCGAGAGAGAAAAGAGAGAGGCGATATTAAGGAGAGAGCGAGGGAGGCAGGTTTGCATGTGAGGCCGATGCCTTTGGATCAGATTGACGGTTGATGACAGTCTGACACTTCCACCCAAACCTTGATCGCATCCGAGATCTCCCCCCGATTCATGCAATCCCCTGATTCCATTCTCCGCGACTCTCCACCGTATCCCCCGCAACCAAAGGCACCGAGACATGTCCTCAGATGTCCTCCTGGACAATGCATCATCCCATATTGTCCTCGCATGCGACTGCCCTCAGGTCTGGGAGGAACAAGGAGCATTGGTTTGAGACCAAGCGCTTGGGTCGCGCGGGACACGCCCATTAAGGCAAGTTTCGCTCTTTTCACTTTCACCTCCTTTCACCTGAGGCACGTGTAGCCAATGGCCTCACAATAAAACAGTAGCAGGAATTTTCTCTAGTCGTGCATCGCTCCAACACGGGATGGTGCGGAGAGGGAATCTCACATCATTTTGTGCTTGCAGACATGGAGAAATGCCTTACGACAACGGCGAGTTGGCAACACCTCAAGCAGCCTCACTAATCCTCGTCGTCATCTACACCTCCTCCCTGGTGCGGCACTCCTCGCATCCAGATTGCTTGCCATGCGAGTGTAAACGAAAGTGCCACACTCAAGATGCCTGTCATGAAAAGGCCCGGCCTCAGATCGAATCGACCAACGACCTTAGGTACGAAAACCGAAAGGCCAATAATTTCGTAGATGAAGTTGATGATCGTTGCAGATCTATGTCTAAACCCTTCAATCAGTAAGATGGTCAAATGAAACATCCAGCGCAACTTACCGCCCAGCGAATGTATGCCCACGATGATTCAGCAAGATTTGATAGATGGTCCCTACAGAAATCATAGCCTTCCTCAGAGCTTTGCTAGTCTTGCTCCATTGCGATAAAGAAGTATCCTGAGAGGAGCTCGGGATGTTGGGCGGTATGATCACTTGACCATCGGGATAAACCCAGAAATAGGCAAGCAAGGCGAGTAACAACTTAACTTAATGTGTCGGCGACAGATCAATCAACCAAACAGCAAGCTTACCCCTGTCATCACGATGTGATTGGTTCTCCTGTCAAGTCTCTCACTGGCCCTCTCCTGGTGCGTAGCTGGAACTCTTCTCATAGGTGCCTGCGTACGCCAGTTTGAACGTTTCCACTGCCACTTCAGCCTTAGAACCACCTTTATCATATTGATATAAGGTGAAATCATGACCAAGATGAGCAAAAATGTAGGGATCATTGAAACCCATCCGATCCAGGTTCGTTCGTGAGCGTTAAGAGCACTGTATATTGAAATCAAGCAGAGGGCGAGTTTGCTTGTTGAGATGTGCATGGTGCCTGCGATGCTGATAAACCTCGTCGAAGTACGGGTATACCAATAATGGATATCCAGTATGTGGGTGGTAAACGACAAGGCTGAACTGAGGGCCACTCAATGAGAAGCTGCAATATGAACAATCAGAGAAAGGTACCACGCACGGGGCGTATGCGATAACAGCTCGACGTCTCGGGTGTGCATCTGCATAAAATCTATGACCTGCTATCCCATCTGACCGCGGGGAGAGGTGTCAGTTCGATAGTGAGTCTTATCAATGATCAAAGTCGCGTACTTATCAACTCAGACCAGCTATGGCTATTTTGTGTTTCATATTTTGTCTGATTGAAATCAGGTTTGATGGTCACTTCCCCGAGCGCGTCGCCGAGAATTAGCTTGCCAGGAGTTCGACCAGAAAAAGAAATCCTCCAGGTGATTTCCATGTACTCCTCATCTACATAGACGTCAAACGGCGCAAAGTAAGTAGTGTCAAGACGACGTACACTGCTTTGGGAGGACTACAGCCTGGGCCGTATCGTTGCCTGCAAATGTGCAGTTCTCCCTGCTGACGGGCACAGGGATTATATCCTATTGCATTTTTGTTCAGAGCGGGATGTAGAAATCAACCCGGTTATTGACAACTTACTAAAGGACCCGCAGATCCATTACGAGCGCTCATAAACGGCGAGTAAACCCATTCGATTCGGGGCGTCTTCAAACTCTCATCATCATCATCGTCCTGGGGCAGCTTGAGCTTCATTCGTGTGTCCCAATGACCATTTGACTGGTAACTTTTCCTGCAAAGCTTTCGACTAGGACTTGCGGAGCCCGCACCCCGACACTGTGCGACATCGTCATTTTGACGCTGACAGAAGCAATTGATAAACGCACGTATTTTCCTTGTAATTCCTTGTGAGCCTTGTTATATGCTTTGAGATCGAACTGTCTTGTCTCATCCACTATGCGAATTTGGGAGCGGGTCACGATGTGAGGATGAGGCACTGTGGACGCATATAATGGGTGGTCTGGGTCGCTGTCGGATATTTTGATTTTCCGTGCAGGAGTGGAAAGGAGTTTGTCGTCGTTGTGAGTCTTCAGAAGTCGCTCAGGTTCCTTCTCATCATCCTCATCATCGTCTTCGTTCTCCTCGACTTTTGGCATTTCTGCCTTGAGTAGTGCGGATGATCCAGACATGGCACAACGTGGATAAATTTCGTGAAACTGAACCAGTGGTGTCGAGCAGCCGAAAGAATCTACCGCTTCGTCCGCAAGGGTGCGAGCTAAGCTCGTATCATCAGAGCCCAGAGGGAATCTGTTTTGCATCACGAATTTCAACGGGTAGAAAAATGATGGAAATAAAAGTACTCACGGCCATGAGCGAAGTGGAAGCCGCGAAATGGACCTTGGCCACGAGGTTGAGAAGTTGACGAGGTAGTCGAGGGGAGACGGGGAGGAAGGTATGAGCACGAACGAGCCACGGAGGTCCGTAACCGTCAGGTTTTGATCGAGGCTATGTCACGCATTAGTCGAGGGATCGGGTACAGAAGATGTTGTCTCGTACGCACAATTTCCTCGTAGGAAGACGGAATTTGACGTCCGCTGTTATGTGCCTGTCCGAAAGGCGAAGTCCACGAAATACGATGTCGGAGTAGAGGGGAACCTCAAGTAAGTCTTCCTCCACACGCCTCTGTCTTTCCGCGACAGAGGCGTCAAAGTCCGAGTTCAAGATGTTCAGCATTGAACTGTCTTTCCAGGCTTTCTCCTCCTCCTCTTGTGCCCTCAACCACACAGTGACCGCTATATCGAAAGTTTGGTCATGATCTACTAGGGGCCTGATGATCTGGTCATCTGACGTTGAGGCACTTGCTAATAGCTTGAAATGCGGATCGCGAAGCTGCAATATCGCCTTGCACACAAGAGGTATGATTACGCTGAAGACTATGAAGGCGCCAAAGACCGGTGAAGACCAAATCAGATATAGGCGGCAAAAGGACCTAGATCGGCGTTTGGACAATATAACAGGATCCAAGGGAGGTGGGAGGTGGGTGGGAGGTTTCGAAGACATGGTAAGACAAGAGTCAGAGCCCTTGAAAGACTCGAGGTATTATAAGGCAGATTGCATCTGTCTTCATCATTTGATGACTGAGGCCAAAGCGCTGAAGTCTGGATGGTATGCGGCTATTCGTGGGACTAAAATGAGTCACATCATGATATCAGTCTGCGCTGACCCACAGCTGTTGTATGAAGATGATGCACGCGCGTTTAGGATGGAAGTATCGCGATGCACTCCAACACACCAAGCTGCCACAAGGCTGTGCAAATCAAATATTTGAAGGAAAGTTATCGCCAGCGCGCGCATTGGCCTACTAGGCTATACATACTCATCAGTGCACTGGGTTGAATCCAGATTCTGATCCTGTAACCCTTACCTGCGCGTATAACGTTTCCTAAAACGAAGCCTGCGTACCCAAATATACCTGTGGTCTCTTGCGCGGAAATCACACACGAGGCCGCTCGTCAATCAAGTCATGCTGTGTCATGTGTTACTTCCACAGATGGACGCGAAATCAAACGAGCAAGTGATGGGGAAGCTCTTCCGTCTGTACGCCTTAGGTGATACCTGGTTGACTGGCATTCACCTTGACCGCCTGTGTGTTTTCTGGTTTAGCGCTACTTAAAGTGGATGCTTGTCCGTGGTGATGCAGCACGGCAAGAACGCATGAACAGGAATCATGGCTCGAATAAAGATGTGTCTATTCGTTTGCATATACGCGCTGTCTTGAGAGGCTGGAAGGAATATACGGATGAGATTGAATTCATTGGAGATGGTACTAAGGTCACGGTCAGGAGCGAGGCTCCAGGCGTATGAGCAAGAGAGGCTTTGGGAAGATATGATGAGGGTGTGAGGACAAGAGTGACTGAAGCGGTGGCGTGGCCCAAGCCTCCTGCCGTGGCGCGTGCCGTGACCCGGCGCGCGGACAATGGTCACTACTCTTCTTCCTCTCTCTCCCTCTCCCAAAACCCCTCCTCATTCCGAACCATGGCCGTACGTGCCCAAGCTCTTCAACTTGCCCATAATACTCATAAGTTCAATCCCGCAGACTTTGAGTGCCCAGCGTGATGATGACATCCTGAGTGATGTTGTCCCGAGCAATATTGTTTCGCGTCAGGTGCGTGATACACGCGCGTTTCTTCTTCGACTGAAGTTGTTCAGGACGCGGAATTTCATGATAGGAAACACCTGGAGAAGGTGTCGAAAGCGAGTACGCCGAAGATGTGCAGGAGGAAGATGAGTTGATCAGCGAAGCTGAGGTGAGTGCTCCAGTGGTCACCTTCGGACCGTTGTTCACTGCGCCACCCTGGATTCATTATGACAGGACGACGGTCCATCATCGTCACAAGCAAACAAATCTAAGGATATTGCCGACCGCCAACAGAAGAAGCAGAAACGAAAGGCCGCGGAGGGCAAGCTTCAAGAGAAACGGCACGAGATGGATAAAGTAAAGGTATGCACCTCCTCCCTACATCAGGTGTCCAAGGTTGACCATTACGTAGATGGCGGATGCGATCAAGCGCTACTCGTATCTCCTGGGTCAAACAGACTTATTCCGTCATTTCGTCGATATGAAGGCGCGCACTTTCGTTTCTACTACGCGGCTACTAACGTTCTTATAATCATAAACAGAGAGCTCGTGATCCTGAGTATGCAGCGCTGATGGATGCGCAGCCAAAGCCGAAAGGCAGAGGGAGGAAGAAGGCTATGTGAGTCTCCTAACGCAAATCACGGCGTAAGGGTCAATGCTGACACTTTCCTCAGAGACAAGAACGCGCGCCATCGAAAATCGGAAAAGGAAGAAGACGAGGAAATGCTTAAGGATGGAGAAATGGCTGCGGACGGCAAAGATCAGCCATATGTGTTTGAGGAGTCGCCCAGTTGTAAGTAACTCATTCCGCTATTGGTTTCGTGCTACTGATATCGCAGAAAAGTCATTAGCGGGTTGATGAGGTCCTACCAGCTGCAAGGCCTCAACTGGATGGTCTCTCTACATCACAACGGTCTGAACGGTATCCTCGCTGATGAAATGGTACGGCTTTTCCCTGTCTTGTCGAATATTCGATTTGACTAATCGGAATATATCTTGTAGGGTCTTGGAAAAACCCTCCAAACGATCTCGTTTCTTGCTTACTTGAAGCATCAGACGGATACACCCGGGCCACACCTTATTGTTGTTCCAAAATCCACTCTCCAAAATTGGGCCCGAGAATTCCAGCAATGGGCCCCGGACTTCAGCGTCGTCGTCCTCTCCGGCAGCAAAGAGGAGCGCGCAGAAATCATTGCCAACCGCCTGATTCCCCAAGACTTTCAAGTCTGTGTCACATCCTACGAAATATGCCTCATCGAGAAGAGCGCACTCAAGAAATTTAGCTTCGAATACATCGTCATCGACGAGGCGCATCGAATCAAGAACGTTGACTCGCTTCTTTCGCAGATCGTTCGCGCGTTTTTGTCTCGGGGAAGGCTGTTGATCACAGGCACACCGTTACAGAACAACCTCAAAGAGCTGTTTGCTCTGTTGAACTTCATTTGTCCCGAGATCTTCTCAGATTATAGCGACTTGGAGAGTTTCCTCCACAAGGACGATTCGAACGTCACGGACGACGAGGAGAAGAGCAAGAAAGTCGTTGAGGCGCTACACAAAATTCTACGGCCGTTCTTGTTGCGGAGGGTGAAGAGTGACGTCGAGAAGAACCTTTTGCCTAGTATGTGAATTAGGATTTTTTTCATCTCGGTCGGCGTTAACATCTATGTCCACTTTTTCAGAGAAGGAGATCAATATCTACGTTGGCCTGACAGAGATGCAACGGAAGTGGTATCGCTCCGTCCTGGAGAAGGACATTGACGCCGTAAACGGTTTGACGGGTAAAAAGGAGGGGAAGACGAGATTGATGAATATGGTCATGCAATTACGAAAGGTCACATGCCACCCGTACCTTTTCGATGGCGCGGTAAGTTTGACATTTTCCATCGCTCAGGGCTCGGCATCCATCTGAATGGATTTATCTAGGAACCTGGCCCTCCGTACACAACTGACGAGCATTTGATCAATAACAGCGGGAAAATGATCATCTTGGACAAGTTGCTCCAGTCCATGCACGAGAAAGGCTCTCGCGTTCTCATCTTCAGTCAAATGAGTCGAGTGTTGGACATCCTTGAGGACTATTGTCTTTTCCGGGGATTCAGTGCGCATTCTCATTTTCTTTCGTGACTCCTATTGCTGATAAGACTAGAATATTGCCGTATCGATGGAAGCACTGCCCATGAAGATCGTATTGCTGCGATCGACGATTACAACAAACCCGGCAGCGAGAAGTTCATTTTCCTGCTCACGACTCGTGCCGGAGGTCTGGGCATCAACTTGACGACCGCTGATATCGTTGTGTTGTACGACAGCGACTGGTACGCCTTTCGAGAACACTCTGCCCAACAGTTCTCTGAGTGTGCCAATCTAGGAATCCGCAAGCTGACCTTCAAGCAATGGATCGTGCCCACCGTATCGGTCAGACAAAACAAGTCTACGTTTTCCGGTTTGTCACCGAGGAAACCGTCGAGGAACGTATGCTTGAGAGGGCTGCGCAGAAGTTGCGTCTAGATCAGTTGGTCATCCAGCAGGGGCGCCAGCAACAGAGCAAAGGTACACAAAGTTTCATCACGCGTTGACGACAGAACTGACTAGTTGACAGCTGCGAATAAGGAGGAGCTCTTAGAAATGATTACGCACGGCGCTGAGAAATTAGTGAATTCCAACAACTCGTACGTTTGATTCTACGTATTCAGTCCGACGACGCAACATTTACACAAACACACAGTTTCATTATCGACGGAGATATTGACGAGATCATACACCGGGGCGAAGAGCGTACGGCTGAGCTCAACAGCAAGTACGAGGGTCTCAACCTCGAGGATCTCAGCAACTTCAAATCTGAGAACACGGTCCAGCAGTGGGATGGGGAGGATTTCCGAACAGGACAACGGAAGTCTTTGAACTTGAACATGTTGTCGCTGTCGAAGAGGGAGCGCAAGCTCAACTACTCCGTGGACAGCTACTTCAAGGAGACCATGCGCGCTGGACCGTCTAAAACAGAGAAGGGCCCTAAAGTCCCGAGGGCGCCGAAGCAGATTCAAATGTACGCCAGGCTGCTCTGCGAGCAACCTCTTCTGGCTGACGACGCTCTCGTCTTTTCAGACAGGATTTCCAGTTCTTCCCTCCTCGTCTTGCGGAACTCCAGGAGCAAGAGCTGGCCGCTCATAAGGTATCATAGATTGCTCCTTCGCTGTCATTCTTCTCGCTCACAGAGCCTTTTGCAGAGGTTGAACGACATTCCTGCCACAACGCGGGAGGCCGGGCCAGACGATACTCCCGAGTCGTTGGAGGCAGAGCGGCAGGCCGCGCAGGAGTTCATCGACAACGGTGACTGTCTCACCTACAATTTCCATGCAGCTCTTGTTAAACACACTACGCAGCGGAATCTCTGACGGAAGAAGAGCTGGCGGAGAAGTGGCAGTTGATCCAGGAGGGTTTCGAAGACTGGAGCCGGCGCGACTTCCAACAATTTGTTCGCGCGTTGGAAACCCATGGATGGTAAGCGTTGAAGCGACTTTCCGTGCCGCTCCCCATTTGACCGCACCTCGCAGGACGAACGACTTTGAGCTGCTGGCGTCCGAGATCCAAGATAAGACCGCCGACGACGTCGCGATATACTACCCCGTCTTCAAGAAGAAGTGGAAGGAGCTGTCCGGTGAGCCCATCTCCTAACCTGCACCGCACACACCCCGCCGACCCAGACCCCACGGTGCACGCTCCACCCGTCCACAGAATACCCGCGCATCGCCGCACGCATCAGCGAGGGCGAAGTGAAGCGCACGAAGCGCTCGAACCTCGAGCTCCTCCTCTACAAGAAGATCGAGTCGGTCAACTACCCGATGCAGGAGCTCGAGCTCAACTACCCGACGACGAAGGGCAAGGTGTACAGCGAGGAGGAGGACCGCTACCTCCTCTGCCGGCTGAACCACTACGGCATGCGCGCCGACGACGTCTACGAGCGCATCAAGCGCGACATCACCGAGTTCCCCGTCTTCCGCTTCGATTGGTTCTTCAAGAGCCGCTCGCCGCAGGAGCTGCAGCGCCGGTGCAACACGCTGCTCGGCATGATCGAGAAGGAGGCAGAGGTCAAGCAGGAGGAGATGAAGAAGGGCAGCGCCTCGCGCGGCAAGGTGCGTTGTGGCGCCCCCCGTGCTACCAAGTCTGCGCGTACTCACTCTCTCGACCGCAGAAACGTAGCATCGATGAAGTCCAGAAATCAGAAAAGGCGTCGCGGTCGTCGACGCCTGCGAGCTCAATGGTCACCACAGCCGCCAAGCGGCCATACAAGAAAAAGAGAGCATAGATTACTTTCCGTTGTTATAGTTTTGTTTCCGCCGTCGCGTGTCTCTTAGACCCTGTTTGTATACGTGTTAGAAGTTGTGATTTTATCTCTTGTTTTTCAATTTATGCATCTTCGAGGTCGATTGTGTCCTGATGATGTTTGCATTGTGGCATTGAATATTTGCACCACCAAGATGAACGGGTAAGCGTATCGTAGACAGAGAGGGTACTAATTACAAAACGAGATCGCAATACACGGTTAAACGTGTCCATGGACGCGGCTTAACATACAGTACAACAGCTCATCAAAGGACCATGATAGTTCGTGAAACATTCGCCAAAATATCGACTGGGCTTCAAACGATATCAAATCTGAAGACATGATGGCTCGCTCAGCACTTGGACATCAACAAAGGAGAAACTGAAACACTCACGCCTTTGACCGCCACTCCTCGCCCTCCTTGGCGCTGTCGGTCTTCTCCTGCACGCGGTTCGCCCATCCAGACGGATGACCTGTGTCCTTCATGATCGCCGAGTCGCGCTTGGCAACGACCTTGAACTGGCTGTGGCTCTCCTTACTGCTGGTCTTGAGACTACTCGCCTCGTCTTTCTTCTGCTGGAACGTCTCTTGCAGCGCCTTCGTCCGGCTACCATCCTCGCTCTCGTGCGCCTCGCGCATGCGATCGCGCACGCCGACAAGCTGACCATCAATATATTCCATACCAGTGGTGATCGCGTCCGCGACAGCCTTTTGAATCTGCCTCTTTATGAGGCCCGTCGCGAGCGGGCGCAGAGTTTTGTAAAGCGTGTCATGCTTCGAGTCGCGGATCGAGAACTTGAGCGAGTCAACCTTGACGTGGACGTTCTTTACTTTGAAAACCGAGGTGCGATCCTTGTCGGCCGAAACGAGGTGTATTGTGGCCTAACGAGCACGCCGTCCAGTCAGGTCTATCGCCCAGCTCTATAGCAACACATTACTCACCGTCAAACCCTGTCCTCCCAATAGCACGTCCGCCAGGCCAGAATCCGAGATCTTCGGGAACCCAGACTTCTTCCTGAAGTAGAACGCGACGTCACGCATGTCTGCTTGGATGTGGCCCAATGTAAGCGTGAACTCATGGTGATGTTCGTCTGTGATCGCATTGTAAGGCGAAAATTTCATATAATTGTGCGCCTCAACCGACACAACATTGGGGAAGAGATTCCGGCCTTGAAGCGTGAGGTTCTCAACTACGAGGTCCAGCATATCATCCGTATATTCGATACGCGGAATGGGGACGTAGCCAACCTGTGTATGCAGAAGGGACCTTAGCACATATACATACTCCGAAACACAACAGCTTACCTGGTCGACGATTGCGGGCAAGATCACCTTGCGTACATCCATCCACAGGTCTGGCTTGAACTTCAAGCTGCCTTCGCTGTCGAACAGCAGATCACGAGTTAGCCGTGCCCAATCATCTCCAAAGCGCTTGTTCAACGGATCTTCGCCCATCGCGCGGAACCATTGACCGATACTCTCGAACAGCCCATCAAAGTGCGCTTTGTACTTGTCATCATAGAAACGGCGTCCCGACTCGCGTAGCTCACGGCCTTCCGTGTTGCACGAGTCCTCGAGGACGTAACCCGGCTCAAGCAAGACCTTGCGTGAATACGCGTCTACGGAGGAGAACCAGTGGCGGAAGTCCTCGTCGTGCCGTGCGTCTTGAATGAGCCTGTCGATGGCGTTGATAATGATCTCGAGACTTTGGCCGTTAGCAAAACGCTCAAGAAGCGTTCGGATCTCCTTGGTCGCTTGATGCAACGCGGGATCCTTTGCCAGCATGAGCTGAGGAGCTGAACAGGAAACATGATGCGCACCTGGGTTAACTGCCCACGAGATTCCTTGCCACTGTGGGCTATACTCTTTCCATGGCCTGCATACTCTTCGACGTAAGCCAGTAACCACTGAATGCTCTCTTGATAATCGTTATGTTTCTGGCACTCAATAATGGCCTGATTGGTGTATGGTTGGTTCAGAACCATATTGAGAAGTGATCATGGAGAATCACCTTCTTGCCACGGTAGATGAACTGATCTCGACGTTCCTCGGGGAAGTATTCTTCCGCGAGAAACTTGCGACCTCGTTCATACTTAGCGTTAGCGTTGTCCTTGTGTTCTTGGGGTATGCGATCTGAGAGCCCGTCCTGCGCAGAAAGGTGTTAGTGGTTCGATGCGAAGACCGATTTGATGAAACTGACCTTCATGCCTTGCAAACGAGCCTTGAAGCCTTGCTTCTTGACTTCAGGGTCAACATTGTCGTCTTGAACTTGTCTGTTCGAGGTGTCAGAGATACAGCGTCGAGGGAAGCATCCCGGAACTTACTCTCCAAAGTCTCCTGCCGTGTCTGCCGCGGTTCCTTTGGCTCTCTCCTTGGCTTGAGAAGCCTGAGCTCGTGCGTCATCGGCCACGTCGCTAGGGTCCCTGATCTCTCCATCCTGCTCAACCTCAGTCCCCTGTTTGGGATGGTGACGGAGGGTGGTGTCCGTGCCCGGAACATTTGCTTCCAAGACCGGAGTTTCGTCGGGACCTACCTGGCGCCCGCCGGCGGTCTGGAACTGGTCATTGGGTGCGGGGCGATCGACGCCGGCGAGGGCATCGGGGTGCGGACGGACGGACTCTGCGGCGTGCGCGGCGGAGCGAGCGAGGAGGTCACGACCAATGAGAGAAAAGTCGGAAAGGAGCTTGCGCACTTCCGAGTTCGTGGCGATAAGGGAGAAGAGGGTACGCAAATGCTGCGCGGCTAAAACAAACAGGTGAGCAAGCGAGCGACGGTCAAGCAGAATACAGGAGAGCCCGCACCTTGCTGGCTGTCCTGGGTAGACTTTTCCTTGTCGACGGGGAGGACCTCGCTGGGGTCTTTCTTCGCCTTGTCAAAGTCGACGTTCCGGGTATGCCAGAGAAATGTTTGAAAGAGCTCGTCTGCATTCTTCTTCTCAACCATGAGACGGGCGGTCTCGATGACATCGCGCGAGTCCTGAATGAGCTTGCGACCCTCTGGAGAAAGTTTCGACTGGTCTACGGGAGACGAGTCGAGGAGGTGTTTGAGGGTGCTGTCGATCTGCTTGTTAGAGGGGTATCTGCCTTGGCGGAAGGCCTCGATGACGCCATAGAACCGGAGCTGGAAGATGGAAATGAGGACAGGAGTCAAACAGACGCGAACGAGGGGGCGTACCTTGCGGTCTACGTCTGCATCTTTTGCCTTCTTGTCGACGGGGGACGTGACTGCGCCGGCGGGGGGATGTTCTGCGGTGGATGCGGTTGCGAGAGGGAGAGACATGGTCGGGGTGGAATGGAGGACGGCGAACAGGGGGCGGAAGGGTTAAGTAGGCGATCGAGCGGGGTCGACGTCATCTGACATCACGGCTGGGATCGCTACGTAGGAGAGCGTCGCCGTGCCCCCAGCGTCCCTGTCGGGCAGTCCAGTGCTCGCTGCCCACCCCGACGCGACGAGCGGCATCCACTGACGTCATACACAACATCCATCCACGCACCTTCCTTTTCCGTCCCCGCCAGACGGGGTCACCAGACTGTCGGGCGCCATGTCCAGCTCCAGCTCGTGCTTCTCTCCAACACACCATGGTCGTCTCCGCAGTCCCCACATCCCAGAAGGTAGCAGCGATCACCGCCGTTTCCGACCCCCCAGTCCTCTCCGTCCTCGCAGACTACCTCGTCCCCGATCCAGCCACCCTCCTCCCCTCCCAAGCCCTCATCCGTATCACCCACTCGGGCGTCTGCCATTCCGACCTACACATCGCCGCAGGTCATTGGCCTGCAGCGCCCCCGCCCCTCATCGGCGGACACGAGCGCGTCGGCATCGTCGTCGCATTCGGCCCTGGCGCGGAACCGTTCAACGGCTCCCTCAAGGTCGGCGCGCGCGTTGGCGTCAAATGGCTCATCGACGCCTGCGGTCGCTGCGAGGTCTGCAGGAAGGGCTCTGACCCGCGTGCGCTTCTCTCCCCTTCCCCCCCTTCCATCTTCCTTCCCCAGCTCACCATGCCGCACAGACTGTCCCTTCCGAAAGCTCTCCGGTCACACTGTGAACGGCACCTTTTGCGAGTACATGGTAAGAATCACCCTCGGGAGTACGATCGCACCACTCACAATATTCCCAGGTTGCTTGGGCCGACCACCTGATCCCCATCCCGGAGGGCCTCTCTAGCCAAGACGCCGCCCCCGTCCTCTGCGCGGTACGCTCCACCTCTATATTCCCCGCACCGCCCGTGCCAGTATCACGATCATCTAACGCTCCTCGCTAGGGGCTCACCGTCTACAGCGCCCTCAAGCACGCCAACCTCGCCGTAGGCGACTGGGTCGTCGTTCCGGGTGCAGGTGGCGGCCTCGGCCATCTCGGTGCGCCCATCGCGTCTGCTGACTCCTGAACACTGCCGCCTGACAGCTTACGTCCCAGCAATTCAATACGCCCTCGCTATCGGTCTACGCGTAGTGGCCATCGGTGCGTCCGCAGCTTCATTATACGCGCGCTTCCGCCCACATGGACCCACCACCACCAGACTCGGGCGCGGAGAAGAAGTCCCTGTGCCTCGCCCTGGGCGCCGACAGGTAGGTCGACTTCAAGGAGACCAGCAACATCCCGGACGCCGTCATCGCCGCCTGTGATGGCCTCGGGCGCACACGCCGCCCTCGTCACCTCCCCTTCAGTGCGTCCCAGCCCCCTCTCTGCCTCTTCGTGATCGAGACTAAGCTCCTGCAGGCCGCAGCGTACAACAACGCGCTCGCCTACCTCCGCCCGCTGGGCACGCTCGTCGCCATCGGCATGCCCACCGCGTTCACGTTGCACGTCCCACTTGACCTTCTTGTCGCCAAGGTGCGTCGCCCCGCGGGCCCCACCGAGCCCATCTGACCATGCAGTCGTGCAGGGATTACACGTCGTCGGGTCCGTGTTGGGGTACGTTCTCCCCCACCTCGGGAGTGCAATTCCTCTACGTTTTTCGCGTAAGCTCATGCCGCGACACGCGCGACCTTGTTCTGTTGAAGGAATCGCCAAGACGCGCATGAGGCCCTCGACTTCGTCGCGCGCGGCAGGGTCAAGTCGCACCAGACTCCGCGCAAGCTGGAGGATATCAACGCGTACGTCCGCACTCACGCACGCACCCCTCCCGCACTCTCATTCTCTAGCGCTCATCTTCGTCCCCGCACCGCACCGCATCGCACAGGGTATTCCGCGAGATGGAGGCTGGGAACTCCGTCGGGCGCGGCGTCATCCAGATGGAGCATTAGAGCATTTGCCGAAACAGTTGGGCGCGAAGTATTACGGGCGAACGAGTATGCGTGTGCTCTCAAAGCTGCAACGCAAGGCGGCGGAAACAGCTAGGAGATTCATAAGTAACGGTGGTGGTGTTTTCTTGTTTGTAGAGCGTACGAATGTCTGTGTCGTCTCGAAGCGTGGATGCACGACGGCGACATCAGCAGCTGAGGAGATTCATGAGTATCGTGATTCATTAGAGTGAGAACCAGGAGGATGACAGGTAAAGCTCGGTCGCTCGTGATGAGCAAGCTGTGGGATGAAAGGAACGCGCATATAGTGATAGCGAATGAGGCGCACCCTGAGAGACGACACGAAGAGGCCGCAGCACCTACCTGAGCTCATATTGAGGCGCGCACGCAGTTGCACTCCGGTTCGCTCGTCGGTGTTCCCGAGCGACTAACATCCACGTCCGACTATCATTCACGTCCGACGCGTCACAGCATCCGTGCCGAGTCAAGCTCCTAAGGTTCCGAGGACGGCGAGTAACAGAAACGGGAACGGAGACGGAGATGGAGACGGAGACGGAGACAAGATCGACGTCGATGTTGATGTGACGCGCACGAGACGCTCGCCAACGGCCCGACATCAACATCGATGCTAATTCCTAATTCCTGACACCGACCCACCTCCATCCTCATGCAATGAAAGCGACGATGCGTCGTCAAAACATCAAAGTTTCAGACCATACGCAAAGGAAGCTGCGAGGCAGGGAAAAAGTTTCCACGCGGCTTTTTTTTCGTCGCCGACGACCTAGTGTACCAAAAATGCGCGGTGAATGTCACCAGATGCCCATATTTAACAACAGATCGTAGAATCGCTGCATCACGGGGCGAGCTTCAATCCGACTCGGTGTTTAAGAGAGGCTGACGTGCACGGTGAGCATTCGGTGTGGTAGAATGGCTGAGAGCTGTTGATATGTAGAGAACGAGAGAGAACGCCTAGAAACGATGACGGTGTGCATGGAGGAGAATATCAAGGCCGTCACACTGCGTCACGTCACGCTCCATGATGTTTAGGAAAGTGGCCAATTGACGGGTGCCAGTGTGCACGCACAACGATGGTAGCGCCATGCATGAGGAAAAATAAGAGGTGAGAGGCATGGCTTTCGCACATGACCGACAAATCTTATGCGCTCCTCACATATTTCAGTTGCCCCAAGTTTGCGAGAGCACCACGACTGCCAGACAGCATGTTCACCTACCGCAGGAACGAGCAGCAGCCATAGACGTCATACGCAACATCCGTCCACGACGCTTTCCCCTTCCGCCTTCGCCTTTTGCGTCTATTAGCAGCGCCGAACGTGATGACACGAATTTCCTGGCGCCATGTCTTTCGCACACCCCCTCAACCTCTGCTTTGCTCCAACGCACCATGGTCGTCCCCGCAATCCCCACATCCCAGAAGGTAGCAGCGATCACCACCTTCTCTGACCCTCCCATTCTCTCCGTCCTCACAGACTACCCCGTCCCCGACCCGGCCACCCTCCTCCCCTCCCAAGCCCTCATCCGCATCACCCACTCGGGTGTCTGCCATTCCGACCTCCACATCGCCGCAGGTCATTGGCCTGCAGCGCCCCCGCCCCTCGTCGGCGGTCACGAGGGCGTCGGCATCGTCGTTGCATTCGGCCCTGGTGCAGAGCTGACCGACGGCTCCATCAAGATCGGCGCGCGCGTTGGCGTCAAATGGCTTATCGACGCCTGCGGTCGCTGCGAGCTCTGCAGGAGAGGCTCTGACCCTCGTACGCTCCCCCTTGTACACCCTCTTCCATTCTTCACTAACTAGGTCGCCTAGTCTGCCCATTCAGAAAGCTCTCCGGTCTCACCGTCGATGGCACCTTCTGCGAGTACATGGTAAGCATGCCGCCTTCCATGTCTACTTACGCTCGTAACACTCGCCATAAGGTCGCTTGGATCGACCACCTGATCCCCATCCCGGACGGCGTTTCTAGCCAAGATGCCGCTCCCATCCTCTGCGCGGTACGCCCAACGCCATCTCTTCCGATGTTCTTTCAACTTATGCTCGTCCCTAGGGCCTCACCGTTTACAGCGCCCTCAAGCGCGCCAATCTTGCCGTAGGCGACTGGGTTGTCGTCCCGGGCGCAGGTGGCGGCCTCGGTCATCTCGGTGCGACCACAGCGACTGCTGACTATCGGAGCGCTGGTCGCTGACATTTCTCTATCTGCCTAACGCCTTTCGTTCTAGCAATCCAATATGCTCTCGCCATCGGTCTGCGCGTAGTAGCGATCGGTGCGCAGTCTTGCCCCTCGCAAGCTTCGGCACTCGCCTCTCCCTCTCTAATCAATCGTCACAACCAGACTCAGGCGCAGAGAAGAAGTCTCTGTGCCTCGCCCTGGGCGCTGACCAGTGGATCGACTTCAAAGAGACCAGCAGCGTCCCAGATGCCGTCATCTCCATCTGTGACGGCCTCGGCGCACACGCCGCCCTCGTCACGTCTCCCTCGGTGCGCTTTGGCCTGATATTTCTCCCGTCGTGGCTTCTGAGACTGTGCCCCCGCAGACTGCGTCATACTACGACGCGCTCGCCTACCTCCGCCCGATGGGCACGCTCATGGCCCTCGGCGCGCCCATCGCGTTCACATTCAACGTCTCGCTCGACCTCCTCGTCGTCAAGGTGCGTCGCTCCGCATGCCCCACCAAGCCAGAATTGACCGTGTGATTGACTAGTGCAGGGCTTACACATCGTCGGTTCCATCTTGGGGTACGTCCTCCCCTACTTTGGTGTTATCTTGTCTCGTGCGCTCAAATTGGTACCCGCGCGATCCTGTTTAGGAACCGTCAGGACGCGCACGAAGCCCTCGACCTCGTTGCGCGCGGCAAGGTCAAGTCGCACCAGATCCCCTGCAAGCTCGAAGACATCAACACGTACGTACGCATGCAGCTGTCTGATCGCGCCCGCCGCTCATACCTGCACGCCCGCGGCGCAGTGTCTTCCGCGAGATGGAAACCGGGACATCTGTCGGGCGCGCTGTGATCCAAATGGAGCATTAGAGCCTTGCCTATATCAGCCGGCCGCGAAGTTCGCGGGGTATGCAAGTGTGCCTGAGCTGGAATGCACGGCAGTGGCAGCTACAGAAATTTCTGAGTGACGGTTGTGGCATCTTCCAATTGTGTATGAATATGCGAATGTACGGCGCCATCCAAACTAACTCTGTGATTCAAGACGTGGATCAACATATGAACGATTCTTCACCATGCATTGACCGTAGGAAGTATCGATCGTACTGATCGCTCAACCTTCGCCATTACTACTCCGGATGCATTCTGTCCCACTCCCGCAACATCGCAGTGCCTACGAGTGCCGTCCGAGGCTTCCAGTACTCCTCCCCTTTTTTGGAACACATTCTATACCGACATCCACGTCCATGTCGTTTCTTATACAGAATCACATCTCCAACGCTCTCAAAGTCGCTAAGACCTCTGTTGGCTTGAGCCCCTGATGAATGCAGGGCCATAAGGTACGTGGAATCGAAGTACTGTGGCCTGGTATCGGAGTCAGGCAAGTTCACCATGTACGCGCCGTACTGTGGAAGAAAGTCCGTGATCACGAACGGTCCACTCCATCCGGGAATGACATCTTCAATGTTCTCTGGGTGGGCCGGGTGGTAGCCGCGATCGGATAGCAGGACTTCATCGCCTAGTCTAAAGGTCATGGATTCAAAGACCTGGGCGACGGAAGAGCCGACGGGGGGACTTTCGACATCCCACATGAAGCCAAATTGACTGGCGGTCTTAGGATTGATTGGGGCGTGAGCATGAACGACTGTAAGATGTTGTAAATTCGGAAAGCCTTACATATGTGTTGCGCACATTCGGCAGAATTTCTCCATTTGCAAGTCTCGGGGCCTCTTCGTGAGACTGAGCGGCGCGAAAGGAAGTGTAAGGCCTACACCTGAACCGAGCTCCATTCAATGTTGCTCCTCCACTCACCTGAGCCTCTTCTTCCCGACCCTCAAGATCCCTGTGATATTCATACAGCCTGTACAAAGATTCAATGGCGGCACGCCGCGGTCTCACAGAAACTCTTCGTCTCTCCATGGCCACGAGCAGCTGATGAGATTTTAGTGACAGCATCTTGTGATGCCTGCTCTTTGTTAACATACGATCAATTCGCGAATAAATTCCTTACTTATTTGGATCCCTGTCGTCAGTGTCCAATGATGCGGACGGTTCTTTTGAGTGCTCAGATTCTGACTCTGACGCTGCATAGACCTGGTCATCGTCCGGCAGTTCAGATTCGCGAGATGATCTAGGTTCAGTTGGTTCGTAAGGCGGGGTTCTCGCGCCGTCATCATCATCGCTGTCGTCCTGTAAACTGTCACAGACGATGTAGTCTCAACCGAGAGAAAACCCTACATTCGAGCGCTTCCTTTTTCGAGATCGGTCCTCTCTTTGGGATATCGGCGGGTCGCGCTCGATCACGGACTCGGGGGACGGAGCCCCTTCCCGCTGGGAATCGTCAGATGTCAACACTTCAGCACCCGAGCTCGATGCGCCGTAGCCGGGTATATTGATGATCACAGACATATGAGGAGTCGGAGATGAATCGATGAGGGACGAACGGACTGAAGCGCAGAACCTGAAGGAAGGCCAAGCATGATATAGATCCCAGACGGATCCCTATTCGCGATCTGGCTGATTCGCACGCAAAACTATCTGGTACTCACCTCTGAATTTGATTTTAGAATACATTCACTGGCAGCGTGCCCTTCAACTTGTGTCTAAATGCTGTAAACTCACCGTGGCAGAATCTGATAGATATCAATAAACAAGCAGCGTGAGCACCCACGATTTCATAGCACCGAAACGATCGATCCCGAAGTGAGCAATTAGCCCACGAAACCAGGACGGGAGCACATACTGCTAAAAAACACGACGTAGCATACATACAAAGTAAGCGCGATACGGTGCTACAAGATATCAAATCCACGGCGGTCCACCCACTGATTGTATAAGTTTCTATTTACAACCCTCCGCCGCCAAGAATATACTCTATTGCGGAGTGCACGTTTCCTCCTGTGGCCAAGAGTGCACGCACATTCTGACTCGCATTTGAGAAGCCCATGTCTTGGAGTTGCTATATCAAGGTGCGACATGTTCAGCGAGGCTGGTCATAAGGAAACGATCGGTAAACATACCTGCAGCTGAACTTGGAATCGCTCTTCTGGGCTGCGTGTGTCGGCAGGTGCCGCAGGAGCACCACCAAAGAAGGGATTGAAGCCGCCGGCCCCTGCGGCTCCAGGGGCTCCAGCGCCACCCAACATCCGAAGCAATGCAGCTGGGTCACCGCCTCCGAACGGATTCGGTGGCACCCCAAATGGGCTCGCAGCTGCCCCAGGAGCAGACCCGGCGCCGGCGCCGGAGGGTGTGCCGGCAGCGTTTGGGTTCCCGGGCGCGGGAAACCCGCCGCCTGGAGCACCACCGAACATATCTGGAGGAGCGAGTCCAGCGTCGCGCATCATAGACGTCATTTGAAGCATGCTACGCAACATCTCTGGGTTCGACCTGTGCACAGGAAACGCATCAATTCACGATGGAAAGTCCGACATCAGGTAGCAATACCCACATTATCTCCCGGAAGCGATCGCTTTGCAGGACTTCCCTGACTTGAGGGCCCATAGATGCCAGCTGAGGGTTTGAAGCAATGATTTGATCGACGACAGCTGGGTTCGACATGACGCTCGACATTTGCTGCATGAATTCGGGAGAACTCATCATTGTTTGCAACTGCCGTACACCGCCACGCACGCTTGATCAGCTCAGCATCCCCAGGCAAAAAAATAACACATGCTCACCATGTTGGGATCGTTTGGGTTCAAACCCATGTCAGCAAATGGATTGAGGCCAGCCATGGCGCCGTAGCCTAGGTGGCTATTGAGCTGAGTGAGAGGGTCGTGTGGGTTCTGGCCAGTTTGCATGGAGGGCAACGGTTGTGGTGCCGCAGACGGCCCTGTTGAAGATGATCCGGCGTTACGCGCCACACCCTTGACCATGTGAATAGTGTGTGAGGATTGAATCTTGTATACAGCGAGTTGATCGTCATCCTGGTGGGAAGTGGTAAGTGCTGCGATAGGCGAGTGCTTCCCTCGGGGAAATTCGTTCACTGACCTTCAGTACACGGCCTGTAAGAGCGATCAGTGACCGAGCACGGTGGCAGAGAGAAGGAATGCGCACCAGAGTATATAAGTCGCTGACGATCTGCCTCCACCGCTGACTGGTCTGCAATTGCTTGCTTGAGCTCCCGGACGGTTTTGTCGGTGCTGATGGTGATCTGGAGCTTGAGCTCGCTAGGACCTATCATGCGGCGCGTTACTGGAGTGTTTCACGGTAAAACATAGGGGAAACAAACCCTTCACATTGATTTGGATTTCTGAGGGGGTGGACTCCGTCATCGTTCGAGGCAAGTTATGTATTGATGTCGGTTGTTTGCCGGGTGCCTGCCATCCCTCGACCCTAACCCCAGCTTATCGGCCCTCCGTCGACGGGCATCAGTGACTCAACTCCTCCTACGAATCCCGCACGACTCTTCCATCATTGCAAAGCGACGAATAACGATGACTTGTTTCAACTCTCAAATGCTCATCCGTCGCCCTATCGAACAAATTTCATCACATGAACACGGTCAGTGCTTTTTATATACAAGTTCACCGCAGCGGGCCGCCATTGCACATGGCTCTCCTCTCAAGCTTCGCCCGAATTCCTGACTTCTAGACGCGTCGAGGTACGCAGAGGTACGCTGAAGTGGAATTTCAGCTAGTCGGGATATAAGAACAAATGTATCGCAACCTCTTACTCCTCTAGTTATCCACTCGACCGCGCCCTCAAATATAGCCTGTGAACCACTATGGTGCTGCTGAGGTATTTGAGCAATAAACGTCCAACATACGTTGCACATGACTGACCTTGCTTCTGTGTAGGCCATCTATCAAGATATGGGCTCCCGGTCTCATGGCTTTCAATCTCGCGGTGTCGAGTGCGCTGGCACAATCGTCGACTCTCGGTCTGGCTAATGGATTCTTGTCCTTCAACTCTTCCGCTTTCTCTGTTCAACTAGTCCGCGACTCGCAAACCCTGTACTCGCTGAAGCCCATCGGAAATGGCTTTGACTTCATCCCATCCGACGTAATGGATCAACGTCAGGACGACGGCAACTATCATCTGGGAGACATCACATTTCGCGCCAGGATCGCTGGAACCTCGGCATGGCTCAGCGGAGACTCGTCGCAGGCTCGCAAGAACGTGACTACCCTTCCGGTGTCGGGTGATACTCTTGCTGCTGCAGATCTGGCCCCAACCTTGCCTTCTAATTCGCTTCTCAACGTCACTCGGCGATGGGTCCAGACAAATGGTTCTCTTCAGCTTCTTTTCGATGTCGCGAACTCTCAGAGTAGCCCAGTGGAGATTGGTGCGCTCGGCGCGCCTCTCGAGTTCAACAATGTCTGTCAATGTCTCCCTGAGCTTTCGCATCATTGACGGTATCACTGCAGATATTCACAGATAGGACCACCGAAGAGACCAATGAACAATGCAGCCTTTTTGACCCATACATCGGCCAGGATGCTGGTTATGTTCAGGTCACTCCCCTTCTCGGTACTCTTCCTCCCCTTGTCGTCACTCCCATAGGGGCATCGCCTCTAGAGGGTTGGAGGTTCCTTCCTGAGGACGATTCGACCTCTCTGGGCTATCAATCTCAAACATTCGAGGGCCTGTACGAGTGGCAGTTCCACACGCTTGCGTATGCGGAGAACGAATGGGCTGGCGTCACCCCATGGAATGCCCCCAGCTCTGCCACCTTACAGCCCGGAGAGACGCGAACATACGGGCTACAGTTCCTTCTCGCTCCATCCATCCGTGAGATTGAAGACACCTTACAATCTGCTGAGCGGCCAGTCGCGGTGGGCGTACCAGGCTATATCATTCCTTCAGACCTCCCGGCCAAACTCTTCTTGAGCTACCCCTCCACAGTCTCGTCGATCTCTGCGACACCGTCTGACGCTCTATCATGGGCAATTAGTTCAGACACCCTGGCCGACGGATGGGTCGGGTACACTGTCTCTGGACAAACGTGGGGCAGATCCCGTCTCACGGTCACTTACTCCGATGGCACTGTGCAGACCGTTCATTACTACGTGACAAAACCCGCCGCGCAAGCCGTCAGCGATCTAGGCGCTTTCCTCACCTCCTCGCAATGGTTCGACGACTCTTCCGATCCCTTCCATCGTTCCCCTTCAGTCATCAGTTACGATCGTGAAGTCAACGACTTTGTAAGAGATGATCCAAGGGCGTGGATACCTGGTTTGAGCGATGAGGCTGGCGCTGGATCCTGGCTTGCTGCAGCGATGAAGCAGTTTGTTCAGCCCAATTCCGCCGAGGTCGAAAAGATGGAGACATTCATCGATCTGACGTTATGGGGATCAATCCAAAATGCAAATGGTATGCATGTTTCTATCGATACTTTACCATTATTCATTGTTTTCGTATAGGAACTGTTAAGAAGGTATTGACGTTCATGACTGCATCACGTACTATGACTCACACAACGCCTTCAGTCTGTCTACTTTTATGAGCCTAGCTTGGTTCCAAGCTATAACTATCCAGACACCATCGATTGGGGAAACTGGTGGTCTTGGAGCCAAGCCGATTCATATGCAACGGATCGCGCATATGACTACGTCCATGTCACAAATGCCTACTGGGCGCTTTATCGAGTCGCTCGCAACTATCCGAGCTTGGTGACGACACACACGTGGCAGTGGTATCTAAATCAGGCCGTGAACACGATAGCCACTATGACGGATGGTCAGGTAGGGTATGCGGATGATGGCCTTATGGGAGAGACCGTCTTCCGCTTGTTGTTGGACGATCTCAAGAGAGAGGGCCTGACAGCCAATTTCACTTTGGTGGAGAGCAGAATGAAAGCGAGAGAGGAAAATTGGGCTGGGGAGCGTTATCCGTGAGTTCAGTATTAAATGAGGCGTGATGTCCGTCCTTGACTTCGTACTTTACAGGTTTGGCTCCGAGATGGCATGGGACTCTACAGGTCAAGAAGGCGTATACGCGTGGAGCGCTTACTTCAACGACACCGACACAGCGACGAATGCCGTCAATTCCATTCTTGCATACCAGCCTACCATCCCTCATTGGGGCTATAACGGAAATGCCCGGCGTTACTGGTACGTTTGCCTGCCTAGCGTTTGTGCATTCGTTCCTCTTATGCTTTCCAGGGACAACATCTATGGAGGAAAGCTGCAGAGAATCGAGAGGCAAATCCACCATTATGGCAGTGGCCTCAACGCGCTCCCTCTCCTTTCCGCCTTCCAAGCCTCGCCAGATGACGCTCATCTCCTTCGTGCCGGATTCGGCGGAATCTCGGGTCCTCTGTCCAGCATCGACGAAGGCGGCTTCGCGGCCGCGTCTTTCCACTCATTCGCGGACACGCTGAAATGGGATGGCTACTCCGGCGATTACGGGCCTAACTTCGTCGGGCTCGCTATGGGGACGGGCGCGTTCCTCGTACACTTCGACGCGTTTGGTTGGCAGGCGTTTGGCGGAGAGGTACTGAGCAGCAGCCCGACGGTGCGCGTTCGCGTGGCGGACGCGGTTCGGAGGCGCATTTATGTGGCGCCTTTGGGGTACTTGCTCGCGCTCGACGCAGGGGCGTTCGAGGAGTTCGAGTACGATCCGGCCGCGAAGAGTGTTCGGGTCAGCGTCGCGGCCAGCCCCAGCGGCGTATCCGGTGCAGCTGCCGCTCCTGCGGGCAGATTGATAGTCACGAAGATGGCGCAGGTTAAAGGTGTGGGAGCGCTGTCGCCATCGCATACATTGCAAAAGGATGCGGGAGCCTGGGTGGTGCCGTTTACAGACGGATCTGCGACGGTCGACTTGGCTGTGAAATGAGGAATGAAGGCATGTGCGCTTGCCTTGGTGGTTGAATGATCCTGTTTTTTGTCTGCTGTTTCGACATGTACGACAAATGCTTTGGGTACTGTCCAATGAACCGAGGATTTTAATCCCAGAGGAATCAGGACGTGCGGGGCGCAAGCATCGTGCAACTCATGTAATGCATTCCAATTATTATATTACCATGCACTGATCATTTTCCCGTCTCTCACTGGCTGCGCGGCGTTGTGTCTGGTTCTGACGATAGCATATTCGAGGAAGACGAGGAACAGGGAACGCGGGTCATCTTACACGCATCGCATACTTCTACACACTGTTCCGCCGCTTTGCGATCTTTCTTCTATCGTCAAACGACAACGTCAGCCTCTACCTCCTCTATTTCCGACCGCTTTTTCTCTATGATCTCCTGCTGAAACGCCTCGTCGTATTGCACACATACCATGCACCATACTTTCAGCATCTGTATGCGGGTGAATATCAGAATTTGCGGATGCAATTGGCACTACTCACCCCGTGTCCGTTATTCCAGGCATTGTATACATCATCCTCTGAGAATTTGATGACGTTTTGATTCCACTTCGACGCTCGCCCACTCGCGTTGTCCGAGTTCTCGCATACGAAGGCCTCCATATCCTCTCGGAGACCGCTGTTGTCCGTCTTGCGCGCAACGAAGTTCCTCGTCCAAGATCGACGTACCTGACATCACGACACAATGGATCAGCTACTCGTGAAGGTCAAGGCAAAATATTAACAACGACTAACGCGCTCCGTTTGGGCCTTCCATTCATCTAACGTGAAGCGCGGTGTTTCGACTAACTGGTAGTCGCCAACGTACAACCAGCAACACGGAGCAGCGCGGACGATGAGGCGGAAGATGCTGGGCCAGCGCTGGGTCTCTTCTTCGCTGGCGCCCGAGAAAAACAGGCCGCGCTGGCCCGGCACGCGCGGGCAGTGGGGATCGTGCGTCGGGTTGAGGAACATGGGTTTTGGCACAGTGCGGTTGCCGAACACTGAAGACAGGAAAGGCCGCGTCACGATTTGGATGAGGTGATCAGGATCGAGGGTGATCGTGCAAGGTTTAGACTCGAGTGCGTTGAGGCGCGCTTGGATCGTCTTTTTGTAGAATGGTAGGAGGGACGCGGTATCTGCGCGCATCTATATATAGACGGTGTCATAATAGGAGTGTTATGCTTCGATGAACTGATAGAACTCACACTCCATGTGCGTTGTTTCAAAAGACCGATCAGTGAACGGATGCGCTCCGGTTCGTCGAGGGGCAGCTTCCCAGAAGCCCCCACATCCATCTGACCCAGCTAGAATGTCAGTCCAAAGTTGTGAGGTCGCACATGAGACGCACCGGTTCAATCTTGGGCTTTAGATCGACTTCCGTCTTGACTGATGGCGTGGCGGATGTTTGGAGATCCGTTGAAGGAAAGGTCTCTTCAAACGACCGAGGGCTGGGACAAGTAAATCGCGATGCTTATAGCAAGCTATAAGAGGAAACCCACACAAGTTCCGTGTGAGGGTTGTTGGTGTTGTTGGATTTCGAGGCGGAAGCTCGATCCTCGCGCGATGCCACTGCACGTACGTCCTGAAGCGAAGGTACGAACACCTCTACGCGAAGGGCGCGCCTCTTCGAGGGCCTGCTCCGACGCTCGCCGTCGGCATCTTGTGGGCCGGAGGAGCGCGGACGCTTCGTGACTATGGCCTTGACGAGAAATTCGGATCCGTGCATACAAAAAAACAAGGGAAAACGTACAGGTTCACTAAGGTTTATCTCTGGCTCCCTTTCTGTGGGCTGGAGAGGATTTGCCGTATCACTGTTTGAGATGACGTCATTGGGACCCGATGTCTCGAGCTTTAGTCGCAGCGTCTGATTTTCCGCGTTCAACCTCTGGATCTCAATTGTTGACGCCTCCGCCTCGGCAAGGAGTGAGGTCTTTTCGGCGACGAGCTCTGCGTTCCATTTTTCGAGTGTTTCGATCATGTCTCTTCGCAGAGCCGATAGCTGTGCGGCATGATTCGCACTGGACATAGCAGGGTCAGAGAATGCGAAGAGCGGCAACACGAAGAGATGGGGGAAGAATCGTCCACTCACCTTTTCTATCCAAGACGGCATGTATTGCGGTCATTCCAATCTTAAACTAATCCAGATATCAGTATAGAACTGAGAGGGCACGCGACGAGCCTAGACTTGCCGCATGATGGGAAATGAGGTGTCGAGAAGAGACGGCAACGGAAATGAGTGCGCACCTTCGAGTGTCGTAACCACAAATGAGGCATTCGTGCACCTGCAAGTCAGCGACGTTCAGTACGAGGCAGAGAGGCAGGAAGACCGCACTGCACACGGTGACGGTGTCCGACGCAGCGGCGAGCAGCGGGTGCATATTTGAATGTCCGGTTGTGCGAGCACAGTCAGACCTCGCCGTGCATTGCGAGCTATTGCGAGCTCGACTCACATGCGGGCAATCCACTGGCGACATAAATAACCATCTCCATTCACACCGTAGCTGCGCCCCCTCTCACGACCCCTCTCGAGCTGCGAGTTCGCGGACGCTGGCAACATGTCCTTCCCCACCATCGCTCTGAACGACGGAAACAAGGTGAGCAATGCCCATCCCTGGACTTGACGGACCACTCGAGCCAAGAAGATTCCGGCCATAGCGTTCGGGACAGGGAGCAAGTTCTTCCGTCAGGTGAGCGCCTCGTTCGCATCGTCGATCGACCACTTCCGGCATTGAGCTCTGCGCGCCACGACAGGACGTAACTCAGTACGTCGATCAGGCGCTCGAGTCCGGCTTCTCTCACATCGACACCGCAGCGGGTATGCTCCTCATCTTTCCCTGCCCTCCGTCCCCGTGCGTTGCTGATATCGTGCTCGGTGACCGCAGTCTATGGCAACGAGGAATTCGTGGGCACCGCGATACGCGAGAGCGGGCTCGACAGGTCCGAGCTATATATCACGACCAAGTACGACGGAGGAGACATTCAGGAGAGCATCCGATCGAGCCTCGACAAGGTGCGTCCACGCTCTCCGCTTTCGGTGATGATACACGTCGTGACGATCGTCCCCCAGCTCGACGTCAAGTCGGTAGATCTCTACCTTATCCACTTCCCGCGGCTCGTCGAGCACGATTTTGAGGGGACATGGAGGCAGATTGAGAACATCAAGGAAGCGGGCCTCGCCAAGTACGTCAATGGCACGCGCTGCTCAGTGTTTGGAAAGATGTTGAAAAGTGCATCTAGGAGTATAGGCGTGAGCAACTTCTCGCTCGACGACCTGAAGAGTGTCGTCAAGTCCGCCAGGATCAAGCCAGCTGTCAATCAGGTACTTTGACTGTCTTCTCTCGATCGTCCCCTCCATTGATCGCGAGTGCTTCAGATTCGCTTCCATCCGTACAACTTTTCATCGTACAAGGATGTTCTCGAATACTCTGCCAAGCACGGCATTGTGACCGAAGCATATGGCAGCCTTGCGTCAGTACTCCCGTCGACGCTCGTCATCTGTTTCTCATTCAAGTCTTTTATGTTCGTTTCCAGTCCCATCACGCAATTTCCGAATGGGTCGCTTGATCCAGTCCTCGCTACGATCTCTAAACGGGTCGGTGGAACACCCGCACAAGTCATATTCAAGTGGGTCCTCGCGAAAGGTGCGGTGATCGTGACCACGAGCTCCAAGACCGAGCGACTGCAGGAATACCTCGCCGTCGCGGATCTCTGTACGTCCACCAAAGTCCTCGTAATCAGAAATCTGCTGATCACGCTGCCTTGTAGCCGATCTGACACCCGAAGAGGTGGCTGCCATAGACGAGGCGGGCGCGAAGGGCGCCCCGGCCTCGTGGCGAAGCCTCGCGAATGTTTCGGTCTCATTCCTTCTTCTCCTTCGCATCGCAGTAAGCTTGCTGTTCCTTGGGTACGTCGCGCTGGCATCTTCGAAGCGGTCTTGCTCTTTGATCGCCTGAGCATGGCTGTCGGTGCGGTATGTCTTGTAGTATATTCTATAGAACGGTGTGTGCATTCTTGGCCTTTGTCAAATAGAGCGGGCTACCTTGGAAACAGCTGCTGTATCGAACTGCCTTCTTCGAGGTTCCACACGAGGCAATTCACTGCCAGATGCCGCCTATCACGGTATTACTGGTAATCGACCTCAAGCACCAGACAGTGGCGACGTAGCGGCGATGTCCACTGCTGTCGGTCAGATAGGAACATAATCTGTAACATTCGGAGCGCAGATGCTCTGCGATGTAGCTCCTTCACAAGTCGACACAGGCACTTCGTGTGCAAGAAGACTTCAATTCGTTTGAGACCCTCGTATGAGAATCAAATTAGCTCTTGGATATCTTGTTGCTGGAACTCGATGCTGGAGCGTCTGGGCGTCGATTCAAGCGCCTAGTAGCGATATGTATGTGAATGCTTCTTCCATCTTCGAACAATCACATCCGTACGTACGTATCGTGCCAATCAAATGTCCATGATTAGTTCACTCTCACGTCCATATATGCAAACATCTGTCATGTTCTCTGGCTGTACTCCTCCTCTCCTAGCGTGCATGTCTTCCCAAGCCGGTCCCTCCGGCCTACATCGTCTCTCCCAGTCTATTCGACCTCGAGCTGACAATGAATCAGAAGAGGCCGCCATGATGGCGCTCCTCGCGCAACTCACTCTCGAAGATCTCGAAGAAACAGAGAGCCGGCAAAAGGGAAAGCAGAGGGACGATGCGCCTCTTTCGGACGCCGAGCTCGCATTGCGTCTCTTTGTCGAGGATGCCCAGGCCACACTCAGCTTTCAGCGAGATCGCGCGTTGGCGCTCAGCCTCCAAGGCGATGTCGACGTGCAGAATGTGGGAGGATATCAAGCACCTCAGGCGCCCCCAGTCGTGCGACCACCTCCACTTCCACCGAGACGTGCAAATGCACCAGCGTAAGAATCCATTATCAAAAATTGGAACAGTGTGCTGATAGAGCACCGTTGCTTAGCCCTACTCTCGCGCCAAATCAAACAAGGACAGGTGCCGCGAGTCAGACTTGGGGTAACTGGTTCTACGGCATCATAACTTCGCTTGGGTTCAACTTAGAGGAGGAGGCAAAATCCTCTCAACCATCCCAACCCCATCCCCAACCCGTCCCCTCCTCGAGGCAAACCTTGCAACACTATATCTTGCGATCATGAGCTGACACACCATCACCTCCAGCCGCGGTCAAAACTGTGTAGCGTGCCAAGATCCTATTCGTGGGATAGCCCTTCGCGCTCCGTGTGGTCACCACTATGACATCGATTGCATCAAGGATCTGTTTGAAGCCTCTACACGTGATGAGTCACTCTACCCGCCGCGCTGCTGCCGCACGCCCATCTCCTTGACACTCGTACGCCCTCATCTGGGAGAACTCCTACTCAGGCGCTTCGAGGAGAAAGGTGCCGAATTCGGGACCCAGAAGCGCGTATACTGTGGCCAGCAAACGTGCAGCCGTTTTCTTGGACCACAAGAAGTGGTGCGCACCGGCTGGTTCGCCACGAAGGTCAAGCCATCGGTGCTCGTGTGTACCGCCCCGCCCGGCTGCGGCGCGCGCACCTGCAGCGGATGCAAGGTGCTCGTCACCGCGAACACGCACCTATGCACCGATGACGCGTCCGACCGCGCGTTGCTCGCCCTCGGCGCGCAGCAAGGCTGGTCACGGTGCCCCGGGTGCAGCCGCATGATCGAGCTCAACTTGGGCTGCTACCACATGACGTGTCTCTGCAAGACGGAGTTCTGCTACCTATGTCGCGCGCGGTGGAAGACGTGCGCGTGCCCGCAGTGGGACGAGCGCAGACTTTACGCGGCCGCAGAGGCGCGGGTGGATGGGCAGAGACCTGATGTGAGGCGCGCGCAGGCTCCCCGTGCAGCCGACCCTTTCCGTGCTCCTGTGCAGGAAGAAAGAAGAGTGAGACAGGTCGATCCCCCGCGCCCTGCTGCTGCTGCTGCTCCTAGGCGGCCTGCGAGCACGAATGCGAACACGGGAGAGAATAGGCTGTCTCAGGCCAATTTACGACTGCCTGAAGCTCACATTGTGACGGAAGAAGTTAGAGCCAGACGTATTCAGGCTGTCGAAATGGCGAGGCAAGTTGAAACCGAACAGCGGAGAGTGCAGCTGGCACGTGAGACCGAACGAGCGAGGCTGGTGCGCGAGGCCATGGAAGACTTGCGCGAGAACCACGAATGCGCACATACGAAATGGAAGTATCGTCACGGGGGAGGAAAATGCCAGACATGTTTCCACAATCTACCTCTTTACCTCTTCGTGAGTCTTCTGCAAGATTCTTGTTCTGAACCAAGACCGACAATTCATATGATCTTCCTCTCGTCCAGAGGTGCACAGGCTGTCAGATTTTGTCATGTAATCGGTGCCGCAGAAATAGGCTTTAAGTCTCATGGAGAGACGCCTCGACGTCGAAATGTATCCGCTCGAGCGACGACGATAATTCGAATCATTCTCGAATCCAACCGAGCCGCTTGGAATGTTAACAGTCTTGCGATAGGTCTTCATTTTTGAGCGTGATGGGTCAATTTACGCCTTACCTATATGACGAAGTCAATTGCTGAGCACGAGGGCGTTCAAATGTACCTTTCATTCAATAGACTCGGGCTTTTCTTTTGAACGTTTGAACTCATGAGCATATTACGACGGAGCACCTGCTTACTGTTATGGTTACGGTTACGCCGCTGGCCTGACGCTGCACGGTAGACAAATGCTTGATTTTTCATTAAAAGGACGTGCTTACGCACAGGCTTTGACCCTCTTTGACCAGGGCGGAGTCCGGCACGCGGCACGTGTGGGAGCAGGTGTGATGACGTCACGCGTTCGTTCCTCCGACACATCGAGGCTAAGAATAGGCTAAAACCAGTCTAAAACCTGCCAAAACCTCGCCCTCTACAACGACATTGACGATTCGCACGCATTCCACGACATACCACTTATATCCATGGCAATTGACAGACACGTACGTAGAGGACATACCAGTACGCCATGATTCTTTTCGCTCAGCTGCCCAGCATAATTTCAACCCTCAGTCGTTTTTGGCCTCCTGATATTCTTCGGCATTATCGAGGTACGCCCATCGGTAAAGGTGACATCAATATAAGCTTAACCTACTTTTTAGCTTGCCATTGCATCATGGATCACCTCTCGCTTCAATGCGCGCCATGACTTTCCCTCACTTACCATCCGCGACCGCACGCGCTTCCTGGTTTTCGCCTCGGCGTGGACCATCGTCTTTTCAGGCCTGTTCGCTCTACTATTTCTTCACTCTGCATCGACGGGTAGCGTCCTTACAAGTGTCGCTGCACACTCCATCGTCTTCTTCTTCACGTGGGTGTTCTGGACGGCCGGTGCGGCCAGCATCACTGCCGCACTAGGCGGGGGTCTGAACTGCAGGTGTGCTTGGTTGTTCTCATCAAAACCTATGGTAGTGGTGACGTATCCTTTTACCATTTTCGCGTCTACAGTAATACAGACATTGTCTACTGCAATCAGCTGAACGCAGTCGAAGCATTCGCATGGGTCGAGTGGTACGTCTGCTGCCCCAAAGCCTCGCACGTGCATGCGTTTCGCTGACCTCGCGTCATTCTCTGCGCAGGGTTCTCACCACGTTTGCCATCATCTCCGTGCTCCTCTTGGGGGTCCGTGCATTACGTCGCGGAGATGGCTACCGCGCACAACTGGTCTCCGCTTGACCGCCAAATTTTTACCTTATACCCTGCTCTTCAACAATGTTTTCACCTGTACTCTGGATGACATTCCCTGTTGTTGTTCTTTTATTGATTGAAGTTCTATCGTCTTTGAGGAGGCTTACTCAATTAGCTTTTTTACTGGCTCTTTTCTCTTCTTTACCTAGCGCTTCGGACTATACTCACGTATGTTCACTGACGATGACCCAATTATTCCGAGTAGAGTAACGCTCTGTATAATTTGAAGGCAGCCGAAAGTCTCTGCAAGAAAGCGAGCATGTGGGACGTCCCCCGAAACACGGATCGAAATGCGAGGATCGCTCATCTTGCTTATGTAACGTACACGCGGACTTGCCCTACTGACGCTTGTCGCTCAAGCGCTCAACTCCGGGTTCTTATTTCCTTGCATGCATTGAGCAGCGACAACAAGTCCCCAAAGTACTCAGTGGCCTGCCGCTTTGTTACTGGCGAAGTGGATGCAATCTTTACATATTTTTGTCCCACAGAAGAGCTGTTGACGATAGAAACATTTCATGCGTGCAAACCGCTACACTACCGCTACACACTCGCCGGCGAAGGCTCATCCCGTCGCCATCATCAGGAAGTTCGCCTCCGAGTCTCGTCTCAAATTAAACCAATTCTCTCAAATGGACGACAGGCTGTTGTTACCTTGAGGCTTGTGGACATTTTATTAGTCCTCATGCTCGAGCTAGGCTAATCTCTTTCCGGACGCTTCGAACAACAGATGGAGGATGTCTTGACATCCGGGCATCGATCAACTGCCACCCAGTACCCATGACACCGCCGTACGGCGCCGTACTCGGTATCTTTTCTCGGTGTTAATCATTCATTGCTTTGTCTCGATCTCCTATTTCTTGTCAGGATGGCTACGTTCCACATGTTGCACACTGCTGCGCGCCCGGCTAGGAAGCCCGTCGAAGGCCGTCGAGTCCATCGAGATCATGCAACAGTAAATGTCTGGAAATAAATAGTCTCGTCTTGTTGCAGTTGTTGCCCCATCCCCTCCCTTAGCATCTTTCTCAGGTTCTCTCCTTTCTCCCAGGCCTTGTCCTGCTTCGCCAGATCCTCTTTGTTTCTGCGCCCTTTTCCACTCATTAATAATCCAATGTTACTTAACGCCCTTCGCCTTTTGGCTCTCTTGCCTGCGGTAGCGCTCGTTGAAGCGCAATTATCAGGCACGGTAGGACCTACCACCAAGTTATCTGCCAAGGGGCACACTTGCAGCGTCTTGGACTATGGAGGCAAAGTCGGCAGCACCGACATCGGGCCCGCCATAGCCAGCGCGTTCACGGTGAGTCGATTCTGTACTGTCGCGAGCAATGACTAATTTAGTGACTCTTAAACTAGAACTGTGTCGTGAAAAACTCAGGGTCGACATTGTACATCCCCGCCGGGAACTACGAGATGAAGACTTGGGTAACGTTGAACCATGGAACGAAGTGGGCCTTCCAACTTGATGGGCTTATTACCCGCACAGGTGAAGCATTACTCTCACAGTCTGGACCGCGGTTGCTCATGCCGGGCCTTTACAGCAACTACCGGAGGACACATGATCTTGATCGAGAACGCAGACGATTTCGAGATGTACAGCGCAAACTCGGCTGGCGGCATCCAAGGTCACGGATACCAGTGCCGTAACGCAGGGTATGTCTCTTTTTCTTTCGCGTACACTCGTCATTGATCGTATCGACGCAGCCCTCGGCTCATTCGTATTGTGAACTCCAACAACTGGTCGATCCACGACTTGATCCTCGTGGACTCTCCCGAGTTCCATCTCATAGTTCAAGAGGGATCCAACGGAGAAGTGTATAACATGGCCATCCGTGGTGCGAATATTGGTGGCAGCGACGGTATAGACATCAGTGGAAACAACCATTGTATGACACCTTCCTCAAGAATTGACACTGGTCATCGAGTAATTTTATTTTTTACATCACAGGGGTCCATGATGTCGAGGTCACGAACCGCGACGAGTGCGTCACTGTCAAAAGCCCAGCATCCAACTTCTTGATTGAGCGCAGTAAATTTTCGCGAAGCCTATCTTGACACGATCAGTTGCTCATCCATTACCTAGTTTGGTGCAACCAATCTGGAGGAAGCGCCATTGGCAGCCTGGGCGCCAACACTGCAATCTCTAACATTGTTTACCGGTAAGAACTTTTACTGTGCCTTGGTTTCGCTAAGGTCCTCGCTCACCATGCTTCAGCAACATCTACACAAACGGTGGCAACCAAGCTATGATGATCAAGTCGCACGGCGGTTCCGGAAGTGTCACCAACGTGCTCATGCAGGACTTCATTTCTCACGGTACCGCGTACGGCCTCACTATCGATCAGTACTGGTCCAGCCAAGCAGAACAGGCTGGTTCAGGTGTTAAGCTCAGCAAGATCCAGTTCAAGGTCCGCTTCTCTATTTCTGAGATGACAAGGCACTGACATACAATGCGTCATTAGAACTGGGACGGCGAAGTCGTCGACGGCGTCCAACGCGCCCCTGCACAATTCATCTGTGCCGATGGGGCGCCATGCGAAGGCGTCACTCTGGACAACGTGAACATGTGGGGCGCGACAGGCAAGGCGAACTACAAGTGCCGCTCTGCCTTCGGGACTGGCGCGTGCCTGAAGTCGGGCAGCGCAGGCAGCTACGCTCAGACCACGGTAGCATATTCCAGGCCAGTCAATTACCACACTCCGAGCAAGATGTCAGGAGACCTGGCCGCTGGGTTCGCGACGAACGCCGCAATCCCTACCCCGTGAGTGCTTTTGGAAGCTGGTTCAGACGTGCCGCCTTACTTTCATCTTTAGCACGATCCCTACTTCGTACTATCCTGGTCTTTCACAGATCACTCCCCTGGCGAAAAATCTCTAGGGAACGCACTATTTATATTTATTAGTTATTCACATTATTTATCTACAGGCTTTCGTTGTAATTGATGACTTTCCAGCTCAAAAGCTGTCTCACTGTGACAGGTCTGAAAGATGAAAAGATGGTCCTCCATGAACGTCGGTGTGCTATCATTGGCAGCGAACTGACCATTACGACGTTTTCAAGCGCGCGAAGTGATGGCATCAAAGCGGAACTTGAAACATGTTCGCACTTGATAAGGTTGGTCACTTGCTCTGTCTTTGGACCATCATGGATGGCAGACGCGAGTTCGGGGACCATAGATAACCCTCGCCGTGATTTCGCATTATCAACGTAGGTTTGGGCGGATGGGGTGGAGATGAGCAAGAACCTGCCGAGAAGCGTCATCGACGCAGGTCGTAGGCTATCGGTACAAGACTTTGAGATGAAAGGAAACTAGTAGGTCCACAACGCAATCTGGTGGTCGTTGAGTAACGGATGTGAAGAGCAGCGCGTATATTGGTGCCACGTCACAGACGCTTGAGGGATCATAGTACGGTGGCATCCGGCGACAAGGCAAGTGGAAAACCTTAACGATCCTGAATGAAAGAGTCCAGCACACGAGAATACCCAAGCTGATAGTACGGGGATATAACTCGACCTACGACCTTGTCTAACGGCGTCTCCCTCCTTTTGTGGCGTAACGGCTTGTTGGCATCCCTGCCGTCCTTGAGATGTCGCAACAAGTCGGAACAATATTCTTTTCGATCGCATGGCGAGGCAAAGCACGACAAGTGCCTGAGGTAGGGAGCTTGCGATCTTGTGCCAATACCTGGCTTCGAGGACATATTGGGGAGATTGACATGAGGTGAACAATGAGCAGCGCGATATGTGGGTAAGATGGAAGGGGAACTGAGCACTGATCTCGTAGCCTATTGTGGGTCTCTAGTCACCCCCCCTGAGCAGTACTCTGGAGAACGCCCTAGAAGAAATATGCTATCAGAGACGGTTCACCGCGAAGGCGCCACTTGGTATATGAGTGAAAGTACGGTTCGAGCTGAGGAAAGGCCTTGAAATAGATCCGCTGAGACACTGGGCGTTAGACGCAAGGATGGGTAGTATCAACGGCTTGCGGCGGCCAGAGGGTAGTGATATTGATGGGTGAGGTGAAGCACTCAGCGATAGGACCAGCATGTCCATCCGGAAACCCAGAAAAATATTTTCCAAACAGATTTAATATAGCGAGTGAGTCGTAGGTGTACCGAGAGATAAAGGCGATGGTCTGACTCGCGTGTGACGAATTGAACTGTTTGAGTATCGAAAGCGGGTGACGGTGACGGCGATAGCTGCATGAAAAGACGGCGTTCAAAATCAAGACGCGAGAAATATCGATAATCTGAAAAACAGCGCCGGGGGGAGGTAGGGGGAGGCTAGCGTCACAATGGTTGGCGACGAGGGAAGATGGACAGCAAATTTCCATGAGGCCCGGGCCGACAAACGCGATTGCAGAACAAGTTTCAACTGTGGCTTGGCCTGGCTCAGGCGCGAGTCGAAACTCCGTCACGGTCGCAACCGCGTCTTTGACGATCACAATCTCCGCCTCCACCTCCTCTTGTCTGCGACTGTCCTTTACAACTCGTTTCCGCTGAATATATCTGGCATGCTTACCTCGATAAAATCCTGACCAAGTGGGGATATCGGCCGGGCAGGCTGGATATCTCTCGATCGTTGATGGACGAGATCCAGCACCCAGACTATGTCCTCACCAGCTCAGGGCCTTAACCGCCATAGATGTCCTGGGTTTATTTCTCGAGCATCTGCTCGACGTGGTCTTGAAGAGTTTCCAGGTTCCCATTGTTTGACTCGGTGTATTTTTTGCCAGCATCAAATGCAAGCCATTGGAAAACACGGTACGCCTATCATTATTCGATTCACGTTATCGGTCTCTGTCTTGCAGACTCGGCGTTGTCATGCCTGCTCGTTGCGTCAGACACTGTGGTCGGGCATGTCATCTTGTAGTCAGATAGGCATTCTTTCTTGCCTTGCTCCTCGTTTTCGTCTGGCTGCCTACACAAAGGACTCACCGCTGGGCATGGCGTGTTCGTTCTGACGTGCATAGTCGCGCTCTTCATCACTTGGGTGTGGTATCCCGCGTTCAATATCATTGCTATTGAGCGTTCTGTGTCCAATGATCCGAAATTATTGTTCGGACGCCGTCTATAAGCATACATCCTTGTGGCATGCTTCTTGTATATCTGCCTCGTCATCATACAAGAGACAGATCGTTAAAACAAAAGCCTACTGTATTGCCTGTGACATGCGTACAGGTCACGGTCACGGTCACGGTCCACCATAGTGGGGGGCAAATGCATTGGATGGACATCGTCCAAAAAATAGTGGGATTCTTGTATCGAAAGAATCACGATCTATAGAGGCTTTGACTCATATATGAGCAAGCCGTGTTTTTCTGGGGCGGGTGAAACGATGAATCGACAGGCTTGGGCGGAAAGATGGAGGCGTCTTCACCGGCAGCATTGCAGGCAGATGCATGATGGATGATCCTAGACATATATGTCTTGCTCCGTACTTGAGATGAGCTATTGAAAATGTGATGATCGATATGGAAGGGGGCAACTCACCGATCTTTTACCCCAACAGTCCTGTTTCGCTCGTCTGGCGTTTTTTCGTGACCAGTAATCACATCCCTCTCAGAGCCACGAGGCTGTCTATATACATCCCGTTGCCATCCTCACATATCTCTTGTGATGAGGATTATCGATGTTTGACTCGCCGATTTTTACCGCAGCCCGGGCCTCCAATCAGCTTTCAGAAATACAGCTTCAAACCGCTCACCGTCCACAGAATACACGACCTTGGATAGGCAGAGGGTTATCTTGAGCTGCTCTGGTCGATATATCGCGAGGGGGTGCCTTCCATCGGCGGCGAACGGCAACGACCATTGGCGCCCCGTCACTCTTACGCCAGCCGTCGCTTGTCCAAATGAAGCCTATCCTCTGATCCCCTCCTCACGGCATGGCAAACACAGGGACCCAGACGGACTCGCCTCTTCCCATGTCCATTTCCGTGCCGAGTTCGCATTCTTTTAAGCCTCGGAGCCTTCTTGCGATTCTATCCCACTTCTCCCCCCTTCCTTGTTCTCATACCCTCTCTCCTTATCTTGACCGTCTCTCTTTCTCCTCGCTCCTCACTCGTTTTTTGTCTTACAATGCGCCGCATCGAGCCGCACCATCCCTCAATCGCGTCCGTCTTGACCCAAGCCCAAGTCTATCCTTGGGTGCAGCCTAGACGTCACCCCCGCCGGAGGCGCCACCCTCGCTCGACGCCACACCGTCCACGCTATCCTCCCCAGTTAGATGAAGATTACCTGATGGTGCGTCCTGCTGCGCAGCCTCCCCTCCGACGCATGCTCAAAGCGCCACGCGCCAGAAAACCGTCGATTATCGCGACGCCGCGTCCCCCTGCCCCCAGCCACGCTCCAGCTTCGCTCTGGCGGTAAGACGTCTCCTTGCTCGCTCCGGGATCGCCGATGGGGCTGACCCGCTCCGCCCTGCGTCGCTCGCCAGCCCGCCCTCTTCGACGACTCGGCAGCGCTCGACATCGCGCACTACGAAGAACCGACGACCGCCACGACGACGGACGAGAACGCCACCGCGCCCATGATCCCCGCCACCGCAGGCGCCCGCTCCAAAAAGATGAAGACCATATGCGCTCGCGTCGTGGTGAGCCCAGCTCGAAGCCCCCGCCCCCCAGCCACCTACTGACGCGCGCGCCTCGCTCGCGCACACAGAACCTCATCCACGCCGTCTCGCTCAAGTGCCGCGGGCTGCACCGCGTCAAGAAGGTCGACCGCGGCTCCAACTTCGACCTGGACGCGTGAGGCGGCAGAGCGCCGCAGAGCTGCAGCACCCTCGCCCCCTCCACACTCCCGTATTTAACCCATCCCCGCTCGCTCGCTCACGCACACGCACGCGCACACGCTCACGCACACACGCACACGCACGCTCTCTCCCTCCACACACAAAAAAAAAGAAAAACACCGGCGTTGCCCGCCCCGTTTTTGTCTCGCAATTGTCTCGCTTTTGTTTTCCGTATTTTCATCCCACCCAACCCGCCCCGCCAAGAAAAAAAAAAAAAAACACAGCCCCGTCGCTCGCTCGCCGCGCCACGCACATACCACCCACCCCCACCCCCACCGTTCTTTTGTTCACGCCCCGCACCACCGTTGTTTTTTTGTTTCTTCGCCCGTGTCCGCGTTCTCTCGTAGCAACCGTAGCTTTGCCAATGTACAACCTGCTTGATCTCGTCGCACAGGATACGCGTAGAAGGGCCGCTTGCTTGTTGTGTTGAGCGGGCGGCTGGCTGAACAACACGCGCAGCGCGCAGCATCTCGCCTCATCGCCCCCCCTCCGCGAGGGAGGTTCGTTATTTCGGCCAGCCTTACGTAAGTACAACGTGCACCCAAATCAGTCTCACTCCGAAGGCGCGGTGGGAGAAATGGCTATGACTGAGGGGGCGGTGGGAAATGAGATGCGTGACGGGAGCGCACGGCGCTTGGGGCGATGTCGTTGCTCAGAGCGGGCCCGATGAGGTCCAGGGAGGACCAAAAAAAAAAACACACATCGAATGTAGAGCATGCGTTACAGTGTACAATTCTGGATTCTACGGATATCGTCACATCGCGTCGATGACCACCTTCAGCTTGGCCTCGTCCAGTATCTCGAAGCCCTCTTGCGTGACCTAGAATCGAGAAGGGCGCGATGAGCTCGCTGCGGATAGAGGGCGGGCTGGAAGAGGAAGGAGGACGGAAGGGGAACAAGGCAGGGCGGGTGCGTAATGGAATGGAATGGAACGGGGCGGGACGGCGCACCTGGGCCAGCTGCACGTTGTGGTGATCCAGCTTCTCTTCCATCACCTGTTTTAGGACGCGGAGCGTCAGGACGCGCGCTTCCTCGAGGGTCATGTTCTGGCAAAGGAAGGGCACGCGCGCGCGGGCGCGCGGGCGGGCGGTCGTCAGACGGGATGCCAGGGAGAATGTGGGCCTCTCGCGTCACCTTGTGCCATTTATCCTGGAGCTCGCTCTGTGCGGCCTCTGAGCCGGATCCGATCGCCTTGGCGGAGTACTGGACGAACGTCCCCGACGGATCCGTGTGGAACCTGCGCGCCAGCGTGAGCCCCATCCATCCATCACGCCTCCGCACGCGCGACACTCACAGCTGCGGCCCGAGCTCGTCGACGCCCGCGATGAGCAGCGCGACGCCGAACGGGCGACTCATCATCGCGTCCTCGTCGTGCACGCTCTCGCCGAAGCGCAGCGCGAGGTCGCACACCGCCTGAGTGGCGCTCTCGACCTTGATGCGCTCGTCGTACGTGAAGGCGTGGTTCTGCGCGGTGACGCGCGCGTGGTCGACCATCGTGCGCGCGTCCGCGGTGAGGCCGGACATCGCGCAGCCGAGGTGGGTGTCGATCTCCATGATCTTCTCGATCGTGGAGGACTCGAGGAGCGGCGACTGCACGCGCTTCTCGACGCCGAGGACGACGCCGAAGGGCGTGCTGACGCCGACGGTCGTGGAGCCGAGCTAGATTGGGGGGACGGGTGAGGAGCGGGCGGGAGGGATCGATCGTACGGACGGACTTTGATGGCCTCGATGGCGTACTCGACTGGGTGGGCCGGGTGAGTATGGAGACTCGAGATGCGGGCTATGACATACCTTGGAACAGACGACCTTCTGGGGAGAAAGTGTTGACGCCGCGGTCTGAACACCCGCGTTCAGGTCAGCTCGCGGCGCAGGAAGGACATGCTCTCACCGTATTCTGAGCGTGTCAAGAACATATTGAGGGGGAGGGAGGAGGGGATGGAGGGGCGGAGGGGATGCGTGTGCGGTGCAATAAAGCAGACCTCGTGATCAGGACGCGCGTCGCGTCCTCGGGCCGTGGGAAAAACATACCCTCTTTGCAAGCCTTACTTTTACGGGTGCGACTGGAGATCAGGCCCCCGTTTTCGTTCACTCAGGATTCTCAGCAGTCTCCCTGCGCATTCAAACGAAATGCGCCGGCAGTCGTCTATCGCGAACCACGGCGTTCATGCAAACTGCCGCTGGTTCTGGGAAGAAGCAGGGGCGTGATTGAAGTAAATACAAGCTGGGGAAGGCATGGGAGTCCGAGGAATTGCCCGCAGTACGGAAATATAGCACAGTTTGGAAGGGTGCCAGGGGATGAATTGAATCATCGGAGGGGCGCGATCCGTACCCACGATGGAGCGGGTTCGATCAGAGCGCTGGCGGGGGTAGACGGGGGGACGTCGAGGATCGCTCTTGTACGTACAGTACGTGCTTCGCGCGAAGCCGTTCGGCATGTTTTCCTATCAGATGGAACCGCGAGGGCGAGGTTCCGGCGCACCTGGCTGTCGTGCTTTCGGGTATGCAGGGTGTATTCTTGGAAGTCGAGAAAGGCGAGATGGCAACGGAAGGGCGGACGGACAGCGCGAGCTCTGTTCGGACAAGTTCTGTCAGGCGGGTGTCGGGGGATCCGGCGACTGATGGCGGTCGGATTGGGGACGATGTCGAGATGCACCGTTCGTGGATTGGTGGGCGGTGCGCTGGACACGCGGCGGGCGAGGCGCCACTTACGAAGCGGTGCCGTGAGCTGGGGCAAAGGGTGCTGACGGACGGCTGGAGGACGAGAGTGATCGGGCGAGTGGCGTCCAGCGATCGGCTGCCTCTGGTGCAATGTAGCGCGGGTGCGTGGTCGGTGCCCCTGGTACAATGAAGCGCGGCTGCGGCGACTGGCCAGGGCTGGGTGCGCGCGTGGACGCGGTGTGCGCTTCGCCCGCCGGTGCAGCCAGCTCTGATGGCGTTCAGGCGCCGGTCCCCCGCTTCTCTCCCCCGTTCTCACACCCCGTCACCGCGACTGCCCCTCTCTCTCTCCTCACAACCCCTCCCCCCCCCCCTCCTCCTCCTCCTCCTCCTCTCCTTCCTCTTCACACCTCCGCGCACACACCATGCCTTCCGCCCATACCCCGCCCAGCGCCCGCCGCCGCTCTCTCTCCGACCCCATCGCCGCCGCCCTCCGCCCGCCTGTCGACGAGACCCCCGCAGAGCGCGAGCGCCGCCTCATCGCCGAACACGACGCGAAGAAGATCAGCGACTCCATCGACGAGCAGATCAGGCTCGACAGGGCAGAGCTCAAGAAGAACAAGCCTGACGTCAAGGTCCTCCTCCTGGGCCAGAGCGAGAGCGGCAAGAGCACGACCCTCAAGCGTGAGCACTCCCCCCCTCCACCACTTTCATTTTGCTCCCCCCTTTTTCTTTTCTTTCCGTCGCCCGTGTGCCCGCGCGTCGTGGCCGCCTCGGGGAACGTCCAGCCCGCAGTCGTTGCACCCGGACGGCGAGCTCGGAACCATTTTTTTCTTCCCCGACCGTCGTCGCGTACCGTCGCCCTGCTGCGCGTCCTATAGGGGGCAACTTCAGCGGCCCTCGTCGTAAGATTCGCGCTCCCCGGGTGCTCCTGCTGGGAAAGGAGCGGCACCTGATTCTCGGCTTCCTCTTTCTATTCCGCGCTGTCCAGCGTGCGCCAGGAACGGTGCGCCTTCCAAACGCCGAACCCGTGCGCTTTCGCCGCCGCGCGGACTTTCCACCGGCCGCTCTGACGATCTGCCCCCGCTCCATGTGTCATGCCCTCCGCAACTCACCCGTTCCGTTCCCCACAGAATTCCAGCTGCTGCACACCCCCGCAGCCTTCCACGCCGAGCGCATCGCATGGCGCTCCGTCATCTACCTCAACCTCGTCCGCTCCATCCGCCGCATCCTCGACGCCATCTCCCCCGACTCGGACCAGCACGACGCCCTCCTCGGGCTCGACTCGGACTCCGTCCACACGACCTCCTCCGCGGGCGACGCCCACGCCCACGCCCTCCCGCCCCCGCCGCCCCTCGACCCGCAGCAGCGCCAGATCGCGACCGAGAAGCACGCGTACTACTCCGCCCGCCTCGCCGCCCTCGTCGACCTCGAGGCCCGCCTCATGCGCATGCTCGGCGACGAGGACGAGGACGAGCCCACGCGCCTCGACGACGGCAGCGCCCCGGGCTGGTCTCTCGTCCCCCCGCCCGCGCTCGCCGCCCCGCGCCCGGAGATCTCCGTCAACACGAGCCCGCGCACCGCCCCGCCGACCCCGTCCGCGCGCTCGCCGCTCGCGGCCGTCGCAGGCCTCGGGCGCGGCGGCGAGATGTCCGTCCGCCCGACGTCCAACTGGAAAAAGGCGCTCGGGCTCGGCGGGAGCAAGCTCAAGGGCGCGAGCCCGGGCACCGGCGAGCTGCTCGGGTGGTGGGAGGATCCGGCGGATCCGGTGCATGTGCTGTCCAAGTACAGCGGCGTGATGGTCGAGCTTTGGGACGATCAGTGGGTCAAGGCGCGTCTGCGGGATCGGCGGATACGGCTGGAAGAGAGTAGCGGTTTGTGAGTTGTTCTGTGGGCTTTCCCTGGCAGGGCTGGGGCTCGGTCGCTGACGCTTTCGCGCGTAGCTACCTAGACGAGATCGAACGGATCACGGCGAAGAAATATATCCCGACAGACGGTGCGTGCCGCGTTGATTTGCGTCGAGGAGGAGGAGGCTGAGCGCCGCGACAGACGACGTGCTCAAAGCGCGGCTGAAGACCGTCGGCGTCGTCGAGCACGCGTTCCTCCTCACTCAAGGCCACACGCGCGGGATGAACTGGAAGATCTACGACGTCGGCGGCGCGCGCAACCAGCGCCAAGCATGGGCGCCGTACTTCCAAGACGGTGAGCCGCGCTTCTCCAGCCCACGCACCCGCGCGGACGTTGGTTGACCTCCCGCGCTCGGCGGCCGACGCACAGTGAACGCGATCATCTTCCTCGCGCCGATCTCCGCGTTTGACCAGGTGCTCGCAGAGGTGCGCCGCAGCTCCTCCTCCTCCCCTCCTTGTGCAGCTTTGAGCTCAGCTAGGCCGTCGTCGCCCCCATGTAGGATCCGCGGGTCAATAGGCTCGAAGACTCGCTGCTGCTCTGGCGCTCGGTCGTTGCGAACAAGTTGCTCTCGCACGTGAACATCATCCTCTTCCTGAATAAGTGCGATCTGCTGCATGTCAGTCGTTGTTGTTCTCGTCGAGCGGGTGGGTTCGGAGGTTGCTGATGTTCATGTTTTTTGCTTTTGTTTGGGTGGGTGCGCAGACGAAGCTGGAGGCGGGCGTGCAATTGAGCCACCACATGTTCTCGTACGGCGAGCGGCCGAACGACTACGACTCCGTGTCGAAATGTACGTCGCGCCCGTGTCCTCCCCCATACATCCCCGATCCCGAACGCGCGCTCACGCCGCTGCGGCGCAGACCTGCGGAACAAGTTCGGCGCGCTGCATCAGCAGAGCTCGCCCAACCAGGACCGGGAGCTGTTCAGTGAGCCCACGCGCCCCCCCCCTCTCTCTCGTCTGCGCGACTGACCGACGATCGCGTTCTTCGCAGTCCACTTCACGGCCGTGACGGACACGCGCCGCACGACGACCATCATCCAGAACGGTGCGTCGGCCGTCTCCGTTGCGGGGTTTTCTCTCCTGCGCGCGCTTGCTGGTGCTGACGCGTGCGGCAGTGCGGGACTTTATATTGAAGGCGAACCTCAAGGACTCGAAGCTGATCTCATGAGCCGCGCCCTGCGTCCGGCGCGCGTTTCCCTGTTTTCCTGTTCGTTTCGTTTCGTTTCTGTTCTGTTCTGTTCTGTTCTGCTCTCTCTCTCTCTCTCCGTCTCGCTTACGAACGCTCCGGGCCACGTCCGCCACTCACTAGTAGATACTCAATCGCTCCCGCTTTTTCCTTTTCTTTTTCTTTCCCGTAGCTCTCCTCTCCTCTGTGTTCGCACGCCGTGCGAGCCGACCCCTCCCGTCCTCGGGCAGGGTAATGTCCTACCGCCCCACCCCACCCCGCCCCACCCCGCCCCACCCACCGCCAATCCATAGTCATTAGTCAGTGGCTCGCTGTACATACACGCTCGTCTTGCAACGCCGTTTGTTGTTTTATCGTCTTTTTATGTCCTTTTTTTTTTTTTTTTTACTTTTCCTGTTCTTCTCCTTTGTTTTCGTTGCCCTGTTTCTCAAAAAGTTATGCCCTGTTTCTCAAAAAGATATTCTCGGGGGTGTGGCTCTGAAGAATGAATGCTGTTTGCGTGCTGCTTTTTATTGCGTGCTGCGTCCTGCGTCCTGCGGGACTGGGACCGGACAGCTGTGTTCGTCGTGAGGAGTGTTCGGCGCCGCTTGCACTGGATACTGATAGCTGATAACTAGATGAGTACTACGTCTGTCGACGTTGTTGGAGGAACCATCAGGTCTCCGATGCTGATCCTATTATTACACAGAATTAGAGTCGTTCTGGCAGAAACTACGCCCCTTTTGGTCTTGAAATGTGGTATGTCCCTATTTGGCATATGTGTTCGGTCCGGGCGTCTCTCCGTCCTCAGCTGCGTCTACCTGACCACAGACCACACGCCTAGGTCCATGTGGCCCAGGACCATACCAACGTAGCAAGTTCGACAGCAGTATTCAATGACCACAGGCTACTCATGTGGGCTCATGTGGTGCTTCGATTTAGAAGCCGATATCCATCTAGACTCGTCCCCATACACACGCACACCTCCCTCTCTTTTTTTTTCTCGAAATCGATGCTCATCAGGAGGTGCCACGCCGCGCCGACTCATGGCTTGCAACGGAGATCGAAGACTCGATAAACACAACGCAGTCGCGTTTCGTGGCACCAACTTGTTTTTTTTAGCCACGACACGCCACGCCACGCCTCGTGCCAGCTTATGACCACAGCCGGCGGTGTAGCTCACGATCGAGTTAGCAGTCGAATGAAGGTGCCACAACGCTCGCGGGTGGGGACGCCACGGAACGCCACCTCCAGCCGCTCGCGCATAGCAGACCGCCGTCTCTGGTACCGCGATTCCTGCCGGCTGGGCCTGGCGTGTACGATCGATGTCCGTTTGGACAGCCTTTTCAAAGTGGCGTCAGTTGCCGCTTGAGGCAGAATTGGGACACATAGCTGTAGCTGGTGCGAGCTGTAAGCTTTCATCTCGCTATCGGTCGTCGTGCTAGGCTCGGCTCTGGGTAAAGGCACTGACTGCTTCTCCATCAACAGTGTCAGACGTGTGCCGGTGTGTGTCTACGCAAGCAATACGTGAAATCATACCGACTTTGCATGTCATATAAGAACCGGACATATCCTGGATGGATCGGCATCCTCGACGTACCCTGGGGTTTTTGCGTACTACAGACGATGTATCTCCCTCGGCTTCCTCGCACCCATACTACCAGCTCGGCGCAGCCGAAGCGGGAGACGTGTCCTAAGAAACCTGCGAAAACAGGACGAAGAAAGTGTCCAGTCCCACTGCAAGCTCTTACCAAGGCCTTCGAATGCCTATCGGGACGCCTACCGAAGAGAAGGCAGGCTGGTCGCAAGCAGAAGCGCAAATCGGACGAACCATCATCCGAGGGCGCACCGAAAGGCAAGCCACCCATTCCTTTCGCACGCCCCACTGGTGCAGTCGGCGCGACGATCTTGGTATTGACTGCTTATAAGCGCAGATGGCAGGTCGAGAGGCGCGGTGGCGACGGATGCCGGCATGTCGACCATCGAAGTGGGGACGACCATCTTGAAAGAAGTCGCAGACCTCGCTCTGGGCGTGCCATACCTCCAGATCATAGCGGCGGTGTTGTCCCAGATCGTCAAGGTCCACGGGGTACGTCTTCGGATGCAGTGGTCATGCCTGGAACAAACCAGGTTTTGACTTTCCGTCCAGGAAGTAAGGATGCTAAGTGACAAGTGCTCAGATCTGAAGGGGTACGTCAACGAATTGCGACGTCTGGTCGATGGCATCAAGGATTCACTCGGCGGGACCGAGCACGTGCCAAAAGACCTGGCACAGGCACTCAACTTCCTCACAAGGTCAGTCGTCGCGGATATGCCCATGCTGAGCGCATTGATATCGGCCTGACCGACCCAGGCTGCATCGTGCCTACACGGGACCGATTCAGCCCGGTTCGGGCAGGCCGATACACGCGAACGCCTCGTTTTCGTCCGCACATTCTGACCTCCCCGCCAGCGCATTAGACGATACCGTTCATGTCTACACAGAATGTACGGCCAAGATGACAGTGCGAAAGATCCTCAAACGAGGCCTCCTACTCGGAGAAATTCAGGAGTGCCAGAACCGCGTTCAATATGCCCTTGCTTTATTCAACGTAGGCGTCGCTCCTGACCTCTGCCGGGCCATGAATTCATTTGTAATTTCTTAGACAAAACTCGGAGTCATCCAATTTTCGGACGCGCAAAAGGCCTACGAGGTCTTGGAGGACACTCGAGGTATGGTCAAATGTATACAGCAGACAGTCGGCAAGCAGCTAGTGAGTCCGACTTGAGATGGTGTTCAAGTCTGTCTAACGAACTCGGTTGCGCAGGATCAGTCGCCATCACCTACCGAAGAATCGTTAGTCTCGGAAGCAGATGATACATCAAAGCCAAACCCTGCACCAACAGCAGATCCCGCTTCGAAATGTACCTGCTCGAATCTAATAGCACCCGGAGCCGTAGATTCGCGGCCGGACTTTGACCACGATGGCAATCCCGATGGCGAGTCTATCTTGTCACGGAGCACTGTGGAACTCATTCCGCCAGTACATACATGTGTTGGCGCTATGTGCCTCTTTTTCCTATGCGTCTTGTCTTTTTGTGACCTGATGATCCCTGACATTGGCGTTGTAGCATATGTACTTTGATCGTTATACTTCCATCTGTATATGCCCCATGCACGGCGTACATCATGACACCTGACCACCTACCACATTCACTGATGGACACGAGGGGATTACAATCTTGACATACTGCGCTCGAAACGAGATTCTGATGTTCATATATAACCGTCCTAGGACTCTAAATATTCGACACCGTATTCGCCTAGATTCAACCCAGGTGACATAGGTAGACGGTTCAGAAATACCCTTCCCGCCGCGGAACAGTGACAGGTGGTGGACGCTGGCCTGCTGAGCTACCTGGACGATCCCGCGACCGTGGCGGCGGCGCAGGACTACTCCGAACAGAGCGCGGGGGACGAGGGCTTTCTATTGAAACACCGTAGCTTTGTGCGCGCACGGGGGTGGGCGAGACGGCCATCGGCGTTGTATTATGCGAATGGCGTGAAGGCGTTGACGGCGTTGGGGGTAGGGCTGGTATAGGAGGAACAGGTGGAGCCTGGAAGGGTGGAGTTGGCGTGGCGAGTATGGGCGCAGGGGAGCGCTGTCGTGAAGGAGTGGGGTTGTTGCGAGAGATCCGATTTGATTCGAGCGCCCGTGGCTGAGGGCGAGCTGGAGGCTGTGGCTTCTCCTTTGGCTCCTGAACCAATAGCTCGTCTAGTAGAAACCTGAAGTCAAGGCCATACTCTTGCAGAAGCTGTAGATAGAAGCAACGATATCAAAAAGAAGACGCGCGTTGAATGGAAGTGTAAATATACCTTACGGCTTTGTGAGTAAGTGATCTTAAGCGCGTCGTCTATAGTCCTTTGATCGACATCAGAGCTGTACACCTGTTTTCGGAACATTTCCGCATATGTCTCCATCTGCTTCTTTGCCCAGTCAATGAAGGCTGTGTCGTAGTTGAGCGCTCAAAGCAGATCACAGTATGGAAGGAACTTACAGCTAGCTACTTCGTTTTCCTTGAAACTCGCCAGGAACCAATCAGCGGTATGTTTGATAGCTGTGAACATCACAGTCGCAAGGTCGTTGATGTACATTCCGATATGCCCCTCGAACCGAAGCATTCGGACTAATTTCCTTATCATTTCGCCGCGAGCCGCCAAAAAGGTTGTTCGGCCCGCCGCATCCGCGCGAAGTCGCGCGAGTAAAGAAATATGGTGAACGACAGTTGTCTTGTGGTTATTAGGCGAAGCCAATGATTGGAGGAGGGAAGAGGTCAGGGTCGCAGTGAGGGGTGTAAGCTTGCTCGCGAGCGGAGGGGTGGTTGATAGCTTGGCTTCGCCTGAAGAAACAGTTTGAGCGCAAATCCGAGAGAAGAGCAAAACAGGATACGTATACCTTGCTCCACTAGCTCAACTGCTCGATCCCATTCTCTCAAGGCAATTGCAACAGTGAGCTCATCTGCAAATTCCCCTACCCAGCGATTGTCCCTTTCTGCTTTATCTTTCGCAAGGTCGCTCATGCCAGCCTTCATCGCCAAATCAGCCATCCAATCTGGTGGCGGAGGTCCGTCTATTGCAAACGAGGTTCGCTAAACGATCTTGTGAACTCAAAATTAGGAAGGACCACGAGAATGACTGACATCGCCACCATTCCACAAGCTCTTCCTTCGTTCGTGTTCGCCCTCTCGTTCCTTCCTTTTCTTGGTCGCAAGTTCTTCGGCGACCTGCCGAAGTTGCGAGAGCAAGCTCTTCTTATCGGCTGGAGACTCTGTGCGATAGACGTGCGTCTCCTTGCCATGCCTAATTTTGAAGACATTCACCATGGCTAAAAATACGTGTGAATCAACTACCTCTCAAAAGGAGTCGGGTAGCATACTAGCAGTATCCTTCGTATCCAGCACGAGCATTTCGTTCAATGGCCAGCACCGCTCCGCAACGAGTTTGTCGTTCTCTGAGGCATTGCGGCGTCTGCGTTTGCGGGCGACAAGGACAGCGTCGTCAAGAAGAACGAAACGTACAGAATGTACTGGTTTGTAGGTTGCGGCATTCAATGAGATGCCGTCCATCTCAGCGACGACGTGTCTTCCTGGCGTGGTAGGCACAAACTTCGTCGATCCTTCTATTTGTGCATGCAGGTTCTGCATCTGATTTGCGTAGAGCACACGAAGGTCAGCGATGGAAGACCGAACATTGCGTCGACGATCTATTGGAAAATGTCAAGGGTCTTCAGACGGAACCAAGAGTGATATCCTACCAGCGACAGAGGCCGATTCATCAATGTGGAGTAAGGAAGGCATGCTCTTCCACTCAGCTAAACTCTCTTTCAATTCAAGCAGCTCGTTTTCGAGGTTACCTATTTCCTTGGAAATATGGACGAACTGAGAGTAGCTGTTGAGGCGCATTATCCTGAGCAACGGTCCGATGTTATAAACACATTGATAACTTACTTCTTGAAGACGTTCCGCTGCAAATCTGCTGCAACATCATCTTTGGAGCTCTGAAGAGAAGACTGCAGTGACTTCAGCTCGGCCTCCGTTGAATTTGCCAGCTTTAATTTTAGGTCTATATGACGTTGTGAGATCATAACTTGGTGCTACATACGGGAAAAGCGCACAGGCATCAGGGTCAAAGGTGTCCGCATCCAGTAGCTGATTCTCTGCAGCCTTGACATCCTCCTTCGAAAGCGTGCGCTCCGGCACAATCTCTTCCTCCTGCTCTTTCAACGGCCCAGGACGCAGTCCAATGGGCAATGCTGGGACCGAAGGGATAGATACATTGCCAGTTGGACCCGAGATGTCGGCATATCGCATGGACATGCGCTTCTTTATCTTGTCGTCCACGCGAGACTTTCGAGCATCCTTGCTAGGCTTGCTCAACTTGGCCGCTGGCTTAGCAGCTTTCGGGCGAGACACGGAAGCTTTCCGGGTACGGAGAGACTCCATCGCAGTAACACTCGGGCGCTTGAGTTACGTGGCTGGTTATTTGGTGGGTGAAACTGATAGGATTCTGCCCAATTTTTCGATATGCGGCCAAACGACGGCGATGGTGGAGAGTCCAAGAGATTCCAATGGAGCGGTGGTTGGCTCAGGCTGCAGCCACAACGTTGCTTCGGTTGGCGACAAATTACATAATGAGTTATGTTTGTTTTCATCGTCTCCGAGATCTCCATCCTCGGTTATCATAAGACTCCTTCTTGCTCTGCCGGTGTCTTTGTCTGTCTCACTTTGCCGTTCTGCTTATGCTTGTAAAAGCATTCGACGGCCACAGAATACATCTACCTTCTTGTAATAGCCTCTTTCGCTCATTCGCGATGTCTCGTCGCTCGCATTCCGCTTCTCCCGGACCTCGCGATGCAAAACGCCCTCGATTAGACTATCTCACTCCAGATGATTATAGAAACGGCGTCATGCTTGCTCCAATGGTTCGTTCTGGCGCTCGTACGTCTGCTGTACATCGAGCGGCGCGCCTTGACGAGCTCACTCACTTTCCACAGTCCCCACTCGTCTTTTCGCGCTCAAACACGGTGCCAAGCTTGTATGGGGGCCGGAAATCGTAGACAAGGCTATTCTCCATGCAGAGCGTGTGGTAGATCGTGAGTATACTGCTCTTGATGTGTGAATCTAAGCTTATGGCACCTACAGCCGTCAGCGGGGTCATCTCGTACAACGGCAAATCGAGAGCTATGTTCACCACGCATCCAGTCGAAAAGCCATATTTAGTTTATCAGATAGGCTCTTCAGATCCCGCACTCGCCGTTCAAGCAGCAAAAACTGTCATGCAAGACGTTTCCGGCATCGATCTGAACTGTGGATGCCCGAAGCCATTTTCGACTCATTCAGGGATGGGCGCCGCCCTTCTCTCCACCCCCGACCTCCTCTGCTCTATCCTCACCGCCCTTCGTGCTGAACTCCCCGCACATATATCTATTTCCGCCAAAATTCGCTTGCTTCCGACTCAGGAGGACACTCTCAAGCTGGTCGAAAAGATCATCAATACAGGTGTGAATTGCCTAACTGTCCACTGTCGAACGCGCAGTATGCGGCAAACCGAGCGTGCGCGCGTCGAACGACTGAAGGAGATCGTTGACTTTGTCAAGAGCTCGGGCAAGGATGTTGCGGTGATCGAGAATGGTGATTGTGAGGGATATCATGATGCAAGGCGGATACGTGCTTTGACAGGTGAGTTTTATTTGCCTCTTCTCTCTTCCAATACGTTTCTAATGTATGTACTCTTTTTCAAGGCGCCGATTCTGTCATGATTGCAACAGCCGCAGAGTCGAACCCCAGTGTGTTCTCTCCGACACCATTAGTCGACTTGGAGTCAACATTGGTACCTTCTTACATCCGCTTGGTGAGTAGTCGCAGGCTGCCTTTTTTTTTTATCGTTACTCTAATGCGTCTGCAATTGTCAGTGCAAGTACCTTGATAATTATTGGGCCAGCACCAAGTTTTCTGTCGCCCAGTTCAAAGGTAGCCGTGTCAAAATCTCGAAGTCAGAAGGCAAGGCTATGCGGGATCAGGTAGTCAAGTCAAAAGATTATACCGGTCTCGATGAGATTATTGGTTTTTGGAATGGAGAGGCGGAGTTTCAACAAATATCGAAAGCCATTGAGGAAAGGGCACACAATCCGCCGACGATACTTCCTGCGGAACTGGAGATCCCACCAGATGCAGGAGTAGATGCAGGGGTAGACACACCTCCGCCTTCGTTTAGCAATACACCCCAGGATCCCAGCGCGTTTACCACACCTCCTGAATGGCGCGGAAATCCTGATCCCGCAGCAGTTGTTGGTGCGCCAGTAGTCTCTTCGAATCCGAGGAGGGCACCGGTACCGGCGTTGGTATCTGGTCACGACGAGACAACGCCCACACCTATGCCTAAGCAAGGTGTGGAAACATCGTTGCATGCGATGTGACGTATACACGATCTGTAACCTTTAGTAACTTATCGATTTAGTCCCTCTTTTACGTTAATTCATTTCTGCCTATGCATAGCGCAGCATATCGCTGCCAGTGCATAGAGTGTGGTTATATGCATTCCAAACTGAACAGTCCCTCGACAGGATGGTGGTCCTTGCCCTCAATATCTCGATAATTCTAATTGAGCATCAGCGGCCTTCAGGCCTCAGGATCGGACACGAATCGGGATACCTCCAGATGCAACACAACAGCGGAATTCGCTCTAAAAATACAAAAAGACAGCACTACATCTCATCAAGGTCGTGAAAGCGCCACGGTCTCCGTCAGCACTTCAGTGCGCTGTATCAATCGTGCGTCCGTCATATCAGTCTTGGCATTCATGTAACATAGGTTTAGTCTATTGGTACTGCAAGTTTTTTTTACCGCATAAGCCTTATATCAAGACCCAATAATAGTCGAGACATACCTGGCGGAATATCGACTTGATCATCGTTCAAATACCACGCTCCTGTCACGTATGTTTGTGTTAAGCTCTTTTGAAACTCGAAAAAGCCACTTACGATCACCAGTCATCATTTTCTCGTTGTGAGTTTGACCATCACCAAGCCAGAAGAACCTGTTGCGCGTCTTGTCAAACAGTTCGTAGTTAAAATCTTCCCACCGCGGATGCGACAGAGTACAAATAGCGTGCAAGCAAGATCCTGGCCACATGCAAGGCAGGAGATTTTCGTCAGTGAGTCACTAGTCCACGACAACACGTTTCGCGGCTCACCTGGCCATAAACCTGTGATCGAACCATCCTTGCTCTTATACCACGAGCGGCACTGGCCAGAAAATACAGTCTAAGGGATGGCGATCAGTGGTATATCACAGTATACAAAGAGAGCAACCTTTGGAAAATAATCCTGCCGTACAGAGGAGTAAGCAAAGATTTCATTTCTGATGAATCATAACTCATACTGACCTTCAAATATTCGTTATAATCAGCAACAGCTTCTGCTTTGACCTCCATGCTCTTCAAGCGTTCACGCTGTAATTTCAACGTGGCAGCAACAGCATAATCAACCTGGCGCTCCATAAGCCCGAGAAGGGAGCCCGCATTGACAAATGAGTTGGGGCCGAGTGACATGAACATATTGGGGAAGCCGTCAACAGCGACAGCAAGATATGCTGACGCGTGTGGCTCCCATTGGACACGCAGGTCGCGTCCTTCACGACCGATCACGTCGAACGGCATGCGATAGGATGTCTCGAAACCAGTCGCGCAGACAAGCACGTCGAGCTTGTGATGGCGCCCGTCGATAAGTTCTACACCATTATGCGTGACACGTTTGATGTGCGTGGTCTCAAAGTGGACCTGGGTATCTATTCAGGGAGGGTGTACAGGCGAAAGAGAAGCGCGGCTGTAACGCACGTTTTCCTCACAGAGTGCTTCGAGATATCCAGGCCCTGGGGTGAGTCGCTTGCAACCAACCTCGAAAGAGGGAACGACTGTAGCCCTATTTGGTAAATGTCCGGACATATCAATGCTGCTGATACTCACTATAATCAGCAATCCATGGCTTCTTCGCTAATCGTGCAACCATATCCTTTCGGAAAATCTCTGTGACCGCCTTGTGTATTGGAGAGTCGCGCAAGCATATACTGTAAGCTGCCTTCAACACGCGTCAGTCAAGTCCGCCAAGGTGCATCTTCGAAGGGTTACATTGAGTTCAGATTCTAGGCTATGTCGGAATGACTTGTAATATTCTGTGTCTTCGAATAAACGGCGCTCTTCCTCGGTGAAGGTGTCTGGATGACGGATGGGAGGACTGAGCATGAGCTGAGCGAGAGATAGATAATTTTGGCGTACGATTCCCAGATGAGGGACGGGATAACAGGTGTACGAGTTTATCCTCGCAGGCGGACGGTGCAATCCATGTTTTCCCACGCACAAAGTTCACCAGGTGGTTTACTTTTGGCTGCAGTGCTGGGACAATTTGAAGAGCGGTTGAACCCTATGAAAATCGCGAGTGCGGCCAGCGCGTCAAGTTCTTTGTATCTCGTGAGACGTTCGACGATAGTATTCCATACCAATCCAATCACTCCAACGTCCTTCTTGTTCCAGTCCTTTACCCCTTCTTCCCACGCACCGTCTGATACGTCCCACTGGGCGCTGTGAAGCAGGCGTCCCTTGAAATTATTCAAACCCTCGATATCAGGCCAAGACCACCGACTGAGTGCACCAGTACCGAGGAACAGCACATCGGTAATATCTTCAAAGTCTTCATACTCTTCATCAACTAAGGTCGAGTCTCGAGAGGAACTTGCCGGCGACGGAGGTACAACTTCGGTCTTGCCATCGCTAAGCGAAGAATGTCGTCGAATGCGCAAGTGCCATTTGCCAGCATCGGCATCCCATCGAGCGCTCATGAGCTCGTGTCGCAGATGTATATACCTCGTGATCTTGTACTTCATTACCAGATTTTGCAGGTATGCTAGGATCTCTGGGCCGGGCGCGTAGAACGAGGACCATTGGCGCTGGCGATGCCGAAACTGTCACATTGTGTCGTTCCTGAATTGGGATATCGACGTAAACCTGACGCACGTTTTCCTCGAATGTGAGTTGATACTGCAAATAGATATCAGCGAGGTTTCAAAGAAGGAACCAATACGACTGACGCAGTGAGAAGGTATGTCGCACGCAAGTCCCTGGAGATGTCCGGGATGAGCTTTGGTAGGATACGTCATATCCATATACGCTTACAGGATACTTGTTGGCATACCATGTGCCGCCGACTCCAGCAGCCTTATCGTAAATCTTCAGGTCGATATTCGGCACCCTCTGGGAGAACCTGAAGGACATGAAAGTGAGCACAGTCAACAAGGACGAGTTGTCCGATCTAGCGAGTACACTGACCGAATGCCTGCAGTGATCCCGCTGAAGCCAGCACCGATGCAGACAACTTTCATGGGCCTGTATTCGTCGATCGAAAAATCACCAGCTTGGAACAGTTCTTCATTCCTGAATGGGTGAGCGGGAGCCTCTACTGCCTTGCGATGTTTGGAGAGGAGATGGCCCATGATATTGAATGAGACAAAATGAGAGGATGGTCGCCTGCGTCCGTCAACGGGGTGCTCTACCACCCCCACGCAGATGCTCCAAACCATATATGTATATTCACGGGCTTCATGAGAATAGTAATATGACGGCAAAGAGAGCTCCGTTAGTACCGTGATAGACTGTTCCTTGGATCACCGTTGACTTGCTGGTCGGGGCCTCAAGCAGTGTCTTCTTGATCCGGAAAGCACCGTGAAAGATTCTTTCTTTCATGGGCGCCATGTAACAATAAACTCATGACGTGGCTGGCAGAAGCACGCCAGCGTAATCGGACTGACGTCTCGCCGCTCAGATCAGCTAATTACCTAGGTTTGGACAAGAACGAACTGCAATTTTGCGTGTTGAACATCATCGGGAACATGTGCATTATGACAGACAGGAATTCAATGCATGTGCTGGGAAAAGGAAAGAAGATGTTGCATACTGTGGAGAATCCCCTGCCGCCTCCGACACTAAGTCCACATGAATTGGTATGCAACTCGGCGATCACCGAGTTCACAGATACCCTGAGATCGCCTGTGTATAACTCCTAAGTTTTGCAGTGACAGGCGGTTCATCGTTGTTGAAGAAGAGGTATAAACTCACACCGAGGACCCCGGCGATATTAGCTTGACCCTGATCTGGTCGGTAAGTTAGGCCTTGTCAAGTAGACGCTTGTAGTGATTTTAGGCGAACATGACGCATTATAGTGTATCTTAGGTCATGTTTTACTTCAAGGATCATCGATCGCTGTTAGAATTTGGAGGATCACAGCTACTTAAAAAGAAGTACGCACTCGACCCCGGATAGACCTGTAAGCAAGCGGCACGCATCACTTCTATGGCAAGCCAACATTGACGCCCCATGGGGTTCGCGAAGTGGTGGACATTGCGATATGGTCTGGATCAGCCAACTGAAACTGAAAAAGAGGGGCACTCGGCAAGAAAAGCGGACAGAAGCCTTACTAATGACGCCTGAGTTCTCAGGTTCTTGTAATCAGAGAGAGCATGGGACGTCGGCGGTAGGCCTCGAAGTCAGGCGAACACGGGTATCGTGGCGCTCATTAGACGCCGTAGGTATCAGGGAGACGAGACGTGGGCAAACGAAACGAACGTTCCGAGTTAAACAAGTCTAAAAAACTTATTATGTAGGTGACAATGAAGGTCGTCCCTAGACGTGTACTGTAGTAATAACGAGGTGAATTTTCAATCGATGCGCGAGCAAGGCCCTCACCTCTATCCAGCCAGTCGATTCTCTTAGTCTGTAGGTGCCTCACATAATCACGCAGTCCTTGTCCTTGCTACCCTTTCCCGATCCTGACTGAGACTGCGCGTCGCCTTCCCCACGATTCACGACTGACTCTGGTCCACCGGGTTGGACCATCGGACCATTCCCCTTTAGCCTCTGTGACGCTCGTCGGTCGCCTTGGTCCGCCGCACGTTTGTAGTATTGTAATGCTCTACAAATCAAAATAGGTATGAGAAATGCACCATGCGGGTCGATGAGGATACTTCAATATATCGGAACCAGGTAGTCTTCAAGCAACAAACAACTCACTCATTCATGCTTGGAGGTGTGCCAATTCCCACTTCTAGGAAATACCCCACAGCATACATAGCTTTGCCCAGCCCCGCGTCCGCCGCCTTCTTTGCCCATAAGAATGCCTCCGTGTCTGATTGGGGCAGCACTCCAGGTGAGCCCACAAGATACCATGCCGTCAGGGCGAAACATGCGTCTCGGTGATTCTGCTGCGCCGCGATATTCTGAAAAGCCGACGGAGATAATTGATCACTCAGCCATGTGACAGCAGAGCCGAAACACTGGAAAACCCACATAATAATGGATTGACAGTGCGGGGTCTTGCGGACAGCCCATCTTCCCGTATTCATAGCATTCGCCTAGCCGGTAAGCGCTCGGCGCATAACCCAACTCTGCCGCTTGTGCGAGTAGCTCCGCTGCATATTCGTTATCCACGAACACGACGTTGTCGATGCCCCGTTCATGCAGGAGTGCGAGCTCGTGAAGCGCATGAGGGAACTCCGCCGTTGCGTGCTCCGCGGAGCGTTTGAGCCATTTAACACCTTCTTTCGGGCGCTTGGACATCCCAAGCTCTCCGTTCAGCTCTGCGATGCCGAGACGATACATCGCGCCGGGGTGGAGCGACGCGGCAGCCTTGCGGTAGAACTGGACCGCCTTCGCGCTCTCTCTGCGACAGCCCCAGCCGTTCTCGCAGCACGTACCCGCGCGGTATGCAGCGTCGGGGTGACCGTGCTTGGCAGCAAGAATGAAGAGCGGAAATGCGCGGTCGAAGTCCTGGCGGTTCTTGTGCGTCCCTATCCCGTTCGCGTAGCAGTCAGCGAGGAAATACTGCGAAGGCATGTGCCCTCGGTCAGCGTTTCGCTTGAGCAGCGCGGTTGCCTCCTTGACGAGATCGTCCCGTTTGTCGAGCGCACGTTCTACGTCCATGACATTGCCCGGCGTGGGTTCTGGTACGGGGAGCGTTTTAGATGCGTCGACCATGAAGACGGCAAACTCGAATTGGAGGTCGGGATCTTGCGTCTTTTTGGCATTGGCACGGTAGAGCTCGAGTGTACGCTCGTGGGACAATAGAGCGGCTTGATTCCCCGGACGAAGATGAGAGTGGTCGAGGAGAGGGCCTGGAGGTGGTGATGGTGCACGGACAGACTGTGTTGCGAATGAATGAGTGGGGAGCGGGTCCGGATAAGCCCCGTTCTGAGACGTGAAGAAGTCGTCCGCCTCTGGAGGTGTCGGAGACTCTTGATCGTCTGGTTCATACTGGGACTGGTAATACGATTGCCTTTGCGGTGAATACTGTCTCCCAGAAGGGGCTCTGGGCTGTCTAGGAGGACGAGCGTCGAACTGGGTATCGGAGAAGTCGTCTTGAGAATTAGCTGGAATTTGAGCTAGTGAATCATTCGGAGCGAACGACGATGGCCGCGAGCGCGCTTGAGGATCGTACATGATGTCCTCTGGGGCTAGAGATGATGCAGAGAGTGGCAGGAGGAGAGATGACGGGAAGGATGGTGGAGGATGGTGGACCTAGTCTGGAGCGGTGCAGCCACCTCCAACCCGCACTCTGACGTCTGGCTGCGGCTCAGTCCGCCACCGTTCTTCCGCCGTCTCTCAACTCCATTTTATTTTCAGACATACGCCTGCGCTTTCGGGCACACAGTTTCCGCTCTCTAATCAAGGGTCTCGAGACCTTCAATTCCAACATAAACTCGAAGAACTGCTGGCTTGAGGCGCTGTACCTGGCTGTTCCTTCTCGTTTTCCCATTTACTTCGTGTGCGAATACTTGCCCATGTCTGGTCCGGTATACTCGTGGACAACAGAGTTGAACACATCTTGGTCTCCTAGTAGCTGCGAATGAGCCTTCGTCGGTCTCAGTGTTTGAAGTGCGTCATACACATCCTCTCGTTCGTACTCATACTTAAATCATCTGCAGTCAGTTGTTATAACCTCTATTGCAGATAAGATCGCTAGGACTCATATTTGTTCCGAGACAAGATTAACAGTCTCGTGTATGCTTAAGTGCTTTTACCACCTGATCTGTTTTCCGGCAACTTCCTCACATAACCTGTCATCGTGACCTTCGTCGTTGCTACTGCTCGTAACAGCGCACCACCCGTGTGTTCGCATGCCTCACTCCTCTCTTTGATCGCGCGGGAGGAAGGTCGGGGCCCGACTGTGATTCAGCTTGGTTGACCTAACATATGCCTACAATGGGCTGCCGTTCACACAATATCAGTCACGGGCTTCTCTGTCATTTCATCTCAAATCTCGTGAACACAAATATGGTGGTGGGCCATATGTTTATCCGTTAATGGATACCCTCCGCACGATGCCCCCACTCTTTCCCGACTTTCCCTCACATGCCCTTGGTGTCGCGCCTCGAGATTTCTGAAAGCAAGCCAGCAAAAGCTACGGACAAAGTACAAGCAATGAATCATACGGACTCCAGAAACGGCTCTGTGCCGGGCCTGATGGGCGCTAAGATTGCAAAAGAGGCATTCCAGACTGGGGATTTTGCGATCGACGAATATCGACCCATGAAGGTGGTCTGCATAGGAGCGGGCTTCAGCGGTATTATCGCTGGTATACGGTATGTAGAATGGTCTCCGGAGAGAAGCAATCTCGAAGTAGACTTGCTTATACTTGGATCTCCATCGATAGTTTTGCACAAAGAGTGCCAAATCTGGATTTGAAGATCTACGACAAGGAAGCGGGCGTAGGCGGTACTTGGTTCGTGAATAAGTACCCAGTGAGCAGAACGCGCGTCTCTTGCATCAGGTGTGTCTCTGAATAACAACCTGGCTGGACACAGGGCCTGGCATGTGACATACCTTCTCACTGCGTAAGTCGTACACCGCCTTCCATGAATTGTCTCGCTGAGAAAGATGGTTCAACAACAGTACCAACTTTCGTTCGAGGAGAATGTGAGTCTGCCTACTTGAAAATGGTTACGTATGTAGCTAACGTTTCGCCCACTACCGCTTTCAGACGCAATGGTCCTCGTTCTACGCTCCAGGGCCCGAGATTCTCGCATATCTTCAGCGCGTGGTCGAGAAGTACAAGCTTACGAAATACATACGCCTCCAGCACGAGCTCACGTACGCGCGGTGGGACGAGGGTTCTGGAAAATGGAGCTTGCGCATCCGTCGTCCGCGCTTCCCGCATGATGTGAATGGCGCCATGGACGGCGTCCCGCGAGATTCGGAGGCGTCGCCTGCGAGCGACACCTATACGCCTATGGATGACGAATTCGAGGAGTTCGAAGACACTGCAGATGTGCTGTTCCTCGGCACGGGATCGCTCAGCCGCTGGTCATGGCCTGAAATCGAGGGCCTCAAAGACTTCAAGGGCCGCCTTATGCACAGCGCACAGTGGGATGTCTCAGAGGGTAACAGTTGGGAAGAAAGCGTGAAAGACTGGGGAAACAAGACCGTCGGTGTAATCGGCATTGTGCGTGTCTACTTTATGTTCAACTATCAAGAAAGACACTGAATGCATGACGTGTTAGGGTTCGTCTGCCATCCAAATTGTGCCTGCCCTCCAGCCAAAGGTCGCGAAAGTGGTCAATCTTGTGCGAGGCAAGACCTGGATTTCATCTTCATTCTCCGAAACGAAGATGACAGAGTTGCTCGCTCTTCAGCCGGGCGTCGGGAATTGTAAGCATGAATCATCTGTGACACTTTGTGCATCCTCATAATTCGCAACGTGCAGATGTCTTCTCTGACGCAGAGAAGGGGGCATTCAAGGACCCGAAATACTACAAGCCGTTCAGACACGAACTAGAATCTGACTTAAACGTGAGTGTCACTGATTCGGCCTGGTGTCAGCAAGCTCATTTTGATTTTGAAGTCTGTACACGGAGTAAGTCAACGCGGCTCGGAGATGCAGAAAGCGGCTGCGGCTGCGTTCAAAGCAGCTATGGTCATGAAACTAGCGAAGAAACCGGAAATCGCCGAATACAGTGAGTAAAACCATCCTTGGGTTGTCATTTCCCCTCGCATGACCCGTGTAAACTTTCTCTAGTTGTTCCTTCATTCGATGTTAGTTGTCGTCGACTGACGCCCGGCCCGGGCTACCTCGAGTCGCTCTGCGAAGACAACGTGAGCATAGTTATCCTCCAGGCTTGACTGAAGACTCATTCTTCGCGCAAGGTCGATTTTGAGACGACACCCATCAAGCGGATTTTCCCAAGCGGCATCGAGTTCGTCGATGGGCGGCGTACCGACCTTGACGTACTCGTCTGTGCTACTGGCTTCGATACCAGCTACCGTATGCCATTTGAGGTGATCGGGCGCGAGGGGCGCGACTTGCGGAAGCGTTGGGAGCCGCACGCAGTCTCGTACTTATCGGTCGCTGTGGACGGCTTCCCGAATATGTTCTTGTCCTTGGGCCCGAACTCGGCTGTCAACTCGGGCTCGCTTCTCATTTTGATGGAGCGCGAGGTCGATTATGCGGTTGCCGCCACCTTGAAGCTGCAAAGGGAACGGCTGAAGAGCATAGAGGTCAAGGCGGAGGCTGTTGCGGATTACGATGAATATACGAAGGCATGTTGGATAACGCTTGTTTCGACTTTGAATGGTGGCTCATGATCTACTTCGCTACAGGCATATTTCCCGAAGGTTTGTGTCAGTTCGAGACCTGGTATAAGGCATAGACTGATATACATTGACAGACGGTATACGTAGATCAGTGTCACTCCTGGTACAAGAACCCCGACGGCACTATAACAGGATTATGGCCTGGTAGATTTTATCAAGCCGAGAGTCATTGCTCACGGCTCACGATACTCCCCAGGTTCCTGTCTGCACGCTGTCAGAGCACTGGCTAGCCCCCGTTGGGAAGACTTCAATTATGAAAGTTTGCCAGGCGATCGAACCCGCAATCGCTTCTATTGGCTGGGTGACGGCTACACGCACAATGAGAAGACAATGACTGGCGATCGTGAGCTATCCGTTTAAATCATCTTGACCGCGCTAAAAAATGTGTAGGAGCATGGTATCTGGATGACAACGAGGTCGATATACCACCTGGTACGTTCCGGGTTTCGGCGGCACACTTTATGCACGACTTAATGCATATGATTTTACAGTCCCATCTCAGTGAATACCAGTGCATGCGAATCAGGGTGCTCAACTGGTATTTGTGGAGGATATGTTCCTTTCCATAGGGTAATTGTATGATTGTAAGCTTGCATTATTGTGATTCGATGGGTGTAGACTAAAGGATTCTCACTCAATAGGAACAGAGCATGTGTTGTATGTACGATTGGCCTTCAATGATAGAAAGCGCATGGTTTTTGGGTCGGCTTACCTATCAGTATGCTCAAGGTCTATAAACGCTGTATCAGCCTCATGTCTAGGGTCAGGTGAGCATTGACTTTATTCGTGAGTACTTATAAAGTGGGTAGTGTAGTTCCATTCATGCTCTCTTCCTGTACCTATATTGTGGCCCTTTCCCATCCTCTTTTAATCATTACACGTCCAACCCGGGTGCTTTTCCCAACACCTCGCCTTATCTTGCCTTTCTCATGAGCATATTCAGCTTGGAGAAGCAACGGCCTACATCTACCCGTCTGCCGTCGGTCTCGTTCATTCTCAGGTTCTTGGACTTCCAAAAATCTGACGCCTCAAAGCCATTTCACTGCAATCCCGCAGCTTACAACACGGTCACGAGGCACTTAAGTTAGTTGCATCTAGCAATGCTCGCCCCTTCGACTGTCTCCTCGGCACCTAGCGCTAGCGCCTTCTCAACACTTACACTGACGTCCGCGCCGACACTGACTTATATTTAGAACACGAGAACAGTATAAGGACGGGTCCCTACCACCCACTTACATTACCAACCGGACTCCTTGCTCTTCCTGTCCTGTCCTCTTCCGTATCGTCTCGCTTTGATCCCACATCGTTCTCCTATCACTCTCGTGCGATCCTTTTTGTCTAGGTGTCGGGTATCCCCACGATATTAGTCTAGACCAATCCCCTCTTGACATAGCAGGATTCAAACCACTTTCCAGCAGATTAAATTTCACTTTGAGCATGGCAGGCAGTGTGAAGACCATCGAGTTTGAAACGGGGAATTTCTCCATCGACGAGTACAGACCTATGAAGGTAGTATGTATAGGTGCTGGTTATAGTGGTATTGTGGCCGGTATCCGGTAAGTAAGATTTCCGCCGATTTTATCACGGTCAATGACCCACTCGTCATAAAGCTTCTCTCAGAGAGTATCGAACTTAGACTTGAAAATCTATGAGAAAGCGGCGGGCATTGGCGGTACTTGGTATGCCAACAAGTATCCGGTACGGTAGGAAACCATTTGCTCCCGCGTGGACTGTACTGAGACTGCTTGCAGGGCTTGGCTTGCGACATTCCTTCTCATTGCGTAAGTGGCCAGCATATCACTAGTAATCACGGTATTGATTGGGATGCAAGTATCAACTCACATTTGAGGATAATGCAAGTTCACATCTGCGCACTCGAGCTGCACCTTATTGTGCTAATTTCCCTTCTTCCAGACCCAATGGTCCTCTTTCTATGCTCCTGGATCCGAAATACTGGCCTATCTCCGGCGCGTGGTGGAGAAGTACAAGCTCATGCAATACATCCGTCTACAGCACGAGCTGACCCATGCAAGCTGGGACGATACCGCGGGAAAATGGCGTCTCCGAATCCGCCATCCCAAATTCCCGCGAGGCACAGATGGCACTCATGACGGAGTTCCGGGATTGCTAGAGGCGTCTTCGATTTCTGACGCACACTCCTCTGTCGATGACTTGTTCGAGGAATTCGAGGATACAGCCGACGTCTTGTTTCTCGGGACCGGCACGCTGAGTCGCTTATCATGGCCTGATATCGAGGGCCTGAAGGATTTCGACGGGCGCCTTGTACATAGCGCTCACTGGGATATCTCCGACGGTGCTTGGGAAGAGGGCGTGAAGGACTGGGGAGACAAGAGTGTCGGTGTGATTGGCTTGGTATGCCCGCGTCACCCTCTTTGCTGGGTGAATTTAGTCCCAGACTTTCGTAGGGTTCATCTGCCATCCAAATTGTCACAGCGTTGCAGCCAAAGGTGGCGAAAATAACCAATTTTGTCCGGGGGAAGACCTGGATTTCGTCGTCCTTCTCGGAAAGCAAGCTATGCGAGCTGATGTCGCGTGAGCCTGGGACGGACAACTGTGCGCAGCCATGCATTTTTTTGCCTACTTTTGTCATCAAGCTGACCCCGGATGCAGACGTATTCACAGATGCGGATCGAGAGCGATTTAAGGATCCAGAGTACTAAAAATTCTTCAGACACGAACTTGAATCGGACCTAAATGTAAGTGACTTGTTCATCCACATGAACGCGGGGACGTGTTTATCTTCTGCAGTCTGCTCATGCCACAACTCAACGGGGATCGGAAATGCAAACTGCTATGACCGCCGCTTTCAAGGCTACTATGATCAGCAAACTAGCTAAGAAACCGGAAATAGCAGAGTACAGTATGTTATTTTGCATCCTGATTTCTCATCGTCGTGGCGTCGTAGCAACAGTCTCATGGGAATATCAGTTGTGCCCTCATTTGATGTCTGCTGTCGCAGACTGACTCCTGGCCCAGGGTACCTTGAATCATTGTGCGAAGAAAATGTGAGGGTCACTCAGATATGGCGCAGCACAAATTAACAGTCCATTAGGCCGCGTTCGAGACAACATCCATCGATCGGATCACTTCTACTGGTGTCCAACTCGTCGACGGGCGACATACTACGCTCGACGTGCTCGTCTGCGCAACCGGATTCAACACTACATTTCGTCTACCGTTCGACGTAGTTGGACGAAACGGGCGTGACTTGCGGCAGCGTTGGACCCCTCATGCTTCAGCTTATCTTTCTGTAGCCGTAGACGGCTTCCCTAACATGTTCATGGCCACCGGACCCAACTCATTCGTCAACTCTGGGTCTTTACTTGTCATCATCGAACGTCAAGTTGACTATGTCGTCGCGGCGACGCTGAAGTTACAGAGGGAGCGGCTAAAGAGCATTGAAGTCAAAGCAGAGGCCGTCGCAGATTATGAAGAATACACGAAGGCAAGGTTTTTTTTTGAAGTACAAGAAGCACACTTTGATAGATTCTTTACTAGGCTTACTTTCCCAAAGTCAGTGAATCGTATACAATTGAGTCTAGTGGAAAGGGTTGCAGACTCCTTGTCCCGAAGACGGTATACGTAGATCAGTGCAATTCATGGTACAAGAGTCCCGACGGTGCAATTACCGGATTATGGCCAGGTATTGTGCTTCATCATACACGTAAGTTCACTGAAATGTAAGAGGCTTTGATGAAGGATCTTGCCTTCATGCCGTCCGCACGCTTTCGAACCCACGTTGGGAGGATTTCGCTTATGAACCACTCGACGGCCGCACGCGAAATCGGTTCTATTGGCTCGGTGATGGCTACACGTACAACGAGAAGATGATGATAGGCGATAGTATGTTTCTGGTCACCTACATTGAGAGTATCGGTCGAGTTTCTGATTACCTTTGATAGGAGCTTGGTATCTCAACGATGACCAGGTCGATATTCCTACTGTGGTGAGCAGGTAAGGACTTGCCCGTGTAACATGACAGATGTCATAAAAATTCAGTGATTTATCGCCTGCGATTCAGGTGAAGGTGCGATTAAAAGAGGAAAGGGGAAGACAACAATAACTCTGAGTCTTTAGGATAGCGTGTACATCTTATTAGAGCGCTGAAAGGCACAAGTACCCTGGGAAAGTCTGCAGAAGAACATCGACTCACAACCGTGGATGATACCCGCCGAGAGAGAAAAAGCGCCATGGCTGTAATAATGTCTAGAAATAGTGATCATCGAACCGTCGCTATGCATGGATGTCATGGGATCCCGCAATCATATTCCGGATATCGTTACAAAAGGCCACAATGGCATGCAACTCTTGACGCCTTCTTGTCAACATTATCGTCCCGGGGTCGCATCAAATACTCATGGTGGGTAGTGAGACTTGTGGATGGTCGAATCCAAACGGCAATGATAGTCTTACTCCCATGCATGGCGTGCGTTTCAGCTGAGGGAGTTGAAGCTTGAAGGACCAACGATTGCAGACTCCAGAAGAGCCGGGTGAATTTGACATGTCAGCCGTCAGCTGCTCGTAATACGAGAGCCTGTGGCGACGTCCTTGGAGGACGGAGAGGTTGGGGCGAAGACGTGCGGACGCTTTCAACGTGGAAGGTCGTCAAAGAGTGCATATGAGCGAAAAAAGGGCTGCCACAAGCCGCCACAGGTTGCGCCACTGTCGCGTTTGCTTACTCAGCATTCCGCCGTGGAGCCGTCGCAGGCGCGAGCCGTGCTTTGGTCAAGAGACAAGCACGATGTCAGACGCACGCAAGAAACTGAACCCCATCCCTCCCAATCCACCACGGTGGGAACCGCAACTAGATGCTACCTCTATTGAGGTTCCTGGCCTCGACAGTTCTGCCTCCGTGAATGATCAGATCGACCAGATAGAGCAGCTCATCACAATAAAGCTACAGGTGCGTCTTGTCGCGACACATCCATTCCGCTTACGCGCCTTGAGTCTCCCAATTATCAATCCCATAGGATGGAACGATTCTCTGACCCTTTTTATCTTAGAATATCGATGCAAACTTCTCGAAAATCCAAAACATCTTGTCGACCCGTATTCTGCCTGCGTTCAAGCGTTATTCTGTTGGAACTGAGCCAGTCCGAGAAGCCGCTAAAGTGAGTCAGGATCAATTTTTTTGCGCTTACACTTGGAATATATGTTGTTGTTCGAAGAGGTTGCTGTTGTTATGCACTTGACTGACTTATCGTTCTCAAGTTCTGGACATCTTTCTACGAGCAGGCAGCCCAGATCCGTCTACCGACTTACGATGACTACTCTTCACTGCACGAACAACAGCTCGAGGATGAGTCGCAAGCCTCTACCTCAGTCGACAATACATCTGAGCACACCTCTGAAGCTGTCGTTTCACATCCTCCTGGAGTCTTCGATCCTAACAAGACGCCCTCCGATAGTTCATTCATGCCCGCACAAGGCGCCATATCATCGACGCCTGCTACTGTGTCACGCTACCACGGACAGAGCACACGTACCGCATTTCCCGAACAGAACTCAGAGTCCTCCTGGGCTGCCTCTCTGGAATCTCCACTGATTCGTATGGAAAGAGACCTCCAGGACCTTGCTCGGGATGATGCTCACTCGGTGGCTGATGTTTCAGACAGCTATCATGACCAGGACACAATCGACGAGACCATTCACGCGTCCACCAACAGGCCAACCTCGCAGGCAGATACCACTCAACAGCCTGTTTCTCCTAACAAGGGTAAATCTCGACAGCAGATCGTTCGAGATGACCTCCTTCGTCAGGCCTTAGATCCTCAATCCATTCGTCGTGGCATCTCTCCACTTCGACTCCGAAAACCAAAGACGCCTGTCGCCGCCTCGCACAATCCGTATCTGCCTTCTGGAACACAGCCCCACGAATGGTCGGGGGTCGTCGATCTGCGAGATCCTTCTATCACTACGCCACAGCGCTCCCGACATCCTGTTCACTCTGAAGTTACTATCGCGTCTTCCTCCGCCTACAATGCTCCCAATCGGTATGATGATGACGACGACGACGATTTAGATTTGCCACCCGGTATGTCTCCGCCTGTAATGATGGAATTTGCTCGTCTCCCGAAGCTCAGCCGTACTCCTGGTAAGGAGGCTGCAGCGCGGATTGGCAAAGACCTCATTGGGAACGCACAACGTATCGCACAACCCAAAGTCTACTCGAATCAGGACTGGAGAGGTGTAGCATCCAATTCGAGCATCCCATCCCCGCCTTCCCTGACGAAATACACACCGGGTGGCAATGGAAGCATGTCGAGCTCTGTGGTGGATTCAACATTTGAGAGTATGATGAATAGAGTCGGAGTCAATATTCCGGGAGGTTACAGACCGTCGATGGGCAAAGATCATGAGCAGTCTACTTCGTCTGCCTCATCTGCAATGAGGGAGTACGTGCCATCCACATTCTCCGATTCTAGACACACCCCATCCCCACTTGCCCCAATGCCAGCAACGTTCTCTGCGGATGAGATAGCTCAGCTCCCACCGTCCGCTTTGCAAACACCTGACCAGCAGCGGTACGACATCCATCACATGCAGGATGATTCCGGCCTCGACGCGCAAGACGCGGACTCATCGACAGATTCGATGGACTCGATGGACTACGAAGTGCACGACACCGCGCACCCTTCGGCCGCGTTCCTGCTCGCGTCGCGACAGCGTGGGCGGAATGACGACGACTCGTTCGAGAGCGACGACACGGACGGAGACGATCTCGAGGATGGGGCGGAGCCCGTGCACCCGTTCGCGCGCGCGGCTGCGGGGGTCATGGATGACGGGTTTGACGACTCGTTCGACGACTCGGGGCCGGAGGAGGAGACAGTGTTCGGGATGCGGCCTGCGGAGCGAGCGGCGAGGGATAGTGAGGCTGCGGCGACACAGCGGTTCCGGATGCACGGCGTCGAGCCAGTGCAGGATACGATCGGGATCGCGCAGAGCTTGGATGCGCTGGGGAAGAGTCCGACTCCGTGGACGGGGCAAAGGGGCGACTTGATCGGCTGAGGGCAACATAGGCTAACATAGGCCACTGCAGATTTTCTCGTGTGATACTGGCTGCTCGATTAATTTGGTTTCATCCCCATGTACCTTGGAGCCTCGGGTGAAGTTCATGTGTCATGAGTACTTGAGTCTCCACCTTCGTGTGTCCTGGCTTGCCCTGATCGAGGCAGATGGCTGACACCTAACGCCGTGATATTGTCCTATCGTCACTCAAAACGTCGATTCTTACTTGCGGCCAGAGCCTGTGATCCGGACCGTCGCATTGTAGCAGGCGTATGCATACCTCTAGGAGCTGAGGGATCGGTTCGATGATCTTGCGAGAGCAGAGCTTCAATCTCCCGTTTTAAAATAGATAATGGGGGATAAATCAGCTCATTCCAATGGTAGCGAGTACCGCCGACTTGTGTGGCTTTTGAAAGCGGCGGTGCATGATCTTATAAGACTGTCACGTGCCACTTTTTATTATTATTATTTTTATTTTTAATTCAGCGTATTTGTATCCCGCGCGGCGTAAGGCCAGTGGCGGCAGTTAATAAAGGGGGAAGGGATAAGCAACGTGTGTCGGAGCGTGTAAAGGGTTCAATTAAGACCCGGAATGTCAGCCTCGCAGGCGCGGGCAGTGAAGATGGAAGGGGGGGAAGTGGACATATTGGTGTCTAGGGCAGGAGGTCCTCCGCATTGCGAGGGGCATCTTCGAAGGTGAATGCAGACGGGTTGTCGCGTAGGAATTGTATGAGCCCTCTAAGAGGGTTCCTGCTTGTAAGGTACTTAGCTACTGTGAAATCGGGGGGACGCTGATAGTGCGTGCACCAGAAGAGGATGTGGGTCCGGGTTTGTGTTTCTCGGCACCAGTTGCATGTAGTCGTCTCATAGGGGAAGAATTTTGTACGATATTCGCCTGTGGGGCCGTGATTTAGGATAAGACGTGCAGCGCGTGCTCACGTGCCACTTTCCACCGCGGTTGGGGCGTATTCGGGACTGGCCCAACTTGGCCCAAGTCACCCACCTTGTCCAAGTGCAGCAGGAAAAAAAACCGGCGCATCATCGTACCCTCTCCTTCACAACCCCCGATAGAAAAATATACATACATACATACATACATTCGATTTGGAGCAATCGTCACGCAATGACCAGTACAGGATTCAAGGTCAAAGGGTCGAACCCAGCCGAGAGTGGCACTAGCTCCCTCGCTTACATACCAACCGCGCACAAGTTGGTAGCGACGGCGAGACAGGATCGGCAGAAATTACAAGTACATATGCGTTGTGAAACTTCCTCTCTAGTAAATTGGTGACCTCATGAAGCTCTCAGATGCCTGCTTGAAACGCAAGAGGGTCGTTTCAGAACCCGTGGGTTTCAGCGTCAAACGTCGCCAAGTAACGGGTGGCGGTTCGTCCGTAGTATTGAATGGTTCGAATACCGTCTCTAGTCATGGTGAACAACTGTTCTCGGATCTTACAAGTGTGTCGATGGCTTCCTATGTTCTTGAGTATACTGATCTATCTGACTGCATGACAAGATGGCAAACATCACCTGGAGACCTCTACCGCAGTGAAAAGCATCAGGAAGATAAAACCTTCTGAGAAGACATGTGCGTCTGCGTTCATTCAGCTTCTCATCTCGTACACTGACTCGTCGCTATCTCAAGCCCATGAAAATCACACTCAAAAATCGGATAAATGCCCTTTAGTATCCTCAGAAGTCAAGCGATGTCTCTTAACTCAAGAACTATCCTCAGAGGCTTCAATAGAACCATGCTATCTATTGAATCAGCGTCTGTGGAGTGCCAGTGATCTGGTACGTTCAGATTGTGCATTGACTGAAGATCGGTCTGCCTGACTTTGCACAGCTAACGCGTCTGGAATGGTCTTGGGGGATGGAATACAACTCACTTGACCCGAGATCAGAATCGAACAAAACATACTGTATGCATCGCTTGGCTTGGTTTCAGACTATCTCTGACATCGTGTGCGGCCACAGTACGGCGTGATTGGTTCAAGTCATTCGATAGTGAACGATGGTTACTTCTTCCCACACCCGAGATGGCGGAGAAAGTCAGTGCTCACCAGGACAACTTCATGAGGAATTTAGCAACTCAATCAATTCTACCTTCGGTCGATACTGTCTGTCATCTCTGTTGTTCTGGTTGTGATTTTTCTGATTTGATGATTGCTTAGATATACGACGGCGCCGAAACTTTCGAATATCGAATGCTATCGCTGGAAGACGTGGAACTTCGATCATTCAATCGAATTGAATGGCACGACTCAATGAGTGGGACAAGCTCGCCAGGCAAGAGAACTGCTGCCGATCAGCGATCGACTCGACATTATCCTCCATTCTATACGTTACCACCCCTTATATCTCGTGCAAAACCTCACTTCGTCATCTGCGACACTGCTGCGAAGTTGAGGTCTGTTTGGCATGGGCACGATTTCTTTTCCTTGTCCATGTCCATGTGGATAGAGAGCACATATAAGGCTTGGTCAACATGTGAAGTCCCTTCAAGATTTGCTTCAACCCCCCGCGTTCTTGTCCCGAACCCCCCTCTCTATCCTTATCTAACCATCGCCGAAAAACAGCACATATCTAGAGCGTGTACCGGTCCATGCATTAACAGCCGATCTGCGTGGATTCCTACTCGCTGTCTACGCTGCTCAGGGTGGAGCAAGGACTTCGTCGACAACCCAAATTCAGCTCGCTATGATAGATATGGGAACCTCAAGATCGGCGAGCAATCCAATCCGATGGCTCTATATCGAGCCTACCTCGGGCGTGTCGCTCGTTACGCCGACACTTGGAACTTGTGTTGCGTGCAGCAGGTGAAGAAACGAGGGCGATGGACATCTGGTGTGGTCAATATGAAGCAGTTGGGGACTTATGCTCAGGAGCCACCGGGCAGCCTTGAACAGCGAGAGGGCACGCACTGTGCGGGGTGTTGTTGCTATTCCATCAGAGCCCAACCTGTCAGATGTGACAGGGGAGTACAGACTTTAGGGTAATCTGATTATCTAGCAGCGATGGACGGTGCAGGTATGACCCTGTTTTGGCCGGTGCGCCTAACTCTTTGCCGTGTGCAGACGGTAGCCGCTCGCGCTTGCGTCTGTCTCCAACTACCTCTGCGTTGCCGGTATTCAATGTTCAATCCAATTTTCATATTTTATGGCCTGCATCGAAATCTAACTCAAACTTAAATACCTTTGCTCTGCAGTTTCGTCTTAGTTCTGTTGCATTCGTGCTCTTGAACTTGATGAACGATCATACTTGATTGACAAATCTGCTCACACAACTCAATATGTAGCTTCGGCAGCGATGCACATCTCCCGATCTATGTAATGCACGGAGTCCCGTGGAGACTGTCGGGTTAGCTGATGAGTATCGTTTCTATCATCGACGTTTGGTTACACAATTAGAAGACTCGGTCGGTCCTCGTTATTTTTCCCAAGCAGCGGAAGAGCCGCCGTGTTAAATATATCTTGTTTTGTGATGGTCTAGCTGCTCTGGCCATAGGTGCTGGCAGTGATGCCGACACCGATAACGCTTCAATTAGTGTTAAACACACGATGAAGTCCGATTTTAGAGTCTTGCCAATCATGATTGCCCGAGTAATAGACCCCCTCATCTTGTGGCCGAGGTTTGGTTAACCTAGCTCAACACACATCATGAACTACATATGATACATGCCAGGAAGACCAAGACGTCCACAGCGGTTCGGGCCTCGCTACCGCTCCCGACAGAACCGACGCTACAGCCTTTGTCCTCTGGCCCGACAGAACCGACGCTACAGCCTTTGTCCTCTGGCGCTGCACTTATTGAGGCGATGCTGCAACCGATGAGCTTGCGGTCTGCGTCCTAGTCGCTCTTCCGCGAACGCGATCAACAGCCTTCTTAATGAAGCTTATGATTCGAGAGGGACCACAGCCCTTGCCTTTGGAAACCCACCTCTTGTAGATAAGCTTAATGCTTTCAACAAATGCCTTCGCTTCATCGACGGTCACCATGTATGCGTATGTGACGCGCCATATGAAGGCGTCGAACTCGTGATCTGTGATGGCAAGCAGTGTCTCCCCAGCATTCAGAATGACCCAATGAGGATGAGCATGGGATTCAAGCTTGGGAAAGTTCTGGAACGGATAGCTGTAGAGTCCGTATTCCATGGAGGAGGATGGCTGTGGTTCAATTTCGTAATCAGGCCGAACCCATCTGAGCATGTCTGTCAGTCGTCCAGGGCCGAGGGGGACAAATCGATAATGAAAGGCAGTCGCATCGCTGTAGAGCTGGTTGGGTTGCGGTAAGTTGAAATCAAAATAAAAGCGTGAAATAGCTAACCTCGGTAATCTTGTCGCTCACTTGATGTTCATTTAAGATGCGCTTGACGAGATCTATGTCGGGAAGTAAAAGCCACCGTTTACGATCAAACAGTGTACGCAAATCAGCCCTCACTGTAGGACCATGAGTTATGAGCACCGAGGCGAAAACATCAGACAATGTCTCACGGTAAATGGTATTCCTAGGATCGTCGATGTTGCGAGAGTGGCGAGGAATTCCAAGGGCGTGTTTCACCTTGAATAAAATGATTGCAATTTGTTGCGCGGCGCTCATGGAGGCAGACTCACCTTGTGGAAGCGCCTTTTCGAAGACGGTTGGTACAGGTGAACGGATTCCAAAACCGACTCCATCGCCAGCTCTTTGGTCAGAAGACACTGTGCTCCGACTGTGTCCAACTCTCCCACAACATCTTCAGAGGAAATGCTTGTAGAGCCAATCACATCCCACTCTGTACGCAGGGACTCCCTGTCCATCAGGTTGTTAGATGCCAGAGATGGCTCAATGAACAATGCCACGTTCAGGATCGATGAATTCGATTGTTGGCTGGGCGATGAGGACATGATAGAAGAGAGAAGAGGTCAAGGAGGCAAAGGTGATGAGGTTTCAGTTTGAGAAGGTTGGGAGAGGGGCATAGAGAATTTCAGCTATTTATAAGGGAAGGTTGTCGCCACAAGGTCAAGGCCCTGTGGCAGGAACAATGGGCATGGAGTTTTAGCCGAAAACAAGCGTTGGATGAGGCGGATGTGGACAATCGTAGCTACAGATGTGAGCCATGTTGATTGTAGAAGCCTTGAGAGATGACGCATGATGGATCAATGTGACAAAGAGGAGTACCACCCCCCGGCCTTGCAGTGGTCATCGTCGCGCAGCGCCGCAGACATGCACTTGCACGTGACCTGGTCGTTTAGAGTCGCACCTAGTCGCACATACTGGAGAAACAACTTTGTCCCAGCGACGAAGTCATAGTCGACGCTTCTTCACATCCCCTTACATATACTTCTTGACATAGGCTCTGTGGTCGTCTCCCCTCCTCGCAATTTCCGTCAGCGAACTCCGAATATTAGCGGAGAACTAACGCACGATGTCCGGAATGGAACCGTAACCTATGAAAGGGTTGAAGATAGCAAAGCGCAGCACAGAGTTCACAAGTGTGTCTACTTTCGTTCAATTTTTCCCATCATCTCTCACTAGATCGAACTGTTTCGTCAATAAGATAGTGGTAACCAGCCTAGTTATTTCAAACGCAAAAGGTCCAGTTCAGAGTCAGCGATTGGAGGCATGAAACGCCGCCGCACAACGCCTTCGAAGCCTAACGGATCAAGTCCAGTCAAAGGTTTTGAAGGAGAGAAATCGAAATTCTCACTCCAAATAAGTGCGTTATCTTCGTTCCTACCTTCAACTGCATGCGCTTCTGAGTCAGTTGCGTAAACGCTGAGAGTTCAGGCGAGACGGGATACATCCGTACATCTACCTTGCATCGCGTGTCCTCTGGTGTACTGAAACCTCAGTTTTCTCATATACGAACTTGACACGCAAAAGGTCTACATCAGAACCAGCGGTTTCCAGCCTAAAACGTCGCAAAGTAGCAAGCAGCGATCAGCCTGTAACGTGGAATAGTCGAGCTCCCGTTAGGAGTAGCAGTGAACAAGATAGTTCCAATACAGCAGGTGTGTGAATATGTTTATCTGGGGTCTGGTAATATCGGCCTATCTCTTTACCCAACAAGATAGCGAGCGTCGAGTTAGGGACTCAGGTCAAGCCCAAAGCATTAGCAGGACAGATACTCCAGTGATACCATGTACGTCTGTGTTCGTATACATCCTTATTTTGCATACTGATATGTTGCGAAATCAAGCTATGAGAGATCACAATCGAAAATCGAAGCGCTTAGTAGCATCCACGCAGGTCAAGCGATGTCTTCTAACGCAAGAACTCTCCTCAGAAGCTTCAGTGTCATCATGCTATCTATTGAATCAACGCTTGTGGAATAGTGAGCTGGTGAGGTCAACAGAGCATCGATTTGGCGATTGCTCTGACTGACTTTGCACAGTTAACGCGTCTGGAATACTAGTGGGGGATGGAATACAATTCACTCGACCCGAGAATAGAATTGAACAAAATTTACCGTACGTGTCTCCATTATCTGCTTTGCTTTTCAATTCCCACTGACGCTGCCACAGTACGGTGTGACTGGTTGAAGTCATTCGATGGCCAACGATGGCTGCTTCTTCCGACACCCGAAATAATACACAAAATCTCTACTCATTATGACGGCTTTATGAGCGTCACAATTGATTCTTTTGATCAGCCCCTGATCGAGACGGTTTGTCACCCCTGTTTTGATCAAGCTTCTTCGCATGTCATGATCAATCAACTATATGATGGGGCCGAAACATTCGAATATCGTATGCCGCCACTGGATGTGGATCTTCGATCTTTCAATTGAATCAATTGGCCCAACTCATCTAGTGGATCGAACTTTCCGGACATCAGAAATGCCACCAGTCAGCAAACAACTCGTCATTTTCATCCATTTCATATGTTGCCGACCCTCGTTTCTTGTGCGAAGCCCACTTTGTCATCTGCGATGCTGCCGCGAAATTGTCAAAATAGGAAAGCTAGCTGGACTTCACAGCCAAGGTTCAGTAGTTGTAGCCTGGGCACAAATTTTCTGCGTTTTCTATGCTCAATTCAATACAGTCTGCATATCGAACTTGACTTGCATCCAAGGTACCCTCCACATTTGCTTCAACCCGTCGTGTCCTTATCCCGATAGCTCCTCTCCATCGCTATCTCGCCGCCACTAAGAGACCCCATCCATCCTCCATCCCCTATAGTGGGCCATGTGTTTGCAGCCGATTTGCGTGGATGCCCAATTACTGTGCGCGTTGTCGAGGATATAATCAACTCCACTGACGATCTGAATTTGGTCTACTCTGATAACGATGAGAACCTCGACCCCTGTGACCTATCCGGTCGGATGGCCCAATATCGAGCATACCTCAGGCGCGTCACTCGCCGTATTGATGCTTGGAACTTGTGTTGCATGCAGCAAGTGAAGAAACGAGGGTGATGGACATCTGGTGTGGTCAATATGACATGTTTTGCCACCAATAGTGCCATTGTACCATTTCCAATGTTTTGGCTCTACCCGGGTGTCCTACCGCGGGTGCGTCGTGATGCGTTTTGACAATAAGTCTTCAGATGGCATCGTCCTTTGGGACGCATATGTGGCCGTTTCGTCTGGTAATTCCGTCTTCATGTGTCCAATGTCCTAGTAGTCCCCTCATTCCTTGTGGCCCTACTCGCAAGAGTTTGGCGAGGGCTACCCTTGTCAGGGCGTCATGTTCCGATTTTGAGAGTCAGATGAGGGAGATGAGGTCTGAGGATGCGATTTCTGTGGACTTAATATGCCGTGTCGGAGACGGTTCCACCAGTGTTTCGTCGGATCTGTTAAAAAGGTTGGCTGGGAGCAAAATTTGAGCTTTGTTGTCAGATTCCACCCCCTCACTTAGATCTGGACGCCTGGACAGAGCATCAGAATGATTCGTAGATCCTGCTTTATAGCTGAGTGTGAAGTCGAATCTGCTCAAATAGAGGCTCCAACGGGCGTGTCGTCGTGACAGATCTTGCGCCGTTTGGAAATGTTCCAGGTTTTTGTGATCTGTCCAGATCTTGAATGGGTGTCGTGCGCCTTCGAGGTAATGGTTCCAGTGTTCCAACGCTTTTATGATAGCCAAGAGTTCGCAATCGTGGACGTCGTAATTCTGTTCTGCTGGTGAAAATGACCTGGAAAGGAACGCAACTGGGTGCCAGTCACCATCTTTTCCTTCTTGCAGGAGGGTAGCTCCGTAAGCGATTAGTGATGCATCCGTCACTAGTCGATATGGATGCATGGGGTCTGGATAATTTAGAATGGGTTTACTGATGAACACCCTTTTTAATCGTTCAAAAGCTTCCTGGCATTTTGAAGTCCAGTTCCATTTTGCATCCTTTTTGGTGAGGTCATGTAGAGGGCACGCGATAAGTGAGAATTTGTCGATGAAGCGCCTGTAGAAATTTCCTAGACCTAAGAAGGAGCGAATGTCTCGGACAGTGCATAGAATTGGCCAATCTTGTATTGCGTCCACCTTGGAGTCTTTCATAGCGACGTGGTCTTTTGAAATTGTGTATCCCAGATATTGGAGTTTTTCTTTATAAAACTCGCATTTTTCTGGCTTCAAATAGAGGTCATTGTTGCATAAGATCTGGAAAACTTGGTTCAAGACTTGAATGTGTTCCACCATGTTTTTAGAAAAAATGAGGATGTCGTCCATATATACGGTTATTTTCCGGGCTGTGACGAGTTCTCTGAAGATCATGTTCATCATGGCTTGGAAAGTAGCTGGTGAGTTGGTGAGGCCAAAGAACATCATTGTGGGTTCATAAGAACCCAACTGAGTGATGAAGGCTGCCTTCCACTCATCTCCCTTTTTGATTCGTATATTGTTATATCCCCATCGTACGCCTAGTTTGCTGAAAATGGTGGCCCCTTTGATCACGTCCAACAGTTCTTGGATTAGTGGGAGGGGGCACACATTTGGGATGGTGTACGAGTTCAAATGGCGATAGTCCTGTACCGGGTGCAACTTTCCATCTTTTTTTCCTATGAAGAAAAATGGGGCTGCTGTTTGCGAGGTGGATCAATGGATGGTTCCCCGAGTGAGATGTTCCTTGATGAATTTTCCTAGTTCGTCATGTTTCTCTGGGCTCAAGGCATAGATTTTTGGTACTTGGGGTTTGAAAGTCGGTTTAAGATCAATGGCATGGTCCCAATAAGTATGTTCTGGGAGTCACTGCGACTTTCGTTCGCTGAAGATGTCCAAAAATTCGTGATGTGCTTTAGGAACTCTTTCCTTTAGATTGGTAATGACGATTTCGTCCTCCAAGTCCTGGTCGAAACTGGCAAATCCTGACGGTTCGGGAGCCAGTTTCCGAATGACTGGTCCCTCTGTGGCCTGTTTTCCTGATGGTTTATCTGGGAGATCAGGTTCCCCCTCGTTTGGTGAAAGAGATGGCTTAATTTGAGCCTTTCGTTTCTCTTCTGCATATTTCCTTATGTCCTGTAGGAGCCATTTCCGTTTGAGGTATGCTCGTAGTTGGACACCAAACGTCCCGCTATGGTCGCAGAGTCCTACATCTTCCGATAGTCTTCGGAGATGTTCTAGGCCCTGTTTTTCGCGCTCGCTGATACATGGTTTGTGCCGTGGCTCCACGTTTTGTAACCGCTTGTTATTTAGCGGTTTTCCCTTGCCCTAGTGAACCTGTGTGGTTGGTGGCATTTCTGGGGGCACCGATCAAAGTGCACTTCACGTTGCCTCCACTCGATGGAGGGATTGTGGTACATTAGCCAATCTGTTCCTAGGATAAGATCGTCTTTCCCTAGATTGGAGATAAACATCTGGATGCGCTCAGTGTGCATTCATCCATGGATGTCCCGAATGGTGAGGTTCACATCCAAGGCGGATTGGATGAGACCTGCTTTATTAATGGTATCATTAACGTTCCGGACACGAATAGGGTTGTTGAGCGTATAGGTGGGGAAGTGATGTCTCCTGACCCATGTCTCATTTACTATAACCCCTTCGCATGCCGAGTCGATGGTTGTCTTTGCTCCAGCGTATTGATCCCTGTTTGATACCTTCACGTTTAGGCGTATAGGGGTGATGATACGGTCATTCATTGCTCCGATACGAATACATTTGTTGGCATCAAACTCAGGTTTCCCTTGACCTCTTTCCTTTGATGGTGAGGGAGAGGTTAGGAAAAACGCTCCACGTGTCCCAAGATTACTTCTCTTGCTTCATCCACTCCTAACTCTCCTAAGACTGCTCCGATTCGAGCAGAATGACTGACGCTTCCATTTCCCTGTCGTCCGTCAGGCGACATGACGCGTTGCTGATGGTCCGTTTGGGGTCGTCCGGATGGGGCAGAGTATGGATGTTCCATCGAAGGACCAGGTTGTGGTACCCGCTGGTCGTTGTGATGAGCATCCTCCATCTCCATTCCTCAATATATTCCCGCTTGGTCTCCCATAGCGGGTGCGTCGTCTTCTCCTTCCAAATCAACCGCGCGGTTTCCTCTCCCTGTCGTACCCATGTGTCTCTTCGAGTTTCCTCGAATTGGGCGAACGCCTCTACGGGGTGACCAACAGTTAGCACCAGAGTGCCCTAACTTTCCACAGTTAGAGCAAGAGGTGGTTCGCTTGCCGTCAAATTTTCTCTTTTGACTTTTAGTGTTACGCTTCCTGGTAGCATCAATGTCCATGTCAACCACCTGGTTGTTCATTCTGCAAGGGGCAGTTGTGGAGTTATAGCGGATGGCTGGTTGAGTGTGGAAATGATTTAAATAATCGCTCCAGAAAGAGGTGGAGTTGGCGAGGATGGCCTTTTGAGCAGATCTTGCTCTGAGTTGTCTATCTATTTCGCAGGCTGTATTAATCTAATCCTGAATGGTGTCCTTCGGTTGAACTTCTTTGTCATATATTTTGTCCATGACGCGCAGGTCTAATCTGCATTGGAAGTAAGGGACCTGCTCTTTGTCGGAGATATTGGCATCGGTGGCAATGAGGATGAATTGGTTGGAGTATTCATCAACCATCATTCATCCTTGGGAGAAGGCCATGAGTGTGCTTTGCGCTTTATCGGTTTTGCCCGTCTCCCTGAATTGGAGTTTGAACTTTGTTAAAAAGTCCCTCCAGGTACCTAGATCAGTAGGAGGGTCTGCTCCTACTAACTTGAGGAGGAAGTTCTCCACCCAAGCTCCTGCCGTGCCATATCTCATGCATGAGAGCACAAGGGATATTTTATCTTGATTGGTCTTGTACCGATCAGATTCTGCTGCAAAAAGAAGGAGGCATTGGAGCATGAATTTCTGGGATTCAATGCGGTTGTCTGGGTAATTGTCTGGGAATTTGACCTTTCCTCTCCTGGGTTGTACTGTCATGGAAGGGGGGTCTGTAGAAGTCGAAGCTTGTCCTGACATTTTAGTGAGTGGTTTGTTTCGGGTGTTGATCAGTGTTTGGTCTGGTGATGAGTCGGAGTCTGATTGTGAGGTTGTTTCCTCTTGCTCTGAGTCTTTGGGGATTACCGGCGCCGGTTCCCTGTATTGGGGTACTAGTTCCCACTGGCTCTCTATTTTGTTCCAAATGTCCTCTTCTTCTATTCCGCCTTCGAGGGCAAAGTAATAACACCCGTTTTGGTATGAGCAGTTATCGTAGTTTGGAGGGGTGAATCTGTTATTGTCTTCGTAGACCCAAAATTCCCCTTTGCACCGGATAGGGCGATTGTTGTGACGGAGTTGGTTATTTATACGTCTAGTGCCAGGTGGGTATTCCTGGCCTAGGTCTTGCTCCAGAGTGTGTGTAGTAACGCTTTCTTTAATGGGGGTCTATTATCCCCACCAAGGAAGGTTATGAGAGAGAGTGTGGCAGCAAGCTAGTGTGAGCAAGGTAGGGGCAGAAGAGTCTATTCTAGTGTTACAAACTGCTTGTTCGGTAACCCCAAGAGTAGAAGGTTCTTCCCTAGGTTGCTCATAGAGAGAGGGTGGACGATGGTCTCGACTGTACGTGTAGCATAGGAGCCAGAGATGTATTGCAATGTAGAAATGAAGGTAGACAGTATGAAGACTGCCTAAGAACGAAGGTACTGTGGTAGGGAGACCACAGTGAACGAAGAGAATAGACTGAAGAACCTCAGCCTACTCTATGGCCTTTTATACTACTTTAGGAAATAGGGTGTAAGAATACCATATATGTATCCATAGGTATTCTCTAAGTTGTCTCTCTTAATACGACTACTCTTGTGCTTCTCCATTCGTCTCCTTCCGGCCAGGAAAGACTAGAAGCTCAATGCCCGGTGTGTGAGTAGTTTGTAAGGCGGCATTCTATGCCCACATGCAATATGGCTCGTGATACTCGACCAACGATAAGGTGATCTGTTGGGAGTGGATGACCAAGGTTATTATCTGTACCTTGTTGTACGCCTCAACTTGTGAGGCCGCTTGATATTTGTGATGATTGTGTCGGAATAGACTGCCGTTAAGGCCCAACAGAACGTGATCATAACACCATGTCTGAAGAGTATTGACTCAGATGGAACCGCCCAATTATTACTGGATCACACCTGGAGAAGATATGGACTGCCCGATAAAATCATATCAGACAGAGAAACACAATTTGCATCAAAAGTAGCGCAAGCACTACTCAAGGAACTAGGAATCACATCAGCGCTCAGCATAGCATACTACCCACAGATAGATGGCACCACAGAACAAATGAACCAAGAACTGTAGCAGTACCTCAGAGCATTCTACAACTCATCACAGGACAACTGGGCCGACCTAATTCCTTATGCAGAATATGCCCACATCGTACACCAACACTTAGCCACGAAGAAGTCACCATTTGAACTTCTACACAGATACCAGCCAAGAGCATACCCTGCCATTATAGGAAACATGAATGTACCCACTGCCAACACATGACTCGCTACTCTACAACATGCTAGGAAGGAAGCCCAAGCCAGCCTCGAACTCACAGCCGAAGCTATGAGGATATAACATGACCATTTTGGAATGGAACTACTGCCCTTCAAGAAAGGAGACCAAGTATGGTTAGATGGGAAGCACATCCACATAAATCACCCCTCGGAGAAACTAAGACCCAAACAATTTGGGCCATTCAAAATTATTGACACTATTGGAACAGTCAATTTCAAGCTGAAACTGCCCAACAGCTGGCAGTGCATTCATGACGTCTTCCATGCTAGTCGACTCACACCCTACAAGGAGAATACAGTCTATGGGCCCAACTATCTAAAACTGGCCCCAGACCTGATCAAGGGACAAGAAGAATTCAAAGTCGAGAAGATCATCGGAGCCCGACGCTTCGGGCGATGGAAGACACTATAGTACCTGATTAAATGGAAGGGCTACCCCAAATCAGATAACTCTTGGGAATCAGCAGCAAACGTCACCAATGCCAACAAAGCCATTGCAGAGTTCAATAAACGACACCCTTCCGCAGTTAGAGGAATGGAAGTATCGATCTTAGCCTTAATGATCAAACTGGAATACAATCGAGCACTTGAAGAAGAACAAATCAAGAAGCAGCTCCAGACCCACCCAATTGGGAAGAAACTACTAGCCACCAGACTAGGAATCCCCCAGATCAAAGAAGCAATCAACAACAGGATCAAAGAAGAACAACTCAAGAGGAAGCTTCTGAGCCTTTCCCTTGGAAGAAAGCTCATGGACGTAGGACTTAAAATGTCACAGATCAAGGACTGGGCAGACGCACAGTCAAAGAAGTTGCAAGAAGCAAACCTCAGAAAGAAATTCCAAGGTCACCTAATCAGGAAGAAACTTATCATTGCAGGATTTGAAACATTCAAAATCATGGAAGCAGTAGAGAAACGAGGCAAGGAGCTGGAAGGAGAAACCAAGCTCAAGGAGAAACTCCAGAACCGCCCAATTGGGAAGAAACTTCTTTCCATAGGATTGGTGACTCCCAGAATCATGGAAGAAGTCAACAAACAGTTCGCTCAGCTAATGAAGCGAATGACTGCATCATCAGCAGATCATCAAAAGGCAACCACAGACACTTCCCCGAGCAAGACCTATTCAGAACAGTCTTGGACGATGTCATGAACGGCTGTTCGGGACGAGAGGATCCTAGGCCACAAATAATATGAGAGGATTAGAGAGGATGATCGGGACTGATCAGACTAATGTCTCAGAATCAGAGAAGACTGTGTGAACAGCAGTTCTTAGATTGGACAGAAGTGGATAGCCTGAGGCTTCCACACTGCGCCGCAGTATCTATAAATATGTACAAGCAAATGCATGGACCAAGTATCAATGGAACAGGAACGCGAGGTGTAGTCAGGAGAAAGGTCCTATGAGTCCTTATCAAGAAGGTGAGAAAAGTAGGTAAGCATAAGTGAAGCGTTTCGTAACATTACCCCCCCCTCTAGGCCGTCAGTGCCAGAGACGGTAAGTAATAGTCCAAGAAAAACATAAGCAATGCACCTGAGTCATGTCATACAAAATAATATTTAGGGCACCAATTCTCGCTGCCCACAGTCGAGTCATGACGCGATAGCCCTTGAGTATGGACGTCATGATACCCCACCTCGTTACCAACCATGCGGGGACTGCGTTCTAGAGCCGAGTCCCTCTTCTCATCATGGCAGTGGGTACCGGCCCAACGGATTTGAACCGTCGTCTGCCCTGGCAGTTTTACGCCGTACCGGGCAAGGGTATCTGTTGCTCTCTAAGCTCCACGAGGGCAGAGTACAACGGGCGCGGTGTCGGACTCGCTGGAGTCGTATTCAGTGAAGGGGAGAGGTGGTCGAGTTCTCGTCGAGGAGCGTATGAGGCCGAGACGTGCGGGGATGATGTGATAGCGGGGGGAGACTTGTGCGAACCGATATACGTCTCGCTCTCTGTCAGTCCTTGTGGGGTAAGTCCCCGGCATTGGGCAAAGCGGAGCGCCATTTGAGGCCGAAGACAAGGCGCGAGATACCACAGCCGTGGTAGGCATGTGATACTCGGTGGAGGGAATGGGGTCGTCGGCAGGGTGAAAGGAGTCTCGAAGGTTCTGCAAGCCCATGAGTTTTTGCTCTCCAGCATTAATACGGGTGATGATTGTGCCCTCTCGGATCTGCAAGGCTCGCTATACGTGTCAAACGAAACTCCTTTCTTCTTCTAAGATCTCCAACGTCCTCTGAATCTCCGGTCTAGTCGGTCCTGACACGAACTCTGTGTTAGGTGTCCCCTCGATAAGTCCCATCATATACACGATGGGGGTCGTGAGGTAAGTTTCCCTATCCGGGAAGATGATGCCTTCGTTAGCTTCTCGGATCAAAGGGGGCGGTGAGGGAGAGGATGACGAGGATGTGGATATATCTATGACGGGGGACCCAGGAGTCTGTGCTGCGGCTGCTTCTTCTGCTGCATTAGCGTCGACCCGAGCCTGATACCTCCTTTCTACTTCTTCCATCTGGTCCTCTTGTTCTAACATGCTAAGCATGCGAGTCTCTTCCCGAATGTATCGGGCTTCGAAGTCCCCTACTTCTGACACAGTGGGGGAGCGAAGGTAACTGGGAAGCGACAATGTTCGTTCGTCGACGAGGGTGTCATCAACAGAGGAGAGGTAGAGGGATCCGTCGGAGGACATGTCCGTTCTGAAGTGGATTGGAGAGGAGTGGTTGAAGTGTTGGAGGAATTATGAGGATCGAGTTTGGGTTTTTATACGTTCTATGCTTTAGTGGTCCTGTGTTTACGAGGGCCTCTCGTAAAGGTAAAGCATTGTGTCTTTGGTCGAACACTTCCAAAAGTTCTTTGGCATTCCCCAGGTTTGCCCTTGTGATCCACTCGTCCGCCGAGCTCGGATACCCTTTCCAGTGTACCAAGTATTGGTATCCCCGTCCTCGTTTCCTTTTGTCGAGGATATCTTCCACTTCGTATTCTTCCTGTCCTTCGATCAGGTCAGGTGGTGGCTGTTCGAAGTTGGGTCCGTGGGCTATTGTTTCTTTGTATGGTGTAAGTAGGGAGGCGTGGAACATGGGGTGTATCTTCCATGTCGGCGGAAGCTTCAGTCGATACGTAATTGGCCCTAGCTTCTCTTCTATTTGGAATGGTCTGTGTAGTTTAGGGGCTAGTTTGTCCTTTGGGTGTGTGGTGGTAATGTTTTTTCCCGAGAGCCAAACTTTCTGTCCTACTTCTAGTTTAACTTCGTTCTCGGTGGTTTTTCTTTTCATTAGTTCTGCCGCAACCTCCAAGCTGGCCTTCGTTTCTTTTCGAAGCTGTTCTAGCTTTTCCAGTCTTAGCTCCACTCCAGGGATGCCGGACCTTGGTGTGATTTGGGGTACGAAGGTCAGATTGTAGCCGTACATGAGCTCGAATGGTGACTGGTGCGTGGCTGAATGTTCCCTTATGTTGTGTGCAAATTCGGCGTATGGTAGTAACTCAGGCCAGTTCGTTTGTTCGTAATTGCAAAATGCTCGCAGGTATTGTTCTAACTCTTGGTTCACTCTTTCTGTTTCGCCATCTGTTTCGGGATGATACGCGGTTGATAACGCTGTCGTGACTCCTAGTTTCTTCCATAGTTCTCTTGTAAATCGAGCGGCAAATTGTGGACCTCTGTCGGAGATGATCTTCTGTGGGAGCCCAAATCGTCTCCAGACGTTTTTCATGTAGAGGTCAGCCGTTCCTTCGGCATCTATGGTTTTGTCGCATGGGGTGTAGACAACTCCTTTGGTGCTTCTGTCCACTGTTACGTGTATTGCGTTATACGGTCCGACTTGTGGAAGATCCGTAATGAAGTCCATCATGACTGTCTGCCAGGGTCCTTCTGGTATTTCGTTAGGAATGAGCGGGGTGCGTGTGGGGTGTGTGATGTTTTTTGTATATTGACACATTGCGCATCCCATTACGTATTCTTTTATGAATGTGGACATTCCTGGCCACCAGAAGTTATCTGACACTAGGACGTAGGTCTTCCATCTTCCTGGGTGTCCTGTGGCTGGTGAATCATGGTACATTTTTGTGATCTGTCGTTTAAGTTCATTATCTGGTGGAACATATATTTTTCCTCTGTGCCAGATGAGATCATCTTCGTAATTCCATTCTTGTAGACCTTTGGAGAGGGCTCTGGGTCCTGATGCTTTAATAAGTTCCATTGCGTCTGATACTTCTTTATCTTTGGCTGTGACTTCTTTTAGCTTTCGTCTCAGCTGGCTGTCAAGCATCTCGACTGTTCCTCGTCCTGTTGCACTCTTGACGAATATTTGAGGTTGTAGTAGTACCTGGTTTTCGTTGTCAAATTTTACCCCCTCTTTCAGGTCTGGATGCCTGGACAGAGCATCGGGCCAGTGGGTAATGCCCGGTTTGTGGACGAGGGTGAAGTCAAAGCGGGAGAGGAAGAGTGACCAACGTGCTTGCCGGCGGGAGAGAGTTCACGCGGTGGAGAAATACAGGAGGTTCTTATGATCGGACCAGATCTCGAACGGGTGCCGTGCGCCTTCAAGGTATACGCGCCAGTGATCAAGGGCGTGTATGACGGCGAGCAGTTCCTTATCGAAGATGTCGTAATTCCGCTCGGCCGCAGTGAACGACTTGGATAAGTAAGCGACTGGGTGCCATCCGTCATGTGGCGTTTCTTGTGATAGGATGGCACCGGAAGCGAAATCTGACGCATCAGTCTCGAGACGGAATGGGCGATTACCGTCCGGGTACACAAGAACGGGAGTTGACGTGAAACAGTGTTTTAGTCGTTCGAATGCTTCGTTCCTTTCGGGAGTCCATTCGAATGGGACGTCTTTCTTCGTTAGGTCGTTAAGGGGTCGGGCCGTAGCGGCGAAGTCTTTGATGAACCTGCGATAGAAGTTTCCAAAGCCCAGGAAGGATTGTACTTCCTTCAGGTTCTTCGGAGTTGGCCAGGCGGCGATTCCATCAACCTTGACGGGGTCCATAGATATATTATCCGCGGAGATGATGAATCCGAGGTATTCGACTGTGTCCGTTTCGAAGGTGCACTTGGAGGGTTTCAGGAATAAGTCGTTGTCCAAGAGTATCTGCATAACTTGGGTTGTCACGCGTTGGTGTTCTTCGATGGTTTTCGTGAACACCAAAATGTCATCCATGTAAACTGCCAGGACTTGTGCTACGATGAGGTCATGGAAGATGATGTTCATCATTGTTTGGAAGGTGGCGGGTGAATTGCAGAGACCAAAGAACATTACGAGGCATTCGAATAAGCCAAATTTGGTCATGAAGGCTGTTTTCCATTCGTCGCCTTCTGCTATGCGGATGTTGTTGTACCCCCATTTTACGTCAAACTTAGAGAAGATCCTTGCCTTCGATTTGGCAATGGTTCTTATTACGTCGTCGATCAGGGGTAGTGGATATTTGTTTTTTATGGTCCATTCGTTCAGTTTTCGATAATCTTGCACCGGTCGTAGACTTCCTTCCTTCTTTTTTACGAAGAAGAAGGGTGGCGCTTGCGGGGATTTAGATATCCTAATGGTTCCTCGTTTTAGATGTTCTTGGAGCATCTCATGGAGCTGGTCTTCCTCTTCTTCCGTCAGCGGGTACAGTTTACATCCCGTTGGTTCCCATCCTGGTTTCATATCAATCTTATGGTCCCATTGTGAGTGTTCTGGAAGTCGCTGTGAAGCTTCCTGACTGAAGATTTTGGCGAATCATTTAAGTACGTATGCCGGAACGATTTCCTCGATAGGCCGTTCCGTTTTTGCCTTGTTCGCCTTTTCTGCCAGCTGTTGCGACTTGTTTCCGATGGAACCGATATGAATTGCTTCAAGGGGGTGTGCTTCTAGTGGGTTTTGATAGTACCATTCCTCGTAGAATTCGGAGAAGAAGGTATCTTCAATTTCATCTTCTTCCGGGTCGTCTTCTATTCTGGAATATCCGATCGTTCTGTTTTTTTTTTGCCGTGCAGGCGTTAGTGCTTGTATGGTAAACTTAGGTCGGCTGACTAGACACGTGGTAGCGCAGTTTGAAAACGTAAGGCTGTTTTTTGCCCAGTTAATTTGCGGGTTATGTTCATGCAGCCAGTCCGTTCCCAAGATCACATTTTCGCCTCCTAGGTTAGTGGCTAGTAGCTCGCATTGTTCGTCGTGATAGTCGCCTTCTTCGTTTGTCATTCTCATAAGCATGCGGGCTTTGTTGGTGATTTTTCCTCCGTCGTTGGCCGTTCCATCTACGTTAAACACAGGGATAGGTCTGCCGATTTTCTGCGTTGGTATGTTGTTATTTAAGCAGAATTGTTTGTTGATGAGGAGTCCTTCTGCTCCCAAATCGATCAATACTCGGGCTTCGGTGGTTCCTCCCCTATGTTTTAGATGCACGTTTATCCTCATAGACGATTTCTGATTTGATTTGGTGAGCCATACAAATGTTTTTACAGGAGGACTTGGGACAGGTCTACAGTACACCGGAGCCGTAGGCCTATTTAAAAATCCGATTCTTTTCGCTTGCTCATCTCGCTTAACTCCTGAAGGAGTGCTTCCTGTTCGTCCCACCTCATCTTCCCGATAACCCTTTGGATCTCTTCTCGGCTAATCTCAGGCTCTGTCTCACGTACAGGCGCATCCGGTCCAGGTGCGTGGGCCTGGCGAGCTGCGAGTCGGGCTCGGAACGGGTTAGTCGTCGCCACGCTTCTACCTTGCGTCGTAGTGCCTCCTTGAGGACTGTTTGAAGCTCCTGTCGAGAACGTTCGGCCATAGCCGCTTCCTCCGCCTCCCATCCTGCCGCCGGTCTGAGCCGAGCGGTTCCCCATCGTTCCACTACTCTGTTGAACATATCTAGCTGACCCTTCATGTACCCTAGACGAACCCCTGACAGGGCATTGGTTGGCCATATGTCCTTTCTGGCGACAGTAAAAGCACCCACCCTCCATTCTGAGGCGGTTGCATTCCTCGTCCGTGAGGGTTGTTCGGACTGAGTCTACGGCCATGGGGACAACGGAATTATTCATGGAGGATGGAGCGTTGGATGAGTTGTAGCGGAAAGGGTTGCTGGATCGAATAGCAGTGGAGGGTACGGAGCTTTTTATGCTCTGCAACTCTCTCCATTGATTATCAAACCTTCGGGTGTATTTTACCCAATCGTCCATTGTCGTCGGCATGTCAGGAAGTCTGTAAATTTGTTTGAGGATCTCTGGGTGTATGGTGCGACGGAAGTAGTCGACGGTGGATTCAAGATCAAATCCACTTTCTCCTGCCGTCATGAGGTAGTCCGTGACAAACTCGTCTGCTGACCGCTTTCCCATTCTCATTGTGAATAGTTTTTGTCTCGCCTTCTGTTCGAGACTTTCATCTTTGAATGCGGCGGCCAGTTCTTTTAAGAAGTCCTTGAACGTTCCCCATGTTTTTCTTGTTTCCGTTGCCTTGTATTCTCGAAGTTCCCTGTCGAAGTAGTATTTCTGGGCAAAGAGTGATGCCGTTCCTTCCCTCATGTATGACAACACCATCAGGGTTTTATCCTTATCGGTGTCGTACTTGGTCGGGTTGGCGAGAATGTACATGTGACATTCATATATCCATTCTCTGTACTTCGACCTTGTGCCATCGAAATCTTTCAGTTTGTTTCCTCTGTCCGACATTCCGTCTTCGTCGTCTGTGGTGTCTGTTGTTGGTGGAGGGTTCGGTTGTGGGTTTGGGTTTGGGTTTGGCTGACTCGGCCCTGCTATAGGTTCCGGGTCTTCTTCGTCGACTGGGGTTAATACTCCTGCGGGAATTGGGGTTTCTTTGATATCTTCTTTGGGAATATCAATCGGTGATAGAACAGGTTTTGTTTGGATGGGGGAATCTACGGTTCTGAGAGGTGCCTTCCTGTCTTCCCAGGGTACTAGCGGGGCGTCGACTGTTTTTCCGCTGTTCTGTCCCCCTACGTAAACCCAGTTTCCCTTGGATGTTCTTCTGATCGGTTGTCCGAAATGGACAAATGTGTCGGAGTGTTTCAAGTAGTCGGTTCCGTGTGGAACTCGCCCTACGCTTCTTCCTGAACCTTTGGAAGTCGTCTTGTTGGATCAAAGAGCCAGCGCTAGTCTCAACCTGATCAAGGTTCGAGGGTCAAGGCAACAGCAGCTCATTCTGGCCGGGTACAGTATTTCTGCTTCTGGTATAGTACCATATGTAACGTCGAGTGCAGTTGTTTTGGTCGTACTTCCACTGGGTTGATTACCAGATAGAAGTATTCTACAACCTGAAACGACCCACACTGAAGTGGAATCGTCCAACCGTTCGCTCGAAGTGTATAGTAACTACTACGGTCGACGGACGCTTGTCTTTTGGGACTGCCTAGCGCCGTATGTATCTAGCCGGTGTTCTGCTGCAAAGAAAAGGGTGGAGTAGGATTGTGTGTGGAGAGGCTATCCAGATGTCACGAACGGCTGTTCGGGACGAGAGGATCCTAGGCCACAAATAATATGAGAGGATTAGAGAGGATGATCGGGACTGATCAGACTAATGTCTCAGAATCAGAGAAGACTGTGTGAACAGCAGTTCTTAGATTGGACAGAAGTGGATAGCCTGAGGCTTCCACACTGCGCCGCAGTATCTATAAATATGTACAAGCAAATGCATGGACCAAGTATCAATGGAACAGGAACGCGAGGTGTAGTCGGGAGAAAGGTCCTATGAGTCCTTATCAAGAAGGTGAGAAAAGTAGGTAAGCATAAGTGAAGCGTTTCGTAACAGACGAAGCCCAAGAGCAAACCCTCAGACAGTGCAAATTGGCACACTTAAGCATACCAGGAACTGCAAAGGCAGGCAAATCGCGGTTTGGCATGGCCAAACGAACAGTGGTGATCTAGGCAGGAACCGCCTGAACAGACACAGCCCAATATACAATCCTTACTAGGACCATTGTTGTTACATCCACCAAGCTCTCGCTGCACCACTGTCACTACTTGCTCAAACAAGGATGAAAAGGAACCTATAAAGGAATGAAAGACAAAGTCCAACCCTCTCCCCAACTTCCCCAACAAACCTTCCCTCTACACAGATATGTCTTCCTCCTCGCTCTCCCATCTCCTCAATGGCAACCACCATCTGTCACCACTCTCCCTTCTAGTGCCGGAACCCTTCCACACCCTCCCCATGACCAACATCCACAATGCCCTCCCTTACCCTAATGCTGACCCTTTCCCTGGAAATCGGCTCCCTCCTATCCCCGACTTTAATGATGCAGGTTAACCCATCTCTCACCCTAGCAGCCCACCATACAACCCCAAACAAGCCGCATGCAAACATGAGGTGCATTGCTTGACTGACACGCCATCACCAAGAACCAGATTGCTGTCTGACTGGCTGAACCATGTCTGCGCGGCAGAACAAGTTGGGCCCATGCTTCCGGCTCACTTGCCTGCTCCTCCTAGCAACTGGCAGAATGGTGCCCGTGCTTCAGAATGAGTCTGGCCCCCATTTCCCGTTCACTTACCCTCACCCCTTCCTCTCATTCTGCCATCACCCACTGCTGACACTTGACTCTGCTGGGAATGCGATTGACCCGGGCACCTTATCGCCAGCTGCCCCATCATGCACATCCGCTACCACACCGACCTCACAGCCCGTAATTTCATACAGGACTACAAGGCCTATGAAGAAGGGATCAAACGTCTTTCAATGCAGCTAGACCATGTAGCAGAGAATTTTGGGTACTACTGGCACATCAGGGAAAGGATGATTGACAATGCTGCCTGGGAGGGACACCTGGTACACCATGCCCCAGTGTCATGGATACGACTCACTTCCAAGAACTCCCGCTCCCCGACCACACTAACGTCACAAGCCAACGATGAGTGTAAAAGGGGGGTAGTGTTAGGACCGCGTCCGAACACGTGCTTGGCACATGGACAAAAGGGAAGGTCAGGTGTTTCCTCAGACTCAAACTGTTAATGACTAAGACTGTGACTGGACACATGTCTAAGCACATGACTCAGGATATGGTCATGAGATATGCACATGACTCGGACTTGGACTGTTTGCCATTTACATGCTAACGCATGAACACTTATGTACTATGATCTCTTTCTTATTGTGATGACTGATGTCAATCGTGATCGAGTTCTGATAGAACATTGCTATGGACAGACATTTGATATACTTACTATATATGGTTACATCAAGGAGCTGCGGAGTATGAACAATGACTGTGGATTACTTAGCATTTAGAAGCACGGACCATATGTCCGTCCCACCCTAAACAGCATGTATTATATACAGGAGAGCTGAGCTTCTTAGAAGATCAGCTCATTCACTTTGTATACATCTCAATCTCTGAACTGCACCTGGTGTCTGGCCCCTTCAGCCCACACCCTGTGAACTCTGCCAGATCCAAAGAACCATACTTAGTCTGATAAAGCACTGGACTCATCTCAAAGCCTCCATCATCCTCTACTGCCTGCAACCTATCAAGAACTCACCGCATATTGAGTTATTCGCTGGGATCCCTCTGAAGTCATCTGTTGTATCAGAGAAGACTTGTTTGTACTAGACGAGCAATGGCATCTAGTCAACTAACACCTCCTCCACTTGTTTGAGGACAGGATCAATAGTGATCAAAAATTCTTGGACCAAGCCTGAAGATGATCAATCATCTTTATACGTTGGGCTGTCACTATCATGTTTAGCCCAGGGAACCCCTTTTAGTGCAATAGGCGCACGTAATAAGCCTAGCGGCTTAACAACACCTCTTTCAACTCAGTATGTCTTGCGTCACATCTTGTGAAAGCATTGCACTCCTTTCAGAACATGCGCTAGCTGGTTTACCTGCAGTGAGTCAGAAGTGTTGGGTATCTTGTAAATGATGCTGGTAGATCCATTTTGAAGGAGCAACTTGGAGCAAGATTGAAGATACAGAGAGAAAGGAAGAGTAAGACAGGTTGTTTTGGTGAGCAATAAGATCATATGTGTTCTTTGCCCACTGTTTGAGACCATACCGCCTAACCTTTAGAGGATGAGACTCAAGATTTAGAGCTGAATTGTCTGACTAATAACATGCACACTTGGCATCTCCATCTGCTGTCTGCTTAACTTGGTTTCTCTTGTTGTATCAATTTTGCGATACTTGTTTGCTCCAACCTCCTCTGTCAGGGCCTGACCTGGCTTATGACTAACCCCTGCCAGGTGTATATACTGTGTATGCGGAAATATGGAAGCTTACAAAATACCACTATGGCCTTTTTGATAAGAGTCAGAAACATAGAGTGCTGCTCAGCCAGGGCAGGTTGACATTGCCATGGACTGCATCGAAGGAAATCTTGATTGGATAATTCTAAGATCAGGTCATGGGTACCAAAGATGCTGAGGGTCAATGATGGTTTGATGTCCTCTTAGTTCATCATGTACATATCACATGGGTCATGCTGGAGCTCGACGTTACTTACAGTATAGTAGGTATTCAACAAAGGCAGGAGTAGTGGGAGAACTCACAGTGCCAAATACTCTGCGACAAGCTTGGCTTCATGTTGGACTCTAAACTCACTTTCATCAAATTCGATTCACTAATCTCAGCTTTCTCTAAAGTATCCCGAAAGTCATCAAGGTTTGAGACTTGCTCCAGTTATATAGGCAGTGCACAGGGTATGATGATACAATTATATACATAAGTGTATACAAGAACCTACATAGTTACATAATCGTATACTAGAACCAACATAATTATATACCAGAACGAAATAGAGGATATGGAAGGAAAGATAAGCCGGGACAGAAGATCCCCAATCTCCTAAGTGATTTTAGGCTTCCTGCCACTGTAGATAGAGCTGATCTTGCTGCGTTTTACCTCCCGTACAGGACTCCGTAGAGAGGGCGAATGGGGAGAGCTTGAAGAACGTTTGTGCAAATAGTGTTGAAGCGTCGTCGTCATGGGTTTGATGAAACGACGGCTATCGCTGGACTTGTTGGACCTCGAGTCTTTGCCCTCGCCAGAAATGTCATCCACAACATCCACAACATCCACAACCTCGGGTGACACAACTTGGGTTGTTGAGGCACCCTCGGGCGATGTGACCTGGGGCGATGTGACCTGGGGCGATGTGACCTGGGGCGATGTGACCTGGGGCGATGCAACCTGGGGCGATGCGACCTGGGGCGATGCGACCTGGGGCGATGCGACCTGGGGCGATGCGACCTGGGGCGATGCGACCTGGGGCGATGCGACCTGGGGCGATGCGACCTGGGGCGATGCGACCTGGGGCGATGCGACCTGGGGCGATGCGACCTGGGGCGATGCGACCTGGGGCGATGCGACCTGGGGCGATGCGACCTGGGGCGATGCGACCTGGGGCGATGCGACCTGGGGCGATGTGACCTGGAGGGACGCGACCTTGGATAACACAACCTCGGGTGACGCAACCTGGACCGAGGCAACCTGGGGCGGCGCGACCTGGAAGGACGCGACCTTGGGTAGCGCAACCTCGAGTGACGCGCTCTCGGGCGACGCAACCTGGAGCGAGGCAACCTGGGACAATGCAACCTGGGGCGATGCAAGCTGGGGCGGCGCGACCTTGGATAACGCAACCTCGGGTGACACAACCTTGGGTCGCGCAACCTTGGGTCGCGCAACCTTGGGTCGCGCAACCTTGGGTAGCGCAACCTTGGGTAGCGCAACCTTGGGTAGCGTAACCTTGGGTAGCGCAACCTTGGGTAGCGCAACCTTGGGTAGCATAACCCTGGGTAGCGCAACCTTGGGTAGCGAAACCTTGGGTAACGCAACTTTGAGTGACGCGACCTCCTGGGGTGTGGCATCATTCGCTACGGTGGGTGACCTCCATCTTGTGTTAAGAGCGATTAACGTCTGGATGAAATCAATCGCATCATCTCTACTGATGGTATAGGCATCGGCGACGCGCTCGTAGAAAGCGTCCATTTCGCATTCTGATCTTGAGTCCAGCTTCATTCCAGCATTGAGCACGACCCAATGGGGCTGGACATGCGACTCCAGTGTGGGCAGGTTTCTAAATGGATATTTGTAGGATGATGCTGAACTTTCCTCATCGGCGCCGTCAGGTCGAGAGTGTCTATACACGTCCATGATCCGTTTAGATCCTAATGGCACCATCTTATATTCGAATTTTGTGGCTCCATTGTACCTCTGGTATATCCGAAGTGAATCGAGTGCAAAGAAACAGCATGGAGCTACGAACCAACGTGATGTTGCCTTCTGTGTGATTGTGGAGGTTCGTGACCATGTCGGGAGAGGGAAGCAAAAGCCAGCGTTTGGCATCGAATAGTCGGTGCCAATCGACTTTAACTGCCACAAATTAAGAGAACTGAAACAAAAAGAATTGGACAACGTCTCTCACGAAGAAGAAGGTTTCTGGCGTCGTCAATGTTGAAACACCGATGTCCAATTCCCCACGCGCGTTCTAAGTTTGTGATCTGTGATACAATGAGTTAAGACTAGTGCAGAAACTATGACATACTCACTAGGTCGTCATTATTCATCTCACACCGTGGAAATATGTGTGCGAACTCCAACGGTGCCTCATCATCCAATTCTCTGGTTAAAAGACATTGGCCTCCAGTAGGATCGAGTTCCAATACCACAGATTTCGACACGCGAGTTGTAGCTTTCGTCGACTTTCGACCGTTATGCATGTCTGAACCGGCCGCAAGGTCATGGATTTTACTTTTACTCTGGATGGACCCACGGAAGGACGGTTTCTGACGTAGACGGTGGGATGCCACAGTAGCCACCGATGCAGTCTGGTGGTATGATGAAGACATGAAATAACAGAGTACAGGAGGGAGGCGAAAATGGATGGAATGATAGAGGGAAGATATCAGAATGAAGGAGGAATGTCGTATAAAACAGCCATGGCCAGGCCGCTTTTATAAGAGATGTGGCAGCACAGATCCTGTGGCAGCATGGACGGCGGATAATAGGTCCACTGGGTATCGATGGTGGCAGCCAATGCTAAGCAGCTTTGGCTGAAACAAGGCGTAGAAGCGTGACAAAGCGAATGTGGTCAAACGCTTGGGTTGTGGCTGCTGTCAAACGATTCCAACAAATCTTGACGAACTGCAACCAGCGAGGCTCATGAGTAACCAGTGAGGCGTAAACGGCGGCACGACACACGATAAATCATGTTCGCCTCCACATTCAGCTCTAACGACGAGTACTTCATCCCCCAGTGCCATTCGAGGCGCGTCAGCTGCACCCGGCGGTCAACGGTCGGATCACGACGCGAGAGGCAGGACCGAACGCACCATCCCGTTGAACTGCCAGAGGCGCGGGTTGAGCAGATAACACGGCATGATCGATGGTCCTGATTCCTGTGTGACGAGGCATCGTTTTGGGTCTGCAAGTACAGAGGTGGAATTGGAGCGGGGGTCTCCGAGCTTTCGGGATGCTGGTCGACATCTCGGAAGGTCACGACGTCAGCGATGAACCTGTGAGCTTTCTGAAGCCCGCGCGTACTAGAAGTATCAGAAGGGATTGCGTCCCTGACTGTGCTATTGTTTTTTGATGGATCACTGATATCTTGGGAGTTGGAAAGGTCCAGGGAACCTGTTGTGTCACTCCTCTTAAATGGGCTTGACCACCTCAACGGAGCGGATGCTGTGATGCCCATTAAACCGTTTCCTATGAGACGGACTCTTGCGAATGAGGAATGTTGAGATGAGGCGGTTGAACAATCAAGTGAGATAGTCACACCGAAGCAAGAATTAGAAGGTGGCACAATGGCGCACAGTCACATGATAGATTTGGACAGCACCAAGCGGAGAGTCTTTGTGTAGCGTCGACATGTGAAGGGGCCAGTCGCCCATCGGCATGCTCGATCGAACTAAATTCACAGCGCGTGTAGGAGTCGCACGAACCAGGTCAACGAACAACCAGCGGGCACCTCAGTGTTTGTCCGACGGAGCGCGCCGGTCTTCCAAAGTATTGGACACCCAGCCATGCGCACGCAACCAAGATAGATGCAAGATCGATAAATGCATATTCAAGCGAGAGGTGTAGAGGCCTCAGAGAAGTAGACTTCGCACCATGGGAACGAGTTCCCGGGCACCGACTCCGTGGAGAGAGAGAAAGCGCGAGTACCAAAGCTACGGGACGCGATGAAAGCCCGATCCACAGAACCGACACTTGACATATTAAGGTCCAATAAACGTAGCATCAACATCCAGAATAGAACCATCACACAGCTCGTCCAGTGTCTGCGGCAATTCGTCCGCATAACCCCCTAGCTGGCCGTCATTGAGCACGCGCGCAGCCCACCCCCCGCGCTTCCTGACACTCTCCAAACAAGAAGACCGCCAAGCGAGCGAGAGACGCCTGCGGTGGGTCCCATACTCAGTCTCAGATAGTGCCTCGGACGGACCGAGGCCAGCGCGGTCTCCGTCGCCCCCAGAGCCGCTAGACGCGCCGCTATCGACGCCGCCGTTTTGACAGCGAGCGCACAGCGAAGGTGTCCACGTGAACCGGCTCCTGAAGCACGGCCGGAGGCAAGCCCATGGGCGCAAGCGGCGCCGGAGGGGCAGCCTCGGATATGCGTCGGGGGATGGTAGTCGTAGAGGAGTCCGAGGTGATGATGCAAACGTCGAGTGCGGCTCGTATCTGAGCCACGTGCCATAGACGCGCTCTATGTAGTCAAGCGTGAAAGTGGCTTCGCGCTCAGACACCGGCCAGAGTAGCTTGGCCACCTGCGAGAGCCCTGAGTGCCCCGATGTGATCTCGTGATAGAGCTTGACGCCAGCGTCGCAGATGGCGGAGTGGAGCTTCAAGTGCGATACCAGAGTCGGTAGGGTATCAAATGTGTACGAATGGGGCGCGGTGGCCGGCGAGGACGTTCCAGTTACATCTGGCTGATCGAATCGGTCAATCGAACCAAGGCCACGCCGTAATGGCAATAACCGATATTTGAAAGTGTCAGCACCTGCTTAAAGCTAGACGTTCGTGAGATATGACTCTGGATGAAACAGGGGAGGATGAACCGTCTCGATGTGCGGTTGTTGCTTTGCACTGGTGGGGGCTTCCATAGATTTCTGGCGGCGGTCCCACAGTTTGTCGACCATCTCAGGCAAAGGGAGGAGCAGCCATCGGTGGCTGTCAAACGATTCCAACAAGTCATGATGGACTAGATCGAGGAGAACATCAGTGATGGTTGAGGCGCATAGACGGTAAAGCACACAATATATTCGATTTGCTTCTGTGTCCAAATCGAGCGAGCTGTATTGCATTCCCCACATTCATTCGAGACGCGTAAGCTGCAAAAGAAATCGGCGATCGCGTTGACAAGCGGGGGCAAAGGAGAAGGAAAAAAGCAGACCATCTCCTTGTTGTCCCAGAGACGCTGATTTAGCAAGTAACATGGTTCGACTCGGGCCTCCGACGCGAGCTCATTCGTCACAAGGCAATGTTTGATGTTTGAGATGGCTGGTTGCGGAGCTGGAGAGAGTGTTTCATTAGGAGTTACAGAGCGTTGGTCCGTAGGGATAACTTTGCTAATCCTCGCGAATGGAGTAGGGACGTTCGGATGATGATCAACTTTTTCAAAGAAGGGAAATCAGTAGGTATAAAAGGCTATCAATGAGGGTCTGCGCACTCAACATGTGTGTAGATTCGGCCTCTCTCAGCCTCTTAGCTGGGGTTGACACCCTCGATGGTGTGAAATCCCTGCTGCGCTTCAGGCCCGGCCGTTTAACGCCCGAATCTATGGACCGTGAGACACAGTCGGCGGATTGTGAGTCAACGTCTTTTAGAATCAGTGTTTGAGCACATGGAACGAACGGTTGGAAAAATATAAGCATACCGGTATTGCCGGTATTGGTTGAAGAATCTGCAATGCGCCCACTCCCCTTCGATAGGCTTGACCCAATCAACATCTGGGATGCCGCGCTGCTCGAGGAGCCCCACTGCTCCCTCGGTCGTCGCGGCGCAGACTAAGTGAGATCGCTTGCTGCCACCCGCGATGTGCTGACACGTGACCGTGACCGTTGTCAGTCAGACAGTCTGGTGAAACAAGAGTCAACCTTGTCCTAGCAGCGGGAATAAGACTCGGCGCTCCCTCACATCCTGCCCTTCGCAAAACCCGTCCGCGAACCTCAAATCTTATTGCAACATTATCGCACGATGGAAACGCAACCTATGAAAGGGTTGACATTAGCAGACAGTGGGGGGAGCAGTACAGACCTCACAAGTGCGTCTATGCTCGTGCAATTTCCTGTCATCATCTCCTCACTGGTTCATCGCTAAGATAGTGATAGTGGCCCTAGTAACTCCAAACGCAAGAGGTCTAGCTCCGATTCGGTACTCGTGGGCGTAAAACACCGCCGCACAACGAGCTGGGAGCAGTCTCCGATGCCCAGCGGGTCAAGTCCAGCGAAAAGTATTGTAAAAGCAAAATCTCCTCTTCACATAAGTATGTAATCTCCGTCTTGTATATCAATTGCATGCGCTTATGAGCCAGCTGCATAAAAGTGGAGACGGGGTACACCCGTACGTTGACCTTACGTCGCTTTTTCTCTGATATACTGAATCCTCGAATCTTCAAGATGTGAACTTGAAACGCAAAAGGTCTACATCAGAACCAGCGGTTTCCAGCCTAAAACGTCGCAAAGTAGCAAGCAGCGATCAGCCTGTAACGTGGAATAGTCGAGCTCCCGTTAGGAGTAGCAGTGAACAAGATGGTTCCAATACAGCAGGTGTGTGAATATTTTTATTTGGGGTCTGATAATATCGGCCTATTTTTTGCCTGACAAGATAGCGAGCGTCGAGTTACGGACTCAGGTCAAGCCCAAAGCATTGACGGGACAGATACTCCAGTGATACCATGTACGTCTGTGTTCGTGTATTTCCTCATCTTGCATACTGATATGTTGCGAAATCAAGCTATGAGAGATCACAATCGAAAATCGAAGCGCTTAGTAGCATCCACGCAGGTCAAGCGATGTCTTCTAACGCAAGAACTCTCCTCAGAAGCTTCAGTGTCATCATGCTATCTATTGAATCAACGCTTGTGGAATAGTGAGCTGGTGAGGTCAACAGAGCATCGATTTGAGGATTGCTCTGACTGACTTTGCATAGTTAACGCGTCTGGAATGGTGGTGGGGGATGGAATCCAATTCACTCGATCCGAGGACGGAATCGAACAAGATCTACCGTATGCGTCTCTGTCGTTTGCACTGGTCATAGATTGTCACTGACATCGTGTGCGGCCACAGTACGGCGCGACTGGTTGAAGTCGTTTGATAGTGAACGATGGTTACTTGTTCCCTCTCCCGAAATGATCGAGAAATTTAGGACCCTTTACGATAAATTCCTCTTCGGTCCAAGAGATGGTTCAGATCAAACTCTGATTGATACGGTCTGTCTCTGATGTTTGATACAGATCTTCTCATCTAATGATCCCTTTTAGATGTACGACGGGGCCGAAACTTTTGAATATCGAATGCTGCCATTGGACGACGAACTTCGATCGTTCAATCGAATTGATTATCCAGACTCACCTAGTGAAACAAGCTTTCCGGGCATCAGAACTGCTGTCGAACCGCGAAGGACTCGCCACTTTTATCCGTTCCACACCTTGCCAACTCTCGTTTCTCGTGCCAAACCTCACTTCGTCATCTGCGACACTGCTGCGAAGTTGTATCAACGAAATACTTTTGGGGTTGAAATCAGAAATAGATTGAAGTCGGTTTGGCAAGGGCACGATTTCGATCCCTCTTCCATGATCTTCTTTATAACAGAGACCTATGGCATGTGGTTCACGCGTGAGGTACCCGCCCATGTTATCTCCAATCCCCGTGTCCTCGTCCCTATCCCGCCTCTCCATCCTTACTTAGATGGCGCCAAGAGGCATTGCCCCTCTGGTACATCTTGTAGCGGGCCATGCGTTCGCAACCGATTTGCATGGATGCCTACTTGTTGTGCACACTGTCGAGGGAAGAAGAGCATCTCTTCTGGCAACCCAAACTCGCTCCACTCTAATAGCAATGAGGATTCTGACACCGGCCATCAATCTGATCGGATGGCCCAATACCGAGCATACCTTAGACGTGTCGCTCATCGTATCCGCTCCTGGCAATCGTGTTGTATGCAGCAGGTGACGAAGCGAGGGAGATCGACATCCCGCGTAGTCAATGATAAGCAGCTGGGGGGTTATTCTAAAAAAGTGGGCCGGACTCTTACAAGAACTGTATGCGTGGACACCAATTATAAAACCACCACGCCTGATTCCTGACGACCATCAAATCTCCGTGGGTTTTGTCCCATTAGAGGCATACATGGCAAAGCAACAAATGTCAAACTCCTTTCGATGACTCAACATGGTTTCTCAACTGAGGAACAGCCACTATTGACCACGCAGGTGGCTGCTTCTCCCACCCCCTGAAATGGTAGACAGAGTCTGGGCTCGCTATTTCATGATAGATCTCAAAAGTCCGATCCAACAATCTCCCATCGAGTCGGTCCGTCTGTCATCGTTTTCCGCGATAACTCTCTCCGACGGTTGTGTAGATTTACGAAGGTGCTGAGGTCTTTGAATATCGATTGTTTCCATTGGACAAGGATCTTCGTCCAATAAAACGATTCGACGAGCCAGACTCGACCAAACGGTCTTTGCCACTCAATGCTGACCCCACCGAGCAGAACTCTACCCACCATTCATATCCATTTGACAGTCTACCGATCCTCGTTTCCAGTGTCCAACCCCACTTCGTCATCCTCGACTTGGCTGAAAAGCTGTTCAATCAGCCACGGATAGTGTCGACTGTGGTGCCTTCACTTTGGCCGATTTCCGAGTACGATGCCAGCCATATGCTTTGGCACCTCGAATTCGTGTATTGTGTTTGGCTTGAAATTGAGGCGCCCCCTGGATTTGCGTCTACGTCGCGCACTCCTCTGTGGGCGTCTGCTCTCGACGCGGGTGCATGTCTGCCAACGTCGCGGCCGATGTCGCTGACTGTCTGCACTGGGCCGTGCTTCCGCAGCCGGTTTGCGTGGCAGCCGTCTGTCTGCTCTCGCTGTCTGCATACTGGCGATGACAGCATGAGCGATGACTCTGCCGCCTCAGACAGCGACGATGACTTCAGGAGCCTTAGCCCATCCGAGTAAAAAAACGTACCGCCAGAGCCTAGATCGATATATAGTGACCTGGCGCACGCGATGTCTCAAAATGGTCGGGAAGTGCGGGCGATGGACTTCCCGTGTGGTCAACGACAAGCAATTGCGAGGATATCCTGAGAGCATGTGCGGTTGAGGATACCGACACGACGACAATAACTGCATAGTAATCAGTGCTTGCTCCTCTTATCTCAGGAGGAGTCGGTTGGAAACAAGTAGTTCGCGTGCACCTTCGTCTAGGACACATTTTCGTTGGTGTATCGTCGGGTGAACTGACATGACAATTTTTCAATCAACATTGTGAGTTCTTTGTGTGCATGGTGAAAGCCACAGTCACCTGTGGCATTGTGAAATGTTGTGAGAAGAAAGGAACTCAACAAAATGTGGCTTGGGGCATCGTGATCGAAACATGTCACTTGTGATCACGTATCACATGACCGCCCCACTTGAAAGTGGCTCGCTCGCTCTCGCTCGTTCATCCCCAGTGAGAACGCCCAAGTATCAGAACAGATGTGGGCGGATGAGAGCAATATATTCGCTCGCAACCATTAGCAATTGAGCACATGCATTCCCAGTCCAGAAATTGGCGATGTGTTGGAATGTCGTCAACTGCTGGCAAATGAACAGTGAATGAACATATATCACTCCGTTCTCATACAATAGTATTTGATGCTTCATATATCTCATAGCATCTCATTAGGTATCACTCGACACAATACATTGACGGAAGCACAATTTTGATCATTTTTTCAGTCGAATGCCATCTATTGTCAACAGTTGCAGGTAACTTATGTTGAAATTTGAGTGGTTCCACATAAATGAGAGCATATGAAGGCCGATGTGATTGACAGGCTAATACATGTAGGATTAATCCAAATGCCAGCAAATGACAGCAAATGACAGCAAATGCTCTTGGGTTCTGGATCTTGCACCACCCATCCTGCTCCTCCTGCTCCTCTTGCTCCTCCTGCTCCTCCTGCTCCTCCCACCACTTCTTCCCTGCTACTACCACTCCTGCCACTCCCACCACTGCTCCTGCCACTTTCACTCCTACTCCTGCTCCTTCTGCTCCTGCTCCTTCCACTCCTGCCACTCCTGTGCCCACTCTGTCCACTGCTCTACCACATCTGCTAGTCTCGCCACCACTGCCACTGCTCCTCCACTGTGCTGGCTCCTCTGCTCCGCTGGCTCCTCTGCTCTTCCTGCTAATCCATTGCTCCACTGCCCTTCCTACCACCACTACTCCTGCTACTCCCGCTGATGCCGTCGACTCCACTCTTCCACTGTACTCACTCCTTCGCTGATTCTGCTCGTCTACTGTTCCACTGCCTGTGCTGCTACTCCTGCTCCTGCTGCTTCTGCTATCCTTGCCAATCCCACCAATCCCGTTCCTCTGCTGTTCTTGCTGCCCTATTCCTCTTGCTCGTCAAACTTTGCACCACTCCGTCATCTCAGTGTGCTGACCATCTGCATGCATGCTGCTGCTCCCCATCTGTCCACCACCCTACTCACATTTGTCCACACTTGCCTGATCCCCATCTATACCACTCTTAGCTTATCCTCGCCTTGTTCAATGCTCCCTCTTGCCTGTCTCCATCCGATCTTGGTCCACAAGGTTGGCCCCTTCTTGTTAACACCCCTCTGGCCCACATACCCCTCCAGATCTATGCTGTCTTTGTTGAGATGTTCTTTGCAAGTCTCTGAAGTTATATCATGAGCATGAGTACAGTATATGTCAATTCTTTCATACCAATTTTGTACAGTGATTCTTTAGTTCCTATTTATGAGACCATGCAGATGAATCCACAAATTACCCTTTGATCTAAGAATTGTGTGCATACCTTCATCTTGTCAGCACAGAGAGCTGCATAGGCATTGGAGCATTCATAGTAATAACTATTAGGATAGTGTTGAAGCCAGTGAGCAAGAAAAACATTCCTAGCAATGGTTTAGTTATTATGAGCTTTTAACAAAGGAAAACACACTGTGTACTAATAATGCTAGCCTTGTACTTCTCCTTTGCGAGTACCTTAGAGTGTTTTTTTGGTGGTGAGTTTGGCAAGGTGCCAGGTACAGTGTTTGCTCTGGCACTAGCAGGCTGGTGTTCAGTCACTTTGTTTGTGGCTTCGGTGGAACATATTAAATTGGGAGCAGGTTTGGCAATGGCGGTGGGTGTTCCTATGGTGACATCCAAAGAGTTGGAAGGGGATGCTGGTATATGCACATGCCTGGGTTGATGTGGTAACATGCTACATGTCGAGTGGCACAACGATTAGTACAATACCACGATATAGAACAATCACTTACAATGGATTATCAACTGGAATAATCTGTGAATTATGATGAGCATGGTGGCGACAGTAGAGGACACGGTATGTACCTTGTTGGGAGCTGGAGTGTTTGGTGCTGGTATCTCAACAGAGCTTGATGCAATAGAGAGACTTGTGACGGCTGTTAAGCCGGCTAGGCTTAGTCGCGTGCACGTGATACACTAGGAGGGGTTCCCTGGGCTAAAGCTGATTGTGATGGCCCAACGAATAAAGACAATGGTTCGTCTGCGTGCGTAATCCAAGAAGTCTTGGTTACTATTGATCTTGTCTTCGAACAAGTGGAGAAGATGATTGTTTATAATCGACTAATGTTCTTCAGGAACGAACAAGTCTTCTCCGATAGAGCAGATTACTTTGGGTGGATCCCAGCGAATGACTCGATAAGCAGCGAGTCCTTGATAAGCGATGGAGATGGGAGAATGATAAAGGCTTTGAGACAAATCCAGTGCTTTGTCAGACTAGGTATGATTCAATTGATCTGACAGAGTTCGCAATGCGTGGGCTTGGAAGGAGCCAGATGCTAGGCGCAGTGCAGAGATCAAGATTGTATACGAAGTGAACGAGCTGAGGCTTCTAAGAAGCTCAGCTCTCCTATATATAGTACATGGCTATTTAGGGCGGGACGGACATATGGTCCGTGCTTCTAAATGCTAAGTACTATCAACGATCGATGCATGTAAGCCGCAGTCATTGTTCGTACTCTGCGGCTCCTCAATGTAACCATATATAGTAAGTATATCAAATGTCTGTCCGCAGCAATATCAAATGGAACTGATCACGATCAACATCAGTCATCGCAACAGAAGAAGAATCATAGTACGTAAGCGTTCATGCATCAGCATGTAAATGGTAGCCAGTCTGAGTCCGAGTCATGCGTGTAGCTCATGACCGTGTCCTGAGTCACGTGCCTAGACACGTGTCAAGTCACAGTCCTAGTCGTTAATAGTTCGAGTCCGAGGAAACACCTGACCTTCCCTTCTGTTCACATGCCAAGCACGTGTTAGGATGCAGTCCTAACAACGGCCTTGATCATGAGCATCTGTCCAGTCATAGGCATGCTCATTTGTGGCAGCAATAGTGCAGTGTCCACTTGTGTGATCTCCTGTGCAGTCTGTGGTTGTGTAAGAGTGGTCATTTTGAGTATAAGGGATAAGGCAAGTGGTGATAACGCGATGCAACAGGTTGGCGAGACTATAGCAGGCATAGTTAGTGCCATGCGTGCATGCAATGGTGGATGTGTAATGGATGCATGCGCTATCGTTAGAGAGGCAGTTGCTGGTGTTGACTTTGCCAGTTGAGCCTTTTTCTTATTTTGCCCTTCATTTACATTGCCGGCAGCTGCATTGTTAGTATGCCACTCCTGTTTCACAGCAACTCTTGATATCATGATACCCAGATCTACGTCAGCAGGTTCCTTCTTGATGGCTTTGTGACCATGGTTTGTCCAGAATTCAGAGTAGGCTTGTGTAATCATAATGTTAATCTTCCATCTTCCCCCTTTGCAGAACAAGAGCAAGGGAAAGTGGTTAGCCATGGTGACGTGGATATATACACGCGCCTCGTGAGTAAGGCTGTTTGAGACTTCCGCCGCCTGACTATTAGCAAGCAGCAATTGAAAGAGAGAGTTGAGCATTGCTCGCATCTCCTTTGCCATTGTGTATGTCACAGGTCACCCATCTGCCTCTTTGGCAAACTGAAGCCCAATATTCTTGCTCTGTGGACCGCCTTTTCCTGCTTTACCTTTTTCTCGACTATTCCACTCCTCACGATAAAAGTATGGGAGTTTGCTGCAGTCACTATCCTTGTTTGGTGCTGATGGCATGATCATGTTGTGCCCAAGTATAACATGGCTCAGGCACTGTTGCAAGCTCTGTGTTGTGGTAATAGGCATGATTACTGATGGTGAAACAGACATTAAAGGGATAGGGTGACTAAAAGGATTGGATGTCATAGAAAGCAGCTACAGAATAGTGGTGATGATTTCATTATAGGCATTTTTAGTGAGAGAGATTTGTGAAGGCTAAAATTAAAGATAATTGGTTGACGAAAGACATACTTGTATAGCATAACTTATGCGAGGAGACCCCTATGCTAGCTCCCTGCTTGAGCAAGTTGCTGGAGGCATTGATTATATGGGCGGTTGCCAGCGCGTACAAGCATATTGTGATCAGCATCAATAAGGCTGTGTGAGACATTGTAGTAGTCATTAGAATTCTATCGAGATATATTAGGGCTTGTTATCGGCTCGCAGGTAAAATTCAAGCATGCCCACAGATGCCAAACTCTGCGATAGATAAGATTGGTAATGTGCATGGGAAGAGTCCATTTGATAATATGGAAGCTTGAGCCAATTAGATGAGAATGATAAAAAAGCTGATGAACTTGATGATGGTAAGGATGGGGAAGTTGTTGTCATATCAAATCTAGAATGTGAAGGCAGCAAATCGGAGGTAGTATCAAGGAAAATAAACTTGGGTGAAGGCATCTAAGATAGAGAATACCAGAGTTGAAAGACTCAATATGGCTGATTTGTGTGTTTGAGGGATCCAAGGAGATCGTGGCAAGAATGGGTATTTAAGTCAAGGGGTTTTCTGTATGCTGTGGATATGATGAGAGAGTAAAGGTGATTCTATTAGCTATAGAAGGACGAAAGAAGAATAGGAGGTATATTGGAAGGCAAAGCAAGAATAAGAAGATTGTGTGCTGAGTGCAACAACAAGGTTGCTGCCAGCGGTGGTTGTTATTATAGTAGTACTCTCTAATTTGGATTTCATGAATGCTACTTACATGCATTATCTCTATGACAAAAAAATTGCTAGTTCTCAAAGGTGTCTGTACATGCATTAGGCAAAATCACAGAGTCTCTACTCAGCAAAAAATATACTATTATACACCAACTGGCAGCACCTCATCGTGGTCATTGTCATCATCACTAACATTATTGTCATTCTCACTTGCTCCTCCCATATTCCCGATGTCTGCACCAAGCTTGTCCATGGCAAGATATAACTGCAGAAGATCAGTATCTGGGATTAAGAATATGTATAATACCATTGCAACACATGTCAAGATTGTTTTAACATTGATCACAACAAGGGTGTTATTCCCTTGTGCTTGGCACACCCAAACAGTACCCGATGATTCTGCAAGCAAAAACTCATTCTCAAGCCCATAAAGAGAGACCATTGTGAGGGTGTGCATGGTGTTGTTAGCTTTATGCTGGAAGAAATATAGGACTTCTCCATATCTCAATAGAGCACCATACATAATCTGTGCATACAAGAACAAGAAGGTTCAGCAAGTAATACAAAAACATGTTTGAATGCCTAACCTTTGCATTCTGATTCATGCGAGAGGCGTTGTTGGTGATCTCCTCCCATGCAGTGCGAATAAATTGTCCATTCAGCAGATAAAGGTGTCCCCAACGCTGAACACAGGGGTTTTTAGACCAATCATCCTGCACATTGGCAAGTCTTCCAAATCTCCCAAAGTATGCTTTGATAGCTTCTGCTTCACATAGTTAAACTGGCCTTGGATGATCCTGGTAAGGATGATGTAAGATGAACCTATCGTGAAGGTCATGGCTCTCAACCTTGGGAGGCACTAGACATGGCTCAAGCGTAAGATTAGGCTGCATGGCTTTGAGGGCATTGACCTGGGCTTGGCGAAGTGCATGCTGCGCCAGGTTTGCAAAGGGATTTGATAGTTGCTTAGTTTCTGCACCCAAATCTCCTATGGTTTGCTCCATGGGAAACTGCAATGAGCATCCAAGAGGACCGATTCGAAAGGTGGTGCTAGGTGTGTGTGTAATGGCATGCATGCATTGTGGCACAAAATGAAGGCAAGAGGTTTTATGCTGGACATAGAGAACTTCAAAGTCGTATACAAAATCTGACAATAATATTGATGCCTTGAGTAATTGGTCGTAAGGAATATGTAGCTGAAATATTATTTGTGCACCAGCTGCAAGTTTGCAGAAGTTTCGCCAGTACTTGTCTGGAAGAATACCATGAAGAAGACCAGGACCAAGCCCATAGAGATAATGGAGAAATTCCCAATACTTGTAACTACTTGAAATCTTCTCGGCCGGTTGCGTGGAGGACAATCAAAGGAACCAGGAAGGAACTGCCTTGCATTTGCAACATCTTGGCAATGCTGCTTCCAGACATTGCCTACTAGAGAAACCCAGTCCCATGTGTCTCTGTCGTCACCATTTTTCCTGTCGCACTCCATTGTACTATGCCAGAGCTTGAGCAAGAGGTCTGGAATATTAAGACCAATAAGATGCATGATATCTCCAGGAAAGAGTCCAGGAATTGGCGGTCGACATTCCACCGGCATACCACTGAAAATGCTTGGCCTCGATATTCCAGTCTTGAGATGCTGACGTTCATACTCCACAATAGATGCAGACTGCTAGAGTTGAATACAGTCATCTTGATATTCTTTAGGAGACTGAACAGGCAGGTTGGCAGGCTCATCGTCATTGTGATTACATCCATCCTCATTGTAGTTATCTGGCTTTAGACAGGCTGCATAGTAATGCAAACCACCTGGTTTTCTGCACCCTATCCTATTGCAGCCTTCACGATAGCCCTTCTTTCCATGATGGCCAACTTCTCCATGGAGAAGAGGTGCTCCGACAGCATCTGCAGTTACAACAAAAATCCATGGGCGAGATGGGAATGTTGTTCTTGGACAGGCATCTCATATTCAGAAGCATTCTTTCTGCAGTGCTGCGACATGGTAAAGGCCAGGATACATGAATGAATCCGTGTTCTTCAGCTTGTTGGGACCAGGAATTATGGCTCTAGGCATCACATATCTCTTTTTGTAGCGCTTGTCGAGAGCGAGATTTGGCAGGATCCATATGTAAATCCAGCAGTCTGAGGCTTTGTTCTTGTATAGCTGTGCCCCGTCCATTGAAAAAATCACAACTACATCTCTAGGCAAGATCTGGCCATGCTGATAAGCATCCCAACAGTCCAAGCCATGAAGCACATCCTCGAAAACTGCAAGCTTTCCTGAAATGCACAACTCTGCAAGGATAGTTTCCATCTTTTCTTTGAAATAATGCATAGAAGAAGCACCTTCAGGTGAGCAGTATTGTGCTTGGCATTATGGGCCAAGGGAAATTGTATGGAACTGCTGTCGAGGCTTTTTCTTGCCAGTCAAAGCCAAATGCACTTCATCATACTGAGACCTGTGGCATAGAGGACACTTGTCCAGGTCTGCATAGGGGCTGGTGTAAGCGGCGCAGGTGTTTGGACATATGTTGTGTATAATAGAAGTGATCCCACTCAACTCGGCAACTTTTTTCTTTACTAGATGATGAGAGAGAACCTTGTCTGTTAAATGACATTGCAGGCAAGCAGTGCAAGACTCGTTATAGATTTTCTTGGACCCATCCATGTTGGTGAGAAAGAGATCAATAGAGAGACAAATATCTGGATCATCGAGCTCAGTGACCTCCTCAAGAGGATGACAAAGTTGCTCAAGCACTTCCGGGTCAAGTTTGTCATCCTCGAGATGTGCCAATTTCGATGCATTGATGAACTTGAGTGCAGTGTCTACAGATGGTATGTGGGATGTTTCTGCGTTGTTACCATCAATGTCAGGCTGCCTCTCCTCTTCCGCTAAGTCCTCTGGCATTTGGACGCCTCCACTACCTTCAACATCCAAAAATCCAACCAAATCTTCAAGATCCTGGACGGCCTGCTGCAACTGGTCTCCATCATCTGGCACAGGAAGTAGGTCAGCAATCTCATCCATCTCATTATTTGCTTGTTGAGCTAGTTCCTGCAATGAAATAGAGTGAGTATATTATCTAGGAATGAGTGATATCAATTACAGGGATGCCTACCTGGTTGGGATCGACATGATTCCCATCCTTGCTGCCCTCAACTGTTCCGGCTCGATGTCTTAGATGCATCTGCCCCACATCTGCCCTAGGTCCATCTCCATGCAGCCAAGTGTGCTTCTGACATGTCCGAGTGCGAGTAAGAATCCTATGCAATGAGTTCCAAGCAGGGATCTGGCCTGCTGCCTACTGAGCCTCGTGATCTCGTTTGTGCTCATACCAGATTGTCCAAGAGCACCAAGACTTCCCCTTATCTAGACAGGTTATGCGTCCACAATAGTAGACATCTGGATTGTCGAGACCTCCGGTCTCTAGAGGACCATGGGTCGTATGGGCGGCATGTCATAGGTTGACCTGAGGAAAAGTCTAGCAGCCACGCTCTATTCTTGAAACTTGGAGGATGGCACTAATGAAATGAAAAATGGATGTGTTATGTTTGTGAAGTTGAACAAAGAGGAAAGAATGCACCAGTAAAATTGAGGGACTCAGAGTGTTAGTAGTATGTACTATGCAGTATGGCACTGATTCATGCTCACCATGACATCACCTAGCATGCTTCCGCAACTCGCCATCTGGCCCTTGTCTACACTTGCTCACCATGGCCAGCCCCAATGCACTTGTGCACCCCAGAATTGACAATATCATTGCTAAGGCCAACTTCTGCTGGGCCAACAGGTACGATGATAACAGCAATGATGACAACAATCCCCAGCCCAGGGTGTGTCCAAGCCCCTACCCTCCTCCCGCATCTTACACACCCTGCCTTTGTGATGTGCCATGCGCTCATGCAGCTGCTCTGGATTAGCTGCACCAATACGCCTTTCTCGAGATGATCTTCCTCAACTCCTCAACAAGTAGCATCTTCGTCTACTGCTACATCACAAAGTACGCCCCCAGCACTGCTCAGTGTCATTATTTCTGAACTCACACCCTGCTTCGCTTGTCGCCCATTGATTCTCATTCATCTGGAAAACTATCCCTTTGTATTAAGCTCTAATTAGTTCTATTATGCATAATTAAGAACAATGAGGATTAGACATTTTTAGCTTACCCTCCCTCTAAACCTGTTCTAATTAAACATAATTTTCATAAATTAGGAATTATTAGGATTAATCATAACTTGAAATTTCGGAAAAATAATAATAAATCAAGCATCACAGTTTTCATAGCTTTCTTATAGAGTCATGTCTATTAGAGCACTAATTCAATACCTAAACACAGAATATACCTTATAACAAACTTGCCTTCTGCCAGAGTTAAACCAACAACCTCATGTATGCAAGCACCCAGGACAGATGCTCTAAGCCACTAAGCCACAAGGTCTAAGATATGAACTTGATAATCTAAATAAGTAGACGTAATATAGGCAACCTCAACATCTCTGATTTTATTTAACATTTATCTTTCCTCTATTTTATAAATAAATAGGTCAATAAATACCTAAAAAGTCAGGTCTTTTAGGATTTAGTTTAAACACCAGCTAAGAAGATAATCAACCAATGGAAAATCAATAATACGCTTTATATAGGATAAAAATAGATTATGGCACTTATACAATTTGGACTGAGAATGTGTAAAACTATGATTGAGTGTAATATTCAATGGGACTCTACTAGTATAGACAATGCTACCTGAACTTGCAAATTTGATCAAAAACATGAATATGAATAATCAAGATCCAATAAGAGAGAGGGCTTTTCCAAATAGCCACTAGTGAGGTAGAGGGTGGGGACAAGGGTATATATATGGCATGCCTATGTATAAATAAGCACAAGATTATTAGAAATGATCTTGATATGCTTAGTGCACATATTTCCTACATAGCAGGCAAACATATTATTCTGGCACTGCATACCAACATGACTGTCTTTTCCATAGCCCAATAGCTAGAGAAAAACACCAAGTTTGAGCATCTTCAATATAACAAGGCAATGGACAATATGGATGGCACTGAGAATTGTAATATCAATAGTGGTGATGATTATATGCTGCACAAGACAGTATTAACCACTGTACTAATAGACAAGGTCTATAAGGCTGCATGTAGCACATCCCTAAGCCCAACCTGCATGTTGTGTCATGTAATGACTAGTAGCAGGCATTGGCTAACAATGATAACTTTAATGATCTTGTATGCAAGGCCAAGGTACTGAGGTCTTTATAGTCTCTTGTGGCAGCTGCCAAGCTGCTAATAAAGTGGCTGAGGGCATCAATGCACATTTCTCTCTTTCTATGTCCCTTTTAAAGGCAGCTAGAAAGTCAGCAAAAAAGCTACAAAATCATGGTGCAGGCATATGTGAAGGAGAGTAATATGCTAAAATAGCATAGAATGTGCCGCATCTTTATTTTTTCACTGATAGAGCAGTTGTACTTATTATTTCCTACTGCTAATTAAAGACTTCTTAGTATAGAATTAGTGCTAATATCATGAAATTAGAAACCAATCCAATGCTCACAATGTATTGCTCCCAATTAGGAAATTAGACACTTTTAGATACTATTAATACTTTTAGATACTTTTAGACACTATTAGATATAATCTGGAGCTAATACAAGGGGGTGTTTTTCCAGATGTCAACATGCTTGCCATTTCCAACTATGCCATCCAAAAGCTCAGAGTTGACCACAGTACGTGTCTTCCTCTCTAATCCACTCATAGCATGCTGACAAGTTTCCCTCCTAGTTGTTGTCATGGGCCACATGGACTGCGACAGTATCCATGCATGGCTCAAAGCTAATGAGGCGGGCCCTACTGCAGCTCCTTCGATGCCGCTCAAGCACTGGCTCGCACTGCTCACCATACTCGCCACCGCCCTCCCCCCACTACATCCCATTGCCGCCGGCAGTACCGCTGGATTCTATCCCTTATGCTGGAGGGTGACTTTGCACAATTGTGCACTACTGCTGCTGCTAATCAAATAGAACGTTGCAGTGCAAGTTGCAAGCGTCGCATACACACATCACTCCGCTCATCTTGTCTGGACAATATACTCACAACTACTAGACACATCCCTATCCTTCCTTTGCCCACTAGCGTCAATAGCATCCCCCATCCTCTACCTGTGCAGCTCGCCCTCATCCTCTCCATTGTCCTCCAGGAAAACAAGGACTTCAAGCACAAGCTCCATGTCTCAAAGCACCACGTAGACTGCCTTGACTACTCCCTCAATAGCATATCCGTAAACTAGCAAGAGTCCCCCCACTATTCATCCTGGACTTTTCCTTCTCAAAACTTACACTCAAGGCCACCCTCGACCTCAAGGCAAAGCTTGACCCAGAGTCCGCAGCCCACCTCGATGCCAAGACCCACCTCCACAGCCTCACGGATGCTTGGGTAAACCTCGATTGCTTCCTCTAGCATACAAAGCTTCATGCCGCAAACGTCTGCGCTAGCTTCACCTATGCTGTCCATGATGGTGCCATAAAGCTCGCCCTTGATGGCATTGCTTCTAGCCTAGCCACCCCACCCCCTGCCCCTAATCACACCACCCCACAACATTAGCACTAGTACTAGCAGAGCCACCCCTTGTCCTCGTCCTTATTCTTGGCCGCCCGTCACATGCAGCAGCAGTACCCTAGCCCGAGTACAAATCCAAGGTGTAGAAGACCCTCACTGGCAGTGTTGGGGTGCCTTTCATTTGTTGGTTTGACATGGAATGTAATTACAATGCCATGGCCATCAATCTCCTTGGTCCCTTGCTCAAGGACCTATTCAACTTCTGCAACCAGAAGTTTAGTCTTGAGATGGTGCTTCTGTTGGCCAATCAACTGGTATGGTCTTGTTCTCCAGTGATATCTGATAAACTCAGCTCTTGTTTTAGATTTTGCTATGGTTGGCACAGGGCAGAAGGAGCGGGGCATGGCAAATAGAAGTGTGGTGCTATGGGCAGGAAGAAGCATGTGGGCAAGGATGCCAATGGGGACGAGGCAAACAAGTCTGATTATCTCAAGTCAAAGCTGTGGTGTGTCTGTTTGCCTCTTTGCGGTTCATGGCTGCACTGCCGGTGTTGAGTGCGAGCACATGTGCAGGTGGTCCAGGTTCCTACTCATGAACACCGGCAAGCTGGTAACTTTATCTCATGTATTCATGCCCATATCCATTGTTGTGCCCCTAGGCACGGTGCATTCACTGTGAACTGCCTCTTCACCCTGCTGCTCCTAGGCAAGCACTTCTGCACTGTAGGCCCCTCTGTCTTGTTGCCAGCTCACACTCTGACCACACATCATTGTGCGTGATCTGCATGATATGCTGAGTATATTGCTTGCTATCATCAGCACAGTCACCATCATGCTCTTGTCCAACCCATCCAATATGTGCCCCCCTCCTGCGGCACTGCTCGAGGCCATCAAGCAGTGCATCTTCATCATGTACTCTGTTATCTATGCCGCTGGCACCGTCATCTTCACCGGCTTGTCAGAGCGTGGCGAGTGGGTGGACATTGGGCTCTGCCTGCTCTTTGGTGCGTTTGGGTTCACTTTGTGCTTAGACGAGGTCTTACTTTTGCATGCCACGCACGTGTGTCTCACAGGCGGGTTCACGGTGCTCGCAACAAAGGGCATGTCGGTGCTGCTTATGATGGAATACATAGAGATATTTGCAGAGTGGATCACATATCCTATTCTAGCGGTTCGCCCTCCCGCCCCTTGCGCATTTTTCGCTGCATCGTGCTGAGAGAATGCATCCAGATCTTGATTAGCACCGGCATTGGCCAGATCAGATACCTCAACCACATGCACCCACCCATCGTGCACCCGGCCCCACTGCCATCCCACCCGCACCCATCACTGCCATTGGCACAGTGCAGCACCACCCACAGACCCATACTCCCAAGCTACCAGACACACATCTTTGTGTGTCAACGGCAGCCCCCCAGCCCCCACCCACCTAGCTCACCCTCATCCTCTCCACCATCCTCCAAGAGAACGAGGATCTCGGGCATGAGCTCCACACCACAAAGCGCCGCACAGACCATTTTGACTACCTCAACAACATTTCCGCCAGCCAGCAAGAGTCCCCCCGTGGTCCCCCCCAGTCTCCTCCCTCCCAAAACCTGCACTCAAGGCCATCCTCAAGGCAAAGCTCAACCCAGAGTCTGCAGCCAACCTTGATGCCAACACCTGCCTCCACAGCCTCACAGATGCTTGGGCCAACCCTGGTTGTTTCTTGCAGCACATAGAGCACTGCTCCCCAGATGCCTGCGCCAGCTTTGCATATGATGGTGCCGCCAAGCTCTCAATGGCACAGCATCTAGCCCTGCCACATCTCCCCCTGCCCTCACCTATAGCACCCTTCAACGCTAGCACCATTACCAGCAGACCAACCCTTTTCATCGCTTCTGTTGCCTCCATTGCCCCCTCTGCTGAACCCACGTCAGTCCATGCAATGATGCCACAGACAACCTTGAGCCATCTACTAAGCAGCATTGCAGCACTCACGATAATGATGTCCGTCTTTCCTTCCTGCATATCTTTACTTGCTAGTGCTTACCTTTATCTCCTAACAGACCTCTCTCCTACTGCCAAACCCCTACCTCTACCCTCCCTCCTACTTACAAATCCACTACGCACACACTCACCCCAGCCTTCCACCACTCCATGCTCAGCACTACTATCCCTGCCCCCTCCTATCAGGTTTGTGCACCTCGTATTCAATCAGCGTGCCCCACTGATTGATTTTTCTTCACTTTAGAGAGCTTGTTCATATATCAGACAATCTTATGATAATTAGAGGTGTCTACCATATCCGAATTGCATGTGTCCTAAGAATTGATAAAGGGTACATCTATCGCCATCTCTTTCACCATTTGCAATGTTGTGCTCTTATAGTTCTGATTGTGAGAGGGGCCATACACATATTGCAGCAAGAATGGTGCATCGGATAGCAATAGGGCTCTGATTGAGTGTACCTAGCAAAAATATATGTAAAATTACTGCAATCTATCTCAATTGATTCAGAGGTTCTTGAGAGTAGCTCATTCTCACTCTAAGGCAGAATGCACAATAAATTTGGTTGAAAAGGATCTTTAGTGGATATTTGAAAAGGTACAGTCAGCCTTAATTATTGTAAAGTACACTATTTGATCTGATTTGATCTGACCCAAGGGCAAACAGGAATAGACGAACTTATGACAAGAAAGATTCGAAAGCGGCGAGTTCATACCGGGAAGCAAACTAAGCTGAGAAAATCATGTGCCACATACGAGGCCATTTGCTGGTATTAGTTGTCATTTTTATTCCCCAACAGCCATTCACCAGGACTCATTCTTGTCACAGCTCAAACGAGGGTGTTCTCACTAGGGTTCATTGTTTAACTAGCATCTTGTCGCGCACCTAGAACTCATAACCCATGTTCATCTACTTGAGAATATACTTATATACAAAAACGATCCTAGCAATAATACTGAACATTGTAGTGTAATGGGTATCACAGGATCCTTACCATTGAGATGGTCAAACCCGGCCAAGAGTGGTGTCAAGATGGGTTCAACAGATTCAAAAGGTATGTCTCTGTCCAAGCTGACTTTCATGTTCCTCATTTATTTTCTGTGTCCTTGGGATGTTGACAATTGCTCCAAACATCCTCAACTTGTGCCAACAATCCCGATCCCAAACCATTCGCATGTGTCAAGCAGTGTAACGACTACAACATTGATCGGGTCAAGCCAATTGAAAAGTCTTGGTTGTAGAACGGACTCTTCTTGTATCATCAGTATGTCTGCATATAATAGATCCTATATCCGTTCCGCTTAATCATAAACTCAGAAAGATGTTGATCACCATTCTGAAGGCTCAAAACATGTCAACCATATTCGATGTTCCATTGATTCGGGTGTAACACACTTGGGTCTTAAGTGCAGCAGAGATTCCAATACATCGAATGTATCAATCCCTGTAAAGAGGTGCAGAGGACCTGAATCAGGACCCAAATTTACACAATCTTCCAATGTGCAAACCCTTGTTTGCAACCTTATAGTTTTTGTTACGAACTGCTCGTTCGGTAACCTCAAGAGTAGGAGGTTCTTCCCTAGGTCACTCGTGGAGGATGTGTGGAACGGTGGTCTCGACTGTACGTGTAGCACAGGAGCCAGAGGTGTATTGCGATATAGCAATGAAGGCTGTAGTAGGAAGACTACAGTGGATGAAGTAGACAGTGTGAAGACTGCCTAAGAACGAAGAGAATAGACTGAAGAACCTCAGCCTACTCTATGGGCCTTTTATACTACTTTAGGAAATAGGGCGTGAGAATACCGTATATGTATCCATAGGTATTCTCTAAGTCGTCTCTCTCAATACGACTACTCTTTGTGCTTCTCCGTTAGTCCCCTTCCGGCCAGGAAAGACTAGGAGCTCAATGCCCGATGTGTGAGTAGTTTGTAAGGCGGCGTTCCATGCCCGCTATTGCAATAGGCCCGTGATACTCGACCAACGATAAGGTGATCCGTTGGGAGTGGATGACCAAGGTTACTATCTGTACCTTGTTGTATGCCTCACCGTGTGAGGCCGCTTGATATTTGTGATGATCGTGTCGGTATAGACCGCCGTTAAGGCCTGACAGAACGTGATCATAACAATACCCCCTTTCTACATCCTATTCGCCTGGTAGGACAGCGCTGTGCGCCTCATCGCCACTCCATATACGATTTGCTTTCTTGATCCAAGGCGATCTCCGGATGCGACTTCCGGGATATGACTTCGTTTTCTGGGAGGAAGACCAACTTACATCGTTTGATCCTCTAGGAGTTTTCCATTTCCGTTGAGCTGTTTGTTTCTCGGCCATAACGCAGGGGGTTCCAAGCCCTGGGCCACTAGGATGTTCTTCCTTCACCCGTAAGGATTGATTTTGCCGCGGGTAAATCCATCGCGGTCTTACTTTCAGCCTCCTCTGGAACAGCATCAAGAAAGGCGTATGAATGCGAGTGGTGTGTGGATGAATAGAAACTCTAGCATGTGGGTTCCAATTCATGTCATCAGGTTCTTCTTTTTCCTTCTCCGAGGGCCAAACCTCAGTGTTTCCAGGATAGTTGTTATCCTCGTGATTTTTGTTGTTCCTCTTGGCGTTCAGAGGATGGCGTCCACGGGCAAGTAGGTTGATCGCTTTACAAAGGCTTAGGCCTACTTCCCCAGACTACCATCTTAACGTCCCAAGCAGTATCGCTCCCATACGGTGAGCTCATCTCCGGTGAGGTTGCAGCCATAAATCCCAAGCAGTATTGCCCCCATACGGTGGGCTCATCTCCGGTGAGTTAGTTCGACGTCCAGAGTTTGTTTGATTCACTATGCGTATTGGGTTTGAGGCAAGGATGTGAAGAGAATTAGACTTGAAAGGTGCCGTGAGGAGCAAGGAGGAGTCTGACTCCTTCTCCGGATCGGCCCGTTCGCTTGCACGAATAGACATTAAGACCACAGCTGATATATTTGTCGGGTTGCGAGATATATCCACGACTAGCAGTTTAAACATCTTGCCGGACGTTCCGTAGTTTATCGTCGTTGCGGACGACAGTAGTTTTACATCGTTTCGGATGTCAGTAGTTTTACATCGTTTCGGATGTCATTAAGGCGCCCTGCGCTGCCTTGTAGTTTACTTCTAGGTCATTTTCGGACCTTCTTCATCATCAACATGGAATATCTGTGGGAAAAAGATGTTTCTGCACTCCGGACCATTCATCGGTTATGTGCATAGGGCCCTAGACCAGACTTTATCCCGCAGATTTCCACTGAGGCATGATGGGAACGGTTTATACTATATCAAACCGGATAACTTATACGTCTCAATATTAGGAGACCGCTCAGTTTAACGCCGTGAGGTAGGCAACCTTGCAGTTTAACGCCGTGCTTTAGGCGACTTGCAGTTTAACGCCGTGCGATAGGCGAGCTATCGTCTGACTATGTCCCTCGAGTCACGATAGGCTTTTCCTTCCGAGGATGAAGGTAGTTTACCGTCTTTTCGGACGTTATCAGTGTCGTTCTCGTCAAGGACGACGTTGATGATGATCCCTGTACTAAAAGGGACGAGTAGTTTAACGTCATCTCGGACGGTTGGTGACCACGGTCTTGGTCAACAACCACAACTCCTGTTTGGTAAGGAGCACGTAGTTTAATGTCATTGCGGACGATTGACAGCATGGCGGTCAATCCACAACTCCTATACGGTAAGGAGCAAGTAGTTTTCCGTCATTGCGGACGCATTGGTGTCCGGGGGATTGGACATCAATGACAACCCCTAGGTCCAGGGGCACTAGTTTAACATCGTCGCAGACGCGCGGTATCTTGTCAAGATCGCCATGCACGATCCCTATGCTTGAAGGGACAAGTAGTTTAGCGTCGTTTCGGATGCGTGGGGATAATCCTTGATTTCCACCACGCACGATCCCTAGAACGAAGGGACGGTAGTTTTACATCATTTTGGATGCCCGTAGTTTACCGTTGTTGTGGACGTCGACACCATTTCCATTGCAAAAATGGCCTCGAACAATCCCTATGTGGAAAGGGACAATAGTTTATCGTCATTGCGGACGAATGGGCATCTGGTCGAGATATCCATTACGATCCTCATTCTTGAGAGGACAATAGTTTAACGTCATCTCGGACGTTGTTTCGCCACAAATATTGTGGAAAAACAATGCTTAGTTTAACGTCTTCCTGGACGTTTCGTAGTTTTTCGTCGTTGCGGACGAATGGGCGGAATAGATTTCTCCAGATGAGTGGCCAGCTCCTGTCGTTCTTCCGCTACGTGGGCCAGATAGGAGTCGCATGATCTAGTCCCTTCCTACTAGATCTTCAACTCGAGGCACGTATCCTAGTTGCCTCCTGACTAGGTCTTGGAGTGGAATTTCTTGCACTTCGACTCCAGGACTAGACTGAGCGTTCCATGAAGAGATGCTTGCTCTTCCATGTCCCCAGACCCCTCGCTTGGAATTGAACCAAGACGACCCGATATTCTTTTACCGAAAAGCGAGTGAATATCGGAAGCGCTTCGACCTCTTACAGGCAGGGTTCTGCGACGCGGATCCTCCCGAAAATCCGCGCTTCACCAGAATGCAACCACGCTCCTTGGGTCAATGATAGTTTTACGTCATCTCGGACGAGGATAGTTTTCCGTCGTTTCGGACGAAGACTAGTTTAACGTCATTTGCAGACCCTAGTAGTTTATAGTCATTGCGGACCAAGCCTTTGGTAGTTTTACATTGTTCCGGATGTATTTTATGGCCTCGCATCATTATAGGAAGACTTGTGAAGTAGAGGTGGCCCGTTCTCTACATCATCTCATGCGCCAGCTGTAGGATCCCCTAATGCGGAAACGATCCTGTAAAACGGGAGATCCAAAGTGGGACGTCCCCAAACACCAGTCAGACCTTGACTGTGAGGGTTCACTTAACGAGTTATGCATCATAATTTCTTGACTCGGACTTGCAACCGGTTATGTATGGGCACTTCGCTGTACCAAGGTGAAGAGCCGGCTTGTCGACACCTACGAGTAGAGTATATGTCATGTAGAGGGTTCCCTAATGCGGAAAAAACCCTGTAAAACTGAGGATCCAAATGGGATGCTCGATGCATCTGTCAGATTAACTCCTTGACAGCGAGGATGTGAAAGGTTCCGCCGTAGGTCGTACATGGAATTATGCCCGCTGTTGTCCTTGATTCGTACCATCATTTGAACCTAGGACTAAATGGTCAGGTACTTCCCCTGCCTTCTTATCTCTTCACAGTTTTAAGACATGCAGGTCCGTTAGTTTAGACGTTATTCCGGACGTGGGGTAGTTTAACGTCTTGAGGGACGATCCTAGTTTTACGTCATTGCGGACGATCGATAGTTTAAGGTCATTTTCGGACCCTCTAGTAGGGGTAGGAGTTCCTCAACTTCCTTACCCCCTTTCTTGCTCCGCGACTGCCCTGCCCTAGTAATCATAGGGTCCTTGGTACCCATCGCCTCCTTCGTCAGGTCGATAGTACGGATCGGCATCGTCGTAATTTCCGGGGTCATCTAAAGCGTCCCATGCATCGAGCTCGGATCGAGTCCAAGAGCGATTTCTTCTAGCCTCTGAATCAGCGCGGCGAGTTCTGCGGCTACTTCGGTTATTCTGTCCCTCGTTTGTACGAAATCGAGCACTAGGAGGAGGCGTTCCAGGCTGGTGTTGAACACTCCCGCCAGTAGTTATTCCGTGGCGGAGGGTTGCCTGGGTCCCTCGACTCCTTCTTCCCTCGTTTCTTCGATAGACGGGTGGTTCCTCCTCGTCGGTACCCCCATGGGATAAGGGAAAATTTCGTACCCGGTGAGAGGAGGATGTCGTGGGATTGCTATGTGCTGGGCGACTTTCCCGTGGCCTCGGTGAAGGGCGTTCCACGACCGTGTGCGGAGTCCTTCTTGGATTTGGTACAGCCGTGGGACGTTCTCTGGGACATGGTACATTCCAGACGACAACGCGGAAAGGGTCGGTTCTACTTGGTTGGACGGCGCCCAGTTCTCCGGTGAAGAGGAGAGCTGGAAGGAGCTCTCTGTTGACATACTGGGAGAATTTGTCGGGATGGATGAGGAGGGCTCGTGGTCGTCTGTCGTTATATTCATACCAAGAGGCGGTGTCAGGGTCTGTTTGGAGGGCGAGTCCTCTGATCTGGAGACTGGCACTAGCCAGTCGTTGAGGTATGTCGCTATGCTCATTCCCGGGTTGCCCTGCAGCGAAGTTAGCGAGTCGTTGTAGGGCCATGGCTGTGGCCATTTGTATTACCGCGGAGATAGTGCTTCTCTGGAGGAGCGCGTCCACGTGTCGTTCCAATTCTCCGGAGTGAGGATCTGTACCAAGGGTAGTTCTTCCCATGGAGTGGGGAACCTGTCCACCAGTTGATACTGGCGGAGGTGCAGCTCCCTGTATAACTGGTATCGACTCAGTTTCTCCATGGCTTGGGAGTTGAGCTGCTGTTCTTGCTCGTAGTCCCGAGGGACCTGCAGCTCCAATGCTCGCCGCGATTGTAGCAGGAGGTGGAACTCCCACTGGTACTTCGTCAGAGCCCGGTAGGTTTCTGTCATCAGGGTTTTCATTCCGTGATGCATCTCGTGGGGCCCCCTGGGATGACGGTCGGCGAGTTCTTTCTCTTTCTTTGAACTTGGCATAGTCCTCGGCGTTGTCATCTGAGAAGTTATTGAGGTGTGGAGTGAGGGTGACGACGGCGGGCTCTGGACGGTGAGGGCTGGTTCCTCTATCAACTCGTCCAGCATTGCTTGGGTGAGGACTGGTTCCTCTATCCACTCGTCCGATGTCTGGATTGGACACCATAAGGACGACATCGGGGGAGGAGTTTCTTGATGGTGATGAAGCCTCGTGGTCTTCGTGAAGGAGCATTTGAGTGAAGGAAAAGGGATTTGAAGGAAAAGTGGGGGAAGATGGTCCGTTTAGAGCTTCCTGGTCGCTCTTTTATAGGGTTTTCTTCCGCTTTTCAGGATGTTCCCGGACGAGGTTTGTCAGGGTATTGGTCATGAAACTCTTTCATAGCTTCTTCCCCCGTCCCTTTCAGGAGAGTGTAGGGTTCCCAGGTGTTGTCTGCCTTGGGGTATCCCGCCCACTTGACCAAGTACTTGGTTCCCCGTCCTTGTCTTTTTGAGTCCACAATCATTTCCACTTCATAATGCTCTTCGTCGTTTAATACCTCCGGTAGTGGTCTTGTGAAGTTTTCCCCATGTGCCTTGGTTTCCCTATACTTGGTAAGTGTTGCGGCGTGGAACACTGGGTGGATTCTCCAGTGTTGGGGAATTTGAAGTTTGTATGCCAGGGTCCCTATTTTCGCCAATATTTTGAAGGGTTCATATCTCCTAGGGGCGAGCTTGAACTTTGGATGGGTCGTCCGGATATGGGTTCCTTCTAGCCATACTTGGTCTCCTTCTTTCCACTGAGGGAGTTTTCTGTGGAGATCCCGGTCTTTGGCGTAATTGCTGGCTATTTGTAGGCTGGCTGCGGCTTCTTCCTGGACTTCTGTGATTACCTTAATGCGTTCAGCTACCGCGGGTACCTTTGTCTCTAGCGCAGTGTCGGCTGAATAAGGGGGATTGAACCCATATAGCACTTCGAAAGGAGATTTTCCGGTGGCCGAATGTTTTCGCGTATTGTGCGAGAATTCGGCAAATGGCAGAAGGTCCACCCAGTTATCTTGATGGTAATTATAGAACGTTCTCAGGAATTGTTCGATCTCCTGGTTTACTCGTTCTGTTTCTCCATCCATCTGGGGATGATAAGCCATGCTGAGAGCAGCGGTGATTCCTAGCTGCTTCCAGAGTTCCCAGGTGAATTTGGCCGCAAATTGAGGGCCGCGATCAGATACTATTTTGGTCGGCAGCCCATGTCGATTGAAAACGTTGTTCTGGAAAAGCACGGTTGTTTCTTCTGCCGTGATCGTTTTCTTGCATGGGGTGATGACTATGCCTTTGGACAGACCTTGGTCCACTACCACGTTGATTGAGTCAAAACCCTTGCTCTCGGGTAGGTCTGTGACAAAGTCTGTCGAGATGAAATGCCAAGGGATGTTGGTAGTTTCCAAAGGGTGGATAGGAGGGTGCGTCTTGTGTGTCAAATTCTTGGTTGATTGACATACCGCACATCCGTCCACGTATTCATGGACGAACTTTGTCATGTTTTGCCACCAATAGTGTCGTTGTACCATTTCCAACGTTTTTGTTCTCCCCGGGTGTCCTACCGCGGGTGCGTCGTGATGCGCTTTGACAATAAGTCGTCGTATGGCATCGTCTTTTGGGACGCATATGTGGCCATTTCGTCTGGTGATTCCGTCTTCGTGTGTCCAATGTCCCAGTAATCCTCTCATTCCTTGTGGCCCTACTCGCAATAGTTTGGCGAGGGCTACCCTTGTCAGGACATCATGTTCCGATTTTGAGCGTCAGATGAGGGAGATGAGGTCCGAGGATGCAATTTCTGTGGACTTGATATACCGTGTCAGGGACGGTTCTACCAGTGTTTCGTCGGATTTGTTAAAAAGGTTGGCCAGGAGCAAAATTTGAGCTTTGTTGTCAGATTCCACCCCCTCACTTAGATCTGGACGCTTGGACAGAGCATCAGAATGATTTGTTGATCCCGCTTTATAGCTGAGCGTGAAGTCGAATCTGCTCAAATAAAGGCTCCAACGGGCGTGTCGTCGTGAGAGATCTCGCACCATTTGGAAGTGTTCCAGGTTCTTGTGATCTGTCCAGATCTTGAATGGGTGTCATGCGCCTTCGAGGTAGTGATTCCAGTGTTCCAACGCTTTTATGATGGCCAGGAGTTCGCGATCGTGGACGTCGTAGTTCCGTTCTGCTGGTGAAAATGACCCGGAAAGGAATGCGACTGGGTGCCAGTCGCCATCTTTTCCTTCTTGCAGGAGGGTGGCTCCGTAAGCGATTAGTGAGGCATCCGTTACTAGTCGATATGGATGCATGGGGTCCGGGTAATTCAGAACGGGTTTACTGATAAATGCCCTTTTTAATCGTTCGAAAGCTTCCTGGCACTTCGAGGTCCAATTCCATTTTGCATCCTTTTTGGTGAGGTCGTGCAGAGGTCGTGTGATAAGGGAGAACTTATCGATGAAACGCCTGTAGAAGTTTCCTAGACCTAAAAAGGAGCGAATGTCTCGGACGGTGCGTGGGACTGGCCAATCTTGTATAGCGTCCACCTTCGAGTCTTCCATTGTGACATGGTCTTTTGAAATTGTGTATCCCAGATATTGGAGTTTTTCTTTATAAAACTCGCACTTTTCTGGCTTCAGGTAGAGGTCGTTGTCGCGCAAGATCTGGAAAACTTGGTTCAGGACCTGGATGTGTTCCGCCATGTTTTTGGAAAAGATGAGGATGTCGTCCATATATACGGTTATTTTCCGGGCTGTGATGAGTTCTCTGAAGATCATGTTCATCATGGCTTGGAAGGTAGCTGGTGAGTTGGTAAGGCCGAAGAACATCACCGTGGGTTCATAAGAGCCCAGCGGAGTGATGAAAGCTGCCTTCCACTCGTCGCCCTTCTTGATTCGTATATTGTTGTATCCCCACCGTACATCCAATTTGCTGAAAATGGTGGCCCCTTTGATCACGTCCAATAGTTCTTGGATTAGTGGAAAGGGGCACACATTTGGGATGGTGTACGAGTTCAAATGGCGATAGTCCTGTACCGGGTGCAGTTTTCCATCTTTCTTTCCTATAAAGAAAAATGGGGCTGCCGTTTGTGAGGTGGATCGACGGATGGTCCCCCGAGTGAGGTGTTCCTTGATGAATTTTCCTAATTCATCGTGTTTCTCTGGGCTCAAGGCGTAGATTTTTGGTACTTGAGGTTTGAAAGTCGGTTTCAGATCTATGGCGTGATCCCAATAAGTGTGCTCTAGGAGTCGCTGCGACTTTCGCTCGCTGAAAATGTCCAAAAATTTGTGATGCGCCTTGGGGACTCTTTCCTTTAGATTGGTGACGACGATTTCGTCTTCCAAGTCCTGGTTGAAGCTGGCAAATCCTGACGGTTTGGGAGCCAGTTTCCGAATAACTGGTTCCTCTATGGCCTGTTTTCCTGAGTTTTCATGTGGGAGATCAGGTTCTCCCCCATTTGGTGAAAGAGATGGTTTGGCTTGAGCCTTTCGTTTCTCTTCTGCATATTTCCTTATGTCCTGTAGGAGCCATTTCCTTTTGAGGTATGCTCGTAGTTGGACACCAAACGTTCCGCTATAATCGCGGAGTCCTACATCTTCCGACAATCTTCGGAGATGTTCTAGGCACTGTTTTTCGCGCTCGTTAATGCGTGGTTTGTGCCGTGGCTCCACGTCCGATAACTGCCTATTGTTTTGTGGTTCTTCCCTTGCCCTAGTGAACCCATGTGGTTGCTGGCATTTCTGGGGGCACCGATCGAAGTGCACTTCACGTCGCCTCCACTCGATGGAGGGATTGTGGTATTTCAACCAATCTGTTCCTAGGATAAGGTCGTCCTTTCCTAGATTGGAGATAAACATCTGGACGCGTTCAGTGTGCGTTCGTCCCCTGATGTCCCGAATGGTGAGGTTCACATCCAAGGCGGATCGGATGAGACCTGCTTTATTAATGGTGTCATCGACGTTCCGGACGCGAATGGGGTTGTTGAGTGTATAGGTGGGGAAACGATGTCTTCTGACCCAAGTTTCGTTTACTATAACCCCTTCGCATGCCGAGTCGATGGTTGCCTTTGCTCCAGCGTATTGACTCCTGTTTGATACTTTCACGTTCAGGCGTATGGGAGTGATGATACGGTCATTCATTGCTCCGATACGAATACAAGTGCGGGCATCAAACTCGGGTCGTCCTTGACCTCTCTCCTTCACTGGTGAGGGAGAGGTCAGGAAAAATGCTCCGCGTGTCCCAGGATCACTTCTCTTGCTTCATCTTCCCCTAATTCTCCGAGCACTGCTCCGATTCGAGCAGAATGACTGACGCTTCCGTCTCCCCGTCGTCCGTTAGGTAACATAGCGTGTTGCCCATGGTTCGTTTGGGGTCGTCCGGATGGGGCAGAGTGAGGACGTTCCATCGAAGGACCAGGTTGTGGTACCCACTGGTTGTTGCGATGAACATCCTCTGTCTCCATTCCTCGATATATTCCCGCTTGGTCTCCCATAGCGGGTGCGTCGTCTTCTCCTTCCAAATCAACCGCGCGGTTTCCTCTCCCTGTCGTACCCAGGCGTCTCTTCGAGTTTCCTCGAACTGGGCAAACGCCTCTACGTGGTGACCAACAGTTAGCACTAGAGTGCCCTGGCTTTCCGCAGTTAGAACAGGGGGTGGTTCGCTTGCCGTCAAATTTCCTCTTTTGACTTTCGGCGTTATGCTTTCTGGTAGCGTCAATGTCCATGTCGACCACCTGGTTGTTCATTCTGCGAGGGGCAGTTGTGGAGTTATAACGGACGGTTGGTTGGGTATGGAAACGATTCAGATAATCGCTGCGAAAGGAGGTGGAGTTGGCAAGGATAGCTTTTTGAGCGGATCTGGCTCTGAGTCGTCCGTCTATTTCGCAGGCTGTGTTAATCCAATCCTGAATGGTGTCCTTTGGTTGAACTTCCTTGTCATATATTTTATCCATGACGCGCGGGTCTAACCCGCATTGGAAGTAGGGGACTTGCTCCTTGTCGGAGATGTCGGCATCGGCAGCAATGAGAATGAATTGGTTGGAGTATTCATCAACTGTCATTCGTCCTTGGGAGAAGGCCATGAGTGCGCTTCGCGCTTTATCGGTCTTGCCTGTCTCCCTAAATTGGAGCTTGAACTTTGTTAAAAAGTCCCTCCAGGTTCCTAGATCAGTGGGAGGGTCCGCTCCTACTGATTTGAGGAGGAAGTTCTCGGCCCAAGCTCCTGCCGTGCCATATCTCATGCATGAGAGCACGAGGGATATCTTGTCTTGATCGGTCTTGTACCGATCAGATTCTGCTACAAAAAGAAGGAGGCATTGGAGCATGAATTTCTGGGATTCGATGCGGTTGCCTGTGTAGTTGTCTGGGAGTTTGACCTTTCCTCTCCCGGGTTGTACTGTTGTGGAAGGGGGGTCTGTAGAAGTCGAAGCTTGTCCCGACATCTCGGCGAGCGGTTCGTTTCGGGTGTTGATTGGTGTTTGGTCTGGCGAGTCGGAGTCTGATTCTGAGGTTGTTTCCTCTTGCTCCGAGTCTTCGGGGATTACCGGCGCCGGTTCCCTGTATTGTGGGGCTAGTTCCCACTGAGCTTCTGTTGCGTTCCAAATATCCTCTTCTTCTGTTCCGTCTTCAAGGGTGAAGTAATAACGCCCGTTTCGGTATGAGCAGTTATCGTAATTCGGAGGGGCGTATCTGTTGTTGTCTTCGTAGACCCAGAAGTCCCCTTCGCGCCGGATAGGGTGATTGTTGTGACGGAGTTGGTTATTGATACGTCTAGTGCCGGGTGGATATTCCTGGCCTAGGTCTTGCTCCAGAGTGTGTGCAGTAACACTTTCTCGATGGGGGTCTATATCCCCACTGAGCAAGGTTATGAGAGAGAGTGTGGCAGCAAGCTAGTGCGAGCAAGGTAGGGGCAGAAGAGTCTATTCTAGTGTTACGAACTGCTCGTTCGGTAACCTCAAGAGTAGGAGGTTCTTCCCTAGGTCACTCGTGGAGGATGTGTGGAACGGTGGTCTCGACTGTACGTGTAGCACAGGAGCCAGAGGTGTATTGCGATATAGCAATGAAGGCTGTAGTAGGAAGACTACAGTGGATGAAGTAGACAGTGTGAAGACTGCCTAAGAACGAAGAGAATAGACTGAAGAACCTCAGCCTACTCTATGGGCCTTTTATACTACTTTAGGAAATAGGGCGTGAGAATACCGTATATGTATCCATAGGTATTCTCTAAGTCGTCTCTCTCAATACGACTACTCTTTGTGCTTCTCCGTTAGTCCCCTTCCGGCCAGGAAAGACTAGGAGCTCAATGCCCGATGTGTGAGTAGTTTGTAAGGCGGCGTTCCATGCCCGCTATTGCAATAGGCCCGTGATACTCGACCAACGATAAGGTGATCCGTTGGGAGTGGATGACCAAGGTTACTATCTGTACCTTGTTGTATGCCTCACCGTGTGAGGCCGCTTGATATTTGTGATGATCGTGTCGGTATAGACCGCCGTTAAGGCCCGACAGAACGTGATCATAACAGTTTTGTTGATTTAATATTTGTTCAAGAAGCAAAGCATCGCTCTAATATCTTGACTCCGTCCATGAGTATCAGCAAGACAATTCTTTCAAAGGCCACCAGTATGCGTTGATACGCTAGAGGTGGTTCTAAGTGCCGAGCACAACACCAAAACAACCTCTAATGCAGGAGTGCTGGAGCTAGTATCTGATACACAAGGAATTGTAAGTGATGACTTTAGAAATTGAAGGCGTACTGAGAAGCAATTGGGGAGTGTGAGATTATAGCGCCCAAATGGTTTTGGGACTGCGCCGAACACTGACCAAATGTTCGGTTGGTCGTGTCGGCGATGCGGTTGGTAACGAGAAGGTAGTGTCGCGACCGACAACTACATGCTTCAAGAGCCACATGGGACTCTGACAATATACAAGGGAGGACGGGGGTACGAGCAAAGAGACGAGTATGAACGTGAATGAGGCCAAACAACGAGGATGACAAGTTTTTGGAAGTCGATGAAGACAATTTCAATGGTTGAGACGAGTGTGAATGAGCTCTGAATGGTGGGGTGCGAAAGCTGGTTTATTCCAGAGTTGTATGTAGGTTTTTATAGTAAACAAAGCCCCTAAGTAAAATATTAAACAAGAAATGAGAGTAAATGTCGAATGAGCACCAAGCCTTAGCGATCAGAGAAGATAAGAAGGTAGGTGAGATGTCCATATGTGTTCTGAAGGTGACAAGGTACAAGTTAATCAGCAATGGCAAAATCCCTAACGTTCGGGATCCATCACCCGAGCGTAGGTAGCAGGAACAGGCATTGGAGAACCAATGAAAAATTAAGAAGAGGTATCATACGACCAGGGTAGCCAAGCAATGGTGCAAGATCGTGTTTGACCAACCATGCGGAAGTCGGGAAGATAAGCGATAAGGACTGACCAACTCACGGAGGACATCGGCCGATACGGAATACTGGCTCCGATTTTGTAAATACTTATCGTAACACTCCTATGCGGTCATGGTAAGTATGTGAAGTGTGGGCAAACTGACCCAAGTGCTGCCGAGAATCCTTCGGTGGCTTGTCATCTGTCGGGTAGGGACCGACCATGTTTGGTAAAAGTTGGCATCTTCGGTACTTGTCTAGCGCTGTTCGGTATCTCCCCAAAGCTTCTGAATACCCTCCTCGGACCCTAGCACGGGTGAATGCTCATCACCGGCTCCATATGTGAGGTGATAAAAAACGATTGCTAGCACATATATTGAGAGCACACGACCGCGCGAAGGGTGTACTAGCAGAAGTTGCGAGGCATCGCAAATGCTACGTGTGTGTCACGTGGCCACGATGACCTGCAAGCTCCTAAGTCATCTCTGCCATACCACTCCCCTTTGCGAGCCACAGCCATGTCACTCGTCGGCCAGGCTCTTCCCTGTATTCATCTCATGCCACCCATTAATCAAATGCCTGCCTCCATATGTGCCAACCAACTGAGCACATAGCAAAGGTAAGTGCTCGGTTCGTCTCACATCTCTTTGTGTGCACCGATGCACTTCTGTCCCTCTCAGCTGCCTCCACCCCACCTCACCACTGGACCACTTCTTCGTGTATGCCCTCCATCAGAAACGACTCCAAATTGCTGTCACCTTCGCCTCCCTCTACCTCCTCCAGTGACTCAAGGCCTGCTTCCCCAGCGCCAAGGGCTCCTCAAGCCACCATTTATTTATCTCAGCATTCATGATTGCCTCCGAGATCATCTGTGATGACACCTATCCTTACAATGCCTGGTGCACTGTGAGCCAGGGTGTGCTCACCCTCCGCGAGATCAATCAGATGGAGTGTGAGATGTGCAGTTATCTCGGGTGTCAGATCAATGTCAAGCCCTCGGTCCTGTGCAATTTTGAGCCGTAGGTACGTCGTTACTTTGCTAGCCATAGAATTTTAACATTTTCTTCAGATTATCTTGCTCCTGCCGTCGCCCTCCTCCTTCACGCACTCCATCCCCACCCCATCTCCACCTCCTTCCCCATGTTTGGCCTGCGGACACCCTTCAGCACCGGCAAGGTGCAGGGCGATGCTGTGTCGCTGTCGTTTCATACACTCCCCTCTACGTGCAAGTCCGGGTCGACCTCCTGGTCACCCACGTCACCCGCCGCCACTTCCTCCACCCTCCACACCTCCACACATTCCTTTGGGCTGCGTACATTCTCTTTCAAGTCTATGCAGCCCGGGTTCATGCACTAATCCACCTTACACACACCCAATTCCGAGATGCCCACCCCGTCGCACTCAACCTCGACGTCCACCCCTCCTCGCATGCACCCTTCACCTCGGCCTCGACCTTCAGGCTGCAGACGTCATTTGTCGGCTTCTCAGCCTCGACGTGTAGACGCTGGTCGTAACTCATCTTCGGCGCCCAACCAGCATAAAGCCAGCCTGCAACACATCTCATTCGCAGGAGCCGCTGACGTGCGCCTGCCATGCGCATATGTAAGTTCCGCGCGTTTTTTGACTTTTCATTTCTTTACTTGCACATCTATTGAATAGTCCCTCTGCTACCCACTAATGATTGTGTATGTAATGTAAATATAATGGTTGCGGGCGCTCGTACTTAGAGCGCCAGCGAGCGCGCGAGGACAACACAGACGCGAGTCGCGCCAAGTCGCGCGGGTCACATGATAAGAAATAAAAGTCTGCGACGGAGAAAACGATTCAGAAATACAGAAGGTTGAAGAAACCAGAAGATTCTGTATAGTTTCTCAGTTCTTTCAGAAGTTTTTGACAGCAAAATCTCTTTTTTCCTACCAGCTCCCACCTGGTCACATTTCCGTGTGAAGTTTCCTACCTCGTCCTCTCAGCCGTGGGGGGATTCTCACTGGGTCTGAACTTGCATCCTGTTGCTTTGCATTGCTGTCTCGGTTCTGTTCCGGACCGATCGGGTAATCTATGTTCTTGAACTGAGGATGGTCGATGAGTGATCATGCTCGACAAATCACTTCTTTTGTAGCTGTGTTCGGTTGATTGACAGATCTGGTTGTACAACACGCAGCTTCCATAGCAATGCATATTCCCCGGTCTGGTTGACGCCTGGCAGTTTGTTGAATCCACCAGACTTGCTGATGTGATGGTCGCCACAGATATTGTTGTTGTCCTGTGTGTAGGAAAGTTCCGCAGCGTAGCTGAGCTTACGGCCTCGTTCGATGATCGGACGATACTGAAGACTGATCATCGTCTATCGAAGGGTCACGCTCTTTCTCCTCCTCTTAAATCAGTGATCTTTCTTCATCTCTCCACTGCTATTAATTCTCACTTCCGTGTATCTTTCTACCAGCAGTCGGCACATTTCAGGTCACAAAGCTGGATGCCACACATGTCTACTGTATATCACTCGTTACATGATGGAGTTGATGTGGAGGAAACGTGGACTAGTACGTGCGCATGTTTGAGAATCCGGACAAAGTTGCATTCTCACTCTACTTCAATCTTTGCCAGATATTGAGCGACTGAGTCGACAGATACCTTCCGAAAATGACGCTTTGTGAATATTGCCAAGGATTACCGGTGAAAATCATGTTCCTGTCGCACGTGGTGGAGGCGGCCTCGAGGGCGCGGACAAGGCTATTGGAGACGATCCCACCACCCCGCTGCCGATCTGGTCTCGTTCGCATGTGTCTCGTTTCTCAATGGTCCTACCTCGCTCGCCCACGAGTCACGATATCAGCAACCGGACTGACCTTGATGGCTCAAATATTCGGAAGTCACTCTTTGAGCCCTGCTCTCATATTTCGGAAGTTTTCTCGAGTATATGTGTTCCCATCTTTGCGCCATCAGCACTGTCCGGCCTACCCCATTCAAGCGATGCAAGTGAGCCTGTCAGCTCGGTGCCGTGAGTCTCTCGTCAATTTGCCACCCTAAATCATTGCGCTGCTCTGACTGACATAATAGTCACTGATTTCATCCCTGCCAGCAGCTCTACTCTAACTGGTTCAATACCCCTGCCCACTGGTCCTATCCTTGCCAGCAGTGGCTCTTTGACGTCACAGGACAACGGTGGAACCCCCCCTACATCAACATCAAACCCTCCATCCGCTGTAACGTCAAGCAATCCATCATCGTCCACGAGTCAAACTACCAGTATTAGCAGTGTGGACATGACCACCACACTGTCAACGCGCAGTTCTCCCTCACCTAATGAAAATGAGACATCAAACCGGGCGAACAGCACATCGCAAGATAGCACGGCTGTGCATGAGACATCGCCTTCTCAGACGTCTCCCGTGTTCACGACGAGCAGGTCTTCAGGCACAGTCGCACATGTTGGGGAGAGTTCATTCAATATGCCGACCACGACTGGGGGCACTACCTCTGCGATCAGTACAGGGTATCTACTCCCTATATTTCCTATCAGTTTTTGCTTCCGTCTAATGTTATTTTACTTTAGTTCGCCACATGTCCAACTAGTTGAGATCATTGTCCCTGTCTTTTCATTTCTCTTTTCCCTATTTCTGGTCATATACCTCTACATCAAACGTTGTCGTCGCATCCAAGCAGAAAAACGCTCATCCTTACTTGTGTTTACTCGAGGAGACAGGCGATTGACACCTACGAGCCATACTTCGCTAACTGCATCAATGGCCGACGCAGGGAACAATACCCAGGTTGGCGATTGGCGCCCCGAGATGTCTTTTGCACCATCATCGCCTATCCCACCTGCGCGATCATCCGTGCGCTCACCCCAGTCAGACTACCTCCGGTCCCATACACTGACCTCGCCAACGCCCTTTCCGTCACTTTTCATGGAGGAGTCTGACCTCGTCGCAGATTCACATTCTATGACATTTAAGCATGAGGGTATGTCAAGGGTGTCTTATACGGATGAAAGCTCGACAACGGAAAGGGTCTACCTGGAGCCGTCTGTCAGTTTAGATCTGTCCTCAGATGCGCCGGCGTTGATACCATCCCGCAAAGAGGAGGACAGGCTGAGCAGGGTCAGCTTAGAAATATCATTTCACAGAGAGCTAGAATCAGCGGTGGGTATAATAAGAAATAGTTCCTGTTTTGTCGCACTTGATCGTCTTCCTGACCTTGATGCTATTCCACAGGTTGGCGTGGCGAAATAGCTGGGGAAACGGTTAGATTGTTATTCTTGTTGGCTCTTTCGAACGATATTCTGCCTGTGAAATATTCTGACATCTATGCTCCACGTTGTAAAAAAAAACTCATCTTCTCTCTGTGTACGATGGATCTGAACAACTACACTTAAACATCGATGTACTACGTTCGAGACAGCTCGGCAGCTCGGCAGCTGGGGGAGTGCACTAGTCAGCCGATAAGATTGTGGTGCGCTCAGGGCTTCCACCACACCCGCGTCATTTGGTTCCGGACTGTCAAGGACCAAGGTGAGCCAATGCAGTCTCCTCAACTTCCAACAACATCCCATCCATCCCACTCCTAAATCTGCATCTTTGACCCTGTGTATCGCAATCACGGGGAGACGAGGAGCGATGGACAACGAAACGAAAGAGGCTGTCGTGGACGGAGAGGCGGAGTGCTGTGGAGCATGTGGGAAGGCGAGACTCAAATTCCAGATGGTGAGCTTGAAGATATCGATGCGTCCAATGCGTAGGGTGTGTCCAAGGATAGGTCGTGCGAGGAGATACGAAAGTGAGAGGCATAGACCACTATAAACTTACGAGAATAACAGGGATAAGGTGAGCAGAGCTGATTCTGGGGCGCCAAACAGATACATGTATGCACAACCAGCAGCGATGGCAGTCGTGAGCGTAACAAAGGAGTAGAGTATCCACCTTAGCCTCACCACGATTTTTCACGCTCACGCTTACGCGCCCGCACTTCACCACCCCACTCTGCACGGTCACTGTGGACGCGCTCACCGTGCGGCTCAGCCTCTTCCCAACGCTCACGCGCGTCTCCGCTGGCCCGTGGGCGGACGTGACGCTTGATGTGCTGCGCCTGCGCATATTTTCATCCTCGCGGACGCCTGCGGACGTGAAGAAGCTGCGCGAGGCACTCGTGAGCACCGTGTTCTTTGGGCAGATCTTGAGGGTCGACGCATTTAAGATGTCGGTCGTGTTCGGGCCTGATTTCTCTGGGAGGGGGAAGGAGTTGAAGGACTCGAGCGACTCTGGCGAACACGCGGACTCGGAATCAGCAGACAAAGTTGGAGAAGCAGAGGCGAATGGTGTCTCAGACGAGGAGGAAGAAGACGCACCTTATTATTCCCCATTCGAGTCGTCGTTCCGGTCTGCGCGGCCCGACGACCTGCTCATCCTCGCATCGACTGAACAGTTCCACACGCACGATCGCAAGGGCCGCATATACATGTTCGGCTCCGCCTCAGGGTGTCTCCGCCGCACATGGGGTGCACCGGACGTGGAAGGTCAGCGCGGGTCGTATCACATGGAAGCAGTAGACTGCCAATGGCGCCTACTTCCCCCGTTTGTGCTGGGCGAGCAGGGGGGGCACTCAAGCATACTATGGTACGCCTCATCGATTTGATACAGACTATTATTGAGCACGCTCTCGTGTACCCGCATAGGTACTTTCTCAGCCTTCCGTTCAGCATGCCGGCGCATCTGTACACGCTGATTCACTACCCGCTGCGGTTGATCGATCTCTCAGTCCCACACGCGTTCATACAGTTCGACGATTTTAGGATCCGTGACGTGGAGTTGGTTACGCAGGGATTCGAAGCACTGTCGAAGCACTGGATGCGAGAGACGCACGGGGTTTCTGGCCTGCCCGCGCGCGGATGAAGCGGTAGGCGTGGCCCTTCGATTCGACCTGGATCATCTTTTTTTTCTGGATCATCTTCTTACAGGTCTAGCTATCCTTGAGAGCATTCACATGTCACATTCTGCTAAGCATCTCGCATCATGTTGACGATTGGCACACGACTATCATTTTACTACGAGATCAGTTGTATAGTATTGTCTCGACTCTTGCGGACTCGAATCGCAGAGGCCGGTTGGACTTCGCCACTTCATGCTCTCTGTCGAGTCTTCTCTATACCTGGACTGACATACACGCCACCACCTCAATTCATTGTTTTCGGTTCTTTGTTTCCCTTTCACGGATTTTCCAGCATATCAGAGGACACCCTGACGGTTTGATGTCGTTCATCCATTCAGATCCGCACAAGCAGCAGTATTGCAAGACGTGCAAGGGGCAGGGCAACGAAAAGCTCGCGGGGATGCAAAACGAGCAAGGGCAGCTACTGGTCCTGCCGTTTGTCAGCTCACTCTTTTGGTGCGTGCTTTCTACATCGATTCTCAAAACTCTCAGTGTCGTCTTCATCGTCCTGAGCTTCATATCTATATAGAGATTGGACAGGATATGAGCAGAGGCTTTCGGAGGGATCACGAACCACGTGATATAGCTGTACGGGAAGTGATATCGTCTCGCGAATAAGCATTTCATCGGTCCTCTAAATCGCTTTCATACAGCAAGCGGTGTTACACCCATACGCACCTCTTCCTTTTCTTTCAATCGCTTTATCCTTTAATAACCTGTTGCCTTGCACACGTCTCCTCACATTTCTCCCCCATAAAGGTCATCTCCGCATCCTGAATCTCCTTCAACAACGTGTGCTCCTCTACAAAGCACAACAATTCATACAAGTGTGTTCTGGCACACCGTGGGCCCGGGGCTCACAGGAACAGAGACGCACTTGTCGCGTGGATGCAGGTGTCGCCGCGCCAGAAGGGCTCGGACCACGATGAGGCAACTGGGAATTGTCGAGGCTGATCTCCTCTAGGCCCGTGACTTGGAGACCTGCGTGAAGTGCGGCTCGTTGTTCGGTCTGCCCCTCGAGCGTCTTTTTTGAAAGTCCCTGCAAAAATGTCCCGCCGCGCATCCCCCTTGTCGCGCATCTCCGTATGCAAGTCTTCTCATTTCCTGTGCATATCCCATCTCTGGGTCCTCCTACGTTTCCTGTCACCCTTGAGGGTGCTCTCGGGCGACACCGCCTCTATCCACTTTACGCTTTCTTCGTTTTGGCAAGTTGCACGCGCTCCGTTTGCAAATTTTTATTAGAATTGTTTCCACACCTCTTTCAACTCGGTACGTCTCGCGTCACATCTTGTAAAAGCATTGCGCTCCTTTCAGAACGCGCGCTAGCCGGTTTACCCGCGGTGAGTCAGAAGCGTCGGGTATCTTGTAAATGGCGCTGGTAGATCCGTTTTGAAGGAGCGACTTCGGGCAAGATTGAAGATACAGAGAGAAAGGGAGAGTAAGACAGGTTGTTTCGGTGAGCATTGAGATCATATGTGTTCTTTGCCCACTGTTCGAGACCATACCGCCCAACCTTTAGAGGATGAGACTCGAGATTTAGAGCTGAGTTGTCTGACCAGGACTTTGTCTGACTGATAACACGCACACTTGGCATCTCCATCTGCTGTCTGCTTAACTTGGTTTCTCTTGTTGGGTTAATTTCGCGGTACCTGCTCCAACCTCCTCTGTCAGGGCCTGACCCGACCCATGACTAACCCCCGCCAGGTGTGTATACCGTGTATACAGAAATATGGAAGCTCGCAAAATACCACCATGGCCTTTTCGATGAGAGTCAGAGACATAGAGTGCTGCTCAGCCAGGGCAGGTTTGCATTGCCATGGACGGCGTCGAAGGAAAGCTCGATTGGATAATTCTAAGATCAGGTCATGGGTACCAGAGACGCTGAGGGTCAATGATGGTTCGATGTCCTCTCAGTTCATCATGTGCGTATCACGCGGGTCACGCTGGAGCTCGACGTCACTTACAGTATAGTAGGCATTTAACAAAGGCAGGAGTAGTGGGAGAGCTCACGGTGCCAAATACTCCGCGGCAAGCTTGGCTTCACGTCGGACTCTAAACTCACTTTCATCGAATTCGATTCACTAATCTAAGCTTTCTCTGAAGTATCCCAAAAGTCATCAAGGTTTGAGACTTGCTCCGGTTATATAGGCAGTGCACAGGGTATGATGATACAATTATATACATAAGTGTATATGAGAACCTACATAGTTACATAACTGTATACTAGAACCAACATAATAATATACCAGAACGAAATAGAGGATATGGAAGGAAAGATAAGCCGGGACAGAAGATCCCCAATCTCCTAAGTGATTTTAGGCTTCCTGCCACTGTAGGTGGGGCTGATCTTGCTGCGTTTTACCTCCCGTACAGGACTCCGTAGAGAGGGCGAATGGGGAGAGCTTGAAGAACGTTTGTGCAAATAGTGTTGAAGCGTCGTCGTCATGGGTTTGATGAAACGATGGCTATCGCTGGACTTGTTGGACCTCGAGTCGTTGTCCTCGCCAGAAATATCATCCACAACATCCACAACATCTGCAACCTCGGGTGACACAACCTGGGTTGTTGAGGCGCCCTCGGGCAACGCAACCTTGGGCGGCGCAACCTGGGGTGACACAACCTGGGCCGTTGAGGCGCCCTCGGGCAACGCGACCTTGGGCGGTGCGACCTGGAGGGGCGCGACCTTGGATAATGCAACCTCGGGTGACGCAACCTTGGATAGCGCAACCTCGGGCAATGCAACCTGGAGCGACGCAACCTCGGGCGATGCGACCTGGGGCGGCGCGACCTGGAGGGGCGCGACCTTGGATAATGCAACCTCGGGTGACGCAACCTTGGATAGCGCAACCTCGGGCAATGCAACCTGGAGCGACGCAACCTCGGGCGATGCGACCTGGGGCGGCGCGACCTGGAGGGGCGCGACCTTGGATAATGCAACCTCGGGTGACGCAACCTTGGATAGCGCAACCTCGGGTGACGCAGCCTTGGGTAGCACAACCTTGGATCGCGCGACCTTGGGTAGCGCAACCTTGGGTAGCGTAACCTTGGGTAGCGTAACCTTGGGTATCGTAATCTTGGGTAGCGCAACTTTGGGTGACGCGACCTCTTGGGGTGTGGGGGACCTCCATTTTGCGTTAAGATCGATTATATCCTTGATGAAAGAAATCGCCACTGTTCTACTAATGTCATAGGCATGGGCGACGCGCTCATAGAAAGCGTCCATCTCGCATTCTGATCTTGAGTCCAGCTTCATGCCAGCATTAAGGATAACCCAATGGGGCTGGACGTGCGACACCAGTGTGGGCAGGTTTCCAAATGGATATTGGTAAGATGATGCGGAATTTTCTTCATCAGCGCAGTCAGGTCGAGAGTGTCTATACACGTCCATGAGCCGTTTAGATCCTATTGGCACCATCTTATATTCGAATTTCTTCGCGCCATTGTACCTCTGGTATATCCGAAGTGAAGTGAGTGCAAAGAAACAAAAGGGCGCCACGAACCTTCGTGATGTTGCCTTGTTTGTAATTGTTGAGATTTCTGACCATGTCGGGAGTGGGAAGCAAAAGCCAACGTTTGGCATCGAATAGTCGGTGCCAATCGACTTTAACTGCCACACATTGAGAGAACTGAAACAAAAGAACTGGACAAAGTCTCTCACGAAGAAGAAGGTTTCTGGCGTCGTCAATGTTGAAACACCGATGTCCAATTCCCCACGCGCGTTCTAAGTTTGTGATCTGTGATACAATGAGTTAAGACTGGTGCGGAAACCAGAATGACAGACTCACTAGCTTGTCATTATCCTTCTCACACCTCGGAAATAAGTGTGCGAATTCCAACGGTGCCTCATCATCCAATTCTCTGGTTAAGAGACATTGGCCTCCATTAGGATCGATTTCCACCACCACACTTTTCGACACGCGCTCTGTAGCTTTCGTCGACTTTCGACCGTTATGCATGTCTGAACCGGTCACAAAGTCCTGGATAGACCCACGGAAGGATGGTTTCAGGCGTAGACGGTGGGATGCCACAGAAGGCACCGATGCAGTCTGATGGTACGATGAAGACATGAAATAACAGAGTATGGAGGGGAGGCGAAAAGGGATGGAACGATAGAGGGGAGATATGAGAGTGAAGGAGGAATGTCCTATGACACAGCCATGGCCAGGCCGCTTTTAAAAGAGAGATGTGGCCGCACAGATCCTGTGGCAGCATGGACGGTGGACAACAGGTCCACCGCCCTAGCACGGACAATGAGCATCGATGGTGGCAGCCAATGCCAAGCAGCTTTGGCTGAGACAAGGCGTAGAAGTGTGACAAAGCGAGTGTGGTCAAATGTTTGAATTGTGGCTGCCACGCCTGCGTGGTCAATCGTGGCTGTTCCTCAGTTGAGAAGCCATGTTGAGCCGTCGAAAGGGTTGCTTTGCCATGTATGTCTCTAGTGGGGCAAACCCCACGGGGACTCGACGGTTGTCAGGAATCAGGTGTGGTGGCTTTATAATTGGTGCACCACGCATACAGTTCTTGTAAGAGTCCGACCCGCTTTTTCAGAATAACCCCCCAGTTGCTTATCATTGACTACGCGGGAAGTCCATCTCCCTCGCTTCATCACCTGCTGCACACAACACAATTGCCAGGAGCGGATACGACGAGCGGCACGTCTGAGGTATGCCCGATATTGGGCCATCCGATCAGACTGATGGCCAGTGTCAGAATCCTCATTGCTATCGGAATAAACCAAGTTTGGGTCGCCAGAAGAGACGTCCTTCTTCCCTCGACAGCGCGCACAACAAGTAGGCATCCATGCAAATCGGTTGCGAACGCATGGCCCGCTACAGGATGTATCGGAGGATAAAGGTCTCTGGGAGCCATTTATGTAGGGATGAAGAGGGGTGATAGGGACAAAGACACGGGGAGCAGAGATAACTTGGGCGGGTACCTCACGCGTGAACCACATGCCATAGGTCTCTGTTATAAAGAAGATCATGGAGGAGGGTTTGAAATCATGCCCTTGCCATACCGACTTTAATTTATCTTCGATTTCAACCCCAAAAGTATTTCGTTGATACAACTTCGCAGCAGTGTCGCAGATGACGAAGTGAGGTTTGGCACGAGAAACGAGAGTTGGCAAGGTGTGGAACGGATGAAAATGACGAGTCCTTCGCGGTTCGACAGCACTTCTGATACCCGGAAAGCTTGTTTCACTAGGTGAGTCGGGCCAATCAATTCGATTGAACGATCGAAGTTCATCGTCCAGTGGTAGCAATCGATATTCAAAAGTTTCGGCCCCATCGTAAATCTGAAAGTATCATTAGATGAGAAGACCTGAATCAAAACATCAGAGACAGACCGCATCAATCAGGGTTGGATCTGAACCATCTCCTGAACCGAAGAGGAATTTGTCGCAGAGGTCCCCAAATTTCTCGATCATTTCGGGAGAGGGAACAAGTAACCATCGTTCACTATCAAACGACTTCAACCAGTCGCGCCGTACTGTGGCCGCACACGATGTCAGTGACAATCGATGACCAGTGCAAACGACAGAGACGCATACGGTAGATCTTGTTCGATTCCGTCCTCGGATCGAGTGAATTGGATTCCATCCCCCACCACCATTCCAGACGCGATAACTATGCAAAATCAGTCAGAGCAATCCTCAAATCGATGCTCTGTTGATCTCACCAGCTCACTATTCCACAAGCGTTGATTCAATAGATAGCATGATGACACTGAAGCTTCTGAGGAGAGTTCTTGCGTTAGAAGACATCGCTTGACCTGCGTGGATGCTACTAAGCGCTTCGATTTTCGATTGTGATCTCTCATAGCTTGATTTCGCAACATATCAGTATGCAAGATGAGGAAATACACGAACACAGACGTACATGGCATCCCTGGAGTATCTGCTCCGCCAATGCTTTGGGCTTGACCTGAGTCCCTAACCCGACGCTCACTATCTTGTCGTGCAAAGAGATAGGCCGATATTATCAGACCCCAAATAAAAATATTCACACACCTGCTGTATTAGAACCATCTTGTTCACTGCTACTCCTAACGGGAGCTCGACTATTCCACGTTACAGGCTGATCGCTGCTTGCTACTTTGCGACGTTTTAGGCTGGAAACCGCTGGTTCTGATGTAGACCTTTTGCGTTTCAAGTTCACATCTTGAAGATTCGAGGATTCAGTATATCAGAGAAAAAGCGACGTAAGGTCAACGTACGGGTGTACCCCGTCTCCACTTTTATGCAGCTGGCTCATAAGCGCATGCAATTGATATACAAGACGGAGATTACATACTTATGTGAAGAGGAGATTTTGCTTTTACAATACTTTTCACTGGACTTGACCCGCTGGGCATCGGAGACTGCTCCCAGCTCGTTGTGCGGCGGTGTTTTACGCCCACGAGTACCGAATCGGAGCTAGACCTCTTGCGTTTGGAGTTACTAGGGCCACTATCACTATCTTAGCGATGAACCAGTGAGGAGATGATGACAGGAAATTGCACGAGCATAGACGCACTTGTGAGGTCTGTACTGCTCCCCCCACTGTCTGCTAATGTCAACCCTTTCATAGGTTGCGTTTCCATCGTGCGATAATGTTGCAATAAGATTTGAGGTTCGCGGACGGGTTTTGCGAAGGGCAGGATGTGAGGGAGCGCCGAGTCTTATTCCCGCTGCTAGGACAAGGTTGACTCTTGTTTCACCAGACTGTCTGACTGACAACGGTCACGGTCACGTGTCAGCACATCGCGGGTGGCAGCAAGCGATCTCACTTAGTCTGCGCCGCGACGACCGAGGGAGCAGTGGGGCTCCTCGAGCAGCGCGGCATCCCAGATGTTGATTGGGTCAAGCCTATCGAAGGGGAGTGGGCGCATTGCAGATTCTTCAACCAATACCGGCAATACCGGTATGCTTATATTTTTCCAACCGTTCGTTCCATGTGCTCAAACACTGATTCTAAAAGACGTTGACTCACAATCCGCCGACTGTGTCTCACGGTCCATAGATTCGGGCGTTAAACGGCCGGGCCTGAAGCGCAGCAGGGATTTCACACCATCGAGGGTGTCAACCCCAGCTAAGAGGCTGAGAGAGGCCGAATCTACACACATGTTGAGTGCGCAGACCCTCATTGATAGCCTTTTATACCTACTGATTTCCCTTCTTTGAAAAAGTTGATCATCATCCGAACGTCCCTACTCCATTCGCGAGGATTAGCAAAGTTATCCCTACGGACCAACGCTCTGTAACTCCTAATGAAACACTCTCTCCAGCTCCGCAACCAGCCATCTCAAACATCAAACATTGCCTTGTGACGAATGAGCTCGCGTCGGAGGCCCGAGTCGAACCATGTTACTTGCTAAATCAGCGTCTCTGGGACAACAAGGAGATGGTCTGCTTTTTTCCTTCTCCTTTGCCCCCGCTTGTCAACGCGATCGCCGATTTCTTTTGCAGCTTACGCGTCTCGAATGAATGTGGGGAATGCAATACAGCTCGCTCGATTTGGACACAGAAGCAAATCGAATATATTGTGTGCTTTACCGTCTATGCGCCTCAACCATCACTGATGTTCTCCTCGATCTAGTCCATCATGACTTGTTGGAATCGTTTGACAGCCACCGATGGCTGCTCCTCCCTTTGCCTGAGATGGTCGACAAACTGTGGGACCGCCGCCAGAAATCTATGGAAGCCCCCACCAGTGCAAAGCAACAACCGCACATCGAGACGGTTCATCCTCCCCTGTTTCATCCAGAGTCATATCTCACGAACGTCTAGCTTTAAGCAGGTGCTGACACTTTCAAATATCGGTTATTGCCATTACGGCGTGGCCTTGGTTCGATTGACCGATTCGATCAGCCAGATGTAACTGGAACGTCCTCGCCGGCCACCACGCCCCATTCGTACCCATTCGATACCCTACCGACTCTGGTATCGCGCGTGAATCCCCACTCCGTCATCTGCGATGCTGGCGTCAAGCTCTATCACGAGATCACATCGGGGCACTCAGGGCTCTCGCAGGTGGCCAAGCTACTCTGACCGGTGTCTGAGCGCGAAGCCACTTTCATGCTTGACTACATGGAGCGCATCTATGGCACGTGGCTCAGATACGAGCCGCACTCGACGTTTGCATCATCACCTTGGACTCTTCTACAACTACCATCCCCCGACGCATGTCCGAGGCTGCCCCTCCGGCGCCGCTTGCGCCCATGGGCTTGCCTCCGTCCGTGCTTCAAGAGCCGTTTCGCGTAGACACTGTGACAACAGATGCTGATCACCTCACTGGCTATAGATGCGCGCGAAGAAGGTCATCCTGTGGGGCTTCGCTGTGCGCTCGCCGTCAAAATGGCGGCGTCGATAGCGGCGCGTCTAGTGGCTCTGGGGGCGGCGGAGATCGCGCCGGCCTCGGTCCGTCCGAGGCACTGTGTGAGACCGAGTATGGGGCCCACCGCAGGCGTCTCTCGCTCGCTTGGCGGTCTTCTTGTTTGGAGAGTGTCAGGAAGCGCGGGGGGTGGGCTGCGCGCGTGCTCAATGACGGCCAGCTAGGGGGTTATGCGGACGAATTGCCGCAGACACTGGACGAGCTGTGTGATGTATCTATTCTGGACGGCGATGCTACGTGTACTGGACCTTAATATGTCAAGTTTCGGTTCTGTGGATTGGGCTTTCATCGTGTCGCGTAGCTTTGGTACTCGCGCTTTCTCTATGGGCTTCCTCTAAGTGCTGGTCTATCCACGGAGTCGGTGCCCGGGAACTCGTTCCCTTGGTGCGAAGTCTACTTCTCTGAGGCTTCCACACCTCTCACTTGAATGCGCATCTATTGATCTTGCATCTATCTTGGTTGCGTGCGCATGGCTGGGTGCCCGTCACTTTGGAAGACCGCCGCGCTCCGTCGGACAAACACTGAGGTGCCCGCTAGTCGTTCGTTGACCTGGTTCGTGCGACTCCTGCACGCGCTGTGGATTTAGTCCGGTCGAGCATGCCGATGGGCGACTGGCCACTTCACATGTCGACGCTACACAAAGACTCTCTGCTTGGTGCTGTCCAAATCTATCATGTGACTGTGCGCCATTGTGCCACCTTCTAATTCTTCCTTCGGTGTGACTATCCCATTTGATTGTTCAACCGCCTCATCTCAACAACGCTCATTCGCAAGAGTACGTCTCTTAGAAACGGTTTGATGGGCATCACAGCACCCGCTCCGTTGAGGTGGTCAAGCCCATTTAAGAGGAGTGACACAACAGGTTCCCTGGACCTTTCCAACTCCCAAGATATCAGTGATCCATCAAAAAACAATAGCACAGTCAGGGACGCAATCCCTTCTGATACTTCTAGTACGCGCGGGCTTCAGAAAGCTCACAGGCTTATCGCTGACGTCGTGACCTTCCGAGATGTCGACCAGCATCCCGAAAGCTCGGAGACCCCCGCTCCAATTCCACCTCTGTACTTGCAGACCCAAAACGATGCCTCGTCACACAGGAATCAGGACCATCGGTCATGCCGTGTTATCTGCTCAACCCGCGCCTCTGGCAGTTCAACGGGATGGTGCGTTCGGTCCTGCCTCTCGCGTCGTGATCCGACCGTTGACCGCCGGGTGCAGCTGACGCGCCTCGAATGGCACTGGGGGATGAAGTACTCGTCGCTAGAGCTGAATGTGGAGGCGAACATGATTTATCGTGTGTCGTGCCGCCGTTGACGCCTCCCTGGTTACTCATGAGCCTCGCTGGTTGCAGTTCGTCAAGATTTGTTGGAATCATTTGACAGCAACCGCTGGCTGCTTCTCCCACCCCCTGAAATGGTAGACAGAGTCTGGGCTCGCTATTTCATGATAGATCTCAAAAGTCCGATCCAACAATCTCCTATCGAGTCGGTTTGTCTGTCCTCGTTTTCCGCGATAACTCTCTCCGACGATTGTGTAGATTTATGAAGGTGGTGAGGTCTTTGAATATCGATTGTTTCCATTGGACAAGGATCTTCGTCCAATAAAACGATTCGATGAGCCAGACTCGACCAATCGGTCTTCGCCACTCAATGCCGACCCCACCGAGGAGAACTCTACCCGCCATTCATATCCATTTGACAGTCTACCAATCCTCGTTTCCAGTGTCCGACCCCACTTCGTCATCCTCGACTCGGCTGGAAAGCTGTTCAATCAGCCATGGATAGTTTCGACCGTGGTGCCTTCACTTTGGCCGATTTCCGAGTACGATGCCAGCCACATGCTTTGGCACCTCGAATTCGTGTTTGGCTTGAAATTGAGGCGCCCCCTGGATTTGCGTCTACGTCGCGCACTCCTCTGTGGGCGTCTGCTCTCGACGCGGGTGCATGTCTGCTGACGTTGCGGCCGATGTCGCTGACTGTCTGCACGGGGCCGTGCTTCCGCAGCCGCTTTGCGTGGCAGCCGTCTGTCTGCTCTCGCTGTCTGCATACTGGCGATGACAACATGAGCGACGACTCTGCCGCCTCAGACAGCGACGATGACTTCAGGAGCCTTAGCCCATCCGAGTACAAGATGTACCGCAGGAGCCTAGATCGATATATAGTGACCTGGCGCACGCGATGTCTCAAAATGGTCGGGAAGTGCGGGCGATGGACCTCCCGTGTGGTCAACGACAAGCAATTGTGAGGATATCCTGAGAGCGTGTGCGGTTGAGGATACTGACACGACGATGATAACTGCATAGTAATTAGCCCCGTGCTTGCCCCTCCTATCTCATAAAGAGTCGGTTGGAAACAAGTAATTCGCGTGCATCTTCATCTAGGACACATTTTCACGAGTTCCGACCCGTCGCTTCGCGACTCTTGCACAGTGCTTAATAGTATTTCTTGGGGTTAGGGTTGAATCTGAGTTTTGTAGTTTAGTTTTAAATGACTATGAGGATTGAAATATTCCGTGTTAGTTGCAAACTATGCATTGATTATAGGCTACCTACAGTCTGAGTGTGGTCTGTATGTAGTCTGTGTGTAATCTATTGTTGGCTATATACTTGTGACTTGATTACCTATTATATGTGCTCTCATTTTGTATGCTTTTATTGTATATGCTCTTATTGTGTGTGCTTCTGTCATATATGCTCCCATTGTGTGTGCTTGAATTAGGTGTGCTCCTATTGGGTACGCTACTATTGTATATGCTTCTATTGGATGTGCTCTTGTTGAATGTGCTCTTGTTAGGTGTGCTCTCATTGAGTGTGCTCTCATTAGGTATGCTCTCGTTGAGTGTGCTCTCATTGGGTATGCTCTTGTTGAGTGTGCTCTCATTGGGTATGCTCTTATTGGGTATGCTCTCATTGGGTATGCTCTTATTGGGTATGCTCTCATTTGATATGCTCTTATTGGGTATGCTCTTGTTGGATATGCTTTTGTTGTATGTGGTGTGCTTTTGTTAGATATGCTCTAGTTGGATGTGCTTCCATCATGTGTGCTCCCATTGTATGTACTCCCATCATATGTGTTCCTATCAGGTATGCTCTAGTTAGGTGTGCTCTGTCGGAAAAAGTAAACCTTGATGATAAGCCCTTATAATGTATTATAAGGCCTTAATGTCATGGAACTTTATGATGCATTATGAGAAATGAGTCAGGGTATTGTGATAGATTATGATGCCATCACGATGAGAATTGCAATTGGTTATTATCCCTGGTGCTGACTTGGTGATGGCCTCCAGGCCGATCTCTACATGGTAAATTGAGTTATCGGAATTATGATGCCGAACTTAATGTATTATAATACCAAGACTCGGCATCATAATGCCCAACCGTTTTTTCTGACATCCTATTATATGTGCTCCCATTACATATAGTGTGCTCCCATTATGTGTGCTTCCATTGTGTATACTCCCATGGTGTATATTCCCATCACATGTGCTTTTGTTAGATGTGCTTTGGTTGGGTGTGCTTTTATTATGTGTGGTAGGATCCTATTAAATGTACTCTAGTTGTGTGTGCTTTGATTATATATGCCCCTATTGCATATGCTCCTATTGCTTGTACTCTTGTTGTATGTGCTCCCATTGCATATGCTCCCATTGTGTGTCCTTCGATTGTGTATGCTTCTATTGTGTATGCTCCCATACTCCTATCATGTGTGCTCTTATTGTATGTGCTCTTGTTGTATGTGCTCTTATTGTGTGTGCTCCCATTACATATGCTCCCATTGTGTATACTCTCATTATGTGTGCTTCCATTGTATATGCTCCTATTGTGTGTGTTCCTATTGTATGTGCTCCTATTAGTTTCATTGCACTTCTCTTATAGGTTATTGGACATTTTAATCTAATCTGAGTAATGTTCCTGGAGTTTTCCACCAATGTAAAAGACATATACACAGAATGCATAGATTTAGCAGGTATTGAGTTGGGAATATAAGGTACATTGATGGTTAGAGTCAGAATATATTGCCTTGTGCTCTATGGATTTTGTCATATTTTGTCAGGTTCCCTTTTTGGATTTTTGGTGCAGAAAATGCTTTAATCAGGAGAAGAGAAAATAATAATTTGGCCAATAAAGTAATTGTTTTAGCCTCGCGCTTCGCGCTCGCCGCGGCTATCGCCGCAGTTTGTCAGGTTTGGCCCCTCGCGCTTCGCGCTCGGGTTCTCACGTGGTTTTCACGTGTTGCCACGCGAGATACTGCCCTTCCACTCTCTTTAGATTGGTGTATCGTCGGGGTCGACGTAGTAGTATCAACTTTGACATGACATTTTTTCAATCAACATTGAAAGTTCTTTGTATGCATGGTGAACGCCACAGTCACCTATGGCATTGTGAAATGATGTGAGAAGAAAGGAACTTAACAAAATGTGGCTTGGGGCATCGTGATCGAAAAATGTCACTTGTGACCAAGTATCACATGACCGCCCCATGTCGGAAAAAATAAACCTTGATGATAAGCCCTTATAATGGATCATAAGGCCTTAATGTCACGGGACCCTTATGATGCATTATGAGAAAGGAGATAGGACATTATGATGCCATCACGACGAGGATCGCAATTGGATTGGTAATTTCAATCGTGATCCCAGGCTGATGGTCATTATAATGAGTCATAATGCCAATTTTGATGTGGGTCATCATGAGATCAGGATCCTGACATAATAGGACCACAAAAGTATCTGGCCACAGCCGACCCGGTAAGCTTGCTTGTTCATCAGTAGTGCTGACTAGCTAACTCACTTACTTTACTTACTGTGATACTGATAATTACTTACTTTACTTACTGTGATACTGATAATTACTTACTTTACTTACTGTGATACTTACTTACTTTACTTACCGTAATACTTACTTACTTTACTTACCATGATACTGACTTACTTTACTTACAGTGATACTTACTTATAGAGCTTATGAAAGTCTACTACTGAGGTGCTTACTACAGATTGATATTAGTACAGGCCGGGAATCGAACCTAAGTCATCTAGGTGCTACTAAGTTGGTACATGTAAGTCATTACAATAAAACCGCTCTGCCAAAGAGCTATTTCTAGTTAGCCTACGTTATTAAATATATCGTAAAAATCTGAGCTACTATGCAGCATGTAATAGTCTCGATGTACATGCATAAACATGTAGTTCGTGAGATTCAAGAAATGGATTAAGGATTCTTGAGAGCACTTTATTGATGTGTCACAATCCATACATGAAACATAGTCCATATGAAAATGCTAAGACAATACATGAACCTCCATGGATTACCCTCTACCTGCCTGTTTCCCTGAGGCCCCACGTGATCGTGTCGAGCAGACAGCTCTTGCAGATGGCATAGTGGGAGCCTTGCTCTTTGCCAGTCTCTTCTTCTTTGAACCTCCGCTTTCTGGATCTTGCAAGGCTGAGGGGTAACTGCCATCGACTGTTACGAAACGTTTCACCTATGCTTACTCACTTCTTCCCACCTTCTTGATAAGGACTCGTAGGACCTTTCTCCCGACTATACCTCGCGTTCCTGTTCCACTGATACTTGGTCCGTGCATCTGCTTGTACATATTTATAGATACTGCGGCGCAGTGTGGAAGCCCTAGGCTATCCACTTCTGTCCAATCTAAGAACTGCTGTTCACACAGTCTTCTCTGATTCTGAGACATTAGTCTGATCAGTCCCGATCATCCTCTCTAATCCTCTCATATTATTTGTGGCCTAGGATCCTCTCGTCCCGAACAGCCGTTCATGACATCTGGATAGCCTCTCCACACACAATCCTACTCCACCTTTTTTCCTTGCAGCAGAACACCGGCTAGATACATACGGCGCTAGGCAGTCCCAAAAGACAAGCGTCCGTCGACCGTAGTAGTTACTATACACTTCGAGCGAACGGTTGGACGATTCCACTTCAGTGTGGGTCGTTTCAGGTTGTAGAATACTTCTATCTGGTAATCAACCCAGTGGAGGTACGACCGAAACAACTGCACTCGACGTTACGTACGGTACTATACTAGAAGCAGAAATACTGTACCCGGCCAGAATGAGCTGCTGTTGCCTTGACCCTCGAACCTTGATCAGGTCGAGACTAGCGCGGGCTCTTTGATCTAACAAGACGACTTCCAAAGGTTCAGGATGAAGCGTAGGGCGAGTTCCACACGGAACGGACTACTTGAAACATTCTGACACATTTGTCCATTTCGGACAACCGATCAGAAGGACATCCAAGGGAAACTGGGTTTACGTAGGAGGACAGAACAGCGGAAAAACAGTCGACGCCCCACTAGTACCCTGGGAAGACAGGAAGGCACCCCTCAGAACCATAGATTCCCCCATCCGAACAAAACCTGTTCTATCACCGATCAATATCCCCAAAGAAGATATCGAAGAAACCCCAATTCCCGCAGGAGTATTAACCCCGGTCGACGAAGAAGACCCGGAACCTGTAGCAGGACCAAGCCAGCCAAACCCAAACCCGAACCCACAACCAAACCCTCTACCGACAACAGACACCACAGACGACGAAGACGAAATGTCAGACAGAGGAAACAAACCGAAGGACTTCGACGGCACAAGGTCGAAATATAGGGAATGGATATACGAATGTCACATGTATATCCTCGCCAACCCAACCAAATATGACACCGACAAGGATAAAACCCTGATGGTGCTATCATACATGAGGGAAGGAACGGCGTCACTTTTTGCACAGAAATACTATTTCGACAGGGAACTTCAGGAGTACAAACCGACGGAGACGAGAAAAGCATGGGGAACGTTCAAGGACTTCTTGAAAGAACTGGCCGCCGCATTCAAAGATGAAAGTCTCGAACAGAAGGCGAGACAGAAATTGTTCACGATGAGAATGGGAAAGCGGTCAGCAGACGAATTTGTCACGGACTATCTTATGACGGCAGGAGAAAGCGGGTTCGATCTCGAATCCACCATCGACTATTTCCGCCGGGCCATACACCCGGAAATCCTCAAACAAATCTACAGACTTCCTGACATGCCGACGACCATGGACGATTGGGTAAAGTACACCCGAAGGTTTGATAACCAGTGGAGAGAGCTACAAAGTATAAAAAGCTCCGTACCCTCAGCTACCATTCGATCCAGCAACCCATTCCGCTACAACTCCTCCAACGCTCCCTCCTCCATGAACAACTCCGTCGTACCCATAGCCGTAGACTCGGTCAGAACAACCCTCACCGACGAAGAGCGCAACCGCCTCAGGATGGAGGGTGGGTGCTTCTACTGTCGCCAGAAAGGACATATGGCAAACCAATGCCCTGTCAGGGGTTCGTCTAGGTTATATGAAGGGTCAGCTAGATATGTTCAACAGAGTAGTGGAACGATGGGGAACCGCTCGGCTCAGACCGGCGGCAGGATGGGAGGCGGAGGAAGCGGCTATGGCCGAGCGTTCTCGGCAGGAACTTCAGGCAGTGCTCAGGGAGGCGCTGCGACGCAAGGTAGAAGCGTGGCGACGACTAACCCGTTCCGAGCCTGACTCGCAGCTCGCCAAGCCCACGCACCCGGACCGGATGCGCCTGTACGTGAGACGGAGCATGAGATTAGCCGAGAAGAGATCCAAAGGGTTATCGGGAAGATGAGATGGGATGAACAGGAAGCACTCCTCCAGGAGTTAAGCGAGATGAGTAAGAAGAAGGAATCGGATTTTTAAATAGGCCTACGGCCCCGGTGTACCGTAGACCTATCCCAGACTCCCCTGTAAAAACATTCGTACGGCTCACGAAATCCAATCAGAAATCGTCTATGAGGATAAACGTGCATCTAAAACATAGGGGAGGAACCACCGAAGCCCGAGTATTGATCGATTCGGGAGCAGAAGGACTCCTTATTGACAAACAATTCTGCCTCAATAATAACATACCAACGCAGAAGATCGACAGGCCTATCCCTGTGTTTAACGTAAACGGAACAGCCAACGATGGAGGAAAAATCACCGACAAAGCCTGCGTGCTTATGAGAATAACAAATAAAGAAGGCGACTATCACGACGAACAATGCGAACTACTAGCCGCTAACTTAGGAGGCGAAAACGTGATCCTGGGAACAGATTGGCTGCATGAACATAACCCACAGATAAACTGGGTAAAAAACAACCTTACGTTCTCAAACTGCGCTACCACGTGTCTAGTCAGCCGACCCAAGTTTACCATACAAGCACTGACGCCTGCACGGCAAAGAAAAAACAGAACAATCGGATATTCCAGAATAGAAGACGATCCGGAAGAAGGCGAAATCGAAGATACCTTCTTCTCCGAATTCTACGAGGAATGGTACTATCAAAACCCACTAGAAGTACACCCCCTTGAAGCAATTCATATCGGTTCCATCGGAAACAAATCGCAACAGCTGGCAGAAGAGGCAAACAAGGCAAAAACGGAACGACCTATCGAGGAAATCGTTCCAGCGTACATACTTAAACGATTCGCCAAAATCTTCAGTCAGGAAGCTTCACAGCGACTCCCAGAACACTCACAATGGGACCATAAGATCGATATGAAACCAGGATGGGAGCCAACGGGGTGTAAACTGTACCCGCTGACGGAAGAGGAGGAAGACCAACTCCACGAGATGCTCCAAGAGCACCTAAAACGAGGAACCATTAGGATATCTAAATCTCTGCAAGCGTCACCCTTTTTTTTCGTAAAAAAGAAGGAAGGAAGTCTACGACCAGTGCAAGATTATTGGAGACTAAACGAATGGACCATAAAAAACAAATATCCACTACCCCTGATTGACGACGTAATAAGAACCATTGCCAAATCGAAGGCGAGGATCTTCTCTAAGTTTGACGTAAAATGGGGGTACAACAACATCCGCATAGCAGAAGGCGACGAATGGAAAACGGCCTTCATGACCAAATTCGGCTTGTTCGAATGTCTCGTGATGTTCTTCGGTCTCTGTAACTCACCCGCCACTTTCCAAACAATGATGAATATCATTTTCCATGACCTCATTGTGGCACAAGTCCTGGCAGTCTATATGGATGACATTTTGGTATTCACAAAAACCATCGAAGAACACCGACGCGTAACGACCCAAGTCATGCAAATACTCTTGGACAATGACTTGTTCCTGAAACCCTCCAAGTGCACTTTCGAAACAGACACGGTTGAATACCTCGGATTCATTATCTCTGCGGACAATATATCTATGGACCCCGTCAAGGTTAATGGAATCGCTGCCTAGCCAACCCCGAAGAACCTAAAAGAAGTACAATCCTTCCTAGGCTTTGGAAACTTCTATCGCAGGTTCATCAAAGACTTCGCCACGACGGCCCGACCCCTCAACAACCTTACAAAGAAAGATGTTCCATTCGAATGGACTCCCGAAAGGGACAAAGCATTCGAACAACTAAAGCATTGTTTCACGTCGACTCCTGTCCTTGTCTATCCGGACGGTAATCGCCCATTCCGTCTTGAGACTGACGCCTCAGACTTCGCCTCGGGAGCCATCTTGTCACAAGAAACGCCCAATGACGGATGGCACCCCATCGCTTACTTGTCCAAGTCATTTAATGTGGCCGAACGGAACTACGACATCTTCGATAAGGAACTGCTTGCTGTCATCCACGCCCTCGATCACTGGCGCATATACCTTGAAGGTGCACGACACCCGTTCGAGATCTGGTCCGACCACAAAAATCTCCTGTACTTCTCTACCGCCAGAACTCTCTCCCACCGCCAGGCACGCTGGTCACTCTTCCTCTCCCGCTTCGACTTCACCCTCGTCCACAAACCGGGCGTTACTCACCGACCCGATGCTCTGTCCAGGCGTCCAGACCTGAAAGAGGGGGTAAAATTTGACAACGAAAACCAGGTACTACTACAACCTCAAATGTTCGTCAAAAGTGCAACAGGACGAGGAACAATCGAAATGCTTGACAGCCAACTGAGACGAAAGCTAAGAGAGGTCACAGCCAAAGATAAAGAAGTAACAGATGCGATGGAACTCATCAAAGCATCCGGACCCAGAGCACTCTCAAAAGGCCTACAAGAATGGAACTATGAAGACGATCTCATCTGGCACAAGGGAAAAATATACGTCCCACCAGACGACGGACTTAAAAGACAAATCACGAAAATGTACCACGATTCACCAGCAGCGGGACACCCGGGAAGATGGAAGACCTATGTCTTAGTGTCCGATAACTTCTGGTGGCCAGGAATGTCCACGTTCATAAAAGAGTACGTAACAGGATGTGCAACGTGTCAATACACCAAGAATATCACACACCCCACACGCACCCCACTCATTCCTAACGAAATACCAAAAGGACCCTGGCAGATAGTCACCATGGACTTCATTACGGATCTTCCACAAGTCGGACCATATAACGCGATACACGTAACGGTGGACAGAAGCACTAAAGGAGTCGTCTACACTCCATGCGACAAAACCATAGACGCCGAAGGAACGGCCGACCTCTATATGAAGAATGTCTGGAGACGATTTGGACTCCCACAAAAGATCATCTCTGATAGAGGTCCACAATTCGCCGCTCGATTCACGAGAGAACTATGGAAGAAGTTAGGAGTCACGACAGCGTTATCAACCGCTTATCATCCCGAAACAGATGGTGAAACAGAAAGAGTAAACCAAGAATTGGAACAATATCTGCGAGCATTCTGCAATTACGAGCAAACAAACTGGCCTGAACTACTACCATACGCCGAATTCGCACATAACATAAGGGAACATTCAGCCACGCATCAATCACCATTCGAACTCATGTACGGCTACAATCCAACCTTCGTACCCCAAATCACACCAAGGTCCGACATCCCCGGAGTGGAACTAAGGCTAGAAAGGCTAGAACAACTTCGAAAAGAAACGAAGGCCAGCTTGGAAGTCGCGGCAGAATTAATGAAAAGAAAAACCGCCGAGAACGAAGTCAAGTTAGAAGCAGGGCAGAAAGTTTGGCTCTCGGGAAAAAACATTACCACTACACACCCAAAGGACAAATTAGCCCCTAAACTACACGGACCATTTGAAATAGAAAGCAAACTAGGACCAGTGACGTACAAATTAAAGCTTCCGCCAACATGGAAAATACACCCCGTATTCCACGCCTCGTTAATCTTACCCTATCAAGAAACAGCCGCACACGGCCCCAACTTCGAACAACCACCACCTGACCTCATAGACGGACAGGAGGAATACGAAGTCAAAGAAATTCTTGACAAGAGGAAACGAGGACGCGGGTATCAATACCTAGTACACTGGAAAGGATACCCGAGCTCCGCGGATGAATGGGTCACGAGAGCAAACCTAGGGAATGCTAAAGAACTTTTGGAAGCATATGACACGCGACATCATAATTTACCATTACGGGCAGCCCTTGCAAACATTGGACAAACAAAGTCAGAAACATACAAAAGCCCAAATTCAATCGTTACAATTCCTTCATTCCTTCAATCACTCATTCATCCTCCCAACGAACATGTCTTCCAACGAGTCCATCCACCCCTCTTCTGAAGACACTCTCATCGAACAAACACCCTCCACCGAACCCTCCATTCCTTCGACCCCCGAGATGTCCATAATAGAAGAACGGTCCGTACCATGGGACACAGACGAAGAACAAGCAGCGCGGGAAGCGGAAGAGGGATTCAGCGAGTATCTAGAAGGACTGGACGAGGACGAACGACGACAGGATGAGATGATCAGACTACTCACGGAGGACTTCGACAGACCTTCACCTTCCCACTCTCCCTCTCCACCACCCCTTATCCACACACCAAGCGAAGGGATCGTATTTCCCGACAGAGAAACGTATCTGATGACTCCCGTCGCCTACATGATGGGGCTTATCGAAGGCACGCCGAACACCGAATTTGTATCAGGACCAACTAGACCGGAAATTCAAAGGGCGTTGGAGATCCTGGAAGAAGAAAGGAGCTTCGTCCGACACGCACAACGAGCCTTGCAGATCAGGGAGGGAACGCTCATCGCCCGCATTAATGCAGGCGAGAGGAAGCTCATAGGTCTAGACCAAACAACGCCCCTTCGGGACACCTTTCATCCCGCCGATGACATCACCCCCGTCACCGAATATCACATGCCGACCACGGCTGTGGTATCTCGTGCCTCGTCTTCGGCCTCAAATGGAGCACCACTTCGCCCAATGCCGGGGGCTTACCCCATGGAACGTGGCAGAGGAAGGGACGTCTATAGATTCGCACAAATATCGCCTCGCTACCACGTCATACCCGCACGACTGGGCTTGATCCGCCCTTCTACCCGAACTCGACCTCCCCTTCCCTTCGTCGAGTATGACTCCAGCGAGTCCGACACCCAACCCATCGTCCTGCGTCCTCGAGGTGCTTGAAGAATGAGACGCTGACGTCCGGTACGACGTAAAACTGCCGGGGCAGACGACGGTTCGAATCCGTTGGGCCGGTACCCACTGCCATGATGAGAAGAGGGACTCGGCTCTAGAACGCAGTCCCCGCATGGTTGGTAACGAGGTGGGGTATCATGACGTCCGTACTCAAGGGCTATCGCGTCATGACTCGACTGTGGGCAGCGAGAATATGTGCCCTAAGTATTATTTTACACGACTCGGACTACGTGCATTGCTTATGTTTTTCCTGAACTTTTACTTACCGTCTCTGGCACTGACGGCCTAGAGGGGGGGGTAATGTTACGAAACGTTTCACCTATGCTTACTCACTTTTTCCCACCTTCTTGATAAGGACTCGTAGGACCTTTCTCCCGACTATACCTCGCGTTCCTGTTCCACTGATACTTGGTCCGTGCATCTGCTTGTATATATTTATAGATACTGCGGCGCAGTGTGGAAGCCCTAGGCTATCCACTTCTGTCCAATCTAAGAACTGCTGTTCACACAGTCTTCTCTGATTCTGAGACATTAGTCTGATCAGTCCCGATCATCCTCTCTAATCCTCTTATATTATTTGTGGCCTAGGATCCTCTCGTCCCGAACAGCCGTTTGTGACATCGACAGGCTGAAGAGTGGGAACAGGTAACACTGCAACAGCCTGTCCTGTACTGGATTGGTGGCGGCTGGCATCCAGAAGTGTGATCATGGGTGGTGGAAGCACATTGATTGGAGGCGGTGCTGCAGACTGCACAGGATGTCGCACAGCAGCAGCCATGGGTGCAGCAACGAGAGTGGTGAGGTTCGGAGTACCTGTGGTAGGCAGTACAGCAGCATGCCATGCACTAGCTAGCAGGTGCGCGATGGTGGGGTGCGCGACTGCTGGGAGCCCACTGTCCTTATCCTTCTCGCTATCTCTATCATCGAACCTGCTGTTGTCTGCACCGTAGAGGTCATCTTCTGCTTCTTCGGCACCCTTGTCATTGTTATCCTCATCACCTATCTCGCTGTCCTGGTCTTCATCTTCAATGCCAACCTCTCCATTGTCTCCAGTCTCACCGCCGATGCTCTCTCCGTACGCTGTAAAATTATTGTCGGCAAGTCGCATCTTCATCAACAATACCGATATGCTGCTCCCAACTTGCTGGCCCCTGTCGACAGAAATGGCCGATGTTGAATTTGCTTGCACGGTGGTTGAGAGAACGCGCTGGTTCAAGTGCGCGAGCGTCGCCTTGATGGTGGGATTGGTGGCACCCTGGAGGAGGATTCCCTTATAATGATTGAATTTTGTCTCGTAGTCGATCTTAGCACGCTGTCCATTTTTGTTGAAATGGGAATCTGTTGAAAGAAGAAAAAGTGCCTGCATAATATCAGAAAAGCTATGCAATTGGACATATAATAACTGAACTTTACCATGATTGACGCAAACACAACGGCGCCTGGGGTGAGTACAGTGACACCCCATTTCCGTGCGACAGGTGGTGTTCCTGTGGCCTTTGTAGAGAGCATGGAGCCATCTGCAGCCACAGAGTTAGGGCTGAGGAGACTGATGCGAAGGATCTAGAAAAAGGAATCAAGAAGGTCAGCCGGTGGCCCAGAACAATTCAGGAATGAGATGTATATACCCAAACAATAACCTCTGATCTAAACAGAAAAGAGATGTTGGAAGTGTGAGGAGGGAATAATACCGCAGCTAGTTTGGGAAATTCCTCAAGGCCAGGCGGAACAGCGAGGAGCGCTTGCGCCGTCTCAAGCAGGACGTCAAGTCAGAGCTGTCCGACAAGGTCTTCACGGTGAGGGTGAGCGCGCTGCAGATGCAGCTGTACAAGCAGAGGAAGAAGTACACGATGATCGTGGATGGGAAGGACAGCAAGCGAGCTTGACGCTGATGACTGAGATCGCACAAGGGTACGTCCCCACCCCGTCCTCCCATCCCATCCGAGCCATGCATCTCACACCACCCCACCGCATCTAGGACGTTCAACTTGTGAGCACCCACTTCCCCGCTCTTGCCTGATCAGTCCCCGATAACCGCACTCGAAAAGGTCAAAACTTTAACGAGATCATACTGTGCATATACTCGCAGTTTATGGAGAAAGAAGTGCGCCAATGGCAGCATATATACAAGGTGCCGCCCTCTCTTTTCTCTCTCTCTCTCGCCTTCCTCCCACCTTGACACCGTGGGCTCACGACCACGCAGGCGCTCCAACTGCTTGAGTACCTCGTCAAGCATGGTAGCGAGCACGTCGTCGACGACGCCTGCTCGCACATCTCAGCCATCAAGATGCTCTGCAACTTCCACTACATAGACAACAAAGAGAAAGACCAGGGCATAAACGGTGTGCCCCACACCCATACCCTCACCCACCCCATCCATCCATCCACCCATCCGTCCCCAACTCATTGCTCACCCACCCTGCCCCCACAGTCCGCAACCGCTCACGCGAGCTTGCCAAGCTCCTCTCCAACATCGAGAAGATCTGTGTCGAGCGGCGCAAGGCTAACGCCAACAAGAGCAAATGCATTGGCACGGGCTCCAACGGGCTCTCCTTCACCTCCGGCGGCTCGCGCTATGGCGGCTTCAGCAGCAACTCGCTGGGTGGCGGCGGCGGTGGGAGCTACGACGGCAGTGCGAGCAGGTTCGAGCGAGGTGAGTGCGCGCACGCGCAACCAATAGAGACAACACAAACGACTGACAATCGATCCTGGTGTTTCTTTGTTCGTGCAGATTGCAGCGGTGGAAGCAGCGGCAGCGCGGGCAGGAGCAGCGGGTTCCGCGACGACACTGCGCGGCACGGATACGAGGAGTACGACGCAGGCAAATACGAGTCGGGCCCGCGCCGCTCCAACTCGCTCACTGTCCACACCGTGCAGTCGCAGTCTCAGTCGCAGTCGCAGGCGTGCACGGCGCGTCTCGGCAGCGACAGTGACGGCTCCAGGAGCAACAGGATTCTCAATGGTGGGGAGCACGGACAAGGTGCTCCCTGCGCTCGCGAACCTGAACCTCGCGGACAGTGCGTTGTCCCTCCTCTCTCCTCGGTCGTAAGCGGGGTAACTGACGCGCGCGCGCGCGTTTGTTTGTTCGCAGACGACGACTTTGCCGACTTTCAGGCGGCCCCGCCATCCGCGACCGCCGCGGCACCCGTGCTCCCGAGCGGCAAACCGAGCCTCATGGACATGCTAGCCTCCGCGCCCGCGTCAGTTGCTGCGACCAGCACGCCCGCGTACGCCGCGCGACAGCCGCTGTACACCTCTCCCGCTACCCCAAGCACTCCTAAAGACATGGGCACGGGCATGGGCATGGGCGTGGGCATGGGCGTGGGCGTGGGCGTGGGCGTGGGCATGGGAATGCAGCCTACCCTAGCGGCATACGGCACGCAGGGCCAGGGCCGCCTGCTCTCCTTTACGCAGCCCGCGCTGAGCCCGATGTCGTCCATCACTGCGACATCCTCGCTTGCGACGTTGCCGACCATCGGGGCAAAGAAGCCTGCGTGCGCGGGTGCGGGAGCAGGAAAATTTGATGATCTGTGGACGATGAGGATGGCGCTCGGCTCGGGGGCGGGGGCAGGGGCGGGGTCGAAGCCCGGCATGCCAGTAGGCGGGAAGTGGACGAGCATGGGCATGGGCTTGGGCTTGGGCTTGGGGGGTGGTGGCGCGGTGCCTGCCAAGTCGATGAAGGACCTGGAGTGGGAGAAGGTGCAGATGGGGATATGGGACGTCGGTGCGCAGAAGGCACAGCAGCAGCAGCAGGCAGTGCGGGTGCGGGTGTGTTTGGGTCGTTTGGGCCTGTTGGGGGGTCGGCAGCTGCCGACTGGTCAGTCTCTCACATCTGTCTGTGCTGGTGTCAACTAATTGCTTCAGTTTAGGAATCCCCATGCGGATCTGCAAGCGCAGGATCGTGCGCATCGTATCGGCCAGACCAAGGCCATGCGCATCCTGCGCCTGATCACCAAGAAGAGCATGAAGGAGGCCATGTACGCGTGCGCACGCTACAAGCCTGACATCAACAACAAGGTCATCCAAGACGGTCGACGCAGGAAGAGCAGGAGGATTTTCTGGTTCATCGTCGTAGCTCTGTCTGCTCGTAGACACACAAAACTCATCTTGATCTTGGAAGCCAACCAGGAAGAAGAGAACGAGGAGGTGGGAGACATGAATGACAACAAGATCAGCAGCATCATCGCGCGCACAGACGAGGAGGAGAAGTTCTTCTCTGATCTTGACATCCAGCGGGAGCACAAGCTGCCAGTGGCGATGGCATGGAAGGCTGCGGGCAACCGGGGCGAGCCGCCTCAGCTTAGGCTGGGGTTTGGGTGCGTGGTTATTAGGCTGGCATCATACTAACGGCTTGGCTAGGTGGTATTGAATCCCGTTTGCGAGCGTCGTACAGCCCGCTGCGTCACCGCATGACTCCTTTGCACCGCATTCGCTATCGGGCGCAGGCACTATGTGGATGTTACAAAAAGGGGAAGAGGATCAGGTATTGGGCAACAACTCTGACTGTATACTGCTGTGTCCGACGGTTGTCTGTGCCATATGTACTAATGATTCTGTATCTATTTTGAGTTAATGTGACCAATTACAGGCTAGCTATCTGTTGAAGACGAAGGAACATGTCCGTGTCCACGGTATCTACAACCAGTAAGTCCCCTGTCCTCTCAAAATCTTCTACTAACAATGCACCCCTAATGATGGACCGTACAAAGATGAACTCACAAGAAGTTCGAGGTTTTGCACAGACACGGAATAAGCCGAAATCGACATCCTTTTGCCGATGAGGACCGCTAAGAGTGGCATCAAATGGATGAATCAATGCAATGGGGTAGTCTTCGCCTTCGACCTTGTAGTTGAAAACAAAGACAAGCTGTGCAAAGATAGGTCCCCTGACTGTGTCCACGACAATGCAGTCATATCGTGGCTTTTCATGGAAGGATGGGCTACACCGCAAGTAATCCATCTTCTCTCTCCAATTAACTGTGGACTCATATCGAACCTTCAAAAAGCAGTATTCCCAAATCTGTTAGGATGCAGTTTAGAGGTATATCACAATTGCCAGATTAATTAGACACTTACCTTGTCATTTGCATCTAGCTTGATGCTTGCTGCCACTTTATTGAATTGGTGAATGAGATTAGCTATAAGCCATTTGATCAATCTCTTTGAGAAATTGGTGAATGCAGGATCCTTGGATTCCTCTCGACTATGAAGAGAGGAATTGATGTTCCGAGAACCAAGAATGACATGACCAGCAATAAGAACAGTTGACCTCCAATTTTCCAAAATATCAAAGTCTTCTTCCTTTTCTTCTTGAATTTGTTTGAATGCTTGTACATGCTCAATCTGAGCACGAACAAATTTGGTGACTAGAGTATACTGGTCCACATTCAAAATCTAGAAAGAATATTAGCATTAATAATGCTTATATGTAAAATAAAATACCTGAGAGGCAATATTCTTCTTGTTTGTACGAAGGAGATATGCATATTTGATAGGCCCATGCAACTTCTCATTTGGCTTTGTATTGTCATTGCGAGTGGCACCTTTCTCTTTGATATCTTCAAATAAGTGCTTGTGAGTGTGAATCTTGGGGAAATTCCAATCCTTTAAGTTTTCTGCATCAACCATCATAATATATTTCTAAACCAAAAATATAAGCAAAATTTAATATCCAATGAAGTAGCAAAAAAACCTTGAGTGATTGTTCAAATCTTAAGATTGCTAATTCACCCACAGCAATTGTTTCTTCTGTGTGGACTTCGAGTGCAGCATACATATCTAAGACAAGATAGCTGCGAATGCATTGAAGCAAGGCATATCCAGCTGGAGTTTTTTGCTTATTGCCCAAGAGATTATGAACTGCAAAAGTAATAACCTATAAATAGTATTAGATTCAAAGTTTGAAAGAAAGAATAATAATAAAACCAACTTTGGAAATATCTTCAAATTTGCTACCATCTGTAAAAGATGTATTCATGATACTGGAAAAATGGTTGAGATCCTTCCAAGATGGAATCAAGTCCATTCTACAAATGAATTTCAGTTTAATAAACAAATCTCGAAGAATTGATAGCTTACCGATTATCACCAGATTTTTCTGCTCATCGGCCAAGATTCTCAATAATCATTTTGAGCCCAGGCCACAAATGTCTTCCAAATACACCAAGATGGTATGCATGAAGTCGATCCCATGATAAAGCATGATGCACATTAGTGTTTGATATCGACCAAAAAGCACTCTTTAAATAATCAGAATCACAGATATCAAAAACTCAATAATACACTTACTTTTACTGGTCGGAGACTGAGCTGTTTGAAAAGCTGTTCCTTATCCCCAAGGAACCTTAAGCCTTGTGCTTGCTCAAATATACCTTCTGACTGATCGCTAGTTCGTCGTGGATGAGTTTTTGAAAGATCAACCAACTCTTTGTCAGGAACAAGACAAATAGGACAAGGACATAAGCCATTTTTGCCCCGTATCAAGGCCATAACACATCTAAAAAGATTATGTAAATAATCATTATAAATAAAATCAGAAAAACATACTGCTCTTCATAGTCAGCTGTCAAAATTAGAATCATTGGAAAGAGCCATCGCTTTGTTCCATCAGCACAGTGGAAAAAGAAGCCATACTTGGAATGCTGCTCAATAGACTTCAACAAATGAAGAAACGACTCATGCCAAACAACATTCTTGAAATTGGCAAAAGAAGTCTTGTTCTTCTCTTTAGGGTCTTCAGGTACCTATAAATCTTTTAGAACAATAAGTTATCAATGATTGAATTAAATCTTACAATAGGTAGCCATCCAACAAGATGACTACCACCAACACCGTCACCATTCCGAATATCAACGGGGAGGTTCGCAAGTCGTGCAAAAACTGGATAACCTTTCTGTGTGCCAAATGATGATAATTTGGTCTTGTCTGCATACAGGATGTAACACAGAGGGTTGGCTGTTGGAGGGATTTTTGACTGGCAAAAATGAGACTAGAAATCTTGAATATAAGAAGAAAGCACTATACCTGAGCTTTCCAAAACCCATCAGCAGCCCAAGGCTCATAATACATCTGCACAAACTCTGTACCATTGAATTTAGAAACTTTCTCGGCATCCCAAACCCAGTGTAGAGCTAGTAGTGGATCTTCGAGAAGATCCATTGTCCATTCCCATAGTGGCTTGAAATGGACATTGAACGTCTCATGTTTACCCTTGTATAGGACAGAGATCTCCTCTTGCTCAAACTAAAAGCATTATACAAAGAATCAATACATTCAATCATTTATTGAGCAGATACAACATGCCTACTAACATTGGTGAGGGTATTAGCCTTGCTTCTGAGTAGATCGTATATCTTGGCCTGTGACTTGAGAGTTACAGACTCTGCACCCTGCGACCGCTTGAATAGAGAAAGGAGAGTGTTAACCTGGTCATTGTTCAGAGCACTCTGTACTGCAAACTCGGCAACCTCAAAGTCCAATCGAGAACGAAATGGTTTCCATGGCTCATCATCAATCGGGGATGGCAAAGGCACTGCAGCACGACCGTAATCTTCAAATGATGTTGTCTGTGGACATTTTCGACTGTGCGGATGAAACTCCGTCCGGATATCGTTATGCTTTGGTGCCGGAATCGGAATCGGAATCGGAATCGGATGGGATGTCAGAGCAGCAGAGGCAGAGGGCGATGATTGCAGAAGATCTAGATGTACATCAGGTAGAACATCAGTGGATTGGTGATGGAATATTCAATGCATAAAAAAAAGGAAAGCTGTACTCATTGAAGCACAATGCCCAATCGTCTCGCACACAGCCTCGCAAACTTCAGAGCAATCGGTATCATCTTCTGATATGACCGAGTGGGGGTACATCATGGCCGCCGAGCGCAATGCGTTCGACACTAGCCTGCGCCGCATCGCCCACCACGTTCGCCGAAGGGTCAAGCGACACTGCGTGCATGACGGGCGAGCCCAGCGCAATGCAATCCTGCTCAATCTTTTGGGCTCGACGATCATCTTGGTGCATACACACCGTGGCTGCTAGGTAGGAGACCCCCAACCGCAGCTGGCGCCGCAAGGCCATCTCACGCCCCGTGTTCGCCCACGGGCAAGTCAAGTGGTGCCGAGCACACGACAGGCACTCCCGGTGCTTGATCCTCTGGGCTCAATGACCAGCTTGGTATGTGCACAACGTGGCTGCTGAGCAGGAGACGTTCGACTCGGCCCCACATCCCCATATTGCCCTCTGCAGTTGCCAAGGGTCGAGCGCCGTGCAAGACAGGCGAGCTCGGCGTGAGATCGTGCCAGCATCCACGGACCTTTTGTGTGCTCCGAGAAAGAAGAACTCACTTTGCTCTACAACTTCAGCAGGAACGTCCTCGTGCAGTTCCAGGTTCGTGAGAGGCGCTTGGCTGCCATCGATCGGAGTGCAAGGAGTGCGACGACGTTTCTCTGCTGCCACCGCCGCCGTTAGAGGCTACTTCAGGGACTGATGGTGCAATCCACGTACCTTCCAGCTTTTTTTTCCGCAGGTACCTCTCCTCGAACGCCCTATCCTGAATGCCTTCTAACTTTCTCTTCCCGCAGGCTCTCTTGTGGGTTGTCAGCCCGCGATGCTTGAAAAACCCCCCGCAATGCATGCACTGAGATGAAACGGGACCCGCTGTCGCACCTGAAGCAAGGTTCGTCGACATCAATATTGAAAGGGAGACTGATGAGGGGGACTGATGGCGGGGGCTGAAGCGCTGAGCGGCTGAGCGTCGTCGAGGTGAGTCTGAAATGAGGCCTGAGGATCACGATCTATCATTATCTGTGCGATCTAATCAAAATGAATTATCATTATTCTTTAGCCCTGGTAATGGCCTCCAGGCCGATCCCCACATGGTAATCTGACTCATCAAATCATGATGCCGAAAATGATGCTATTATGATGTCAAGACTCGGCATCATAATGCCCGACCGTTTTTTCCGACACACTTGGGGGTGGCTCGCCCGCTCTCGCTCGTTCATCGTTCAACCAGCATCTTGTCGCGCACCTAGAACTCATAACCTGTGTTCATCTACTTGAGAATACACTTCTATACAAAAACAATCCTAGCAATAGCACTGGACATTGCAGTGTAATGGGCATCACAGGATCCTTACCATTGAGATGGTCAACCCTGGTCAAGGGCGGTGTCGAGATGGGCTCAACAGATTCCCAAGGTATGTCTCCGTCCAAGCCGACCCCCACGCCCGTCGTTCATCCCCTGTGTCATCAAGATGTCGACAACTGCTCCGAATATCCTCAACTCGTGCCGACAATCCCAATTCCAAACCATTCCCGTGTGTCGAGCAGTGTAACGACTGCAACATTGATTGGGCCAAGCCCATTGGAAAGTCTTGGTTGTAGAACGGACTCTTCTTGTATCATCAGTATGTCTGCGTCTGATAGATCCCATATCCGTTCTGCTTAATCATAACCCCAAAAAGACGTTGATTACCATTCTGAAGGCTCAAAACACGTCAACCGTATTCGATGTTCCATTAATTCAGGTGTAACATGCTTGGGTCTTAAGTGCAGCAGAGGTTCCAATATGTCGAATGTGTCAGTCCCTGCGAAGAGGCACAGAGGACCTAAATCAGGACCCGAACTCACACAATCTTCCAGTGCGCAAACCCTTGTTTACAACCTTATAGTTTTGTTGATTTAATATTCGTTCAAGAAGTAAATCATCGCTCAAACGTCCTGACTCCGTCTGTGAGTATCAGCAAGACGATTCCTTCGAAGGCCACTGGTACGCGTATGATTGGGTGACTGCTCGTTCAATTACTGATATTCTGACTCCATAAGGTGCGGACCAGCATCCCGAAACCCCCGAAACCCCTTCTCAAGCTCCATGATCAGCCATCTCGAATGTCAAACATTGCCTTGTGACGGATGAGCTCGCATCGATGGCCTGAGTTGAACCGTGTTACTTGTTAAATCAGCATCTCTGGGAAAACAAAGAGATGGTATGTCTGTTCCTCTGCTCCTGGTTCTCGATATAATGTCTGACTCTCGATCGCAGCTTACACGTCTCGAATGGATGTGGGGGATGCAATACGATTCACTCGAGTTGGATACAGAAGCAAATAGAATTTATTGTGTGTTTTCTAGTTATATGTGCCTCAACCACAACTGACATTCGCTTCGGGCTAGTATGTCATGACTTGCTGGAATCATTTGACAGCAACCGCTGGCTGCTCCTTCCTTCGCTTGAGATGGTCAACAAATTGTGGGATCGCTGTCATAATCTCATAGATGATCCTACCAGCGCAAAGCAACAACCGCACATCGAGACGGTTCGTGTTTCCATCTTTTGTCGAAGATCCATCTCATGATCCTTCAGCTTTATGAAAGTGCCGAAACTTTTGAATATCGGTTATTGCCACTGCGGCATGGCATTGAATCGATTGATCGGTTCGATCAACCAAATTCAATTGGAACGTTTTCGCTAGCCGCTGAGCAAAGCCCACACGCTATTCGAATCCATTCGACACCCTCCCAACTCTGGTTTCACGTGCGAAACCCCATTTCGTCATCTGCGATTCCGCTGCCAAGCTCTTTCATGAAACAACATCTGGCCCATCAGGACTTGCGCGGGTAATCCAGTTGCTCTGGCCGGTGTCCGAGTGCGATGCCACTTGTATGCTCGTCAACTTACAAAGTGTATATTCTCTCTGGCTAGAAGATGCATCGCCCTCGACATTTGCATCATCACCTCGCACTCCTCTTCAATTACCCTCCCCTGATGCCTGTCCAAGGCTACCCATCCGACGTCGCCCGTCCCCAGAGTCTTGTGTCTGACCATGCTTTAATAGCTGATTTGCATGGACACCTTTGCTATGCTCTCGCTGCCAAAACGGTGGCATTATCAATAACTCCATTGACTCTGATAGCGACGAAGATCTTATCAGTCTTAGTCCATCAGAAGCTGCATCTGAATATAAATCCTACCGCAGACATCTTTCTTATAAAGTAAGATCTTGGCAATCCCGTTGTATGAAGGAGGGAGGGAGATGGACATCACGTGTGCTCAACGATGACCAGCTGGGAAGCTATGTGGAAGAGCGATCACGAAACATTGAGCGGACTGTACGGCATACTCATTCTCGATGGTGATGCCCAATGTACTCACTCTTAGGATGTCAGATTCCAGTTTGAGAATCCTCCTGTAGAATCATTGTATGATGAGACATGTTGAATATACCCAAGTCTCAGACTCTCATCAATTCTCCTCTTAGAGTGGCTTCTCTAGTTCCAAGCCAAATATTGTCGCTAGGCCACCCTCCGCCATATAGGCCACATCTTGTGCCTTGTCCAGAAATCATAGGCCACATCTCGTACCCTGTGCCGGTCACGTTGTGGCATATCTCGCCAACTTACACATTGAACACAGGTCCGGCCATGACATTATTCTGCCATGGCCGGGCTATGTTGAATGTGCCACTCGTTCCATGACTATAAATCCCTATTGCTGCCCTTTCCAGGCCACCTATACCTTCCTTCCTCCCATCCATAGCCCGTTGACAACTCCCCTGAACCCCATGCACAGGGTTTTCAACTTCACTCATGGGCCCTCAATCGCAAAAAGTGAGACTACTATAGACTTCACTCCTATCTCCTTAGGAAAAACCCTTATCTACGACACCGACATCTCCACCAAGGACAAGCCATCCACCAAGGGCAAGGCCTCTACTAAGGGCAAGGCCTCTACTAAGGGCAAGGCCTCTACTAAGGGCAAGGCCTCTACCAAGGGCAAGGCCTCTACCAAGGCCAAGGCCACCACTGATGGTGAGGGCTCTGCCAAGGGTAAGGCCCCCACCAAGGCTAAGGCCTCCACCAAGGGTAAGGTCTCTACCAGGGGTAAGGTTACCACCGATGGTGAGGGATCCACCAAGGGCAATAATTCTCTCAAGGGCGGGGCCACAGCTAGTGGCAGGACCTTTACCAAATACAAAACCTCCACCAAGGGCAAGGCCTCTACCAAGGGCAAGGCCTCTACCAAGGGCAGGATTATCAGTGATGGTGAGGGATCCACCAAGGGCAATGCTTCCCCCAAGGGCAAGGCCATGGCCAATGGCAAGGCCTTTGCCAAATACAAAACCTCCACCAAGGGCGAGGCCTCCACCAAGGGCAAAACCTCTACCAAAGGCAAGCCCTCAGACGATACCAAAGAAGAGTCAATGGTGGAGGAAGAGACATCCAACAGTGGCTTAGATGCCAATGTCCCACCCTGTTTGCCAGTCCCAGCTAGAAGTTACAGTCGGAATTCTAGTCTCGTTGACATCAGAACAATGTCAGAGGAAGAGCTCAATGATATCTGCCATTCTGCACTAGCTGGCAGGATATTTGACAGATTTGGAGACTCCATATTTTTTGATGATAATGAGTATGATTCTAGAGCACTGCCTCTACCAGACAAGGATGAGATTATGCACCATATCCTGCAAGGAGATTCGATGCACAATGGTAGAAGCTATCGTTCTGGGACTAACCCATTCTCAAAGCTTATGGTCGATCTGTTGGATCCCCACCCTCACCAATGCCTTGTGACTAGAGAATTAGATTGGGAAGATGAAGTAGAATATTGCCATCTTCTCGACTGGTCCAACTATACAAATTATGCATTGGTAAGTTTTATTCTGTGATCTATCTATGCTTACTGATAGTCCAATTGTTGAAGCTCATAGCATTCGAGTACTCTCTTTGAATCGTTTACAAGAAATTCAACATCGATGATGCTAGAAACATAGCTAGGCATAGGACATTTTGTCCATCTCTTATTTCATTTATTGATCCCAACTTTTTTCATCAGTCATCATAAAGCTTCATAGATGGTGATGCGCTTGCGATGGCTCTGCATGCAAAAACACAACACAAAACACACCACTAAACACAGGGTAGGCGGGGAGCTGACTTCACTACAAATATCGAGAGACCCTTGTAAGTTGCAAGACGGGGCACGAGATACGTACTGCAAGATATCAAGATATCTAGCAAGGTGATGCGAGGTCACGCAAGAATACTCTCATGTGAAACAAAGTGGTGGACTGTGGGCCAAGGCGCGAGTGACCGAGGCAACTTCAAGGGCAGCGACAAAGGCCCTGACAATAGCAGCAATGAAGGCGACAAGTGCTAAATCGAGCGAGTGCGATGTCGGTGTGATGCGATATGAGTAAGATATTCGTGCGAAGTTGGGCTCTAAACAGAGGGGTGTTTGAAAACTGGTGTATTGCAGTGTTGTAGGCAGGTATTTATAGTAAGTCGAAGTGAGTATAGTAAACGCGAACTCGTAAGGTAAAGTAAATCAATATCGCGCCAAGACCATAACATAGAAAGATAAAGAAAAACCACGCGCAGAGGTGCTCGCAGACCGCGAGGTTCTGTTGCGCCGCGGTCGAGAGACAAAGTGATATTTAGTAAAAAGGTGTAGTGGTGAGATGAGGTAAACTCTAGGAAGGTGGAGGGGCAATGGATCACGGGACCTGTACTACCCAATAAGCACACACAATAAAGCTCTCTGCAATATCGCGTCGCGGAGCTGCTCGCAGTGCAGTCCGTACGGTCGATGCTTGCGAGGCATATGGCGAGAGCTTGGCGAGGTCTTTGCGGGTGCAGCAGGCTCGAGGTTGTTGTGCGATACGCGTGGGGGCTGAGTGAGATAATGCGAGGTGATGACTGAGGGGTGCAAAACAAGACCGCGTCGGCCCGATACCGTAATGCTGAGGTTGTAGTGGGCATCGGAGGGAATCGCTCTGGGCTGCGGGGCCACCCGGCGGTGTCTGGGGTATCCCTTGAGGTCAGCATGCTAGTGCTCGTAGAACTGCAAAAAATGGGGTCCCGGCGCTTAGAGAGGTGGCACGCTCATCAACGGGTGGACAAGAATCATGCCATCATCTTCCCCACTATAGATATGGTCCACCGCCTTAGCAAGCACAAGTGCAGTGATGACATTCATAAGGTAAATATTGGATGGAGTCTATTTGTCCCATTTTCTGACTTGTCGAGCAGATTTATCAACAAGAGGAGGTTTTCATGTACCATTTTTTACCGCTTGGAGAGCCAACCTCAAATATCATCCATTATCAAAAGACTGATAAGGGTGAGCAGCTTCTGGCACGTGACGCAGCCATAGAGTTACATCTGTATCCGTTCCATACCTTGCTGTCTCTTCGATCACATGTGGAACCACACTATGTGGTCATCAACGCCACTCAGAAGCCACTATCCATCGGTCAAGGCCAATCCCAAATGCAGTTGCTTCGCTCGATTGCAGCTGTCTACAATATGGACTTAAGTGCTGCTCAGAAGTTTTTCATAGATATCGACTTGCTATACAAGGCCTGGAAAGAACCTGCACTAAATGATTTTGCAATTCCCAAGGTGAAGAAAGAAGCTCAGGTAAATGGAAACAAGGGAATGGAGGACGCGGTGATGAGCATGGGTATGCTCTAGGCACCAATACCCCACTTTTTGCAGCTTTTCAGTATTCTTTGACCATTCAGCACACTTAGGACTGACCGATCCCGATCCGTTCGGCGATCTCAGCCATTTGTCAGGTGCTGACTTTCCATGAAGACCTCCGCACAGTTGTTCAGAGCTGTTCACAGTCATCCTATCCATCTATCATCACTCTCAGCAGTAGGGGCTCTCCACAGACTGTTGTGGCCGATTGCTGATCGGTTCGGTACACTTCACATGGTTGGCACATTCGGTTGGCTTCAGTGTCCCAAATCGGAGGTGGCCAAACACTTTGTTGACTCAGAACGGATCTGTCTTTCTATCTCTTATCATCCTTATGCCTTCTATTGACCTATCCTTCATTATCTTCAGAGCTCCCAAGTTTCTAAATGGTTTACCCATGTGGCATGTGGTTCTTATCTCCAAGTCCATGTGCACTCACCTTGGCAATCTCTCCACTTATTTAGACTTTAGAGTTATTGCTTCTTATCTTATAGTGTTTGCAACATCACTCCCTTATCTTCTTTACCTTTGATCACTCTTGGCACACATTTCCAATTGCTTTATGCCTCTGCCGATCTCCCTATCTTGTACCTGTTTGGACTTACTATAAAAGGGCACCTATGGCCTTGCAATACAGCAGCTTTGGCTCCCCCTTTGTTCCAATTCCATTTGTGCATTTGTGTCTATGAGACTTTGAGCCATTGCCTTCCGATCCTTGTTCGCATTTTGCCCTTTTGTTTGTGTTGTTGCGTTTGATTGCAGCCCTCTGTCAGAGCCCTCATCATCTTGCTCTCTCCCTCTCATCTAGTTTGTCATCCTCTGCCAGTGTGCAGTGTGGCCTTGCACCCATTCCCTTCCCTTTGTGTCCCAATCAAATCCCGATCAAACACTGACCAACTGACCAACCAACCTACCAACCAACTAACTGAGCTACCAGCCTACCAAAATACCAACCAACCAACCAACCAACCAACCTACCAACTGACTGACCGACCAACTGACCGACCAACTGACTGACCGGCCTACCAACTGACCGACTGACTGACTGACCGACTGACTGATTGACCTACCGACCTACCAACTGACCAACCTACTGACCAACCAAATATTTTGATTTTGGAGTTGTTTGTTCACTATACTCCGAACACTTTTAGTACGCTCCCTTGTTGGTTGTTGCACAGCTTATAGTTTCTTGCACACTAGAACCAGCTCCTGCCTACCTGCACTTGTAAGAGTGTTTCTTGGGTGTGTTTTGCACTTAGAGGCATCACTAGCATATCAGCGGGTGGTGTTGGCACAAATCCTCATCATACCCCTGATTTGAACCATCCTACAAAGAGGCAGTGTCCAAGCCCAACATCTTCCAAGAATGTGGTGACAAAGTACAACTCCATGAAAAGTACAGCAGGATCTGTCCCAAGCCAAGCCACCTGCAAGTGACCTGTTTGTACTATGAGCACTAGATCTATCTGTACTACAAGTGTGGTGGCTAAGAACTGTATAGTATCTTGGTAATACCTGAGCCAATAAGAAGTGACTTAAGTAATATGTAAGAAATAGGTGATTTGTCTTAATTCAATACACCTTCTCAAATCTCCTGAAGTCCAATTAGTCACAAACGGTGTCGTGCAGTGAGATGGTTTGGAGTCGGAGGGCAGAAAACAGTCTAATTGACATGCCAACCAATTCCAAAGAATTGTCGCCTAGACTGACTCAGGTTTTCCTTCTTTCCTGGAGCAGCCTAGTTGTTCGTTGTTGAGGGTAATTTCTCTTGTTTATATAGTGGTACCAGTTTATCTTACTATGCAAAGCTATGTGCCTAGGTTAGGAGGTATATGGATCCTAAGGGAGTGGTTACTAGTGTGCTGTGAAGTGTGTGGTTCCTATCAAGGTGCTGTGTGTTAGGATTGGTAGAGCAGCGTGAGAAATACTTTCCTGAATTCAGACTCTTTCTGTTTAAAAGAGTTCAGAGGATGAGTGTGATGAAGAGACGAGACCAGGATATCAGACTAATAGGTGTTGAACTTGGTGTTTTCAGAGCTTCTTTACTGATGCAGGTTCAGACGTTTTCTGACCAGATCAGACTTAGAACTAACTCAGCGTCCCGTTTGGACTAACACAGCTTTAGACTTATCATAAGATACTTGGTGCTGACTTCAGAGACTTCAGTGATTAGTGAAGACCACCTTACAAAGTAAAGATCACTTTACAGGGCAAGAGCAACTTCAACAAGAGGGGCAACAAACTGCATATATTTCAGGGCACATGCACTCCTCTTTTATGTGTTTCTAGAGAGGCTGTGCATGAGACCTGGATTTGGGTATTTACAGATGTATCTAGGTGCTAAAGATTCTAGAATGAAGTGTCTGGTCTAAACTAGAACTGAGTAGGCTTTCCTAGATTCCTCTAGAGCATGGCCTGGAATTATTCTAGATTCTCTATTAGTCACCTGAGTAGCTCTAGGTTCTCTAGCCTCTTGATTCTTCATCCGCTCACTAAGCCATTGCAAAGCCTCTCAGTGCATTAGAAAGTGCATAAGGTCCATGCAATTCTATGAGAGTCTGGATCAGTTTGGCTCTACTCTGGTCCCTTCTAGGCTTCATCCGGTCTATTAAAGTGGCACCAAGGCAGCTTTGTTAATAAATACAGATACTTTAAGTCCCTGATAAGTCAAGGTTTAATGAAAGACAGCTGCATATATTCACAAATATAGATTAAAATGTCCATCCACATCCTAAGTGTCACGAACGGCTGTTCGAGACGAGGAGATCCTAGGCCACAAATAATACTGAAGGGTTTCTTAGAAAGAGTAGAGGGACTGATCAGACTAATGTCTTGGAATCAGAGGAGACTGTGTGAACAGCAGTCCTTAGATTGGACAGAAGTGGATAGCCTAAGGCTTCCACACTGCGCCACAGTATCTATAAATATGCACAGGCAGATGTACGGACCAGGTATCAGTGGGACAGGAACACAAGGTAGTATCGGGAGAAAGATCCTACGAGTCCTTTATCAAGAAGATGAGAAGAGTAAGTAAGCATAGGCAAGGCATTTTGTAACACTAAGCATGAAACTGGAGCCAAGTGAGAGTGTGATACTTGAGATGTAAAGACTGTATGAATTTTAGGAAAAGAAATAAACAAGAAACACTAGACTAAAGGAGTAAGAACTTAATGAATCATGAATAGATAAAGCATTCATGGCCTAGCAAATCGACAAAAGATCATACCTCCTACTCTTGCTAATGCTTGCCTTGCAATCTCCAAGATATTGCCATCGGATGCAGGAACACATTTGCGGTCAGAGCTAAAGAGAGCTCAAATGTACTCACCAAATGTGTGATACATCGCATAGCCAAGTGGGGGAGGGGAGTTGACACAGAAAGTAGATGTCACCACTATGAACTGCTGCTCATTGCCTGCTCCACCAAAAATGGCAATATGATCATCTTGCCAGACCATTTCAGAAAGAACAATAGTTGTAAAATCATAGTCACCATCTGGCTTTCTTTCAATCACATCCACTGAAACCCCATTTTCTAACCAAATCCCCTCTTTCCTATGAAGGACACAGACTTCCATTGATACTCCTCTGCATCTGGAAAAACACCCCCTTGTATTAGCTCCAGATTATATCTAATAGTGTCTAAAAGTATCTAAAAGTGTTAATAGTATCTAAAAGTGTCTAATTTCCTAATTGGGAGCAACACATTGTAAGCATTGGACTGGTTTCCAATTTCATGATATTAGCACTAATTCTATACTAAGAAGTCTTTAATTATTAGTAGGAAATAGTATTTACTACTGCTCTATCAGTGAGAAGGTAAAGATGTGGCACATTCTATACTATTCCAGCATATTACTCTCCTTCATATATGCCTATACCATTATCTTGTAGCTCTTTTGCTGACTTTCCAGTTGCATTTACAAGGGATATAGAAAGAGAGAAATGTGCATTGATGCCCTCAGCCACTTTGTTGGCAGCTTGGCAGCTGCCACAAGAGGCTATGAAGACCTAGGTATCTTGGCCTTGCATACAAGATCATTTAAGTTGTCATTGTTAGCCAATGTCTGCTACTGGTCATTATAGGACACAACATGTAGGTTCAACTTAGGGATATGCTATATGCAGCCTTATAGACCTTGTCTATTAGTATAGTGGCTAATACTGTCTTGTGCAGCACACAATCATCATCACTATTGATATTATAATTTTTAGCACTATTTATATTGTTTATTGCCTTGTTATACAAAAGATGCTCAAACTTGGTGTTTTCCTCTAGCTATTAGGCTGTGGAAAAGACAGTCATATTGGTATGTGGTGCCAGAATAATATATTTGCCTGCCATATAGGAAATATGTGCACTAAGCATATTAAGATCACCTCCAATAATCTTGTGCTTATTTATATATAGGCATGCCATACATATACTCTTGTTCCCACCCTTTACCTCACTAGTGGCCATTTGGAAAACCCCTCTCTCTTATTGGATTTGAATTATTGATAATCATTAATAATACTAATTTGAGCTAATCATGGCTAATTATTCATAATTATGCTTTTGATCAAATTTGCAAATTCAGGTAGCATTGTCTATATTAGTAGAGTTCTATTGAATATTACACTCAATCATAGTTTTACACATTCTAAATCCAAATTGTATAAGTGCCATAATTTATTTCTATCCTATATAAAGTGTATTATTGATTTTCCATTGGTTGATTATTTTCTTAGCTGGTGTTTAAACTAAATCCTGAAAGACCTGACTTTTTAGGTATCTATTGACCTATTTATTTATAAGATAGAGGACAGATAAATGTTGAATAAAATCAGAGATGTTGAGGTTGCCTATATTATGTCTACTTCTTTAGATTACTAAGTTCATATCTTAGACCTTGTGGCTTAGTGGCTTAGAGCATCTGTCCTGGGTGCTTGTATACATAAGGCTGTTGGTTTAACTCTGGCAAAAGGCAAGTTTATTATAAGGTATATTCTGTGTTTAGGTATTGAACTAGTGCTCTAATAGACATGACTCTATAAGAAGGCTATGAAAACACTGATGCTTGATTTATTATTATTTTTCCGAAATTTCAAGTTATAATTGGTCTTAATAATTCCTAATTTAGGAAAATTATGTCTAATTAGAACAGGTTTAGAGGGGGGGTAAGCTAAAAATGTCTAATCCTAATTGTTCTTAATTATGCATAAATAGAACTAATTAGAGCTTGATACAAAGGGGTGGTTTTCTAGATGAAGTCCTCCTCGGACATGCCCGAGGCCTGCTGATGCCCAGGATGCCATCAAAAGGCAAGTACAAAATCACTGCAAGTTCCAACAAGATGGCCCTCTTACCTGAATAGATACCTGCTCATGTAGATTCCTAGCTCCCGGAAGCTACCTTGACACACAAACCACCAACACATGGTATTTTCAACAGTGGGAATCAAAAGAAGTTGATGAGGAAAGCACCAAGGAAGGGGTGATTGATATCAGTGATGAGGGTTTGCATAATTTGAGTGAGCCTCACCTGAGTGATTCTGGTGTGAAACAGGAGGATTTTGGAGACCACCATGGCTACTGTGAGTAGCTGTTTGTGTTGGCATTCCCCCATTGATGTTGTGATGACCAGGGGGAATGGGATTCTTCTGTAGGGGTCCATGCAAAACCTTTCCTCCCTAACCAGTGCTTTGGGTGTGCAGAACTTGTAATAATTTGCACATATGTCAAGAGACTGGAATGGGAATATGCCCATGTGATATGAGGACTATTTGACATAAAGGAATGGATAGTTAGGCCTTGGGCAGACCTTTGTTAACTCTTAGCATCTCCCGAAGATGCCATTCTGACTTGCGACAAAATCCAAGACTTGTTAACCAAAAATAGTGTTGCATCATTGGGATTATCAATTAGCACAAGTGAAGAGGTTAGCAAGGAGCCGCAGAGGGTGTTTGAATCAGGCATAAACCAATACAATGAGGCCACAATCTTTAACACCATTACAATGGGTTTCTCTAGCTCAAAATATAGACATACAGATTTGTAGTTATGACCACAGTAAACACATGTCAGTGAATACATGCCTAGACTACTCCTCAACAGTCTCCTTAACTATGCCATCCATGCACGCAACATCAAGACCAAGCTTCTCAACTACAAAAAATCTCTCCTGCATGGCAGTATGCAGTAATGTATGCAGCACCATTGCGATGCCAGCTATTATGCACTTGACATGGATCACGGTGAGGGCTATGTCACCTTGATGGATGCAAGAGGTGACTGTACTAGATGACTTATGGAACAATATGGGGTCGGGGTGTGTGTATAAGCTGGCCAGCACAAAAGCATGTTCTATGCCTTGAATGTGCATTGTGAAGAAGTACCTTATCTCTATGAAGCAAGTGACACTCCCAAATGTTGTCTAGCAATGAATCCAAACAAATTGAGCCCAAACAAATTGAGCAACTAAAAAGACAGAGTTGAGGGGCGACTGTACCTTGATATTGTGTGCTATTCACACCTTATTGAGTGCCTTCAACAACTCCTTCCATAGTGATTGTATGGCTTGTCTATTGGGCAAGCATAGCTGAGCCCATCATTGTACTATGGGAATCCATGCCATCTCCACTCTCCCTCTGCATAGTAAATACCCCCAGCTTCACAAAAATAAGCTTTGATAACAAGAGCTTCACATGGGAGGACAGTGCAAGCACACAAATCCTTTGCCCAAAAGAGTACAAAGTTCTCTCTAACAGGGTGTGCCCCACATGGGAATTCCTTGACATTGTGCTCGAGGTCTGGCAGCATTGTCTTCAGAGCACTGAGAATATTTGAGCAGGTCACCACGTCACTGGGGGCCCTCATATGCAAATTTGTCCTCATCACATGTGTGTACTTTGACACCAAGGAACTGCCCTCCGAAGAGGCTGCACATGGTTGCTGAGAGGCCGCAATTGCACAGAAAGCAGGAAGGACTCCTAGTGATTGCCCAGCAGTGCGACAGCCTATGGGTCCTAAGCGCAAGGTGCTGAACCTGGCAACTTACAAGATGCATGCACTTGGTGATTATCCTGTGACAATACGATGATTGGGAACAACAGACTCATATACTATGCACATTGTGAGTACTCAAACTGTCTATATCCAACCTTGATCTAGTATAATTGTCATGACTTCAGGGAGAGGTTGCCTATAAGTTCTCAAAAAGGGGCTATGATTGAACTAATAAGCACAACTTTGTTGGGCAACTTGCTCAAGGGGAAACTCACGGACATGTCATCACTGACTCAGGACAAATCTAGGCCTTGACAAGCCACAGGTCAATATTGATTGGCGCTGGAAGGTTTAACATGCCGAGGAACCTCTCTCCTATACTCTCTCTACTGCCCATCACCACATCTCAGAATCCACACGTAATTGGTACAGAATTTCACAGTGGATGACAGAGCATACTGGCGATCACGCTGTGCTGGTATGTTTCAAACATTGTTAACATGAGGTATACTCATTGGTACCCAGGACTTTCATACCTGCTTAATAGACCACCTATTGGCATGGTTCATGGGTCTCACATACAATGGCGATAAGCATTCTTTCACTGATGAACAGTGCCTCCAACTAGAAATCATGATGTATGAGCACAATGTGCTTTGGATCAATTACACAAGCTATGACGTGTGCCAGTTGCAAGATTCCATCAACCCTCGAACGCACCCGGATATCATGATCCTGTCCCATGATAGTGATGCAGGGCCCAATACACACTTCTATCCATATTGGTATGCACGTGTCCTAGGTATATTTCATGTGATGGCACGGTATATTGGACTGAAGAGCCAGTCATCAGAGATGCAACATGTGGACTTTTTATGGGTACGATGGTATGGGTTGGACCCAGACATGCATACAGGTTGGCATGCTAGGTGACTTCCCACCATAGGCTTTGTTCCTGAAACTGATCCTGACGTGTTTGGCTTCCTCAATCCGCAAGAGGTATTGAGGGGTGCTTACCTGATTCCTGCTTTCCATCACAGCCTTGCCAAGGGCCTTTTGCATGCAATTTTATACGCATGCCAGGCAAATGAGGACCAAGACTGGAACCTGTTCTATCCTAACATGTAAGCGCTATAGTTCATATATTGGCATTAGCTGACAGATCTCCTATGTGTAGTTTCATAGACCAAGACATGTTCATGTGGTACCAAAGTGGTAGAGTTGGGCACCTGGTCACTCAAAGTTGGGATCACATTTTGCAAGGTGAAGCACAACCTTCAATGGAAGATGATATGGTGGACAAAAGCACACTAGTCCTAACTGCTGCTGGAGAATTGGGCAATGCCGACAAGACTATGGAGGGAGATGACGATGACGATGAGGGTGAGGAAGAGCACACAGGGGAAAGCACAGCAGAAGAGGAGGCAGACACCGCACATTGCCCTCAATATTCCCTGGGTTATATTTGGGGTATATAAGCAATATACTCAAAATATACCATGAATATACCCAGAGCCACCCTTGGTATATTCACTATTGATTCAAGGTTTTGGCTCAAATATACCAGGAGTATCCCTGGGAGCTGGATATATTCACAGTATATTTCATGTATATTCGCATTTGATATCCATTAATTATCGCTTTTAAAAGCACTCCATAAATAGATAATAAGTATATTTAAACAACAATAAAGCATAATTAAGCCATCAAAGGATGCATGAATGTCTAAAGACAAAAGGATCTACAAAACATACTCCAAAAGGTAAGAGGTGCAAATTCTGGCCAAAAGTCAACAGCCTTGTGGCTACAGATGCACGATTGAGGCAACAAAAAAAGGCTGTACCGCCCTTCCACTTTTCCGCATCATTGTCAGCCCATAACACAAAAAAATCCCTGGAAAAAGACATTAATGAGTACCCACAGTAACCCAGCAAGGAACACCAGGTCACGCACCAAGAAGCCTGATGAACCTACTGAGTCTGCCACATCAGCAATTCAACCCTCTAGTCCAATGCCTACTGAAGATTGAGTACTGCCATTGCCATGTTGTGATGACCCCAAGAAGCATCATATGGAGGTTGACCCACAAGTTCGGGTGGCCACCATGCATACCCATGGCGCTTCAGGGACAGGAAAACCAGTCCCACGATGCAAAGATATATTCAAGCAACCGCAGAAGAAAAAAGGTGAGTGTTCTATCCATAAAAACCTCATTTGGTATACGCACTAACATAGCTGTTGTTGTTGCTACTGCTGCTGCAGCTATGATGACGCTGGTTGTTGCTTCTGCTGCTGCAGCTGTGATGACACCGGTTGCTGCTGCTACTGCAGCTGTGATGACGCCGGTTGCTGCTGCTACTGCAGCTGTGACAACGCCAGTTGTTGCTGCAAGAGCAGCACTCATACTTGCCCCGAAGATCCCAAGACTGATATTGAAGCCTCCATGTGCGCCAGCCTCATTAGTGATCAGCTCTGTACAGGCTCAGCCCACTCACCTGCTCATGCCGGTGGCATCCAAGGACACACCAAAAAATGCTACCCTATTCTTCGTGCTTGCGGGGTATACTAAGGAGCCAGCACTGGTGCCCTCATGGATGATAGCCCATGATGACCAGTCCCATGTAGCTCCGCTCATGCTGGCACTGCCAAAGATTAAGACCATGCCACTGACTGTTGTCAGGGCTGATCCTGCTGCACATGCCACCCCGCCGGAGGGATCCGTAACCTCCAACAATATGTCAGCAAACCCCAGAATTGACGCATTGTTTGAAATGCGCCTTCAAGCAGGCAGAGGGGCACATTGTGGTTCTACAACAAGCATGCCTCGGGGGAGAAGCAGTCAACCTCATGCCACCCCTGCCCTTGGTATGAGCCAAGGGCCAACGCCTCTGAGAGACATCAGTGATGCTGCGGCCACATCACAGTACCCTCGAGAAGCGCATGCACCTACAAGGGAATCCTCCTTGGCACCAATGGATCCAAGCATGATAGGACTAGCAGGTGAATACACCTCTATCTAATGAACAAAATGAGTTAATCAGCATACATTGAAACAGACAAGAGAGCATTGGTGATGAAGAATATACAGGATAGGCTTTCTAGCCTCAAATTCAAGTTCCCAAGAGTTCAAGAGATTGTTAAGGAAGTTCTAACAATGCTTATAAGCTCCATGTCACACAATCTGAAGGTGTTGCCCGGGGAGTTGAATAATGCCATTGCGAAGAACAACAAGGTAGAGGGGAGGTTAAATGAGATGGGGCGGGAGATGGCCAACATGAAGGCAGAGGTTAATGCTTTGAAGGTGGAGACAAGAGAGAGGTCAGCAGGGCAAGATGGCAGCGACACAGGGCAGAGGCAGAATAACATTCTGTTGGTGAGTCATATGATTTTTATTTCACAAATGCTTGGCACTTACAATGAATGATCCCTGAACAATCAGATGACCATATGGAATATCATGTATGATTGGATGGAGATTCCGCATGATAGTGCAGTCCTTCTGGATCCACTCCCTATTGATGAAGCAGGAGTACGTGAGTATTGGATGTTAGTAGAAGATGGGGCAGAGAACAATAGGATCCTACGGCCAGGCTGGACTGACTCATGGTACACCAATGAGGCAGGGTGGGCAAAAAATGTGGTGGCTAGGGTGTAAATAGATAGTGCACACTGGAATTCAAGTGTGAATCAAACCAAATTGCGATGCCTACGATCCTAGCTGCAATTCACGTCACCTTCTCGAGCTGGGTCAAGGCCTACAAGAAGTCAAAGAAGCCCATTGTTGATCAGTCCATCATAAGGCAGAAGCAGTGGCGCAACAGCCATAAAACACAGGCTAGTCAAATTTTGATGGTTGCATAGGATTCTGCTTACCACATAGTTTGTAGAAAGCAAACAGTCGCAAGATGTATCACATGCTGGTCCCTGAGGCAGCCAGACCAGAATGGGCATTTATAGGGGAGACTATATATCAGTCCACAGATGAATTGGAGGAAGAAACACTCACCAGTGTAGGAGGGAATGGTGGACTGGATCCACAGACTGTTGATAAATGGCCCATCAGTCACAATGCACAGATGGGGGTTTCTAAACTTGGGAAGCAGAAGCCTGTGTCACATAAGCCTTACCTGACACATGCTCCAACGTACCGTGTGGCTCAGGTACAATTTTACTCACCAGTGTATTATAAGATATCTCATGTGTCATCCCCTTGGCAGGTAAACGAGATTCTGGATAAAGTAGATGACATGAGAAATAACAACTCAAACCCACATGTCCAGGAGTATAGAGCACCAAGGAGGAAAGGTTTACCTGTCAGGAAGAAAATCACAAAGCCTAAAATTCCTTGTATGATGGTTGACCTCCAGTGGCTTGTGATGCATTCTGAAAACGATACTCCTTTGCATATCCAAGACTTTGAAAGTGCTCTGTTGGAGGAATGGGAAGGGCACTTTGGAGAAGATGATGATCTGTATAGAAATGAGGTTCCAGATGAGACGGCAGAACCTTGGGATGAGGAAATGTGGAGGGTCAGCATGTACTTGGAGGGTGAAATGTAATGTACTCACAGCCATGCTGTCTTGATCACTCATTGTCAGAATCATATCTGAGGGCATCCAGTTCTTGAGTTAACTAAAAAAGGTTGTGCATGAAAGACTTGAAAAAAAAAAAAAAAAAAATTTATATGGTCTAGTAATATGGTGACCCACACGTGGCCATGATTATGAGGGGGGATTTCTGCAAGGGCAAACACCCTGCACAGGCAGTGTAATTCAATGACCTCGGGATCTAAGAATTTGTTGAAATTCCAAGTTAAGATCCTAAGGTCGGTTTGCCTAGGAGATGGTGATAATAGAAGTGCAATCATTAGCTGATGATCAATGATGACCTACCTGTTATTCCATGGCATCAAGGGGATGCCAGCACTCATGAAGTGTTTGACAATTGCAAAGGCAGTTGACAATGCTGCTAAGCATGGATCACGGTGCTCGTGCTTCACTGATAGGATATACTGGATTTGCACAGCTATCCTGCCGTCCATGTATGCAAATGAGGTACCCTTTCCTCTGTATGAAGTGCAAGCCCCAAACTGTGTGCCATTCACGTGGGCATGGGAGAAAGATTGCACCGCAGTCGCAACAAATAGCTTGCTGGCTTGCCAATCAGTCATTTTTCAGACAAGTTTTACCTGTGAATTCCAGAGTGTCTGCAGATACTTGAAAACGAGACCGTATAACGATGTGCCATTGATTTGGATCATATTGAGGTTGATGTGTTTACCTTGAGGCAGTAGTTCAACTTTATCAGATCCTTCAAATGAAAAATGAAAAATAGATGAATATGACATCTGGAAAAACACCCTGTTGTATTAGCTCCGGATTATATCTAATAGTGTCTAAAAGTATCTAAAAGTGTTAATAGCATCTAAAGGTGTCTAATTTCATAATTAGAAGCAACCCATTGTGAGCATTGGATTAGTTTCTAGTTTCATAATATTAGCACTAATTCTATACTAAGAAGTCTTTAATTATTAGTAGGAAATAGTAAGTACTACTGCTCTATCAGTGAGAAGGTAAAAATGTGGCATATTCTATACTATTTCAGCATATTACTCTCCTTCATATATGCCTATACCATTATCTTGTAGCTCTTTTGCTGACTTTCCAGCTGCCTTTACAAGGAATATAAAAAGAGAGAAATGTGCATTGATGCCCCTAGCTGCTTTATTGGCAGCTTGGCAGCTGCCACAAGGGGCTATGAAGACCTTGGTACTCTAGCCTTGCACATAAGATCATTGCAGTCGTCATTGTTAGCCAATGCCTACTACTGGTCATTATAGGACACAACATGTGGGTTGGGCTTAGGGATATGCTATATGTAGCCTTGTAGACCTTGTCTATTAGTATAGTGGCTAATACTGTCTTGTGCAGCACACAATCATCATCACTATTGATATTACAATTTTTAGCACTATTTATATTGTTTATTGCCTTGTTATACAGAAGATGCTCAAACTTGGTGTTTTCCTCTAGCTATTAGGCTGTGGAAAAGACAGCCATATTTGTATGTGGTGCCAGAATAATATATTTGCCTGCCATATAGGAAATATATGCATTAAGCATATTAAAATCACCTCCAACAATCTTGTGCTTATTTATATGTGCTTATTTATATATAGGCATGCCATACATATACCCTTGTCCCCACCCTCTACCTCACTAGTGGCTATTTGGAAAACCCCTCTCTCTTATTGGATCTTGATGATTCATAATCATGTTTTTGATCAAATTTGCAAATTCAGGTAGCATTGTCTATACTAGTAGAGTCCCATTGAATATTACACTCAATCATAGTTTTACACATTCTCAGTCCAAATTGTATAAGTGCCATAATCTATTTTTATCCTATATAAAGTGTATTATTGATTTTCCATTGGTTGATTATCTTCTTAGTTGGTGTTTAAACTAAATCTTGAAAGACCTGACTTTTTAGGTATTTATTGACCTATTTATTTATAAAATAGAGGAAAGATAAATATTGAATAAAATCAGAGATGTTGAGGTTGCCTATATTATGTCTACTTATTTAGATTACTGAGTTCATATATTAGACCTTGTGGCTTAGTGGCTAGAGCATCTGTCCCGGGTGCTTGCATACATGAGGTTGTTGGTTCAACTCTGGCAGAAGGCAAGCTTGTTATAAGGTATATTCTGTGTTTAGGTATTGAACTAGTGCTCTAATAGATATGACTCTATAAGAAGGCTATGAAAACTGTGATGCTTGATTTATTATGATTTTTCCGAAATTTCAAGTTATAATGAATCCTAATAATTCCTAATTTAGGAAAATTATGTTTAATTAGAACAGGTTTAGAGGGGGGGTAAGCTAAAAATGTCTAATCCTAATTGTTCTTAATTATGCATAAATGGAACTAATTAGAGCTTAATACAAAGGGGTGGTTTTCCAGATGGAGGAGTGGTGCACTTTGTTTGATTTGGCTTGATCATGTTGATGCACCCGCAAAAATGTGTTATGCTGTGGGGAAGGACTCACTATTGGATCCACGCCGGCCTGCGTGACTCGCAATTATATTAAGGAGAGCTCCTCATGTCCGATGGGACTTTTTATCACCCTTCAAATAATTCTTGAGTTTCCGGATGGCAACCAAGTCCTCTTCATTTTGCTCATCAAGCTCTTCGATCATGCATACCTTGAGATGATGACAACAGATTAGTGAGACCTCTCTATGTGAAAATTACTCACCAGGTCATGGATCAATATGTTCTTGATCCAACTCCGCATTATGGTACCTTCAAGTTCACCTCCTGTATGTCCATTTGTGTTAACCTTGACAAGGTGTCCATTGTTTGCTTCTGGCCCAAATAGCCAGAACCTATAAACCAGCCCTAGGCAATAAATGAAATAATCTCCGTGAGTAAGCAAATGGGAATAGGGAGTGAGATGGCAATGCATCAGTAATGATGCGCGACATGTGCGTGCATGATAGTCCTGCGCATGCCGTGCTTCGTTGGGTGTTATTGACTAGGCCGTCCAGATGCAGATGGCGGAGCATGCATCGAGAACAGCCTTGAAATGACGCTGGTAATTCCGATCCATAGAGATGTCATCCTCCTCAAAGTGTGCCACGACTACAGTCCTACCCGACTGCTGTGCAATGTGCATACGATAAGCCTTGCGACGTTCTCGCAGCAGCTTCTCAGTCTTTGCGAAGGCAGCACCAGCTTTAGATTTGGGAGCAGGTCTAGGCGAATCACAATCTGGGATCTTGCCATTCTGCTGCCATGCGTAATAAAGTGCGACAGGCAGAACTGTTGCGAAGTTCCACCATTGGTCGGCCTTCAATGTCCCTAATATCTGCAAATCTTGCATTGTTAGCAAATAAAGCTCAAATTCACAAAATAACTAAACCTTAGTGGGCACTCTGCCAATTGTAGAGGGCCACCAGATGCTCCCCAAGAAGGTCTCGAGTTTCTCATAAGGATTGTTCATCCGGCTCTGACGTGTCAGCATCCTGCCAATAACCAAGATCTGTTGGAGGTGTAGGCTTGCTCCAATAAACAAATATATTGGGTATTATGACTCTACATGATTATATACCAGAGATGTAGCTTAGGATACGGAAACAAAAGTAGGGACAGAATATTGGAGACCAGCGAGTAACTCTAATCTTCCTGCAGGCTGCCATGATTTATAGACCTGATTTTACCACATTTGCTCTTCCAGGCAGGGCTTCTGGAGAAGATGAGACAAATGAAGAGGTCAAAGTGCACTTCCTCACAAAGTTGAGAGCCTCCTTCGTGCATTGGATGATACGATTGCTAGTGCTGGACTTCGCAGAACCCATATCTTTGCCTGTGCTAAAAATATCACCTGTGGTCATGGGTGGGGGAACCGTCAGTGTGACCTGAGGTATGAATTCTGGCAGTACGATGGTGTCTAGCCAAGTTACGTAGATAGTGATGATCTTCTCCACAAATTTTGATGCATCCTGAAGAGATATTTTGTAGGCACGAGCAACGCACTGCGTGAAAGCAGACATTTTGGCGTCAGATCTCCTGCTTAACTTCATGCCAATGTTGAGGATGACCCAATGTGGGTGGATGTGCGATTGCAGTGCAGGCAAGTTTGTGAAGGGATGCAAGAACCATTCAAATTGTGGTACTGATGCCACACTTTCTTCAACGGTGTTGTGGGTGTTATGATCACATTCTGTCGGGCCTTAACAGTGGTCTATGCCAACATGATCATCACAAATATCAAGCGGCCTCACAAGGTGAGGCGTACAACAAGGTACAGATAATAACCTTGGTCATCCACTCCCAACGAATCACCTTGTCGTTGGTCGAGTATCACAAGCCATATTGCGATGGGCATAGAATGCCGCCTTACAAACTACTCACACACTGGGCATCAAGCTCCTAGTCTTTCCTGACCAGAAAGAGATTAACGGAGAAGCACAAGAGTAGTCATTATTGAGAGAGACGACTTAGAGAATACCTATGGATACATATATGGTATTCTCACGCCCTATTTCCTAAAGTAGTATAAAAGGCCCATAGAGTAAGCTGAGGTTCTTCAGTCTATTCTCTTCATTCTCCTGTATCTTCACATACAGGACTCTTCATTCTACTACAGTCTTCCTACTGTGGTCTCCATTGCTACATCGCAATATATCTCTGGCTCCTGTGCTACACGTACAGTCAAGACCATCATTCCACACATCCTCCTTGAGTAACCTAGGGAAGAACCTCCTACTCTTGGGGTTATTGAACAAGCAGTTTGTAACACTAGAATAGACTCTTTTGCCCCTACCTTGCTCGCACTAGCTTGCTGCCACACTCTCTCTCATAACCTTGCTTAGTGAAGACATAGACCCCCATCGAGGAAGTGTTACTGCACACACTCTGGAGCAAGACCTAGGCCAGGAATACCCACCCGGCACTAGACGTATAAATAACCAACTCTATCACAACAACCGCCCTATCCGGCGCGAAGGGGACTTCTGGGTCTACGAAGACAATAACAGATTCACCCCTCCGAATCACGATAACTGCTCATACCAAAATGGGCGTTATTACTTCACCCTCAAAGACGGAACAGAAGAAGAGGACATTTGGAATGAAATAGAGAGCCAGTGGGAACTAGCACCCCAATACAGGGAACCGGCGCCGGTAATCCCCGAAGACTCAGAGCAAGAAGAAACAACCTCACAATCAGACTCCGACTCATCACCAAACCAAACACCGATCAACACCCAAAACCAACCGCTCACCGACATGTCGGGACAAGCTTCGACTTCCACAGACCCCCCTTCCACGACAGTACAACCCGGAAGAGGAAAAGTTAAACTTCTAGACAATTATGGGGAATTTGATGGTACAGACTGGTCAGGAGAGTCCGACTCAAACAATGAAACCTTAACAGAAGATGATATCCGTCAAACTGATACTAAGAGGTCCAAGTCTCATAAACGATCGGGAGCCTTGAAGAAGAAAAAAGCCAAGAAAGTCTCCTATGATAGTGACGATGAGATTATTCCGTTTAAGGCTGGTGCAAACACAAAGGCTTTAGTCTCAGCCGATGAAATGGAAGGATTAATAGATATGATGAACCAAATGGATATCTCATCATCAAAATATGCCCAAGTTTACTATCGAGCTATGAAGCTAGACCGGGACATAGTTAATGTTATGCGAGCACCTGATTTGCGATCCAAACCCATGACTCTTCCAATTCAGACAAGCCCTCAATCAAGCTTTCAACGTCAGCCTCCTCTGCATCTGGCACCACCACGGGAAAATGGATTTACAAGAATGCCTGAAGGACCTCCTCAGTGAGAGGAGATGATGTGTTATGGTTGTGGAGAAAAAGGACATGGATTGGGTCAGTGCCCTCAGATCTTTTAATTAACCAAATCAGGAGTTCTAGCACGTGATAATGTAGGGCGGATCACTCATGGAACCGGGGCAAGGATCAGCAGATTCCAAAATGAGACCATCATTGAAGCTGCAAAATGCGAAAGAGATGTCATGGATGCAACTCATCAAAGCCGGACCAATTTGGTTTTGATCAATGGTGATACATCCTCAGAAGCAGAAAGTAATGACGAGGAAGATGTTTACATGATCCACAGGGAAGACGAGGAATATCAAGTCTTTCCGGCGGAGCGATCTATTAAGTCAACTAAGTCTATGAGAAAAGGGGCATTTGATGAAGTATATCCACCAAAACGTGGCCAACCGCGATCAGATCCCAGGCCACAAGAACCTCAGGCAATGCAGGCTCCAAGAATTCCAGGAGAGCAGCTAGGTCATCCAAGACCAAAAACACCGCCTAACAAATTACCAGAACCAGCTGAATCATCTACAATACCTCAAGGACCATCATCTGGAACTAGAAGCCAGGGAAAACAACCAGTGGAACCACTTAGAATGCCTTCAGCACCAATCCCTATTGTTCCAACACCTGCGAATAACACAGCAAAGCCCTCTTTTGATTTTCACAAACCACAGTTTACCAAGATCCAGCCTGTCAATACCCGTGCACCCAAGTATAATGAAGATAGTGATTTCATTATGGAAGACACCGGAGATGATCAGCAACCCAACCCTCCAAAATTGAAATTGGCCAAGAAGCAGAGTGTAATCAGAAGTGATCCTGATTCAGAAATGGAAGTTGACATTGTGAAACCAAAACGGCAACATTCCCTTAAAAGGTCAACACAGAGATTAGAGGAACCAACAAAGGATCAATTAAAAGAAGGAACAGGAAATCGACAGCAAAAGAAGCCTCACCTTCGACAATCAATGATCTCATCAACAACCAATCCATCTCACATCTTGAATCAAGTTCTGTGAACACCAATTGAAGTTGCAGTTGGGGACTTGCTCGGAGTCTCTAAAGAGCTGTCTTCACTACTATCAGAGAGTATGAAGTTCAAGGTCGCCGATCAGCCTGAGGCATCTCAAGATAGACGTGAACGAGCTTACGTAAACCTAACTCGGACTGTTAGCGAACCTCTCATCAACATTCCTTTATCCTTTAGTCAATACCGAAACTCAAGCCCAGTATCTGCAATTGTTGACACAGGGTCGCAGCTCAATATTATCTCTAAGGAAGTTTGCGATGAGCTCATGTTCCTACTAGTTAACAAGGAAGCGCACATTAGGATGCATGATGCCAATGGTGGAGAAGGAGAACTCATCGGACTCATTGAAGATATCCAGTTGCAGTTTGGAGGAATAACCACTTGGACCAGTCTTTATATTGGCGAGAATCTTCCATTCTCAATGTTGCTAGGACGTCCCTGGCAGAGAGGCAATTTTGTGGGAATTGATGAGAGGAAGGATGGAACCTATCTGCAATTTAAAGATCTAGATAATCTAGATGTAGTCCAGTTCGAAGCTAAGGTTGCTGACGCTGAAGGAAGAGAGATGGGAAATGGGAATGAGGAGCGTCCCTCCTGGATTAGGCATCGGTTTCCTATTTCCGAGAGCTTCCAGATCTACACAGCCTCGCTTGGTAATACTTTGGACCTGATAAGGAAGCCGGAAATCAGGTCATTTGATTGGGATCATCCTGAAAGTCACTTGTGGAACCCGGGCCAGAGCCAAATCAGTCATCAGGAACATTGGAAAAGGCTCCAGGCAGCAGCTGGACTCCTCCAGCTGAGTCAGACATCAGTCATCAGAAGCGCAGAAGAATCACATGCTGATGGTAACCCGGAGACATGGTCCTGTCTAGATCTGTCAAAAGATCTCCCAAGAAGATTCCCAAGGGAATCGGAAAATTCCGATAAAAAAGAAGCGCCGAGTTTACTACCCTGCTTGGCATCACCTACTGAGAAAACCCAGTTCTCTGCAGTCTTGCAAAAAAGGAAAGGAAAACACATGGATAGCATGAGCAAGCTGACTCGGAGACTTGAAGAAATGTCTCTAGAAAGGAGGAGAAACATCCAAGGAAAAGGTATAAAAAGGAGGAGGATTGAGCAGGGAAAGGATCATCAAATCACATTCTCAATGCCTTCGGAGAGTGCAAGCTCTAATTTTCATCTAGCCTTCCGAGAACTGATTGAGCGACCTTCTTCTCAACTCCCATTGGCTTTTGAGGTCCACCCACACGCCACCCTTCTTGATATTTGTGAGCGGGCTCGGCAAGAAGACATCCGGCTTAGTCATGATGGGGAGACCTATGACATCGTCTTGTCCGGCCGGGGAGCTGAGCTTGGATCTGGCTTCGAGCAGGGCAAGCATTTTCATGATCACGTTCTCCTCACTTCTGCTTCGGTTTCTCAAATCTCTGGCAGCACTGCTCCTCCTGGTGTGGAGTATGGGGTGTCATTCATTCGAACCTATCGGCTCCCAGTGCCAAGTAGCAGCCAAAACATCCCCTACCTGCTTTTCGGCGGCGCCGCTGGAGGATCCGATTCTGAAGCTGCGGGCCCCAGGCCAGGCAACCGAACCAATCCGGCGCTGGATGCGCATCGTCTCCTTTCCCTTCCTGCTTCACTGGCGACGCCTCTCGACAACTCCAGTACTCTGCTCACCCAATCCTTGTCACGCCTCCACGACTTCATTACAGCCGCCAACGCGCAGCCTGCGCCAGCCCGTCCAGATGATCCGCGGAAGGCTGGAATCATCCGAAGGGACCCTAACCCTCCTGACGACAACTACCGACCGCCGCCTCCCGTCTCTCCACTCCCTCAGCTCCGTGTCGATGAAACGGACCTACAAGCCTATAATGGCACTCAAGAGGACTTGGACAGCCGAAGAAACGAAGAGGATCGAGTCAGAACGAGAGAGGAAGGGGTTGAGGGAACTCAGGGCGCAGGGCACGACGCGCGCGACGCGCAAGCGTCAGGCGGAGCTCCTGTCATCAATGAGCGCGAAGCCAACAATCACAGAGGCAGTGGGAGGCGAATGGAAAAGCGGCGGAGGGAGCATGACGAGAACAATGCCATGGACGTCGACGGGGAGTACTCACGAGGTGCGCAGGGCAGCGCAGACGCAGCGCGGCTCGACACTAACTGCTCCAGCGCAGAACATTCGTCATCAGAGGGCTCAACAGACAAGCAGCCGTCCAAGCGGATCTGCGGGACGTTCTATTCGACCACTTTCCCCTTCGGAATACGAGCATCCACCCGTAACACCATTCGTCAGGCAAACGGAGTGCGCGCGCAGCCCGCTACAGATAATTCAGGTCCAAGGGACCCCCTCTCGGAACTCGAGCGCCCAGGTTCGCGCGCCTCGTCCAACAACGCCGGCAGTGGCTCACGACCCACGAATGAACTACCTGTACCCACGCCCGTTAGCTATGCAGTCGCGCGCATCGCACAGGCGCACACAGCTGTCAGAGATGCAGCCCAGGCAGGAGTGGATGGCCCCACAGACCTTGTGGCAGCCGTTTATGCTTGTACCGCCGCCGCCGATGCTTTTCACAGGACTGGGAGCCTCGATGAGAGCTCCGGGGACTTGCACACCATTCACGCTTGCGCGCCAACCACCCCCGCACCCTCTGTTGCATCATTGACGAATGAGCAGCAAAGACACTCGCCATCTCCATTCCCACGATACGTTCTGCCGCCAGCCCCGTCCCCAGTCGATAACGCTACAGTATTTTATGTACACGCTAGCCCTCCCATCATAGACCCTTTTACAGACCCGCGGTTCATCGCGCAGCCTGCTCTTGGACCTTTTGAGTATCATTCGGACGAGCTCAAGAAGCTAGGGATATCCCTATCCGCGGAGGTTCCTCCACCCCCTGAGAGCTCCTCCATAGCATCTTCTCAACGCACTCCACCCAATCCGCATGGACCACCACCTCCGCAGCCTCCACCATCTCCAGATGACGCAGTGCCGCCGTTATCGACCCTGCCACTAACCCCACCTCAATTATCACTCGGTGCGAGCCTAGCAAGGCCCATTGATGTTGATGATGAAGAGTCGAGCCACGGAGCGCTGACCCCAGGGGATTTTGAGGATGATGAGGATGACGAAGAAGGTTCGGGAAGGGTTAGAGAGCCGATTCCAGGGCCAGACAATCAGCGGTCTCGTATACTCTTTCGCGATGGACCTGTTATTCACAATCATGATGGCTCACTCGTCTTGACCCAGAAGCCTTCAACACCAGTCTATGGGGATAAATTTCCATTTCTTTCAACAATCATCGAGCGGTTCTGGTCAGGCTCGCACCCCGACACAGGTAGCATCTTGCCGCGTGCAAGAGTTCTGATGCCCGGAATTATCCCGGTGTGGGCCCACTGGCGAAACCTTACTATGAGTGTCATTGTATCTCTCCGGAGTTTTGTTGAAAGGCAGTACTATCATCCCCGACAGTATGACCACTCTCTCAAGGCTACCTTCGTGGACCCCTCATTTCAACTTCTCCTCACTTTCGGCAGGCTGGAATCAATCACTGCCCTAGACTGGTGTAACCCCTTGATGTATTCCGATGAGTCATATTTTATCTGGGAGGTATGCTGGCTATTTGAAATCCAGGGAAGGCATGATTTCGCGAAGGTCTTGCATAGGTTCACTGACATCCACTTTGCCGATGACCTAACCATCTGCCATCTTGTTAACAACCACTTTTTTGACCCTTCTCCCGACAAGGCATGGGCCCGGAACTACTTTCGACGACTCGACCGCGCAGGCGCCATGGTTGAGGAGCTCCGAGACAGGGAGCGGAGGTACATGGAGTAAGCGATTAGTAAGCGGCCTTGAGTAAGTGTCGAAATGGGTAAAGGATCTCATTTAGAACACTTTTCTCTCATATTCCTTGGACATTTTGATGGCCTTTAATATTCTTTCTGATCTTTGTATAGAATGTCTTGACATGTTATGGTCTGGTGCTGCCCTTGTATGTTTTAAATATTCTCTATGCTCTGATTAATAGTTTCCTTTATATATGAAATTCCTGCCCTTGCCTGGCATTGTTACGGCCACTTACCTCCTCCATTGACTGCTATCTGACATCTTTGTGTGTACAAGTTGGACTTGCAATATCTCTCGAACGTTTTTACTTATCACCAAATTGTTCTAAGTTGAATTTATATTTGACTTGGTGTATAACCATGATCCTTAGAAAAATGTTGCCGCCATTACATCTTGAGCACAATTCATTCACCACATACAAATGTGTGGATAAGAAGGTTCGACCAATTGCAGGTCCATTTCCCAAAGAAGCTCGTGTTTTGAGGAATATTCCTGAAGACCCTCTTATCACTCTACCGCCACTCTCCCCAAATCCTCCTAAATTCATCCCTTCTACTAAAATCACACATGAATGTCTCGAAATATTAAACCTCAATCCTGAAGGATTCTTATGGCTAGAAAAAGACAAATTGTTTCAACATATCATGCAGCTCAACGAGGAAGCATTAGCTTTCGAAGAAACTGATCGTGGTACTTTGAAAGAATCTTACTTCTCACCATATATTTATCCGACAGTTCCCCATACTCCATGGGTCTACAAGAATATTCCAATTCCACCAGGTATCAAGGACCAGGTTGTACAACTATTACGGGACAAAATAAAGGCGGGAGTTTATGAGCCTAGTCAATCAGCATATTGGTCAAGATGGTTTTGTGTAGTCAAGAAGAATGGCAAACTCAGGATTGTACATGACTTGCAACCATTGAACAAGGTTTCAATCCGCGACGCAGGACTCCCTCCAATTATCAATGATTTTGTTACACCATATGCAGGGTGCCCATGCAATACAGTCTTTGATCTATTCTGGGGTTTTGATGCAAGAAAAGTGCATCCAGCAAGCCGAGACCTTACTGCATTTCAGACACCATTAGGGCTGTTATGTCTCACATCTATGCCTATGGGATATACCAACTCTCCAGCAGAATTTCAAAATTCTATGTCCTTTGTTCTTCAAGATGAAATCCCCAATAAAGCAAACATATTTATAGATGACTGTGGAATCCAAGGTCCACTAACTATATACCCTGATAAGGAGGGGAGCCCTCAAGTTTTATCAGAAAACCCAGGAATACGAAGGTTTATCTGGGAGCACGCACAGGATGTTCATCGCGTCATGCATAGAATTAAATGTGCTGGGGGCACCTTCTCAGCAACCAAAGGACAAATATGCCGGCCTGATGTGGTGATTGTGGGACAAAGATGTACTCCTGAAGGCCGACTGCCAGAAACCAAAAAAATTGATAAAATTCTCAATTGGCCAGTTCTGACATCAGTCAAGGATGTTCGTGGATTTCTAGGCCTTTGTGGAACTGTTCGAATCTGGATTCCCAACTATTCTCTTCTTGCTAGACCCTTAACAGAATTAATAAGAAAGGATATGGATTTTGAATGGACCGATAAGCGGCAGGAGGCTTTCGACGCCCTTAAGAAAGTTATCACTTCAGCTCCTGCTCTTAGATCCATTGATTATTCATCAGAAAATCCTGTTATCTTATCAGTGGATTCAAGTTACATCGCTGTAGGATTTATTCTATCACAACTAGACGAAGAAGGAAGGAGACAGCCAGCTCGTTATGGATCCTTACCAATGAATGAAGTGGAAGCACGATACTCTCAGCCAAAGCTAGAACTCTATGGCCTTTACCGGGCATTATGGCATTACCGGTTATACCTGATTGGGGTCAAAAACTTTTACGTGGAAGTTGATGCAAAATACATCAAAGGGATGCTAAACTCTCCAGGTCTTCAGCCAAATGCAGCAATCAACCGATGGATTCAAGGGATCTTGATGTTTGACTTTACCTTGGTACATGTACCAGCTAAGCGGCACAAAGGACCAGATGCACTATCTCGGCGGCCATTGGCAGATGGAGAAGTGATAGAACCAGATGATGACTCATGGCTTGATAATATTGCATTGTATTCAGTTGCCAAGCGGCAGCACCGTAATTTTCAAGTCCCAAGACCATCGGCTGCTCAGAGCTATTCAGTTCAGAAACTTCTATCAAGCCTTTCCATTCACCGGTCTCAAGAGGAAATATTGCAGGACATATATCACTTCTTAACATCACTTTAATATCCCTTCGGGAAATCCTCAGTACAAGAAGAGAAAAGATTCATCCGCCGAGCAGCTAAGTTCTTTGTGAAGGATAAAGTAATGTATCGGCGGAATGGGAATCGACCCCCACTCAAGGTTATCATGAATAAGGCCACACGGATTGCAATCCTTACCAAATCTCATGAAGGATTAGGTCATAGAGGTGAACAGGCAGTATTTGAAACAGTTCGACTTCGATTCTTCTGGCCCTATCTACGTGCCAATGTCCGCCATCATGTGCAATCTTGCCATCAATGCCAAATCCGCAGCACGCGAAGAATGGAGATCCCACTCACAGTCTCCACTCCTGCAACTCTATGGACAAAAATATATGTAGATATTATGCTCATGCCAGAAGCAAAAGGATATAAGTATATCGTTGCAGCAAGAGATGACTTGTCACGGGTTTCAGAAGGACGAGCTCTTACAACTGCATCTTCAACAGCCTTAGCCAAGTTTTTTTGGGAACAAATATATTGTCGCTATGGAACCGTGGGATCAGTTGTCACCAATAATGGCCTGGAAGTCCAGAAAGCTTTTCGGTTGCTATTGGAATACATGGGAATTCCACAAGTTACAATTTCACCATATAATTCAAAAGCTAATGGTGTGGTGGAGCGAGGGCATTTTATTATATGGGAAGCAATTGTAAAAGCATGTAAAGGTGAAATACATAAATGGCCAGAAAAGGTTCCAGAAGCTTTCTTTGCAGACCGGATTACTACAAGCAAAGTAACGGGTTTTTCTCCACACTATTTGCTTCATGGTGTTCATCCTGTCTTACCATTTGACCTTACCGAAGCTACATTTCTAGTACAAGGGTTCAAGTCAGGAATGACTTCAGAAGATCTTTTGGCACTATGCATTAATCAGCTGGCAAAGAAACAGGAAGACATTGATCAGGCAGCCAAGACCTTGTCTAAATTTAGATTTTGGTCAAAAGAGAAGTTTGAGGAAAAATTTCAAAAGCGGCTCCGCCAGGACCACTATCAAACAGGAGAACTTGTTCTTATGCGTAACACACCAGTAGAAAAAAGCTTGAACTGGAAGACAAAGCCCTAGTATATGGGACCTTATCAGGTGGTCCGAAGAACCAAAGGAGGATCTTATGTACTCCAGGAGCTTGATGGGACAGTAATGTGATCAGGAGTTGCAGCTTTCAGACTGATGCCTTATATTGCTAGAAATGAACCACTGTTAAGACAGTTGGCACAAGATATTTTCTCAGATGAGAGTTCATCAAGCAGTGTTTCCTCTGATGAAACCTCGGCGTCCTTGAACAACAGCTCTATTTAGAAGGGGACTTGCCAAGCGGCTTTTACATATTAGAAGTAACATATCTTATCAAAGATCTTAGGGATCCAAGCATACATAAAGATACACAAAAAGGAGGCACAGTAGCGTCTCTAGCTTTTGTGCTCCCACTTTATTGTTTGTTCGGACATGTCAGCTCTACCCTCTCATACACAACGTTATCTCCCAATTGCCAAGGGAATTAACTATGCTCCAGCAATCTTCTTCAAGACAGTCAACCCTCAGAATCTCAGCTTATCCGCTGCATCATCCTCTACCACTCTTCCTGCAAACTCACTCCTCCCAATCGGTTATTCCCTGACGGCTAAGCAAATGATCCATGTGCCTAATCCTACGTTAATACGTGCAGCACTTCACTTGTTCGCCCTTCCATCAATGCACGTAGAGCAGAGAGTATGGGTATTGGAAAGGATGATGGAGAATTTGGTCTGGGAAGGAAGGACGTTAACGGCAAGGTGTGAGGAAGGAGATACCTGGATGATAGTGCAGTTTCAGGCATGCCTCTGCCATGACAAGCTGAGTTCTCTTTTTGTTGCAACGGTGGAAGCGGTAAAGGAGGGAAAGGTACGAGCATGGAGTCAGCACGTTATTGTTCCTATTCAGATGGTAGATGCATTTGAGATCGCAATCTGTCCTTATAGTATTCCTTCCCTTTCCTTTTACTTTCTTCGTCCATTTTCTTATGATCCACCTCTTGGAAGTAGCTATCGTAAGGATCCTACTTACAATCCGACTCAATATCGGGCTGCTATTGAGCGCGATAGCAAAGAAGTCAAGGACTGGCATAGTGGAATTTGATACACAGGTTTAAATGATTTCATTTCTTCCTTATGCTCTTTTGTTTACTTTCTTGCGATAAAGACATTTCTTATGTGTTTTTTTTTCTTCTCTATGGGAGAATTTGTTGGTTATTACTTATGGAGAAAGACCGAGGACGGTCAAAATTTATCCGCCTAGCAGATGTCACGACGCAAACAAGTTTGTGCCTTGGCAGGGTAATTTCCAAGAATGTTCTATAGAAAGAAATAACTATGCAAGTCTAGGCCAATGCAAGGAATGTTGGAAAGGAACGGGAAATTGAGGAACAAGGTGATTCAAGAACCGCTGGTAATCACATCTACGCATCACTCCCTCACATCATGTCCAACAACACCTCTGCATGCTCATCACTCTGGGGCACATTCCCTCAATCATTGTTCCACCTTCATCGCCACACAGAGCTGCGACAGCCACCACCGGACTTCCATCCACTAATTGTCCCATCGGGTCCACAACCTGACTTGCTTAACCGTATCCTCTGTCTTCCTACCACCTTGCTCTTTTATAACCATCCCCTACGAACCCACATACCGCATCAATGTCACCTCCCATACTCTTCTAGCTCCATCACCTTTGAATGAGCCACCCATGATGTCAATCCCTCCCGCCGAAGATGGAATTCAACTGCCACCTGTTTCGGCTGGAGGAGTATCAATGGAGGTCTGTGTCCTTTCTAGGAAAGAGGGGATTTGGTTGGAAGATGGGGTTTCAGTGGATGTGATTGAAAGAAAGCCAGATGGTGACTATGAGTTTACGACTATCATTCTTTCCGAAATGGTCTGGCGAGATGATCATATTGCCGTCTTTGGTGGAGCGGGCAACGAGCAGCAGTTTATAGTAGTGACATCTACTTTCCATGTCAACTCTCCTCCCCCACTTGGCTATGCGATGTATCACACGTTCAGTGAGTACATTCGAGCTCTTTTCAGCTCTGACCGCGAACGTGTTCCCACATCTGATGGCAATGTCTTGGAGATTGCAAGGCGAGCATTAGCAGGAGTGGGAAGTATGATCTTTCATCGATTTGCTAGGCCATGAACGCTTTACCTATTCATGATTCATTAAGTTCTTACTCCTTTAGTCTAGTGTTTCTTGTTTATTTCTTTCCCTAAAAATTCATACAGTCTTTACATTTCAAGTATCACACTCTCACTTGGCTCCAGTTTCATGCTTAGGATATGGATGGACATTTTGATCTATGTTTGTGAATATATGCAGCTGTCTTTCATTAAACCTTGACTTATCTGGGACTTAAAGTATCTATATTTATTAACAAAGCTGCCTTGGTGCTATTTTAACAGACCAGATGAAGCCTAGAAGGGACTAGAGTAGAGCCAAACTGATCCAGACTCTCATAGAATTGCATGGACCTTATGTGCTTTCTAATGCACTGAGAGGCTTTGTAATGGCTTAGTGAGCGGATGAGGAATCGAGAGGCTAGAGAACCTAGAGCTGCTCAGGTGACTAATATAGAATCTGGAATAATTCCAGGCCATGCTCTAGAGGAATCTAGGAAAGCCTACTCCGTTCTAGTTTAGACCAGACACTTCATTCTAGAATCTTTAGCACCTAGATACATCTGTAAATACCCAAATCCAGGTCTCATGCACAGCCTCTCTAGAAACACATAAAAGAGGAGTGCATGTGCCCTAAAATACATACAGTTTGTTGCCCCTGTTGTTAAAGTTGCTCTTGCCCTGTAAAGTGATCTTTACTTTGTAAGGTGGTCTTCACTAATCACTGAAGTCTCTGAAGTTAGCACCAAGTATCTTATGATAAGTCTAAAGCTATGTTAGTCCAAATAGGATGCTGAGTTAGTTCTAAGTCTGATCTGGTCAAAAAACATCTGAACCTGCATCAGTAAAAAAGCTCTGAAAACACCAAGTTCAACACTTATTAGTCTGATATCCTGATCTCATCTCTTTATCACACTCATTCTCTGGATTCTTTCAAACAGAAAGAGTCTGAATTCAGGAAAGTATTTCTCACGCTGCTCTACCAATCCTAACACACAGCACCTTGATAGAAACAACACACTTTACAGCACACTAGTAACCACTCTATTAGGATCCATACACCTCCTAACCTAGGCACATAGCTTTGCATAGTAAGATAAACTGGTACCACTACATAAACAAGAGAAATTACCCTCAACAACGAACAACTAGGCTGCTCTAGGAAAGAAGGAAAACCTGAGTCAGTCTAGGCAATGATTCTTTGGAATTGGTTGGTGTGTCAATTAGACTATTTCCCGCCCTCCGACTTCAAACCGTCTCACCGCACGACACCGTGCAGGAGAGCATGGCATTGTATGTTTTCTTTTTGAAGTGCTGGCTTGCTTGTCAATGGTCTTAATTCCTTCGTTAGATGCAAGTTCCCCAAGCCGACTCTAAAGATCTGGGAAGAGGATGCGCGACACCTCGGGGATATTTTGGCAGATTCGCTACCACCCGCCCGAGATCCGCATGAACGCACATCCTTGCTGTCTATCGACAGTGCTTCCTTCGAGCTCGATACACTAGTAACCCTCCGCCTAGCTCACCACATAGACCAAGCCGAAACCGGTATGCGCCACAAGGCTGGTGTAGAGCCCACGGCCGAGGCACGCCTTCGTTCAAAGATTCTCATGCAGTATCGCGAGATGCTGGAGAATGCCACTGACTGTGGTATCGGGACAGGCATCGAGCATGCTGTTTGTACCAAGTCTCTGGGTGCAAAGCAAGCCACGTCAGCAGCACCACTGGCAAGTTCAACAGGCAATGCAGCTAATGCAGAGCAGGCTGCGGCTGGGCGTGTGAATGCAGTGAGCTATTCAATCTCTTCCTAAGCTGAAGCATCCAATACTGACAATGTATCTCCTAGAACGAAACCAAACGAGCGAATGCATTCACCAAGAAAGGCTTGCCTCGTTTCACGATCGGCGCCGAAGTATCCGAGGCGCGTCCTCTTCAAACAGCGGCTGGGCGTGGATATGCTCTTGTCTTTGCTCATGGTCAGATATGCCTGGCTCAAGGTGTGTGGTTCATATCTAGTTTGCAGATAAGTAGCTCACAGGTTTCATGCTGTTGGACAGTCCTTGACATCTACAAGAAGTCTGGCGGCAAGGTGGGCAAACACGGCTAGGCAACACATGCAACTTCTATCAGTGCCATGTCAAACATCGTGGTTCAAGTTTTCGAACCGGCCGCACAATCTGGGCGACTTGCGCGGCGCTTCCGTTTGCTTCCCCAACTCAAGGGTGCCCTGGCATCTGCCGTATCCCGTTTCGCACTCTTGCCATCCCACACATTCCTTGTCATGCTCGGTTATCCCCCGCAACTTGCTCATGGGGTCAATTACATGTTAGCACCCGGGGATGAGCACTATCTGGAGGCTTTGCTTGGGCGAGAGCAGGATATAGCAGGTGCTTTGAAATTGTATGCAGGACGCACACAGATGGCTCAGGAAAAAGATGTAGAGACCAATGATGAGAAGGATTGATTTATTCACTGTATTTTATTGTGTTAAAGCTTCCAATTTGTTCATAGAGATGCCTGCTCGATGCCCTGTGCCCGGCCAACAACGAAAACACTCGCACTACACTCAGGAGATTTTTTTAATGATTTTTAATGATTTTTTACGATTTTTTTTGAGGTATGATCCCGAATCCGGGGATAAGCTGCTCCTGGCCGAGGTCTGATCTACGTCCGGGGGTACAAGGGCTCGAAATTCACGGCCTTGTTCGGGGGTCAGTGGCCCAAACCCGGATCGGACCTCTGGCGTGATTCACGGGGGTCCTCATGACGTTCATCTGAATTCCGTTTTTACTGAGGGTCACAAGTGACATTTTTCGATCACGATGCCCCAAGCCACATTTTGTTAAGTTCCTTTCTTCTCACATCATTTCACAATGCCATAGGTGACTGTGGCGTTCACCATGCATACAAAGAACTTTCAATGTTGATTGAAAAAATGTCATGTCAAAGTTGATACTACTACGTCGACCCCGACGATACACCAATGAAAATGTGTCCTAGATGAAGATGCACGCGAATTACTTGTTTCCAACCGACTCTTTATGAGATAGGAGGGGCAAGCACGGGGCTAATTACTATGCAGTTATCATCGTCGTGTCAGTATCCTCAACCGCACACGCTCTCAGGATATCCTCACAATTGCTTGTCGTTGACCACACGGGAGGTCCATCGCCCGCACTTCCCGACCATTTTGAGACATCGCGTGCGCCAGGTCACTATATATCGATCTAGGCTCCTGCGGTACATCTTGTACTCGGATGGGCTAAGGCTCCTGAAGTCATCGTCGCTGTCTGAGGCGGCAGAGTCGTCGCTCATGTTGTCATCGCCAGTATGCAGACAGCGAGAGCAGACAGACGGCTGCCACGCAAAGCGGCTGCGGAAGCACGGCCCCGTGCAGACAGTCAGCGACATCGGCCGCAACGTCAGCAGACATGCACCCGCGTCGAGAGCAGACGCCCACAGAGGAGTGCGCGACGTAGACGCAAATCCAGGGGGCGCCTCAATTTCAAGCCAAACACGAATTCGAGGTGCCAAAGCATGTGGCTGGCATCGTACTCGGAAATCGGCCAAAGTGAAGGCACCACGGTCGAAACTATCCATGGCTGATTGAACAGCTTTCCAGCCGAGTCGAGGATGACGAAGTGGGGTCGGACACTGGAAACGAGGATTGGTAGACTGTCAAATGGATATGAATGGCGGGTAGAGTTCTCCTCGGTGGGGTCGGCATTGAGTGGCGAAGACCGATTGGTCGAGTCTGGCTCATCGAATCGTTTTATTGGACGAAGATCCTTGTCCAATGGAAACAATCGATATTCAAAGACCTCACCACCTTCATAAATCTACACAATCGTCGGAGAGAGTTATCGCGGAAAACGAGGACAGACAAACCGACTCGATAGGAGATTGTTGGATCGGACTTTTGAGATCTATCATGAAATAGCGAGCCCAGACTCTGTCTACCATTTCAGGGGGTGGGAGAAGCAGCCAGCGGTTGCTGTCAAATGATTCCAACAAATCTTGACGAACTGCAACCAGCGAGGCTCATGAGTAACCAGGGAGGCGTCAACGGCGGCACGACACACGATAAATCATGTTCGCCTCCACATTCAGCTCTAGCGACGAGTACTTCATCCCCCAGTGCCATTCGAGGCGCGTCAGCTGCACCCGGCGGTCAACGGTCGGATCACGACGCGAGAGGCAGGACCGAACGCACCATCCCGTTGAACTGCCAGAGGCGCGGGTTGAGCAGATAACACGGCATGACCGATGGTCCTGATTCCTGTGTGACGAGGCATCGTTTTGGGTCTGCAAGTACAGAGGTGGAATTGGAGCGGGGGTCTCCGAGCTTTCGGGATGCTGGTCGACATCTCGGAAGGTCACGACGTCAGCGATAAGCCTGTGAGCTTTCTGAAGCCCGCGCGTACTAGAAGTATCAGAAGGGATTGCGTCCCTGACTGTGCTATTGTTTTTTGATGGATCACTGATATCTTGGGAGTTGGAAAGGTCCAGGGAACCTGTTGTGTCACTCCTCTTAAATGGGCTTGACCACCTCAACGGAGCGGGTGCTGTGATGCCCATCAAACCGTTTCTAAGAGACGTACTCTTGCGAATGAGCGTTGTTGAGATGAGGCGGTTGAACAATCAAATGGGATAGTCACACCGAAGGAAGAATTAGAAGGTGGCACAATGGCGCACAGTCACATGATAGATTTGGACAGCACCAAGCAGAGAGTCTTTGTGTAGCGTCGACATGTGAAGTGGCCAGTCGCCCATCGGCATGCTCGACCGGACTAAATCCACAGCGCGTGCAGGAGTCGCACGAACCAGGTCAACGAACGACTAGCGGGCACCTCAGTGTTTGTCCGACGGAGCGCGGCGGTCTTCCAAAGTGACGGGCACCCAGCCATGCGCACGCAACCAAGATAGATGCAAGATCAATAGATGCGCATTCAAGTGAGAGGTGTGGAAGCCTCAGAGAAGTAGACTTCGCACCAAGGGAACGAGTTCCCGGGCACCGACTCCGTGGATAGACCAGCACTTAGAGGAAGCCCATAGAGAAAGCGCGAGTACCAAAGCTACGCGACACGATGAAAGCCCAATCCACAGAACCGAAACTTGACATATTAAGGTCCAGTACACGTAGCATCGCCGTCCAGAATAGATACATCACACAGCTCGTCCAGTGTCTGCGGCAATTCGTCCGCATAACCCCCTAGCTGGCCGTCATTGAGCACGCGCGCAGCCCACCCCCCGCGCTTCCTGACACTCTCCAAACAAGAAGACCGCCAAGCGAGCGAGAGACGCCTGCGGTGGGCCCCATACTCGGTCTCACACAGTGCCTCGGACGGACCGAGGCCGGCGCGATCTCCGCCGCCCCCAGAGCCACTAGACGCGCCGCTATCGACGCCGCCATTTTGACGGCGAGCGCACAGCGAAGCCCCACAGGATGACCTTCTTCGCGCGCATCTATAGCCAGTGAGGTGATCAGCATCTGTTGTCACAGTGTCTACGCGAAACGGCTCTTGAAGCACGGACGGAGGCAAGCCCATGGGCGCAAGCGGCGCCGGAGGGGCAGCCTCGGACATGCGTCGGGGGATGGTAGTTGTAGAAGAGTCCAAGGTGATGATGCAAACGTCGAGTGCGGCTCGTATCTGAGCCACGTGCCATAGATGCGCTCCATGTAGTCAAGCATGAAAGTGGCTTCGCGCTCAGACACCGGTCAGAGTAGCTTGGCCACCTGCGAGAGCCCTGAGTGCCCCGATGTGATCTCGTGATAGAGCTTGACGCCAGCATCGCAGATGACGGAGTGGGGATTCACGCGCGATACCAGAGTCGGTAGGGTATCGAATGGGTACGAATGGGGCGTGGTGGCCGGCGAGGACGTTCCAGTTACATCTGGCTGATCGAATCGGTCAATCGAACCAAGGCCACGCCGTAATGGCAATAACCGATATTTGAAAGTGTCAGCACCTGCTTAAAGCTAGACGTTCGTGAGATATGACTCTGGATGAAACAGGGGAGGATGAACCGTCTCGATGTGCGGTTGTTGCTTTGCACTGGTGGGGGCTTCCATAGATTTCTGGCGGCGGTCCCACAGTTTGTCGACCATCTCAGGCAAAGGGAGGAGCAGCCATCGGTGGCTGTCAAACGATTCCAACAAGTCATGATGGACTAGATCGAGGAGAACATCAGTGATGGTTGAGGCGCATAGACGGTAAAGCACACAATATATTCGATTTGCTTCTGTGTCCAAATCGAGCGAGCTGTATTGCATTCCCCACATTCATTCGAGACGCGTAAGCTGCAAAAGAAATCGGCGATCGCGTTGACAAGCGGGGGCAAAGGAGAAGGAAAAAAGCAGACCATCTCCTTGTTGTCCCAGAGACGCTGATTTAGCAAGTAACATGGTTCGACTCGGGCCTCCGACGCGAGCTCATTCGTCACAAGGCAATGTTTGATGTTTGAGATGGCTGGTTGCGGAGCTGGAGGGTGTGTTTCATTAGGAGTTACAGAGTGCTGGTCCGTAGGGATAACTTTGCTAATCCTCTCTAACGGAGTAGGGACGTTCGGATGATTCTCAACTTTTTCAAAGAAGGGAAATCAGTAGGTATAAAAGGCTATCAATGAGGGTCTGCGCACTCAACATGCGTGTAGATTCGGCCTCTCTCAGCCTCTTAGCTGGGGTTGACACACTCGATGTTGTGAAATCCCTGCTGCGCTTCAGGCCCGGCCGTTTAACGCCCGAATCTATGAACCGTGAGACACAGTCGGCGGATTGTGAGTCAACGTCTTTTAGAATCAGTGTTTGAGCATATGGAACGAACGGTTGGAAAAATATAAGCATACCGGTATTGCCGGTATTGATTGAAGAATCTGCAATGCGCCCCCTCCCCCCTTCGATAGGCTTGACCCAATCAACATCTGGGATGCCGCGCTGCTCGAGGAGCCCCACTGCTCCTTCGGTCGTCGCGGCGCAGACTAAGTGAGATCGCTTGCTGCCACCCGTGATGTGCTGACACGTGACCGTGACCGTTGTCAGTCAGACAGTCTGGTGAAACAAGAGTCAACCTTGTCCTAGCAGCGGGAATAAGACTCGGCGCTCCCTCACATCCTGCCCTTCGCAAAACCCGTCCGCGAACCTCAAATCTTATTGCAACATTATCGCACGATGGAAACGCAACCTATGAAAGGGTTGACATTAGCAGACAGTGGGGGGAGCAGTACAGACCTCACAAGTGCGTCTATGCTCGTGCAATTTCCTGTCATCATCTCCTCACTGGTTTATCGCTAAGATAGTGATAGCGGCCCTAGTAAATCTAAACGCAAGAGGTCTAACTCCGATTCGGTACTCGTGGGCGTAAAACACCGCCGCACAACGAGCTGGGAGCAGCCCCCGATGCCCAGCGGGTCAAGTCCAGTGAAAAGTATTGTAGAAGCAAAATCTTCTCTTCACATAAGTATGTGATCTCCGTCTTTTATATCAATTGCATGTGCTTATGAGCTAGCTGCATAAAAGTGGAGACGGGGTACACCCGTACGTTTGCCTTACGTCGCTTTTTCTCTGATATACTGAATCCTCGAATCTTCAAGATGTGAACTTGAAACGCAAAAGGTCTACATCAGAACCAGCGGTTTCCAGCCTAAAACGTCGCAAAGTAGCAAGCAGCGATCGGCCTGTAACGTGGAATAGTCGAGCTCCCGTTAGGAGTAGCAGTGAACAAGATGGTTCCAATACAGCAGGTGTGTGAATATTTTTATTTGGGGTCTGATAATATCGGCCTATCTCTTTGCACGACAAGATAGTGAGCGTCGGGTTAGGGACTCAGGTCAAGCCCAAAGCATTGGCGGAGCAGATACTCCAGGGATGCCATGTACGTCTGTGTTCGTGTATTTCCTCATCTTGCATACTGATATGTTGCGAAATCAAGCTATGAGAGATCACAATCGAAAATCGAAGCGCTTAGTAGCATCCACGCAGGTCAAGCGATGTCTTCTAACGCAAGAACTCTCCTCAGAAGCTTCAGTGTCATCATGCTATCTATTGAATCAACGCTTGTGGAATAGTGAGCTGGTGAGGTCAACAGAGCATCGATTTGAGGATTGCTCTGACTGATTTTGCATAGTTATCGCGTCTGGAATGGTGGTGGGGGATGGAATCCAATTCACTCGATCCGAGGACGGAATCGAACAAGATCTACCGTATGCGTCTCTGTCGTTTGCACTGGTCATCGATTGTCACTGACATCGTGTGCGGCCACAGTACGGCGCGACTGGTTGAAGTCGTTTGATAGTGAACGATGGTTACTTGTTCCCTCTCCCGAAATGTTCAAGAGATTCAGGGCCCTCTACGACAGGTTCATTTACGGTTCAAGCGAGTGTTCGGATCAACCCCTGATTGATACGGTCTGTCCCTGATGTTCTAGTTCAGATCCCTCTTATCTAATGATCGCTTAGATATACGATGGGGCCGAAACTTTTGAATATCGAATGCTACCACTGGACGACGAACTTCGATCGTTCAATCGAATTGATTTGCCCGACTCACGTAGTAAGACAAGCTTTCCGGGCATCAGAACTGCCGTCGAACCGCGAAGGACTCGTCATTTTCATCCGTTCCACACGTTGCCGACTCTCATTTCTCGGGCAAAGCCTCACTTTGTCATCTGCGACACTGCTGCGAAGCTGTATCAACGACCTATCATCGACTTGGATTCCAGAGCGATGTTGAAGTCTGTCTGGCAAGGGCATGATTTCGACCCCTCTATCATGATCTTCATAATGAAAGAGACATATAGCATGTGGTTAACGCGTGAGGTACCCGCCAGTATTGTCTCCACTCCCCGTGTCCTTGTCCCTATCCCCCCTCTCCATCCCTACTTAAATGGCGCCAAGAGACATTTTCCCTCAGGAACTTCCTGTAGCGGGCCATGCGTTCGCAATCGATTTGCATGGATGACTACTTGTTGTGCACACTGTCGAGGGACGAAGGGCATTTCTTCTGGCAACCCAAACTCGGCGCACTCTGATAGCGATGGAGATTTCAACACCGGCGACCAATCTGATCGGATGGCCCAATATCGAGCATACCTCAGACGTGTCGCCCGTCGTATCCGCTCTTGGCAATCGTGTTGTATGCAGCAGGTGATGAAACAAGGGGGATGGACATCCCGCGTAGTCAATGATAAGCAGCTGGGGGGTTATTCCAAAAAATCGCGACGGACTCTTACAAGAACTGTATGAATGCTCCGCCAATTATAAAGCCACCACGTTTGGTTCCTGACGATCGTCGTGCTCCCGTGGGTCTCGTCCCACTAGAGGTACACATGGTAGGCAACAAGATATGTCGATGTCCTTTCGATCGCAGACTCAATATGGCTTCTCAATTGAGGGACTGCCACCATTGACCACGCGGCGTGGCAGCCACAATGCAATCATTCGACCACACTCGCTTTGTCACACTTCTACGCCTTGTTCGCCACCATCGATGCCTATTGTGCGTGCCAGGGCGGTAGCCCTGTTGTCCACCGGTCATTCTGCCACAGGATCTGTGCAGCCACATCTCTCCTTTAAAAGCGGCCTGACCGTGGCTATGGTATATGGCATTGCTCCTTCGTTCTCATATCTTCCCTCTACCATTCCATCCATTTCGCCTCCCTCCCATACTCTGTTATCCCATGCCTTCATTATCATCGCACCGCCGGGTTCCATCAGTGCCCAGTGTGACATCCCACCGTCTACGTCAGAAACCGTCCATCCGTGGGTCCTTCCAGGGAAGAGTCCATGACTTCGCATCCGGTACAGACATGCACAACGGTCGAAAGTTGACGAAAACTACAGATCGTGTGTCGAAAAGTGTTGTGTTGGAACTTGATCCTACCGGGGGACAATGTCTTTTGACCAGAGAACTGGGTAGTGAGGCGCCGTTGGAATTCGCACACATATTCCCAAGGTGTGAGAAGAATAATGACAAGCTAGTGAGTCTGTCATTCTGGTTTCCGCACCAGTCTTAACCCCCCTATCACAGATCACAGCCTTAGAACGCATGTTTGGAATCAAGCAAGGGTGTCTCAACATTGATGATGCCAGAAACCTTCTTCTTCGTGAGAGACGTTGTCCAATTCTGTTTATTCCAGTTCTCTCAATGTGTGGCAGTAAAAGTCGATTGGCACCGACTCTTCGATCTCAAGCGTTGGCTTTTGCTTCCCGATATGGAAATGTTCTACAAACTCAAGTCACACGAGTCAGGCCATGATATTGCGCAGGTTCGTCGTTCCATGCTGTTGCTTTGCATTCGATTTACTTCAAATCTGCCAGAATTATACAGGGTTGAAGCAATTCGTATACAGGATGGTGCCGATAGGAACTGGACGGATTATGGACGTGTATAGGCACTCTCGACCTGATGGCGCCGATAAGCAAAGTTCAGCATTTCAATATCCATTTGGAAACCTGCCCAAACTGGAGTCGCACATCCAGCCTCACTGGGTCGTCCTCAATGCTGGCATGAAGCTGGATTCAAGATCACCATGCGAAATGGACGCTTTCTACGGGCGCGTCGCCGATGCCTACGACATCAGTAGAGAAGTTGCGAAGGATTTCATCGATGATCTAATCACTCTTAACAAAAGATGGAGGTCCGTCACCCCAGCGGATGATGCCACGAGCCAGGAGATGGCGTCATTCAAAGTTGCGCTACCCCAGGTCACGCTACCCAAGGTTACGCTACCCAAGGTTACGCTACCCAAGGTTGCGCGACCCAAGGCTGCACGACCCAAGGTTGCGCTACCCAAGGTGGCGTCACCCGAGGTTGCGCCACCCAAGGTCGCGTCACCCGAGGTTGCGCCACCCAAGGTCGCGTCACCCGAGGTTGCGCTACCCAAGGTGGCGTCACCCAAGGTGGCGTCACCCGAAGTCGCGTCCCTCCAGGTCGCGCCGCCCCAGGTGGCGTCGCCCGAGGGTGCCTCAACAACCCAGGTTGTGTCACCCGAGGTTGTGGACGTTGTGGATACTGTCTCTGGCGAGAGCAAAGACTCGAGGTCCAACAAGTCCAGCGGTAGCAATCGTTTCATCAAACCCATGACGACGACGACTTTTCAAGACTATTTGCAAAAACGTTCTCCAAGCTCTCCCCATTCGCCCTCTCTACGGAGTCCTGTACGGGAGGTAAAACGCAGCAAGATCAGCTCTATCTACAGTGGAAGGAAGCCTAAGATCACTTAGGAGATTGGGGATCTTCTGTCCTGGCTTACCTCCCCTTCCATATCGTCTGTTTCATTCTGGTATATAATTATGTTGGTTCTGGTACACAATTATGTAACTATGTAAGTTCTTGTATACAATTATGTAGAATTGTGTCTTCATACCCTGTGCACTGCCTATGCAACCGGAGCAAGTCTGAAACATTGATGACTTTTGGGATACTTTAGGGATCAGCAATTCAAACTTGAGCGACAAACAGATGAAAGTGAGTTCAGACTCCGACGTGAAGTCGAGCTTGCCGCGGAGTATTTGGCACTGCGAGTTCTCCCACTCTCCTGCCTTTGTTAATTGCCTACTATAAGTAAAATCTGGCCCCAGTGTGACCCACATGATACATACATAATGAAATAAGAGGACATTGAATTAGACTACATTATCATTGACCCTCAGCTTCTTCAGTACCCATGCCCTGATCCTAGAATTATCCAATCAAGCTTTCCTTTGATGCCATCTATGGCAACATAAACCTGCCCTAGCTGAGCAGCACACTATGACTCTGACTCTCATCTAAAAGGCCATAGTGAGGGAGACTTATGTCTTTGAAGAAAAGAAATATCAATTGACTCATTGACTTACTTGGACTCCAAAGCTGTAATTAGCCATATCAGCTAAAAAAAACAGTTCCAGCTCAAGTTACATCTCCAACTGAGCTTGCCACCTCCGTGCCCATACATGACAATGATAAAGGTGCAGAGGCTGAGTATACCCTATTAGGAAACCCTTCCATGTTAGCCATTTAGTAAGAGTGGAAAGGACAATGCAAATTAGTGCTAATGTGAGCAAATGAGCTAAGAGGCTCACCAACACTAAACATTGCCCCCAAATATCCCCAAGGGATATCCATGGTATATTAGGAATATACCACAAATATACCATGAATATCCCTGGCAGGGAATATACTCCTAATATCCCTCAGTTAAAACACACTGGGGGATGACTCATCCACTTCCACAGCCACATGATATGTGTGCATTATCAAAATTTCTTTCAAGTTGTCCTCCTTCTATTGACTCCCTATTGCATGTAACTTCTCCACCTCCACCAGCACCATTGCACCATCCATTGATACCTCAAATGCCAACAAACAGATATGTGGACAGCTTCTTTTCCAACAACAATAATAAGGAGGACCAAAGCTTGAGAAAAACCAGCCAAATCTAGATAGCAGAATATGAGAAATGAATTTGACATGCAATACCAATGCCAAGATAATATATGGATGGGCCTTAGCAAGTTTTTGTTCCTCTCCAAATGTGTCCCCTTGGACCCTTTGTTACCCTTCCGATATTTAAATGTTATTGAAGATCCTTTAGTGGGTTGTAGTCAGTTGGGTGGGGACCAACCACATTCAGTAATAGTCAGCATCTTCAGTACTCATCTAGCACTGTTTGGTATCTCCCCAAAGCTTCCAAATACCTTTCTTGGACTCTAGTATGGGTACACGCTTATTAGCGTAATCTATATGCCAAATATTATATCATATGCTATGGAACTGCACACATGACTTATACCATCAATATGCAGGAGATCTAATACCATGGTAGATGTTGGACCTTGTGGCTTGGCCCAATGTGCAATTTCCTAGTCCATTTTGAATTTGAAAGGTAACCATATGTTTTAGGTAGTGTGGCTCTAAAGGCTGCTTGGAAAAGTATGTGCTCTAACTCCTAGCTATGGCCAGAGTCTATAGGTATGGGTGCCCTAGGAGAGCCATGAAGAAACTTATCAATAACTTGGCACTTCTAGATATCACCCTCAGCTTGTTGGTGCTCTTGCTAGGTAAGTAAATGTCTATATGACAAATCATTGATGTTTGTGTCCACCAATAAGGAGCTGCTTGAGAGCAAAGTGGGCACTAGGCAAATTGAACTTGTAGCACCTGGAGCAGGCTCAGCTGCTTGCACTAGTTCCCAATGCAGCTCCAAAAGTGCATAGTACACTTCTGTATCATCTTTTATATCCTCAGCCATGTCTTTATTAACCTCTGTATTGCTGTATGTAGGTAGAATAGATATATTGCATGGATTACTTGAGTATACAGAAGCAGGACAAGGTATGCACTTATAAGCTGTGTTATGACGATTGACTTCAGAAACATTGTTGTCAGGTAGGCTATGGTCAGTTGGCAGCTCAGATATATAAGCTTGGTATTCTTAAAAGATAGCTACACAAAGCAGCCATGTTGTTTTTGCCGGATGAGATGCATAACTAGAGTGGGATAAGGCCTTGGCACACCCCTGATAGATGATAGAAGATATGATGGAGCAGGGAATCTGTGAGACAGGATGTGAAGGACTTGTGACCAGATTTCACAATTTGAACTCTTGCTTGAAAGAGAGTCTGCACTATATGTGGCAATGGGATCCAATAAGGATTGTAACCCTGACACAAATTTCCAAGGCAATTTGCAAAAGGTACATTCTCTCTCTATTTTTCCTACCATTGCATTTCTTTTGTTTGAGTCTCTTTCTTATTGGCATATCTATCTGAAAACCCATTTAACCTTCTAAATACATGAAAAAACAAACACTCAAACCTCTGTAGTTCTACTAGCTGAGCCCATGCCCATGCCAGCACAAAAGGCAGCATGAACCCAGGCTACCAACAAAGCAGCCTAGACCAGTCAGAAGTATATGACAGGGCCTTCACTTCTTTCATGTCATACAAGAGGTCCAGGTGTGTTGCAAAACTCTTTAGGTGCTAGTAACTATAAGTCATCCCTATTTGGTCATAATTATGCAAGCTGCACAAGATAGAGACTTACTTGTTTTTCTGGAGAATAGACAAGACACAAGGAATCATTGGGGTAGCAATTTTATCCCCAAAGTGTCTGGTAGAGGTAAGAAGACTGTTAGTGACAAGTAGACTATGCCTAACACTGTGACCTATCTTTCCTTGGCCCCTCATATTTTGGCTCTTGCACCAATGAAGCATGTGTGCATAAGTACTATCTCATTGGATAACATCAACCCTGTCCTCCATGGGGATCAAGCTCTCTCTGAAATTAGTGCACTGACTGCATCATCTAAATAGTAGAAATCTTCAAAAATCAAGCCCAGTGAGAACCCCAGCTAGTGTGAGCTAGACACAATGAGCAAGGTCTATCACATGATTGGCTCACCTACAGTGCCGGACAAGCAAAGTCGACAATTTTGCTAACTCCCCAAGTGGAATTTTTTGGGACAAACTGAGTTCAGATTCGGACTCAGGGAAGCAAAAGGAGTCAAAAAATGTCCTTTATGGAAGTTCCCACGGTAAAATGGGGGTGGCCAATTTTTTGAGCGAAAAAAACAAAATGTAATTAGGCCTAAAATGGCATCAGAGTCAATCTGAGTCAATCTCAGGTCAGCATTGCATCAACAGACATCATTGTGCACTGCCCAACCCTTCTATGTGACTTCTGTTTGCATACAGCCTACCCTGCCACTTTCCCTATAAGCCCCTTATGATATACATCCATAAACCACCATGATTGATTAAAAAAATTGGTGAATCACCTTGACAGGCATTGCTGTGCCACTTTCTTTGCATCCTCAAATTTGACTTTGTAAATTTTACAGTATGAATGCTTGTACTAGCCCCAGTACTGAATAATATGAACATGCCATAAAAAAAAAGACTGAAGAAACTGACCATCTCAAAAGGATTAAGCTCACAATGGAACTTCAGAAGAAAGATGCAGATGTGACCTCAAGCTTTTGATTTCTGCTCAAGAAGGGATTCTTGAAAAAAAAATCATTCTGCCTGGTTAGGAGTCAGGCTATAGCAAGTGTCACTCTTAAAAGGACAAATTGGAGAATACTTGGCCTTTATTGTGTAGACATCAAAGCTACATTCTGTAAGAGTCTGCTGCAACCTCTTTGCCTTGCCATTCTTGGTTGTCATCTTGCTTACTAAAAAATAAATATTGAACTTTGTCTAGCCCTCTCACACTCACTTTCACTCTAGGCATTGTTGCATATGCACTGACTTATTGTTGATAATAGGACCATGTGAGTGTGATTTATGTGGACCTGCTATTCATGGTCTATCCAGTATTGATTATAATGTAATTTTTTGAGAACTCACCAGGTTTTTCATAGATGAGAGCTAGTCTCTGTCTTATGGATTATCAAGATCAATATCCTCCATGTCTTCTTCAGTGTCTGACTCAAATTCAGGTGAGTTTCTTGAGTGGATTGATTTTTTGTGAAGATGCTGAACTCTCAAAGCATGTTTCTTTCTTGAGGATGCCCTTGGGGATGCTTTGAATGCTACATAATTTGGTAGCCCAGGATGTCATGGTTTGGAAAAGCACCACCATTACAGCCTTGGTAAAATTTTTTGGGACTATTTAAGACTACCATTGAACTCAGATAAAAAAAATGGAGTTGATTGATGCTATTTCTGAGGCCCTACCATTTAATTTGGGGGTTGGCCAATTTTTTAAGGGCCAAAATCAATAAAATGTAATTTATGTGAGATTGGCTCATGGGATTTCGCTTGTAAGGAGCTCAAAATGCTCATTTACTGAATGCGCATCAATTCCGGTGGTTCCAGAGGGTGGGAAAATTAGTTGACTAAAATTGTTGACTTTGCTTGTCCGGCACTGTAGCATCACCTAGTAATAGCATAAAATGAATCAGATTTCCTCTCAAACAAATACCAATGAACCTAGCTATTAGGTCAATTAGAGCCTCATATATGCATTTGCCCTACTAGCACACTCCAAACAGGGTCAGTCATCTAACAACTCCATGAGTTTTTACAAGGCCGTGCACATGATGTGATCAACCTACCACACACCACACCACTACCATGCCTTGTTGACCAGTGGCCCTTAGTCACATCTCATATGCCAATCAGGCCTTGTAAGTTGACTATTCTCTATTATTGTTCTTAACTGAGCACCTCTTAGCATGCCCCAAGCCCCTAATGGGTGGTACTATTGCAACTGTCTCACACACTGTGGTGGGCATTGGCAAAAATATAGTCAGAGAACACATACTCAACATACACCTTACCAACATGACAGCCACAAACTATCCTCAATATCTTTTCAAGCTTTTATCACCACCTTGGCTCCCATAGCACCTATGGAGGCATCTAGCAGCTCTTGTGCAAATGCTCATAGTATTATGATCACGCTCTGTCGGGCCTTAACGGCGGTCTATGCCGACACGATCATCACAAATATCAAGCGGCCTCACAAATTGAGGCATACAACAAGGTACAGATAATAACCTTGGTCATCCACTCCCAACGGGTCACCTTATCGTTGGTCGAGTATCACGAGCCATATTGCGACGGGCATGAAATGCCGCCTTACAAACTACTCACACACCGGGCATTGAGCTCCTAGTCTTTCCTGGCCGGAAGGAGACTAACAGAGAAACACAAGAGTAGTCGTTATTGAGAGAGACGACTTAGAGAATACCTATGGATACATATACGGTATTCTCACGCCCTACTTCCCAAAGTAGTATAAAAGGCCCATAAAGTAGGCTGAGGTTCTTCAGTCTATTCTCTTCATTCCCCTGTATCTTCACATACAGGGACCTTCATTCTACTACAGTCTTCTTACTGCAGGCTTCATTGCTATACTGCAATACATCTCTGGCTCCTGTGCTACACGTACAGTCGAGACCACCGTTCCACACATCCTCCTTGAGTGACCTAGGGAAGAACCTCCTACTCTTGGGGTTACTGAACGAGCAGTTCGTAACACATGGTAGTCCTTTCACCAGTGGCAGGGCCATGCTAGTAAGCATTGTTTAACTCATTGCTATGCTTATATTGACCCACATTCATTGAACAGGCTCTAAAAACCAGCCCTCTTTATGAGATCACCAGAGAGTCTGACCTGGCATCCATTGGGACCCATAGCACTAGTCATTTAGTAGCCTCCCTGGCCATATCTGGATGCTCCACTCTCACTGTTCCCGTATGGGACCATAACAATATGAGACCACCACATAATTCTCAACCCTCTGTAGGCCCTGTCATCCCATCTGCCACAGATGCTCATACTATCCAAGCTGGCACGACATTGGGCCAAGACCTGGCAGCTTTTACAGGCCCTATAATGCCCTCTGCTTCACATGCTTGTGAAACCGAAGCTGGAATGTTGTTCAGCCAAGACCTAGCAGCCTCTGCAGGCCCCATAATGCCATCTGCCACAGACCCTCATGAAACTGAAGCCAGTGCATCATTTGGCCAAGACCCTGTAGCCCCTTCTGTCAACAATGTTGACCTAGACAATGGGCATCTACTGCCACTCTCAGCAATCTCGGTGAGAAAGGATATATCTCTATACATTGTGCAACACACATAACTTACACCAACAATGCAAGGTTGCTGTGGAGTCCCCCCCCCCCCTGCAATTGGTGCACAAGACTGCACTTTGCTCCTATCTGCTGACAAACTACTCAAGGATGTTGCCCCGGATGTTAGTAGTCCAGACACAAGAGACTTAGAGGACTTACCTTTTGTGGATCTTGGTGACATGGAGGATGATGAGGCTAAGGTAACTGCCAACAATTCACCCTCTCTGATCGATGACATTCAAATTATGGAAGAATTCATATGGGAGCTCCATTCAGCCACTCTGAGCAATGGTGATCTTCTATGGCCCCAAGTACAGACACTGCAAGATTGAGAGTTATGTCCAAAGGGAGCTCCAAATCTCAATAACCCCATTCTCCATCTATTGCTTGATTTATACTTGGCAGTCAGTAATGCTTTAGAGCAAACTTACAAGGATATTCACTTGTCACTTTTGTGATACGACCATGCCCTCTAGCTTCTGTCCTTGGATCGAGTTGAATACCATGTTGCAGAATTAAGCAGCATTGTCCTAATTTCTCATCATATGTGTGTTAACTTGTGCATCATATTCACTGGACCTTTCCAAGATCTAGTGACATGTCCCATGTGTTGAGAGCCTCATTACGATTCTCTGAAGCCAGGTACAAAGACTCCTTGACAGGAGTTTTAGACAATCCTGCTAGGCCCACAGCTGCAGGTGGCAAGACAAACCATTAAGGGTTCTAGAGCAATGCATTATCGTCATGCATGCTACAACTCTGCCATGCAACAGATCAACAAAGATCATGCATTAAGAGACTTTACTACCATCTAGGACGGCACAGACTTTATTGATGCCATGAAGGATATACTTATTAAGGAGTACAATCCTGTCATTATGTTCTCCATTGATGGGGCTTGCTCTATCGCAATAAAGGTTTTGACTGTTGGATATATATATAGGTGATCTTAGACTAATCTCCTAATCTTTGGTACAAAAAGAAATATGTACTACCTAGGAGCTTCATACCAGGTCCTTTAAAGCCCAAGAATCTCAATTCATTCATATTCCTGGGGATGTATCACTTATCGGTGCTCTAGCATGAAAGGATGTACCTTTGGGATGCAATCAATGATGCGGTTATTGAGTGCTGGCCTTTTCTAGCCCTTGTGATAGCTAATAGTCCTGCCATGGCCTTTATATTTGGTAGTGTTGGCCATCATAGGGCATATGGTTGCCATCTTTATTTCTGTCAGAAAGGATGCCATAAGCCTGGGGGTGCCCAGTACTACCTGGCATGCTTGAAGCTTATTGGTTCCGATATTGCCAGTTCAAATCATTCAAATTATGACCTGTGCACAATGATCATCCTAATGGCAGAGGAAACCGAGAAAAGGTTAGAATATGTCCCCCAATGTGCCACTCTGGGCTAATCACCATATGCTTTGCAGATATTTGTCAAATCTGACCCATGTCTTGGAAGCACGCTCAGCAGTGGAGTATCATGCATGGCAGCTCTGGACAGGTCTTTTCAAGCCTATATTGTTGAGTGGGATAGATCCAAGACACTGGCTGTGCATTCCCGCCCTGTTCCCCACAGATCTTATGCACCTCTATGCCTTGAATCTCACTGAACTAATAGTAGGCTTGCTCTATAGCATGCTTGATTGCAGTGTCTCCAACAATCGAGATTCATGGAATTTTTCTGTCTTGCGAGACCCACAGATATGGCAGGCACATGGTAAAGCAGTGGCTACTACAACACCATATCTTCCTGGTATCTTTGACTGGCCACCTTGCAATCCTGCGGAGAAAATCAACAGTGGGTACAAAGCGGTTGAATATATAACTTGGATCTATGGCCTTAGTCCCACACTTTTTTATGGAACTCTACAGTCAATCTTCTGTTGGCACTTCTGCAAGTCAGTTGTAGGTATCCATCTAATGCACTAGTGCCGTATTTCTCAGAAGGAACTCAGACGAGTGTATTGTCTGCTTATTGAATATGTAGAGGACTTTGAGGTCCTATACTATCAGTGCCATATAAGTTAGCTTTATTTCTGCCACCAGAGCATATATGCTCTGTCCTATCTTGCTTGCCAGGTTATATGTTGTGGACCTCCAGAATACACCACTCAATACACAATAGAGTGGAGGATCAGTGATCTCAGCAGTAAGCTAAAACAGCATTCAAATCCTTACGTGAACCTCTCACAATATGGCATGTGTCAAGCACAAGTAAATGCTCTGAAGACAATGCTGCCAGACCTCGAGCACAATGTCAAGGAATTCCCATGTGGGGCACACCCTGTTAGAGAGAACTTTGTACTCTTTTGGGCAAAGGATTTGTGTGCTTGCACTGTCCTCCTATGTGAGGCTCTTGTTATCAAAGCTTATTTTTGTGAAGCTGGGGGTATTTACTATGCAGAGGGAGAGTGGAGATGGCATGGATTCCCATAGTACAATGATGGGCTCAGCTATGCTTGCCCAACAGACAAGCCATACAATCACTATGGAAGGAGTTGTTGAAGGCACTCAATAAGGTGTGAATAGCACACAATATCAAGGTACAGTCGCCCCTCAACTCTGTCTTTTTAGTTGCTCAATTTGTTTGGGCTCAATTTGTTTGGATTCATTGCTAGACAACATTTGGGAGTGCCACTTGCTTCATAGAGATAAGGTACTTCTTCACAATGCACATTTAAGGCATAGAACATGCTTTTGTGCTGGCTAGCTTATACACACACCCCGACCCCATATTGTTCCATAAGTCATCTAGTACAGTCACCTCTTGCATCCATCAAGGTGACATAGCCCTCACTGTGATCCACGTCAAGTGCATAATAGCTGGCATCGCAATGGTGCTGCATACATTACTGCATACTGCCATGTAAGAGAGATTTTTTGTAGTTGAGAAGCTTGGTCTTGATGTTGCGTACATGGATGGCATAGTTAAGGAGACTGTTGAGGAGTAGTCTAGGCATGTATTCACTGACATGTGTTTACTGTGGTTATAACTACAAATCTGTATGTCTATATTTTGAGCTAGAGAAACCCATTGTAATGGTGTTAAAGATTGTGGCCTCATTGTATTGGTTTATGCCTGATTCAAACACCCTCTGCGGCTCCTTGCTAACCTCTTCACTTGTGCTAATTGATAATCCCAATGATGCAACACTATTTTTGGTTAACAAGTCTTGGATTTTGTCGCAAGTCAGAATGGCATCTTTGGGAGATGCTAAGAGTTAACAAGGTCTGCCCAAGGCCCAACTATCCATTCCTTTATGTCAAATAGTCCTCATATCACATGGGCATATTCCCATTCCAGTCTCTTGACATATGTGCAAATTGTTACAAGTTTTGCACACCCAAAGCACTGGTTAGGGAAGAAAGGTTTTGCATGGATCCCTACAGAAGAATCCCATTCCCCCTGGTCATCACAACATTAATAGGGGAATGCCAACACAAACAGCCACTCACAGTAGCCATGGTGGTCTCCAAAATCCTCCTGTTTCATACCAGAATCACTCAGGTGAGGCTCACTCAAATTATGCAAACCCTCATCACTGATATCAATCACCCCTTTCTTAGTGCTTTCCTCATCAACTTCTTTTGATTCCCACTGTTGAAAATACTATGTGTTGGTGGTTTGTGTGTCAAGGTAGCTTCCGGGAGCTAGGAATCTACATAAGCAAGTATCTATTCAGGTAAGAGGGTCATCTTGTTGGAACTTGCAGTGATTCTATACTTGCCTTTTGATGGCATCCTGGGCATCAGCAGGCCTCGGGCATGTCCGAGGAGGACTTGGGAGCTCCCCTATCTCTAGTGATGGTTCAAAATCACTTGAGGACATGGCAATGTAAGAATGAGCAAGATACAAAGATTGCCATCACAGCATGATCATGCTAGATAGTGCTATCATGAGACTTGTACAAACTCTATTTGGCATTTTGGCACTGATCTTTTTTTCTTCCATCACAACATCGAGCGACAACTCCCCTAGTCCAGTTGTTGGCAACATAGCCTTCCACATAGGAATGGCATTGCCCATGACCTCAGGCAGATTATCAATAGCCTTGGAGTTTTCATTTGCACCCATACCTAGTGGCACCAACACTGTTGGAGCCTTGTTTGGTGTGCCAGAGCGCCATACAGAATCTCCTTTTTCTCTTCCTCTAGACTATTCCTGCAATTTTAATGGCAGTAGAGGAGGCACTCCACTTGACTCATCGTCAGAGGGTATGCCAAGCTTTGGCCATGGCCATAGTGTATTTAACAAGGGGTTGACCATACTATGGGGTTCCTCAAACATGCATATGCCCATAGTAAGCAATGACTGTTTGATTTAAAGACCACAGTGAGCCTGCCATGACATGCTTTTGAAAGAAAGCACAGTCCTTTGGAAGAGTAGGGCCAGGCACTGGTCTCTACCATCATGGACCTAGTACCCCCACACCTTGATCTAATCCACAAAGCAATAACATTTATAATCCATCCATTGAAATGTCCTTTGCTTCAGGTGCAGACATAGTTGCACTACAAACTGAAGTCAATGTACTGTGGTGAGCAATCACTCGGTGCTAACAAGCTCTGCTCTTCTGATAGCTCATACAGCAATACATTGAAGGGCATTGTCTCTGCAATCCCTAATATTGTTGGATTGAGCAATGCAACATTGCCCAAGGACTTTACCATGCCAGACCCAGCTGCTCCAACAAATCTAGGGTGAACCATGTACAATATTGTGCCAAATAGCCCTCTTTGCCTTTGTGAACCATTGTTACCAGTCCAACACATGAACATGCTACTTGCATCTGGAAAAACACCCCCTTGTATTAGCTCCAGATTATATCTAATAGTGTCTAAAAGTATCTAAAAGTGTTAATAGTATCTAAAAGTGTCTAATTTCCTAATTGGGAGCAATATATTGTGAGCATTGGATTGGTTTCTAATTTCATGATATTAGCACTAATTCTATACTAAGAAGTCTTTGATTATTAGTAGGAAATAGTAAAGATATGGCACATTCTATACTATTTCAGCATATTACTCTCCTTCATATATGCCTATACCATTATCTTGTAGCTCTTTTGCTGACTTTCCAGCTGCTTTCATAAGGGATATAGAAAGAGAGAAATATGCATTGATGCCCCCAGCCACTTTGTTGGCAGCTTGGCAGCTGCCACAAGAGGCTATAAAGACCTAGGTACCTTGTCCTTGCACACAAGATCATTAAAGTTGTCATTGTTAGCCAATGCCTGCTACTGGTCATTATAGGACACAACATGTGAGTTGGGCTTAGGAATATGCTATATGCAGCCTTATAGACCTTGTCTATTAGTATAGTGGCTAATACTGTCTTGTGCAGCACACAATTATCATCACTATTGATATTACAATTTTTAGCACTATTTATATTGTTTATTTGTTTTCCTCTAGCTATTAGGCTGTGGAAAAGACAGTTATATTGGTATGTGGTGCCAGAATGGTATATATAGGCATGCCATACATATACTCTTGTTCCCACCCTCTACCTCACTAGTAGCTATTTGAAAAACCCTTCTCTCTTATTGGATCTTGATTATTCATAATCATGTTTTTGATCAAATTTGCAAATTCAGGTAGCATTGTCTATACTAGTAGAGTCCCATTGAATATTACACTCAATCATAGTTTTACACATTCTCAGTCCAAATTGTATAAGTGCCATAATTTATTTTTATCTTATATAAAGTGTATTATTGATTTTCCATTGGTTTATTATCTTCTTAGCTGGTGTTTAAACTAAATCCTGAAAGACCTGACTTTTTAGGTATTTATTGACCTATTTATTTATAAGATAGAGGAAAGATAAATGTTAAATAAAATCAGAGATGTTGAGGTTGCCTATATTATGTTTACTTATTTAGATTACCAAGTTCATATCTTAGACCTTGTGGCTTAGTGGCTTAGAGCATCTGTCCCGGGTGCTTGAATACATGAGGTTGTTGGTTCAACTTTGGCAGAAGGCAAGTTTGTTATAAGGTATATTCTGTGTTTAGGTATTGAACTAGTGCTCTAATAGACATGACTCTATAAGAAGGCTATGAGAACTATGATGCTTGATTTATTATTATTTTTCCGAAATTTCAAGTTATAATCAATCCTAATAATTCCTAATTTAGGAAAATTATGTCTAATTAGAACAGGTTTAGAGGGGGGGTAAGCTAAAAATGTCTAATCCTAATTGTTCTTAATTATGCATAAATAGAACTGATTAGAGCTTAATACAAAGGGGTGGTTTTCCAGATGGGATTGTGTTAAAAATCTTCTAGTCACTGGTATATGCATGAACATCCTTTGAAGTGATAATTTAGTACATAGACAATGAGTACTTAAGTTGTAAAATGACAAACCAATTCCTTACTTGTGCAAGGTCTGAGATAGCCTGGTCTTCAAACCACAGTCTTTATTCTTATTGCCTATGCTACAATACACATCTGGCTCTTGTGCTATGCATATAGTCAAGACCATTGTTCCACTCTTCATCCATAAGCGACCTAGGGAAGAACATCCTACTCCTAGGGTTACCAAACAAGCAGTTTGTAATACTGGTCAGACTCTGCTATAAAAATAATGAGGCATTAGAGCATGAATTTCTGGGATTCAATGTAGTCACCTATGTAGTTGTCTGGGAGTTTGACTTTTCCTCTTCTGGGTTATACTATCATAGAAGGGGTATTTGTAGAAGTCAATGCTTGTCCCAACCTGTCAGCAAGTGGCTGGTTTTGGGTGTTAATCAGTATTTAGTCTAGTAATGGGTCAGAGTCTGATTGAGAGGCTGATTCCTGTTGCTCTGATTCATCAGGGATTACCAGTGCTGGATCTCTATACTGGGGTAATGAATCCCAATGATGCTCTGTTTCATCTCAAGTGAACTCTTCTTCTGTTCCATCATTGAATGTGAAGTGATAATGCCTGTTTTAGTATGAGCAGTTATTGTAGTTGGGTGGTGCATTTGTGTTGGTGTCTTTGTCAAACCAATGGCTTCCTTCTTGCTGGATAGGGCAATTGTTGTAATGGAACTGATTATTTATTTGCCTAGTGCTGGGGGGGTATCTTTGGCCTAGGTCTTGCTCCAGAGTGTGTGCAGTAACGCTTTCTTAATGGGGGTCTATGTCTTTACTAAGCAAGGTTGTGAGAGAGGGTGTGGCAGAAAGCTAGAGTGTGAGCAAGGTAGGGGCAGAAGAGTCTATTCTAGTATTACAAACTGCTTGTTCAGTAACCCCAAGAGTAGGAGGTTCTTCCTTAGGTTGCTTATGGAGGAAGAGTAGAATGATGGTCTTGACTGTACATATAGCACAGGAGCCAGATGTGTATTACAGCATAGGCAATAGAACAAAGACTATGGTTTGAAGACCACAGTGGAACGAATAGTACTATAGGAAGGTAGTGCTGAAAGTTCTGTATGTAAGGATACAGAAGGAGCAAGAAAAATAGACTAAAGAACATTAGCCTAATCTATGGGCCTTTTATACCACTTTTGGAAAGGGCAGAGAATTCTGTATATGTTTCTGTAGGTATTCTCTAAGTTGTTTCTCTAAATAACTATTCTTGCTTCTCTGCTTGTCTTCTTCTGACTAGGAGGACAAGGAGCTTCATGTCCGTGTGTGAGTAGTTTGTAAGGCAGGAAAGAATGCCCGCTTCAATAGGCTTATGATACTCAACTAGCAATGGGTAATCTGCTGGGAGTGAATAACCAAAGATATTATCTGTACCTTAATGTACACCTTAGGATGTGAGGCTGCCTGGCAGTTGTGATGATCGTATTGGAATAGACTGCTATAAAGGCCTAATAAGTTGTGATTATAACACCACCTACCCTGTGTTTAGTGGTATTTTTTGTGTTGTGTTTTTGCATGCAGAGCCATCACAAGTACATCATCAGTATTCCTTGCATCAAACTGACACATCTTCTCATAGATAACCAATCAGCAATGGCCATTGCATAAAACATTGTGTACCATGCCCACACAAAGCACATTGGCATCCAGGATCATTTCCTACAAGAGAAAGTTGTGAGTGGTGATCTCAGACTGGAATATATGCCTATGGGAGACCAGGTGGCAGATGTTTTGACAAAAGGCCTAACTATGGAGAAGCATGAGCTTTTCTCTAAGGGGATGGGATTATGACATGTTAGTTGAGTGAGGGTGTTATAACGGGTACCTGCACGTGCCAAGGTCAGGTGATGCGAAGGAAAGGAGCACATGCCAAAGTGGCATAACTCAGATTAGACTGAGTTAAGTTTTTTTCTTCTCTCTCACTATTTTGTTCCCTCAGTTCTCTCTTCACAAGACTGAGGTTAGTTTAATATTTCTTACTTCACACATCACACAAGTTAATAGTCCCTGTAGAATACATTCTTATTGTGTCCTTATAACTTAGCTTACTTACTCACTTACCCCTCAGTTCTCTCTTTGCAAGACTGAGAATACATTCTTATTGTGTCCTTATAGCCTCGACTGAGTGCCCAAGACAGTCCCTATGTCCGACACCTAACAGTTCACCTGATGTAGATTGGATTGATATGGCAATTGCTGGTGTGAAGTGGTCATAGCCCAAAGCCTCATAATCAAACCAATAACAGATTTACCCACTGATCCCCTGCTCCTGGCCTCAAATTTTACATGATAGCTTTTCTGAGCATACAGGCTCTAAAAGCATTGGAACATGCTTTAATTGCATGCCAGAAAAATAGTATGATAGGGTGTTCAGTCAATCTCTGCAGGACATCTAACTTAGGTCAGCCCAAAGCCTCATTGATGCCTGCACATTTCTATACGAAGCACTGGGGGTGTAGTTACTCGTCTAGACATGCGGCATGCTGCGACTAGACATAAAGCAATGAAATGATAATAATAATGATAATGATAATAAAAAGTCGTGTTTCGCCAGTTTCTACACCTTTGCAAGGACGACATACATGACGACAGTATCTTGTGCTGAGACGGACATCGATATACTTTGTAGCCCGATAGTGGAATGAGACCCATAGGAGCGCACCTATCGTCAAAAACACAAGCACTTTGGCTTTCAAATTGATGTGCCAATCATACAATTCTTGACGAAGTCCGTCGTGATTTTCGAGAATAATCCCCCACCTGCTTATCATTGACTGCGCGGGATGTCCATCGCCCTCGTTTCTTCACTTGCTGTATGCAACACGAGTTCCAAGCATCAACACGGCGAGCGACGCGCCTAAGATACGCTTGATATTGGGTCATCCGATTGGATGGTTCGCCGGTGTCAAGGTCCACATCGCCCTCAGAGTGAGTCCAGGTTAGGTGGCCAGCAGGACCGAACCTCTCCCCTCGACAGCGCGCACAACGTGTAGGCAGCCACGCAAATCGGTTGCGAACACATGGTCCGTAACAGGCAAGACCGGAAGGGCAATGTCTCTTGGTAACGGTTGAATAGGGATGGAGAGTTGGGGGCGGAACAAGGACGCGGGGAGTGGAGACAATTCTTGCGGGTACTTCACGTCCAAACCATATGTCGTATGTATTCCTTATCGAAAAGGTGAATAAAGAGGTTTTGAAATCATGCCTTTGCCAAACGGACTTCAACAACGCTGTAAAATCCGGCCCACTAACGCTTCGTTGGTGCAACTTCGCACCAGCGTCACAGATGACGAAGTGAGGTTTTGCGCGAGAAACAAGGGTCGGTAACGTATGGAATGGAGGATAATGACGAGTCCTTGGCTGATCGGCGGCAGTTCTAATCTCCGGAAGATTTGACCTGCTAGGCGAGTTGTCCCAATCGATTCGACTGAACGATCGAAGTTCCATGTCCAGTGGTAGCATCCGGTATTCAAAAGTTTCGGCCCCATCGTACAACTAAGCAATCATTCAGATTAGAAAGACTTCAACTAGAAGACAGAGACAAACCGTATCAATTGGGGGTTGGTTTAAATGGTCTATTGAACCGCTCACGATTTTGTCGCAGCGCTGGCTGACTTTCTCCATCATCTCAGGTGTTGGAAGGAGCAACCAACATTCACTATCAAATGACTTCAACCAGTCACGCCGTACTATGGCCGCACACAATATCAGTGACAATCGATGACCAGTGCTAACGACATAGACGCGTACAGTAAATTCTGTTCGATTCTGACCTGGGGTCGAGCGAATTGTATTCCATCCCCCACCAGCATTCCAGACGCGTTAGCTGTGTCGAGTCAGTCAGATAGCCCTTTATCTCATATACCCTGTCAAACGCACCAGCTCACTATTATGCCACAGGCGCTGATTTAAAAAATAGCACGGCTCCACCGAAGCTTCCGTGGAGATTTCTTGCGTAAGCAGACATTGCTTGACTTCAGAAGATGACGTTAGCGGAACAGTAGGACGTGTGTCCAATTTTCGAGTGAGGTTTTTAAGGGCTTGCAGTAGCAAAAGATCAATAAAGGAGATATAAAATATCGAATAAATACGTACGTGTGGTACCTGAAGGACCTGCCCCACCAATGTTCTGAACCTGAGTTGTAGTCTTGACGCTATCTTTTCAAGCATAAGATGGGCAGACATTGTGAAGAATCAGATAAATATATCAACCTATCGTCTCATCTCGTTCACTACTCCTGGCAGGGGTCGGGCTATTCCGCGTTATTGGTTGATTGCTACTTGTTAATTTGCGGCGTTTCGCGCTGGATATCGCTGGTTCTGATGTAGACCTTTTGCGTTTCAGATCCGTATCTAAAAGAACTGAAGTTTCAGTACATCAGAGGAAACACGATGCAACGTAAACGTACGGATGTATACCGTCTCGTCTATATGCTCAGCTTTTTCGCAACTGGCTGTAAGCGCATGCAGTTGGCGGTAGAGAAAAAGATGACGCACTTGTTTCATATGGAAACCCCTTCGTTCCAATACCTGTGACTTGACCTGACCCGTTGAAAGTCTGAGGCTGCTCCCTGCTCGTTGTGCGACGACGTTTCATGCCCCAGATCGCCGACTCTGAAGTGGATCTTTTGCGTTTGAGATGACTAGCACCGTTACCACTACCTTAGCGATGAAACAGTGAGGAGATGATAGAAACATTTGCACGAATGTAGACGCACTTGTGACCTCTGTGCTCCCATTCGTAGGTTGCTGTTCCATCTCGGACATCATGTGGAAGCTCTGCACTGATATTTGAGGTTCGCTAACGAGAGTTGCGAAGAATAGGATGCAAGGAAGCGATGATTATTCCCGCTGCTGAGACAAGGTTGATTCTTGTTTCCCCAGCGTCCGCGACTCTGACCAACTCGTCGACCAGTCACGTGTCGTTGCATCACGTTTGCGCGTGGCAGACAAGGTCACGCGGTCTCGTCCACTGCAAGGCTTTTACGGCTCGAGATGTCAGAATATTTCACAGGCAGAATGTCGTTCGAAAGAGCCAACAAGAATAACAATCTAACCGTTTCCCCAGCTAATTCGCCACCCCAACCTGTGGAATAGCATCAAGGTCAGGAAGACGATCAAGTGCGACAAAACAGGAACTATTTCTTATTATACCCACCGCTGATTCTAGCTCTCTGTGAAATGATATTTCTAAGCTGACCCTGCTCAGCCTGTCCTCCTCTTTGCGGGATGGTATCAACGCCGGCGCATCTGAGGACAGATCTAAACTGGCAGACGGCTCCAGGTAGACCCTTTCCGTTGTCGAGCTTTCATCCGTATAAGACACCCTTGACATACCCTCATGCTTAAATGTCATAGAATGTGAATCTGCGACGAGGTGCTGGAGGTCAGACTCCTCCATGAAAAGTGACGGAAAGGGCGTTGGCGAGGTCAGTGTATGGGACCGGAGGTAGTCTGACTGGGGTGAGCGCACGGATGAGCGCGCAGGTGGGATAGGCGATGATGGTGCAAAAGACATCTCGGGGCGCCAATCGCCAACCTGGGTATTGTTCCCTGCGTCGGCCATTGATGCAGTTAGCGAAGTATGGCTCGTAGGTGTCAATCGCCTGTCTCCTCGAGTAAACACAAGTAAGGATGAGCGTTTTTCTGCTCGGATGCGACGACAACGTTTGATGTAGAGGTATATGACCAGAAATAGGAAAAAGAGAAATGAAAAGACAGGGACAATGATCTCAACTAGTTGGACATGTGGCGAACTAAAGTAAAATAACATTAGACGAAAGCAAAAACTGGTAGGAAATATAGGGAGTAGATACCCTGTACTGATCGCAGAGGTAGTGCCCCCAGTCGTGGTCGGCATATTGAATGAACTCTCCCCAACATGTGCGACTGTGCCTGAAGACCTGCTCGTCGTGAACACGGGAGACGTCTGAGAAGGCGATGTCTCATGCACAGCCGTGCTATCTTGCGATGTGCTGGTCGCCCGGTTTGATGTCTCATTTTCATTAGGTGAGGAAGAACTGCGCGTTGATGGTGTGGTGGTCATGTCCACACTGCTAATACTGGTAGTTTGACTCGTGGACGATGATGGATTGCTTGACGTTACAGCGGATGGAGGGTTTGATGTTGATGTAGGGGGGGTTCCACCGTTGTCCTGTGACGTCAAAGAACCACTGCTGGCAAGGATAGGACCAGTGGTCAGGGGTATTGAACCAGTTAGAGTAGAGCTGCTGGCAGGGATGAAATCAGTGACTATTATGTCAGTCAGAGCAGCGCAATGATTTAGGGTGGCAAATTGACGAGAGACTCACGGCACCGAGCTGACAGGCTCACTTGCATCGCTTGAATGGGGTAGGCCGGACAGTGCTGATGACGCAAAGATGGGAAAACATATACTCGAGAAAACTTCCGCAGGACTCAAAGAGTGACTTCCGAATATTTGAGCCATCAAGGTCAGTCCGGTTGCTGATATCGTGACTCGTGGGCGAGCGAGGTAGGACCATTGAGAAACGAGACACATGCGAACGAGACCAGATCGGCAGCGGGGTGGTGGGATCGTCTCCAATAGCCTTGTCCGCGCCCTCGAGGCCGCCTCCACCACGTGCGACAGGAACATGATTTTCACCGGTAATCCTTGGCAATATTCACAAAGCGTCATTTTCGGAAGGTATCTGTCGACTCAGTCGCTCAATATCTGGCAAAGATTGAAGTAGAGTGAGAATGCAACTTTGTCCGGATTCTCAAACATGCGCACGTACTAGTCCACGTTTCCTCCACATCAACTCCATCATGTAACGAGTGATATACAGTAGACATGTGTGGCATCCAGCTTTGTGACCTGAAATGTGCCGACTGCTGGTAGAAAGATACACGGAAGTGAGAATTAATAGCAGTGGAGAGATGAAGAAAGATCACTGATTTAAGAGGAGGAGAAAGAGCGTGACCCTTCGATAGACGATGATCAGTCTTCAGTATCGTCCGATCATCGAACGAGGCCGTAAGCTCAGCCACGCTGCGGAACTTTCCAACGCACAGGACAACAACAATATCTGTGGCGACCATCACATCAGCAAGTCTGGTGGATTCAACAAACTGCCAGGCGTCAACCAGACCGGGGAATATGTATTGCTATGGAAGCTGCGTGTTGTACAACCAGATCTGTCAATCAACCGAACACAGCTACAAAAGAAGTGATTTGTCGAGCATGAACACTCATCGACCATCCTCAGTTCAAGAACATGGATTACCCGATCGGTCCGGAACAGAACCGAGACAGCAATGCAAAGCAACAGGTTGCAAGTTCAGAGCCGAATTTCGATGCAGATCACAGAGGGAAACAGGTTTGAATGTAGATCCACGCGGAAGCTAGTGTGTGACAGACGCAAGCGCGGGCGGCAATCGTCTATACACGGCGAAAGAGGTAGACGCACCGACCAAAACAAGACTATCCCTGCATTGTTCTAAGCACCGCCGCTTGACAATCAGATCACCCTGAAGTCTGTACCCCTCTATCACATCTGAGAGGTTGAATTCCTATGAGAACAACATCCAGCACAAGTTCCAAGCATCAACACGGCGAGCGACACGCCCGAGGTACGCTCGATATTGAGCCATCCGATCAGATATGTCGGCGGTGTCAAGGTCCGCATCATTATCAAAGTGAGCTGAATTTGGGTCGCCGACAGAGGTCCTTCCCCCTGAGCAGCGTAGACAGCGAGTGCCATCCGCGCAGATTGGTCGTAGACGCACGGACCGGTACAGGCTCTAATGGGGTGCTGTCTTTCGGCGGCGGTTGAAAAAGGATCTTTGCTTTCAACTCTGACCCAGGTGTATACCGTTGAAACAATTCGCGGCGGTGTCGCAGATGACGAAGTGAGGTTTTGCACAATATATAAGGGGCGGTAACGTGTGGAATGGGGGATAATATCGAGTCGATCGCTGATCTACAGCAGTTCTGTTGTCTGGCGAGCTTGTCCCACTCGGTGAGTCAGGCCAATCGATTCGATTGGATAATTGAAGTTCCACATCCAATGGTGATGTCCGATATTCAAGAGTTTTGAACCTACTATATGCCTGAGCAATCATCAGACGAGAAAGATCACAACTAGAACAACAGAGACAACAGACCATGTCAATCATAGGTCGACTGTATCGAGGATTTGGTCGCTCATAAGGCTCCGCTGTTGAGCCCTGACCCCCTCCACCATCTCGGGTATGGGGAAGAAGTAACCATCGTTCACTATCAAATTACTTCAACCAATCACACCTTACTATGGCCACGCACGACGTCAGTAATAATCTGAACCCAAACCAAACGACGCATACAATGAATTTTGTTCGATTCTGATGTCGGGTCACATGAGTTGTATTCCATCCCCCAGGCCCTTTCCAAACGTGTTAGCTGTGCAAAGTCAGGCAGACCGATCTTCACTGAACGCGCAGTCATGGCGTACCAGATAACAGATATCGATCGGCGTCCGATACCGACAGCGCATTTGCATTGAAATTGTGGAAGTTTCGAGAGTGAACAATGGCTTCAGGAGGAGAGTAATTAGCGGACGAGATGGGAAGCGACCTTGACAGACACACAGGTGCTGTCTGGAAGATCTATCTTGCTGATGCTTTGAGCTTAATTCCGAGTCTTGACGTAGCCCTCGCTATCTTTTCGCGCCAAAAATAGTCGATTATAATCAGAAATCCAGCAAAAATATGAATATACTTATTGTATCGCCTCCATTATCGCCCCTAACTGGACTCGGATAGTTCCAGGTTATGAGCTGATTGCTACTCGCTAATCTGCGACATTTCATGTTGAAAGTCTCTGATTCTGATACAAATTTGCATCTAAGGGACCTAAGGATTCAGCACCTCAGAGGAGAATTGCTGCAACGTAAACATACGGATATATCCCCCCTCGCTGACACTCTTAACTATGCAGCAAATAGCTCATAAGCGCATGCAATCAAATGTGAAAGTAAAAATGACGTACTCAGGTTCAATGGAATCCTTTCTCCTTCGATACTTCTGACTTGGTACGTTAGGCTTCCGAGACTGCTCCCTGCTCATTGTGCCGCGACGTCCAAAATTGCCAGATCCGGGTTGACCGTTTGCGTTTGAGATGGCTAGGCCCGTTACCATTATCTTAGCGATGGAGAAGTGATTAGAAGATAAAAGAAAATGCACAGATGTAGACGCACTTGTGATTGCGAACTCTGCTGCTCCCACCAGCTAAACCTTTTCATAGGTTGCAATTCCATACCGGCCATAGTACGGTAGACTTGTGATGATATGGGGCGTCGCTAGTGGGGGTTGCGGAGAGGAGGAAGGGAAGGTCGTGTTTCTTTTCTTCTGTGTGCGCGACTATCCCATCCCAGTCGATCGCAGCGACTCATAACCCGGTCACGTGTCGACGCATCTCGCGCAGACAACTTGAAGGTCACACGATCATCCAGTCGCGGCGACGACCACTGCAAAACCGGAGTGGTGCTGCACAGCTTCATCAAAGTGACGGTGGTCAACATGACGTACCTCCATGGCAGCCACGATTTTGTCCACACTCGCCTCCAAAGTAGCGTGCGGTGGCCGTACCATTCCAGCCACACTCGCCTCCACCCATGCCTTGTTTCGGCTAATGTTGCTTTGCATTGGCTGCCACCATCCATGCTTACTGTGACTGCCACAGGGTGGCCTTCGCATTGGCAACCACAATTTTCTCTTATAAGGATTCGACACCTTTCCTCAATCCCCATCTCTCACCCTCATCGGATTTTCCCTCCATACCAGCTTCGTCTTCCACCACTTCTACCATGTCTTCTATCATTCCCTCAGTGACCAGTGTGGCGTCCCCCCCTGAGCCTCTGGATCCAAACGAGGGCTTGTGTCTGTTGACTAGAGTTCTGGCGACAAGAGCGCCGGTGAAACCAATTCACCTCTTCAAGATCCCCTGTCGCAATCTGGGAATACAGGTGAGTCAGCCTCGTTAACTTCCTCGCACAGTTCTCAGCGTTGTGATCCCAGACCACAGTGGAATACGCCCTTGGACTTCCTTACAATTCTCTCAACATAGACGACCCAAGGAATATCTTTCAGGGTGAGAAACATTTGGCCTTGTTTGCATCGGTTCTCTCACCATTCACCCGGCCCACAGTCAAGCTTGATTGGCTTCGACTTTTCAATGATAATCGATGGCTTTTATTGCCCTCTATGGAACTTGTCAAGCGCATATTCGATGGACACAAAATCAATCAAGATATCACCACGGTGGGTCGCTTGATATCATTTCTTTGCATTATAGAAGCGCTGAAGAAGCTTCGAACCAACTAGCTCTATGATGATGCCAGAACGTTCCGTTATCGAATTGTGCCACTTGGACAAAGGCGCATCATGACTATCATCAGAGAATCTCGAAGTATCGCCAACGATGAAAGTCCAGACGCCGGTCAGACTGCCGAATATTTTAAATATCCGTTCAGCAATATGCCCGAGCTAGAGTCACATATCTATCCTCACTGGGTTATCTTCAATATTGGAAGGAAGCTACATGGTCATGGGGATCGCGCGTTATACAGCCTGGCCATCCACGTCGCCGCAGCCTATAGAGTGTCCGTCCACGACGGGATGGACTTCATCAAAAACATACAGGCGATCTGTGAAAGGTGGACTAAGGCCGTTGTGCCGAACACTTTTATAGGCCTGGGGGTTGTTTAGATTAGACCTTTGAACATAGTTTAACAGCACTGTACATAAACGTTCCCCGATTGCATTGATTCACTACATTTGGACGTTATATCCCATTGTGCTGACAGATCGGCCCCAATTACCACCTCCGATCCCAATGCTGACAGAAAGACCCCGAAATCGTGCTGACGGAAAAGCCAAAATCTTGCCATTTTAGATCAGACATATTTACGCACACGCCAGGGTCCTATCTAAATGCAAATCAATGCCTATGGCAGTGTGCGACAGACGCAAGCGCGGGCGGCAATCATTTATACACGGCAAAGAGGCAGGCGCACGGACCAATCAAGGCTATGCCTGCATTGTCCCAAGCACCGCGGCTACACAATTAGATTACCCTGAAGTCTGCACTCCCCTGTTACATCTGACAGGTTGGGCTCTTATGGAATGGCAACAACACCCCGCACAGGGCGTGCCCCCTCGCTGTTCGAGATTGCGTGGTGGTTCTTGGGCATAGTCCCTCAACTGCTTAGTATTGACCAGGCTGGATGTCCACCTCCCTCGTTTCTTCACCTGCTGTATGCAACACGATTGCCATTCGTTGACACGATGAGCGATAAGCTTGAGGTACGCTCGATATTGGGCCATCCGATCGGATTGTTCGTCGATCTGAAGGTCCCCATCGCTATCAGAGTGAGCTGAATTTGGGTCGTCGACAGAGGTCCTACTCCACCCTGAGCAGCGTAGACAGCGAGTAGGCCTCCACGCAGATCGGCTGTGAACGCATGGACCGGTACAGGCTTTGGAGGGATACTGTCTTTCGGCAACGGTTGAATAAGGATAGAGGGGGGGGATCGGGACAAGGACACGGGAGGTGGATGCGTATCTTGCGGGTACGTCACATGCAAACCAATCCTTATATGTTCCCTGTATTGACATGCGCATGTCGGAGGGATCGAAATCGTGACCGTGCCAAACGGACCTCAACTTAGCTGCAAACTCTGGCCCAACAGTATACCGTTGACACAACTTCGCAGCGGCGTCGCAGATGACGAAGTGAGGTTTTGCACGAGATATGAGAGATGGCAACGTATGGAATGGTGGATAATGTCGAGTCGATCGCTGATCGACAGCAGTTCCCTTGCTTGGCGAGCTTGTCCCACTCATTGAGTCGTGCCGATCAATTCGATTGAATGATCGAAGTTCCGCGTCTTCCAGCGATAGCATCCGATATTCGAAAGTTTCGGCACCGTCGTATATCTGAGCAATCATCAAATCAGAAAAATCACAACCAGAACAACAGAGACGACAGACAGTATCAACCAAAGGTAGACTTGATTGAGTTGCTAAATTCCTCATGAAGTGAGCACTGACTTTCTCCGCCATCTCGGGTGTGGGAAGAAGTAACCATCGTTCACTATCGAATGACTTTAACCAATCACGCCGTACTGTGGCCACACACGACGTCAGCGATAATCTGTAACCAAGCCAAACGACGCGTACAGTATATTTTATTCGATTCTGATCTCGGGTCAAGTGAGTGGTATTCCATCCCCCAGGACCATTCCAAACGCGTTAGCTGTGCAAAGTCAGGCAGTCCGATCTTCACTCAATGTATAGTCAGAACGTACCAGATCACTGTTACTCCACAGACGCTGATTCAATAGATAGCATGGTTCTACTGAAGCCTCGGAAGAAAGTTCCTGCGTTAAGAGACATCGGTCGGCGTCCGATACCGACAGCGGATTCGCGTTACGATTGTCGAAGTTTTCGGGGCGGTCAATGGCTTGAGGAGGTGGGTAATCAGTGGGCGAGATGAAAAGCGATGTTAACACAGACATACAAGTGCTGTCCGGAAGATCTATCTTGCCGATGCTTTGAGCTTGATTTGAGGTCTTGACGTAGCCCTTGCTATCTTTTCGCGCAGGGGGCAGTCAAATGTGGTCAGAAGTCGAGCAAAAATATGGACATACTCATTGTATCGCCTCCATTATCGCCCCTGACAGTACTCGAAATGTTCCACGTTATGGGCTGATTGCCACTCGCTAATTTGCGACGCTTCAAATTGAAAGTCTCTGGTTCTGACATAGACCTTTTTCTCTTCAGATTTTTATCTGAGGATCCAAGGATTCAGCACATCAGAAGAGAACTGCTGCAACGTAAACATACGAATATATCCCCCCTCGCTGACACTCTCATCTTTGCAGCAACTGGCTCATAAGCGCATGTAAATCAAGGTAGGCATAGAGATGACACACTTATGTTCAATGAAATTATTTCTCCTTCAATACTTTTGACTAGACTTGGTACGTTAGGCTTCGGAGACTGCTCCCTGCTCATTGTGCGGCGGCGTTTCACGCCCAAAAGTGCCGAATCGGAGCTGGACCTCTTGCGTTTGGAGTTACTAGGCCCGCTACCACTATCTTAACGATGGAATAGTGAGGAGATGATAAAACCAAATGCACTAACGCACGCACTTGGAAACTCTGTACTCTCTGCTAATTTCAACCATTTCAGAGGATGCGGCTCCATCCCAGACATCGTGTGGTCGTTCTATAATGATACGTGGAGTTCGCTGCCGGGAGTTGCGAAGAGGAGGATGCGAGGAAGCGTCGATTATTATTCCCGCTGCTGAGACAAGCACTCTTGTCTCTCCAGTGTGCGCAACAGTGACCAACTCATTGACCAGTCACGTGTTAGACAAGGTCACGCGGTCTCATCCACTGCAGGGCTGGGGAACTCTGGAAAGTAGCTCGCTTGAGCGCTTGAGCTGTTTTACGGCTCCATCTCATGGACTCTCTCAGGCAGCCCCAGGCTCGTTAGCAGTGGTCCTTGCCACTTCCTTGCCGTACCGATTCTCCACACCTTCTACGGTGATCAACACGATGTCACTCTTGTTTTGTCCACACACGCCTCCAAAGTAACGTGCAAAGCCAGGCGCCACATTTGCCTCTACCGATGCCTTGTTTCGGCTAAATTTACTTTGCATTGGCTGCCACCGTCCATGCTCATTGTGACTGCCACAGGATGGCCTTCGCATTGGCGTCCGCAATTCTCTCTTATAAGGAGTCGACATCTTTCCTCAACCCTCATCTCTCGCCCTCACAGATTCTCCCTCTTCACTATCTCTGCCTTCCTAACCGCTTCTACCATGTCCTCTGTCATCTCCTCAATGGTCGGTGTGGCGTCGCTCCCTGAGCCTCTGGACTCAAATGAAGGCTTGTGTCTGTTGACTAGAGAGCTGGCGACCAGAGCACCAGTGGAACCAACTCACCTCTTCACCATACCCCGTCGCAATCCGCGGATACAGGTGAGTCCACCTCGTTAGCTTCCTCGCAACGTTCTTAAAGTTGTGATTCCAGACCACAGTGGAATATGCCCTTGGACTTCCTTACAATTTTCTCAACATAAATGACCCCAGGAATATCGTTCAATGTGAGAAACGTGTGACCTTGTTGGCATCGGTCCTCTCAACTCATCTACCCGTCCCACAGTGAGCGCTGATTGGCGCCGAATTTATATCGAGAATCGGGGGCTCTTACTGCCCTCTATGGAACTCGTCAAGCGCATACTCGATGAACACAAAACGAATCAGGACATTATCACGGTGGGTTGCTTTGTATTATTTCTTTGCACTATAGAAGCGCTGAAGCAGCTTCGAACCAACTAGCTCTACGATGATGCCAGAACGTTCCGTTATCGATTTGTGCCACTTGGCCCAAGGCGAATCATGAGCCTCCTCAGACAATCTCGAAGTTCCGTTAATGATGCAAGTCTAGACGCCGATAGGAATTCCGAATTGATCGATTATCCGTTCACAAATTTGCCCGAGCTAGAGTCACACGTCTATCCCCACTGGGCTATCCTCAATGCTGGGAGGAAGCTTTTTTGTCACTGGGATCGTACGTTCACCACCCTGACTAACCACGTCTCCAAAGCCTATGGGGTGCCCACCCCCGAGGCGGTAGAGTTCCTCAAGAACATAGAGGCGATCTATGAGAGGTGGACCAAGGCCGTTGTGCCGCACACTTTCATAGGCCAGGAGGTCGTTCCATCTCCTACGAGTGATAGATCCTCCGCCGTTGTGCCGAACACTTTCATCGGCCAAGAGATCGTTCCATCTCCCACATTTAATGGATCCTCCGCCGACAAGCCCAGTGCCAACAGTTGGTTTGTCCGCTCCACCAAGGGTGTTATCGGCTTCGTTCGTAGGAAGAAGGACCAGAGGCGTACCATTGGGATAGAGGGTAGTAAATCATGACCTACGATGGCTTCATTTTTTTCTATACATTCAACTCAAGTTCATCATACTCGGAGCCCTGACCCATCTGAGACGTGTAAGCTACACTTGATCGTCAGCAGTTAGACCACCAACACAGGTTATTCCAATATGTTGGCTCGTTGTGACAGATGCTGCTGGAGCGACAAGTTGGCACGACCATGGCTTCTGCTTGTGTTACGAGACGTTGTTTGTCGCCTCAAAACACAGATCGAGACACGTAGCTATGACGTCGAAACTGTGTCAGAATCAACATGGGGACAGTGCCATAGTGTTCATAGTGTTCGTTAATCAGCTGCTGTAGTGCGAACATGAGCATTCTTACGATGTCTGAGGTCCTTGTCGAAACTCTTAGCCGGAATTCAATATGTTGTCGTCACGGGTTGTCCTATGAAAGCCTTGTTGCGAATGATGAGTGAGACATGAGTGCAAAAAAGAAAGATCGGTCCGGTACTGACTGATGCTGATACCCATGAGTAGGGTTCTAGCTGTGTTCAACACGCTGGCTGAATGAGCACATCGGTTCCCGTCCCGCTGTACCGTTCGCATCGGCTCTTGCGGAGATATGCACATACTCATCGGTAGTTCCAGGAGTGAGCAGCTCCGAGCTGCCGAGCGAAGAGGAGTCGTGATCCATACTCTACAGAACAATCTGGTTCGGTGGAGACAATTCTGGCGGGCGGAGTCCTTCCAGTGTGTCAGATAATGAGGTCGATGACGACGCAGGAGAAGAAGGGCGGGATCGCTGACTGACGGCCGGTGGGCCGCTGAAGTCGCCGTAGGCTGAACATTGAAGATCCACTTACGCCCGCCAGAGTCGCAGGTAGAACATACGGCAGTAAGGACCGTACTAGGCCGTTCCTTGAAAGACTAGATTACCTGAACTATAGGTCTGAAATGCCCGCTCGAAAGATACCTGGGAATATGCACTCCACTACAGCATGCGTCGTAGCCGCATGACGCTTGCGCAGGGTGCCGTCGACCCGCGCGGGCCCCCCATCCCCGGTGAACGCTATTCCTGCGTACGATGTCCGCTTAGAGCAGGGAGACGCTATCGATATGATCTGAGGACCAAATTTAATGCTAGACGTGGTCTACGACGCAGAGTTGCCCATAAAGCGGCCGTGCAGCAGACAGCGATAGAGATGATGAACACTTCGAAGAAGCCTCAGAATGGAATGGTCGTGCTATTCGATGTTTTTCAAGGTTTCTAAGCGCGATTGTCGAGTGACTGGTCAGTGAGGCCTAGTTGCAGTGAGGAAGACTGATGGCAGTTGCAGTGAGAAGAAGAGAGAAAAGACGGTCCGATCGGTCCGACTCGAGGCTCTGGCCGCCGACGACTGCCGACGAACATGAAAAGTCGCTGTCGTTTGCGAAGACAGAGAAAATGCAGAAAAATATAATAGTGAACGACGTCGATATAAGTCGACGAAGACACCTTTCTGGTGATTTTTGAACAACGAGGAGCGCTATCGAATGAGTTGCAAAGCTCAAGGTACGATTTTAAAATTCCCGGAGTGCTATAGATCGGCTCTAGATATCGAGGCTTTCTGCATCTCGAGCCTCTCAACGGGCCTGACTAGCCTTGGATTGCATTCAGACGACCCAACACGGTAACAATGTTCGGACGAGTTCATGATCATATAAAAGCAAGCGCTGCATCTAAAACTTGAGCTACCATAGAGCTACCCACTAGCACCATAACATCCCATAACTCAGCATAACCCTCCATAACCTGATCACCAACCTCGGCTTCATCCTTTCTTCCCATCAGCATCTCACACGAGGCGCCCTGCAAACATGTCTACTGATTCGTCTCTCAAAGTGCGCCGATCCCACCTTTCGGCGTTTATCCTGGCTATTCATATCTTCTCTCCTTGATTTTTTTCCAGCGTGTCCTCGTCACTGGCGGAGCTGGCTACATCGGTACGTGCTGGACCGTGTCTAAGGGCCCAACTCGCTAACTTTGTGTCCTGTACAGGCTCTCATGTCGTATACGCCCTCCAAGCCACGCGAAGGTACAAAGTAATCTGCATCGACAATTATCACAACTCCTATCCCAAAGCCCTGACCCGCTTGACTCAAATCGCCCATGACGCTCTTCCAGAGAACGCTACCGAGCAGGACAAGGATTCTACCGAGATCGACTCTTACAACGTCAATCTTACTCACCCGGAGGAGGTCAGGGCCGTGTTTGAGAAATATGGCAAGGGTGGCATCTGGGGAGTCATTCACATTGCGGTGCGTACACGGGCTTCCTTCACGCCCCTTCACATCCTAAACTGCGATCCGCTTTCCAATCGACTTTGTGCTCCCTCACCCCTTTCACCATCCACGACGACACGACGATCGCTTGAACATGATGCTGAACAGGCCTACAAAGCTGTCGGCGAGTCGACAGAGATACCTGTGACATACTATCACAACAACGTCTCTGCGACGATTTTCCTTCTCCAGGCCATGTCCGAATTCGACTGCACGCGTTTCGTATACTCGTCATCTGCGACTGTTTATGGCACCCCGCCGAAGGTCCCAATCCCCGAAACGACCCGTCTGAAGGCGGACAGCCCGTACGGGAAGAGCAAAGTTATGTCTGAAACAATCATTGATGACTTAGCACACGGTACGTTCGCCATTGTGGCCTCGCATACCCTTCCTATTTTGACTGGATCGACTGATCGCTGGCGTCGTAGCTGAACCCGAGAGATGGCGTGCTATCTCTTTGCGTTACTTCAAGTATGTGACTCCACTCTCCCGATAATAGTCGATCATGTTCTCATGCCTATTTTTATTATATCTTCGTCTCATAGCCCTGCAGGGGCCCACCCATCTGGCCTCATTGGAGAAGATCCCCGAGGACGGCCTGGGAATTTGCTGCCGCTCCTTGCCCATATGGCAATTGGTCGTGTAAAGGACGACAAACTGCGTGTCTTCGGAAACGATTATCCAACCCCGTATGCCAATTCCCTTCTCCGTCTACTTCCCTCCGCTCATTCCGCGCTGCCTGGCACGTGATATTGTTCCTCATCTCCCAGAGATGGCACTTGTGTGCGCGATTACTTACACGTTCTCGACCTCGCGTCCGGGCATCTCCTCGCACTTGACGCGCTTGCTCCCGAGTCTACCATATTCGACAACTGCCCCGACGAGGCCAGGTACAAAGCCTATAACCTCGGAAAGGGCAAAGGTATGAGCGTGTTGCAGATTGTCGATGCGATGCGGAAGGCGACAGGCTTCGATTATAAGTATGAGATTGTCGGTCGGCGGTACGTACACTCTTCTTTTCCTTCTAGCATTCACTGATTCGCGTGGCATTGAACATAAACAATGTAGACGGGGCGACGTCCCTGACCTTACTGCTGATCCGTCCCTCGCAGAGAAGGAGCTCAAGTTCAAGGCGCCGCAAGATCTCGAGACGATGTGCAAAGACCTCTGGAACTGGCAGACGAAGAATCCACTGGGCTACGAATCGGAACAGTAGGCGTATTGCTGCACGGCGTCGATCACACTCGCGTTTTCGTGCATCGGAACGGACGCCGGTAGGCCAATTATGAATAGAAAGGAAGTTGATTTAGAAAGTTTGTTGTATATCGTCGTATCGCCCGGAGGCTATGTACCGCGACTCAATAGTCAAGAATCACAGTTAATGCAGGGTTCGTTTTCTTTCTGGTATCGGAGCGTGTTGGCGGGACTTAGTGACATTTTCGGAGACGGAAATACCATTTTGACGATGACCCGTCGTAAGTAAGTGTCCTGGACAGCTGACTACTTCTTTTTATCGTCACGATGGAGCATATTGAACTGCATGGCGTTAAACAGGCATCATCTGCCCGCGCCATGCCTTTGACCACGAGCGAAACCTGCAACATTGCTCACGAGAACATGCTTCTCGTCCTGTTCCGTGTAGACAGTCCGTCTGTTTATAGATGCTGTGATACGGCCGTCGTCGATATTATTCGAACTCGCTTATGGTAAGTGAGCGATTCGGCATCCTCGATGAGAGCAGTCACTGATACATGTCCTCAATGAGCGTGTACAGTGGTTCGAGAAGCTGTTTGACTTTGATCTGTGTGGTCAGCTCGCGTTGCAAGGACACACGGAAGGCAAGCGAACAAGGCGCCAACCCGACGTTTCCAGCGTTCTATTTTGTAGCTTGTACTCATTGAGCCTCAACACTCTCAGCTGACTGTGCTGCTGGCATCACCGGGGTTCTTGTGCTCGCTCCTCCAATCAGAAGAGCAGAGGTTTACGAGCACCTCGGCGGGCAAATTTGTTCTGCCTTAAAGCTTGGGTGTCGTGAGTATCAACGGAGTGACTTGTGAGCTCTCTTTCACCTCTTCGCTTCCCTGCCTCGCAGTTATAACGATGGTGTTTGGCATACTCGGTGAGTCCCTGTTGCTAAATCCGCGGAAGCAGAGCTCGTCGTGAAACACAGCGTATAGAGGACAAATATTTGGAACATGTCCCGGGGACAGCACTTTTATCTGAGCTCAGCATCGTGCACGGACATGAGGTTACTCTCGACAAGGCGTCTGACCTAAAGCGGGGAACGGGGAGGCACGCACATATCGTCCTGAACCCACAACCATCTGACGATCCAAGGGACCCGTACGTCATCTTGATATGTTCACTGACTCGAAGTGACACTCATTGTTCTGGGGTCGTGGTAGTCTGAACTGGTCTCGGTGGAAAAAAGAGGCTTGCTTTTGGACTTTGTGCGTCTACTTCTTGTTGAATCTACATTTGGATTGCGATGCCTCTTTGCTAACCATTCATCTTCGCCTGCGATAGGGCGTTCGCGGCGAGCCTCGATGGCGCGCTGTCTCCGATGACAGGGCCAGGATACGTCTTGCTCTCGAAACAGTTTAACACGTCTGTCGACAACGTTGCGTCCAGTTTTGGGGCCATTCTGTTGGGCCTGAGTACCTTCATGTGAGCACGCGTGTTTCCTTAGGTTTTGCTTTGTCGTAGATGCTTGGCTCATCATGAGAGCGTAGGCTTGTTCAAGGCTCTTTTGCCGTCAAGTTCGGACACCGTATCGTGTACCTGTGTTCAGTCTCCCTGGTAAATACCGCTGCATTCGAAGTCTGTAGCTCAAATATTCAATGTCGACACAGATGTTCATAGCCTGCGTCTGGTGCGCTGCGAGCCCAAATCTAACGTCTATTCGAGCCTCTCGTGTATTCCAAGGGTTCGGTATGTCTGCCCTGCAAAGTCTAGTGGCTTCGACTATCGAACAGATATTTTTGTGAGCTATATTTATCAGCCGAGAGCGAGTCTCTCTGACGTCTCATTGGATGATAGTATACACGAAAGAGGGGCACGCTCGGTCATCTGGAGCTTTTCAATCATGGCTGGGATCACACTGTTCGTCGGACATGAGTCTTTCGAAGCTCAAGCTGATGGATCTTTTACAGCGGACCGCTGATATATGGATACGTCGTCCAGAATCTTTCGTGGCAGATGGGGTTTTGGCTTGTAAGCATCCCGTTAGGGATCTGTACTCTGCTTGTCTTCTTCTTTGTCCCCGAGGTATGCCTTCTCTGTTTATTTTACAACCCCTTGTATATAATCTTATTCATAGACAACATTCAAGCGTCATCATCTCCCAACAGTTACTACTGGATCACATGCTAAAAAAACTCTCGAGAGGCATAGTTTGGAGAAAGAATTGAACTCATTGGACGAGGTCGTTTCTGTCCATATCTCCCCTTCCGCTCCTAGCTACCTATCTCAGCTGAAAATTTGGAACGGGATGTTCAGCGATGACCCTCTGTGGAAGGTCGTGGGTAGACCCCTCCCATTCACGTGCTCGCCAGTGGTAAGTCCCAGCTTCTAAGGTGCTCTTTCCAATTTACGTATTGACGCGTTGTAGACGGTGTTCCTCTTCCTGTCCCACGGAATGCAAACCGCTTGGCTGAGTGAGTAGGGTCATCATATACGTGGGTTATTGTCTCAACTGCTCTAGGCTTGCTTCCCATATGCTCGTCGACAATCTTCACTATCGAGTACAACTTCAATGCTTCTCAAACTGTTCGTCACCATATCACCATTATCCATTCATCACTGTGATGTAGCTCATCTGCACACGCAGGGACTGACCAACTTGGGTGGTATTGTCGGCATCGTCATTGCGATGGTCATCACGGGCCCATTGACCGATTGGGGAGCGGTATGGATGTCAAAGAGAAATGGCGGGATTTATGAGCCCGAGTACAGACTCGTATTCATGTCAACAATGCTTCTCGGTGTGTTTGGATATGCAGGCTGGGCAGGTAAATACTTAGCACTTCACTTGCATCGTTATTTCGCTGATCGCGCTCGTCAGTGGGTACAACCAACAATATGCCATGGATAGGTGCTGTAGCCTGCCTCGCGTCAGTTTCAATTACGTCTCCTAATGCACCTCATTGACACATGCTGATTTTCTGTAGGATGGCAAACTTCAGCATGGTAGTTTCTGGATCTGCGGCTGTCACCTATCTCCTGGACACCCACGGGTCCAACGCACTCCACTGCTTCGCGATCAGCAACTTCCTCAAGAACCTGGTCCTCTACGGCTTCAGCTTCTTCGCCAACGGCATGATCGAGCACAGAGGCGTCAAGGCCTCGCTCCTCATCCTCGCCGGATGCCAGGCATTTTGCTGTCTGGCCTCCGTGCCGATGTATATTTTTGGCAAGAGAACGAGGTCATGGGTCAGTCTTTCGCACCGTCTCGGATGAAATTCGGTGTAAGACCATGCTGATGACACTACTGCACCCTGCTCATAGATCGCAAGACATCCTGACTTCTTTGAGGCCGATAGTGCTCACAAGGGTTAAGACATATGTATATAATGGGCTATCAAGGCCTATCGTATCGGCAAATTAGTGAACTGAATGCGGGATGTTGGGGACATAACAGAGAATCACCTTGTAATGAATTCCCTTGTGATGCAGATTTTCTTCAGACAAACAGAGCGGAGCTGTCTGCGAGCTGCAAACCCGCCCGAAAGGCTCTGAATTTCTGATGGAATGGGTCGCACCACTAAGGAAACTCTCGCGAAGCCAGATGATATAGTTGGAACATGGTACGAGGTAATTGAGACAAAATATGGGGGATGCTCGCGCCTAGGGCCCGCATCTCGAACCGGCCTTTCGTTGCTAGTGAAGCGGATTGGTTAAAACTCCGAGGGTACACTGCGCAGCCTAGACATTACGAACCACCAGCAAGGCGCCAAAATTAACATCCATTGAACACGTCCACTGGCTGATGATACAAAACCTGTGGGTCAAACGCAAGCGGTAGTATTAACGTACTCTGTTGATCATACCTAATCGAAATTGTGCAAAAGTGCATACACGAATCCAGCCAATCGTCCAGCAGAACAGAGAGTTCACTCAAGGGGCAGCACCCACGAACATCGACGGGCCAGCAGCCACAACAGCCGCCGCCTTCTTACCTTTCCCGATACTAGCAAAGAACGGCGCGTGTGCGAGGCGCTGCGCCTCGCCACCCATCGACAGCGACACGAACCCCGGCCGGCGACGAGCGCTTTGCACCGGCCCCACGGTGGCCAGCGCGACGGTCGCAGCCACAGGCTTCGGCGGGAGGCTCGCAGTCGAGGCGTGACGCAGGGCGGGCTGGAAGCGCAGCGCCGTCGGCCTCACGTTGGCGTGCACGTTGAAGCTTGAATAGGTGGTGGCGTGCGTGGCGGTGGTGGTGGCGGATGCCGCGCGGATGTGCGAATTGACCAAGTCCAGAGTCAATTTCGGTTTCGGGGCGATGTACGAGGGGTGCGCGATGTCAGGGATGTCAGCGAGCAAGGCGTCGATCTTGGAGGTGAAGGCCGGCGCACGCGGATTGAGGACCTTCGTAGGGGTGCTTGATGCGAGAGGACTCGATGTCACGATGGCCGGGTGCGAAAAGAGGCTGAAAGGTGTGGAGGGACCAGCGGTGCTCGGAGGGGAGGGAGAGTATGTGGCTGAAGACGGCTTGCTATGAGGCGTGATGGGATCGTTCCGTTCGGGGACAGGCTCAGACGAAGATTCGGGTTCAGAAGCAGCAGTAGAGACAAGTTCCTCGAGATCGAGGGGAGCTGAGACCTCAGGGACAGGAGTCGTTTTCATCTCGAGCTGTTGTTCTACCTCCAAGGCCTGACCAGACAAGCAGGCAAGGACACTACGCAAGAACGTGTTGGCGGCTTCAGCGTCCAAAGCAGTCATAGAGCAGTCTCCAGGTAAGGGTGTCATCATAGCTCTCAAAAGCCTCTTGTCAAAAGCACCAGTCTCGTTGTCCAAGCACAGTCTGACCGTCTTAAAAAGTTCCGCAACATCAATCGCATCGCCAGCAACCGCATACATGTTGACAAGCTCCGCGGCGTCAAGTAGTGCAGACGCGGACGCATCGCGGGCCGGAAGTGCGGGCACGGCGGTACGAGAGATATGCCCGCGAATGTTCAGCCGAAAAGCAGCCAGTGAAGGGAAGTGCGTCCACATCCCGAGGGCGACGTCATCTGCAGAGGGTCCCTCGATCTGCTTGCACCGGACCGCACGCATCTTGGACCAGAGCTATAAGATAACCGATCAGCAGTTCACCTACGTAGCGGCTTGTGGAACAGCATACCATTGAGTAAATGTACACAGCGGCGCCCGCAGTAAGGCCTACTGTCGCAGCTGAGAGTACCGCGCGCCCAGTAAGTGCCAGATAGGCCACGTAAGTGCTAGAGAGCTCCACATTGCTGTCCTCGCCGCTAGGCAGGGTTGCAAAAGGAGCTGATGCGTCGAGACATACGAATGGCAAGACCGAGCTCGCGGCGGGTGGCTTGAACAGCGCAACGACAGGTCCGGTACCGGGTGCAGAGAGCGCGCTGCAGAGCTTCACAGGGTCCAAGAATTTCGCCATATCGAATGTGCCTTCAGGTTTTGCAGACATAGACACAGAGGAAGTCAAAGATAAGCCCAAGAAAGATAAACTAGACCGAGAGGCATGGGCGGCAAGCTTGTGGTCGAGGAAATTGAAGACGCCAGTACAAACATGGACGACAAAGAGTGTGAGGTAGAAAATTGTTGCGTAGACGAGCGTAAAGAGGCTCGTGAGAGTCGAGGTCATTAAATTCGTCATTGTGTAAAAGAGCGCGAAGGAATGGGCTGTAAGAAAGAGCGGCGTGGTAGTTGTTCGTGATAGTCGGAGTCAGAGGACTGGAGAGTTCACCGTGACATGAACATCCTACCACATGTGACACTACGTGACTGTGATGTTGCTCTTCGTGACAAGGTGACACCATCTAATCAGCTATGACGTGAGGTAACCTCGAACTTGACCTCGACGCCAACAACCACAACCCACACACAGCGGTCATCAATCAACATGGTGAGCGCTCTAAAAACTACCGTAGTGTCCCGTAGACTCACCGACGTTCCCCCAGTCTCCTTGGGAAGTCCGTGTCTCGACCTCGCGCGGCATGCCGTATTTCTACAACACCCAGACGCAGCAGTCGCTCTGGGATCGCCCACCGGAGCTCACAGAGGAGCAAATAATGAACCTGCCTGGTGCGAGCGAGCATCTCGGTGGGAGCGATTGCCCCGCCCAGGTGCGCGCGAGCCATCTGCTTGTGAAGCACAGCGGGAGCAGGCGTCCATCCAGTTGGAAAGAGGTGCGTCTCTCTTCTTACCCCCTCTATCTTATGCTGCCCTGCCCTGTCCTTCCCTGTCCTATCCATTTCCGTCATCCTCTCTCCGCTCGCTCTCCTTGCCACATTGCTAAACCGCGTCCCATGTGCCCATCACACAGCCGAACATCACGCGCTCGAAAGAAGAGGCTATCACCATCCTGCGAGGGTACGAGTCGCAGATCAACGGCTCTCCGAGCTCGTTCTCCGAGCTCGCGTCCGTACACTCTGACTGCTCTTCGCACTCATCCGGAGGCGACCTCGGCTGGTTCCGCCCCGGACAGATGCAGAAGCCGTTCGAGGACGCGACGTACGCGCTCAAGGTCGGCGAGATTAGCGATGTCATCAGCACGGAGAGCGGCGTGCACTTGATTCTGCGCACTGGTTGATGTTTGAACTTGTGGTGTGGACGATTCAAGTGGTAGTTATGAGGAATTGTCGAAAGAATACAAGCAAATGTCTGTACCATTGATTGGTCGTCGAATTGTTGCCCTCTACTCTGCTATTGCTTTCGCCATTGCTTGTCGCATTGATTTCGAATGAAGTTGTTCTGGCCTTGAAAACTGCACGAATTTGAGATCGACGCGTCTCCAATTGCCACCCTTCGATGACGTTCACGATCGCGGTTGTGGTCTCCTTCATCCTTCTCTCTACTCCTACCCTCGCCAATACCGAGATTATAAACTTCTTGGTTGTTCCCTCTCCCTCTGCTCCGACTTTTCTGTCTCATTCCTCGCTTAACTTTTTGGCACAGCACACTGCTGATTGGTAACTTAGTCGTCATCTGCATAGACGAACCTCGCGAATCCTGATCATTACTTTTTGCGCAGGCCAGTGCTGAGCCCGGCAACATACGAGCGCCAATGGCATGTTGACCCCGCGCCGGTACACACCTTGCTTGAGAGCGTCTGCGATCCGCCTGTTCACGCAGCCGCTGTCAATGATGGCACACCAACCCCACCACCTTGCCCCTATGAGGCATGGGCCGTCCTCGATCTCGACGAGCCCGCATGGAGCTCATACGCAAAGTTCACCCTGAGGGTGTCGTGGCCTGCATCCGTGCGTAACGTGCGATCTATGTACATGATCCACGCATCATTCCTCATACCCTCCGTGTCCTCTGCATCGCGTCGCGATACCCAGTCCCCCGCGGACTTCTCCATCCAGGTCTACACCCCCACAGAGCTCGCGTCCCACCTCGGCCTCCCGGCCTCCCCGCCCTCCCCTCTGGCGCCCGTCTCTCCGCCCCCGACGACGCGCCTCCGCTTCGCCCGCATCCGCCTCGTGTCCACCGGGGTCCGCGCGCGCACCCACGCACCGCTCATGCCCCCTCCCCCGCCGCCCGCAGTCGCCTTCATCACAATCCTCGAGCCGCTCTATTTCACCGTCCTCCCCGCCTCCGTCGCGCCCACCGTCGCGTTCCTGGTGCTCGTGGGCGCCGCAGCGGCTGCGTTCGTCGTGCCGCGCGTAATGAGCGCGCTAGAAGGCGTTGCAGGCACGGCACGGGCGGAGGTGGACCAGATGCGGGATGATGAGGTGCGGTCCGTGCGGAAGGAAGAATGAGCGGGCGTCACGTCAATATGGAACGGTAGGCTGCATCAGGTCTGCAGTTCCTCTGATCTAACATGTACGTTTCTCGATGACCGGCTACGACTTGCAACACATGGTTCCACCATGGATCCGCATATACGAGTCCCATCAGTGTATGTCAGTATCACAGCAGCCCCCTGTGGCATATATCTTGGCAGTCCTTGACGCATGATACACGTCCTGCTTTTGTTCCTGCGCGCATCCCCACCACGCGAGAAGACTCCGGGGCATGTGGTACCCCATTAGTGCTGGTCTGTGTCCCTGTATCTTCTCCTCTGATATACAAGCTATCAGATGCTCAGTCTGCAAAGAATCAGATTCATCGCCTGAATACCACGAATGTATTGTTGCACAAGAAATATGAGCTGCAAGCCGACCTCGGATGCCAGGCCCCGTGCGCGGTCTATATTCGACTCTGATGCAAAAAAGAAACCGCAATGGCACGAGGCCAACGCGGCTCCTGTACTACTAGTCGTAATCCAGCACAAACAAAATAAAATAACGAAAGAAAAATCGAAACGAGTATCGAACCGAAAGTGTGAAAAAGAAATCGAACCGGGAATGAACGGACGCGAATCCATTAAGCGTGCTGTTGAGAAGTGGGGGGATGCTACAGTAGTATAGGATAAGTATAATCGTGCGCCGACGACGCGACGCGGGGAAGAAACTGCTACAACCGCCAAGGCTCGAAGTCGCCAACCAGCCCGGTGCGCACGACCGCCAATCCGTCCGAGTGTCCGAGAGCCGCTGGCCCGCCTGGCCGCCTCTCGCCCCGCCACACCGAGCACCAGCAAGATGGGCGTGGGTATCGCGCAACGCGACGGGCGCCCGCTCACCGCAGCGCGGCCGCGACGCTTGCCGCGTTCGCAAACGCGCTCGGCGGCGAGCGCGACACGCGCTTCTTCTTCATCTCCTCCTTCTCCCGCTCGCGCCGCTCCTGCTTCTCCCGCTCATGACGCTCTTCCTTCTCCCGCTCGCGCTCCCTCCGCTCCTCCTTCTCCCGCTCGCGCTCCTTATCCCTACGCACGAGCCCAAACATCGGCGCCGTAAAGCTCAGCTTCCGCGCCGCACGCTTGAACCCCGCCTTGCCAGCACCGAGCGTCACACCCGCATTCAGCGGCGTCGGGCTTGGACTCGCCCTGGGACTCGAACGCCCCAGCACGCCACCGACGCCTGCACTCACGCCTGCGCCGCTACTCTCCGCCCCGCGCTCCACACCACCCTCAGGCATCTCCGCCCGCCGATGCGTCGCGAACCCAAGCCCAACATGCGCATGCGCCGACCGCGGCCGCCGCCACCTCCCCTCCCCTCCCTCCGCTCCGCCCCTCCCATTCCCATGCACATACCGCCCACGCACACCCTCCCCGTCCGTCGCCGGCCCGTCGCTCAGCTCGCTCGCCTCCGGCGACGCCGCCGTGGCGCGCGCCAGCAGCTGCCCGCGGGACGGCGCCGCGCCCGCGCCCGGCGAGCTGGGGGTGACGTCCACCGCGGGCACCGGCGGCGCCGCTGCGAGGAACCGCCCTGAGCCCGGGGAGCTCGCGCTGAGCGTCCCCGGGCCCGCCGTGTTCGGCCGCTCTGGTGACACGAGCGGGCGCGCGCCAGACGCGCGCCTGCGCGGCGGGGGCTGCACTAGGGGCTGCGCGCGCACTGGCGCGGGCTGGAACAGGCGCGGTGGCGAGGCGGGCGCCGGTATTGGTGGAGCGACGGGCGTGGTTGGGTCGTGCTCTGGCGCTGTGTCCGATTCTAGTTCTGGTAGGGTTTCTTGCGGGTCTGTCTCTAGGCCCGGCGGGCTCTGGTTCTGGTGTGCGCGCGGGCGCAGCGGGCTCTGGAGTGGAGGGAGAGGGGCGGCGGGGAGAGGTGGGGGCGGTGCGGGGTGTGTGTGTGGCAGGGTGCCGAGGCTGGACGAGGACTGTGCCGAGGAAGGCGCGGAGTACAAGGGCGAGTGCGAGTCGACGCTGTGGGTCGTATATGACCCTGCGGACGGCGTCGTGGAGAGGGAGTGCGTGGTTGTGGAGACCGGGAGCGCAGGGACGGGGACGGGCGGGGACGCGGGCGGTTCGGCGGGGGATGACGCCACCGCGGGGTCGCGCGACGTCGACGGACGCGGGCTGCCCGCGTGCGTATCGCCGTCGCTTTGTTGCGCGCGCGATCCTGCGCGGGAGCGCTTCCCCAGCCACGCCCCCGCCGACGTCGCCTCGGACGCGGTCGTCGACTGCGACACCGTCGGCGAGAACGCCGCCCCCGGCGCCGCGAACGCGAACGCGGGCGACGCGGTCCCGCCTCTCTCTTTCCCCTTCTCCCTCTGCCTCTCCTTATCTTTATCTTTATCCTTGTCTTTATCCTTGTCCTTGTCCTTCGCCTTCTCGGGCTTGAAGCTGCGCCGGCGGAACCACCCGCTCGCCTTGCGCTCCGGCTCTTTCGCCTTCGCCTTCTCCTTCGCCCTCCCGCCCTCGTCGTCCAGCACATGCTCCTCCCCATTTACCTTCACATCCGGTACCGGCACCGGCACCGGCGGCACCCCCTCCTTCTCCCCCTCCTTATCCTTCTCGCGAAACACAGTCGGCGCCGTCGACGGCCGCCGCCCATACCCGCCCTCGAGCAGCGACCGGCGCACGCTCCCGTTCGCCTTGCCCTTCCCCGCCTTGCCCTTGCCTTTCACCGTCATCGCCGCTGCCCCGCTCTCGCCGCCCACCACCCCATCCTCGCCCACCGCACCGCCGTTGGGCACGCGATACACCTGCCGCTCCTCCGCCGACGCCCGCGCGCCCACGACGCTCGCAGACCCGCGCAGCATGCGCGGCGACGACGACGGCGACGGCGAGCTGGGCGACGCGGGCCCCGCGCTCGCGCTCACACCAGCACCGACGCGCAGCGCCGGGAGCGACGCCCGCGACGACGCGGTCGCGCTCGGCGCGCTGTGGCTCGTGTCCGACGTGTCCTCCGCGTCTGGTGCGGGACCGAGCCCCGGCGGGACGAGCGGCCCGTGCTCCACATCGCCAAGCCCGAGCGCGTCCACGCCGTTCTCCCCCGCCGCCGTCGCCGCCGTCGCACCGACACCGACACCGACACTGGGAGTGGCACTAGCGGTGGCACCGGAACTGGCGCCGGCGGACGCGGACGCGCCCCACGGCTTGATCCCGAGCGCGGCGGGGTCGAGGTCGACCGCCTGGTAATAAAGGACGTACGCGGCGCCCGCGGGCGAGTCTCCAAAATATCGCGGTATGTCCGCCTCGCGCACCGACTCGATCTTGTCGTCGTCGAACGCGAGCCACCCGGCATCGCTGCTCGCCGCGGGCGCCGCGCCTGCAGTCGCGTTGGACGCCGCGGCGGAGGTGGAGGTTGAAGTGGAGGCGGGGGCGGGGGCGGGGGCGGAGGGTGCGCTGGTGGTTGGAGGTGCGCCGGTGGGGGTGGAGGGGAATGTGGAGGGGAACGTGGTGCCGTTGCTGGGAGCAGAGGCGGGCGGTAACGGCGCGCGCGCGATGGTGACGTAGTGTCCGTGGTGCGGGCCGCTGCGTACAAGCGGGGTCAGTAAGGGACGAACGTGCGTGAGGGCTCGAGACGCGACGCGGGGCAGGGTGCGGGCCTGGGCGCACCGACCTGACCTGACCTGACCTGACCTGCTGTCGTGATGCGGCCCCTGCAGGGCACAGCAGGACAGGGGCAGGGGCAAGAGCAGGGCAAAATGCCCGAATGCCCGAGCGCCCGAGCGCCCGCACAAGGCGCGCACCCCACCTCCGCGTCCTCACCCTGCGCAAACCGCACCCACAAAAGAAAAACCAAAAACCACCAAAAAAAGACCCCTAAAACCAAACCCAAAACCAAAACCAAAAAACGCGACTCACTTCCCGATATGCACCACGATCGCAAACAGCTCATACAGCCGGTCAGGGTCCTCCGCGTCGTCGACGGTGTTGAACAGGCGGAGCTCGCGCGGGAACGCGACGCGGTATGCGAGCTTGATGTAGCGCTGCACGTCGTCCTGGTATTTGAAGCGCTTCAGGTGGAGCGCGAGCACGTTCGGGAGCTTCTTGATCTTCATGCTGCGCGGGCGTCAGCGGCGGGGCAAAGGGACAGAAGGGACGGAAGAGACGAAAGATGGGAGTGGGCAGTGGGCAGTGGGAGCGGGAGCGAGACACGCACCGCTTCTCGGCCTCCTGTAGCCCGCAGCAGCTGTCGCAGAAGAACTTGTTCCGCTGGCAGAGCATCTCGCTCGCGCTGAACTGGCGGAGGCACGCGGTCACGGACGAGTTCTGCTCGATGTCGATCGAGAGGTCGAGGAAGGACTCGTCGCGCGCGGAGACCTGCGCGCGGGCGCGGGTGGCGTGGGCGACAGCGCAGTGAGTGAGCGAGTGAGTGAGTGAGAAAGCGAGCATGTCAGCATACGACCGACCGACCATGCGAGGCGCAACGCGGGGCGAGAAAGCGCGACTCACGGTCTCGCACGTAAGACAGCGCGTCTCGGACGTGAGCACGCCCTCGAAGAGGCGGTGCACGAGCGTGTGCGGGTGCGGATGCGCGTGCGAGGACGCGGAGCGCGTCGTCGCGCCGTTGCCGGAGGAGAGCGTGGCGATGGACGCGGACACTGCGCGAGGGCATGAGCGTGAGCTCTGTATGGGGAAACGGAGCGAGGATGGAGGACGTGTATGCACTCACGGTCGTCGACGCCATCCAGCGTCTCCCCGCGCCCGACACGATGGTTCGCGTCGCTCGCGACCTCCTCCATGATCCGATTCAATAGATAATTCAAAAACTCATGCGCGTCCTGGTGCATCGCGCCGCGGAAGAGCTCGTTGAGCTCGCGGAGCTTGTCGACGAAGGCGCGCGGGGCGACGGTGCCGCGCGCGTCGGGGTGGGTCGCGATGTGGACATAGAGGGAGCGCAGGGCGGAGAAGAGGGTCGGGGGGGCGGGGGGGATGGGGATGGGGAGGGAGGGCGTGGAGGAGGAGGGGGTAGAGGAGGGGGTGGAGGAGGAGGGAGCGCTTGGGGGCGTGGGTTTGGTGGAGGTGGAGGGGGAAAGCGGGGAAGGCGAGGAGGGCGCGGGTGGGTGTGGGTGTGGATGTGGATGTGAGGGCGGGTGTGGATAGGGGAGGGCGGGGAGGGGCGGGGCGGAGAGGTCTGGGGACTGGATGACGAGGTCGCGGAAGGGGGCGCAGAAGTAGAGCGCCTGGAGGACGGAGTTGGCGTAGCTGCGGGTGCGCGCGCGCGCGGGTATACGGTTGGACGGGGGAACGGGCGGATGGAGGAGGACGGGTGGGATCGGCACGGACGGCGCAGTCGGTGATGGGTGAGTGCACAGTCAGCACGCAGACGGGGCACGCGGGGGGACGGGGCACGCACCATGTGTTGCCGAACTGCAGTGCGACGAGGGGGCGTGCGTGAGCGTGTGTGAGCGAGTTTTGGCACGACAAGGTGTAGAGCAAGTCAGGGCGCGCAGGGCGTGCAGAGCGAGAGTGCGAGAGAGAAAGAGAGAGGGCAAAGGAGAGGAAGAGCAGAGGGAGGGAAGGGACGCACGTTCTCGAGGCCGAACTGCTTCGCGTCTGCGCGCGAGGGCGTGGGCGCGGCGGGCCCCGCTGTGCCGTTTGCGGTGGCGTGGAGGGCGGCGAGCGGGTTCGGCGGTGCGGGGGACGAGGCGGGTGCGGGTGCGGACGGGGGCTGCTGCTGCACGGCGAAGGAGATCCATTTTGCGGCTTTGGATATGGCCATCGTGGGCCGCGGGAGATCGGACGCCGCTGCGTGCGGGAGTGGAAGAGAGGAGGAGGAGGAGGAGGAGGAGGAGGAGGAAGCGAAGGGGACGTCGGGCGGACGTGGAGGCAGTCCAGAGACCAGAGCCCGCGTTGCATGACCTAATACACCCTGCGCCGTATCCTCGGCCCTCCACCGCTCACCACCGTCCCTCCAGGCCACCGCCGTCCAGCCCAGTCCCGCCCCGCCGTCCCAGCCTCCCCGCCGTCGCGCCCGCACACCGCCGCGTCGCATGACTCCACCGAACATCGCCGGCGCAGACGAGCCCTCTCAGTGCCCTCCCCTTCCCTCCTTCTGTGCTATCGCGCGCCCGCGTCCTGTGCCTGGCGTGCCTCGCCGACTCGTGCTCGGCCCTCCCACGCCCGCTCCAGTCCTCCGCAACCCTCTCCCCGAGTCCTCAGCCTCCCGCCCGTCTCTAAGCCAGCCCGGCTTCTTCATTATACAGCCTCCAGTCTCGGCCGGCCGCGGGGCGCCCCCCTCTCTGATCGATCTCATCTCTGATCTCTCGTGACGTCCAAGTGAAGCCTCACAGCACGCACAACCCACACGCGATGCCCTTTCCCGTCTACTTATCAGACTATCACTATCGCCCATCCGCATCACGTATCAGTCACCCCGCGCCTTCTTTCATTAACTGCCCCCGCGCCTCCACATAGCACGAGCTGTACGCCGTGGTCGATCGGTGGACGACCCCGGGGAATACAGCGCACGCAGCAAGCTTCAGCTTCAGCGAGCATCTCTCTGATCTAAGACATAGCTCCCAGAGTCCGAGGCGCACTGCGCAGGCCCTCATATAGTCGCCGCGCGTCCACGTACCTCGTGCCCCCTCCCCTTCGACTCGCACAAGCTCGCACATACAGTACCAAGCAAAGTATCTCACCCGTTCGTCCGTGCCGGGCCCGCGCCTCGTTATCCCCGTCCGCGCGCCCGCCTCCTTTGTCTACAACAGCACATTAGGGCGTCCGAGTCGTAGGCCCCTGTGCTTCCCCGCCATCATCGAGATTCGAGTCATCGATCGTGCAAGCGCCTCCTGCTTTCCTGCTTGCTCGCTCACACCAACCGCCCTCTCCTGAGCTATGTGCGTATGCACCCAACAAGAGACCATCAGGATCGCGCTGTCCCAGAGCTAGCCAGAGCCAGACCCCGCGACCCCATGTCCTGTCCTCGCGCGCGCGCGCGCTCATTAGCACGATACCAGCGCCGACTGCCCACCGGTCTCCACCCAGATATCACCCTCTGGCAGGCATACGAATGCCCTCTAGCCTCGATTGACAATGTACCCCGTAATCAGCCGCGCGCCGCGTGCCCCAGACCGCCCACACCTGCCGTGCTCACTGCTCTTCCCGACGTCTGTGCGCACCGCCTGCGCGCTCGGTCCTTCGCGACGGACCCGAACAGCGGACAACACCGCTTTGCACACATGCGGGCCATCGTGTCCGCCCATCTCTGCTGGATAGACACAGACACCGACGAGCGCAGTCGCACATGAGCCTGGCCCGCCCACGGCACCCGGCTCGGTCACGCGCACGCGCTCTGTTTTTCTGCTCATCTCTGAATCTTGTCCGCAGCCCTGTGGCGCCGCGCTCGAGCGCGAGTTTCTCCGCTCGTTTCCGTCGGCGCAGACGACGATGGGCCTGTACTTCTTCCGTGGCGCAGCGCCTTCACATGACTGTCTCCTGTGCCACTTCCTCGTCCTCGGTCCTCGGTCTGGCTTTCTGTGATGCTCTCATCCGGCCCCTCGTCCCTCAGGCTATCTTTTGAACAATCCCATCTGAAGAATCATTCCTCGTGGTAAATTGTTCAATGGACATCGCGACGTCCGCTCCGACGAGGTGGCAGGCCTTGCCTTCGGCAGTGGCAAGGCGGGTTCTCCAGACCTTGACGGTCGTTCTCCAATTCACACTTCCGTAAAGGGTGTGGTATGTTCTAACATCCCTGGTACGCGCGCACTCGAGCAAGTTGTTACGTTCACCGCTCACGTCGCAACCTCCCCAGATGTCGACCAGCATCCTGAAAGCTCGGAGACCCCCGCTCCAACTCCACGCTCTGTACTTGCAGACCCAAAACGATGCCTCGTCACGCAGGACTCAGGACCATCGGTCATGCCGTGCTATCTGCTCAACCTGCGCCTCTGGCAGTACAACAGGATGGTGCGTCCGGTCCTGCCTCTCGCGTCGCGATCGGCCGTTGATAGCCGGACGCAGCTGACGCGCTTCGAATGGCAGTGGGGGACGAAGTATGCGTCGCTAGAGCCGGATGTAGAGGCGAACAGGATCTATCGTGCGTCGTGCTGTTGTCTGCGACTAGGTGGCCCTTGAATTCCCTCGCTGGTTACAATTCGTGAAGACTTGTTGGAATCATTTGACAGCAACCGCTGGCTGCTACTCCTGACCCCTGAAATAGTGAATAAAATATGGGACCACTGTACAATATTTATGAACGATGCCAAAAATCCGAACCAGCAATCTCCTATTGAGTCGATTCGTCTGACCTCGTTCTCGGCGATAGATTTATTTGACGATCGTGTAGATTTATGAAGGTGGTGAGGCCTTTGCATATCGGCTGTTGCTGCTGGACAAGGACCTTCTCCCGATTGAACGATTCGATGAGCTACACTCATCCGGAGGGTCTTCTCCGCCCCTCGCCATCCCCACCGAACGAAAATTCACCTACCATTCATATGCATTCGACACTCTACCGACCTTCGTTTCTAGTGTCAAACCTCACTTGATCATCCTCGACTCGGCCGCAAAGCTGTTTCGTCAGGCAATACCGGGACCACGGGGAGTATTGACCGTGGTGCATTCGCTTTGGCCGATATCCGAACGCAATGCCACTACCATGTTTTCCCCACTTGAACATATCTATCGAGTTTGGCTTGAATTCGAGGAACCCCTTGGATTCGCGAATATGTCGCGCACTCCTCTGTGGACGTCTGCTCTCGACACGGGTCCGCGTCTGCCCAGGATACGGCATATGTCGCCGATAGTTTGTTCTGGGCCGTGCTTTCACAGTCGGTTCGCGTGGAAGCCGTCTGTCTGCTCTAGCTGTTGGTGTACTCGCGATGACGACGACTCTGCTTCCTCGGACAGCGACGATTGCTTCGGGAGCCTCAGCTCGTCTGAGTATAAAGCGTATCGCAGACGGCTATATCAATATGTAATAATATGACACACACGATGTCTCAAGAAGATCGCGAAGCGCGGGCGTTGGACCTCCCGTGTGCTCAACGACAAGTAATTGCGAGGATATCCTGTGAGCGCGCGTGGCTGAGGACACTATAACAGCGAAAACGACCGTATCATAGCCGGTGTTTTTGTCTCGTGAGGAGTGGAATGGATTGGGAATCTTAGTCCTTATCTGTAATTGAGGTAATTCCTTCGACGTTCTGTTCTTGCTTGTATAACTCTACCGAGGCCCCTTTGCTGAGCCCGCATGGTGATATCGGTTGTCGGGATTCTTTATATGACCAATGATTATTGGGATTCGTTTTAACAACTACCGTTGAGTGACTGTTGAGTGCTGATGAAAAATGCCCGCCAGTTTGGTTCTACATGGCATCATTGTGTAGACAGTGAACCTCTCCTGTACTCAACGACATGCTATTGCGAGAAGGCGAGGGCGTATGTGGCTGAGGATACTATTACGGCGATGACGACTGCATGGTGATCTTGTCAGTGCTTTTCTCTCAGCAGGAGTCGGCATGGTTCTTATGCTAGATTCTCTGGCGGCCGCCCGGGTCACACGCTTGGTATTATAAGCATACTCTAGCGAGTTCGGGAGGACATAATATCAGCCCCAATTTTATTAGATTGGCATTGGGAGTCATTTGAGTACGTTTTGTGAATGCCACAGTTTCCTGCGGCATTGTCAAATTTCGCCACTCAATTTGGTCTCGCATCACATGACTGTCCCGCTAAGAGTGGCTCACTCGTCTTCACTGACTTGCTTCTTGTCGCGCAACTCGAATCTGCAGCCGACGTTGATTTAGCCCTGTCTTGAAAACACTCCTCCCCATAAATACAAATAATAGCAAGGATATTCAATATTGCGATACAATGGGCATCATAGGATCTTTACCATCGAGGTGGTCAAGCGCAGCCGGGAGTGGTGGTGATTCTAGTTCTTTAGACGTTACAGGTACGCCTGCCCCCATGCTACCCTTTTTGCATTCTTTTTCAACTCCTACAGAGATTCATCCACACTTCGAGGACCACAAAAATATATGTTGCATTCCACCATCTACGCCTTTGGCTGCGAATTCCAAAGCGTTCAGCAATACAACATCAAGAACGTTGATTGGCTCAAGCCCTTCCAAGACCGATAGTGGTAGCACAGGATCTTTAAACAGTAGTGCGTCAACAGCCATACGACGCGTCTTTCTGTTCGCTAAATCTTCAGCTTCCCAAGACTCCGCTCTCCGTTCCGAAGGCTCGAGACACACATGTAATGCCCACCGGCCCGTTAATTCAGACGAGAAATCACACGGTAGAAAGCGCAGCATAGAGCCTATAACATCCGTTGAATCAAATCCAACCAAGAAGCGTAGAATTGATGAAGCGTTACCTATCCAGAGTACGCTGCCTATTTTTCCAATCTCTTATTCACTAATACGTCTGCTCCTCAGAAACCAAAGAACCTAACACCTTTGCTCCATTTGCGAGTACCAGTAAATCAAGTTCCACAGATACTACTAGTACGCAAGCGATCCTTTGACTCTGCATCTCATTTGATACCCCAACCTCATAAGACGCGGACCAACCGTCTGAAACCCAGAGAACCCATTATCCAGCCCCATTGGAAAACTCGAATACCAAGCAATGCCTCATAACAAACAAGGATGCGTCAGAGGCCTCGATTGAGCCATGCTACCTCCTGAACCAGCGCCTATGGAGAAACGGCGAGTTTGTACGTTCGATATTATCCTTCACTTCTCAAATGTTAATTGAATTCATGATTGTTGATGTAGCTTACACGTCTCGAATGGTGGTGGGGGATGAAATATGATTCACTCGAGCTGGACACGGAGGCAAATAAACTATACCGTACGTCGCCATTGTTTGGGTGCTGATGACAACTGATATCCCTACCTACCTCAGTTGACAGCGAATGGCTGAGGTCATTTGATAGCGACCGCTGGCTGTTGCTTCCACCTCCTGAAATGGTGAACAATATATGGGACCATTGTAGGAAATTTTTCAAGGCTCCATCAGACTTTGTTATGCCCCCCATCGAGACGGTTCGCCCCTTTGCTCATTCGTTGATCTTTCTCTCATGACTTGGTAGGTTTATGAAGGCGCTGAAATATTTGAATACCGGCTGCTGCCATTGGACCCCCGCCTCCGTTCCTTCGATCGGTTCAACGGGCCTAAATCAAGCATTCCAATCACAACACCCACTTCAGCAACAGAGCAGCGAACCTCCATACACCATTCATTTCCGTACGAGACATTACCGACTCTTGTTAGTCGCGCAAAACCTCACTTTGTCATATGCGACTCGGCTCCAAAACTATTTCACCACATAATCTCAGGGCCGTCGCGACTTTCATCCGATGTTCAGTCGCTGTGGCCAATATCTGAACCCGAAGCATCGTGCATGCTTCGCAATGTACACTACGTGTATTGCGCTTGGCTTGAACGGCGTCCACCTCCACACTTTGCGTCATCACCCCGCACTGTCCTTCGGGTGCCTTCTACATGTCGAAAACTACCCAAGACACGTCACCTGCCCCCTCCAACGTGTACCGGTCCATGCTCCAATAGCCGATTTGCATGGATTCCTTCATTATGTTCTTGGTGTAGGGGCGATTTTCGCCCTCGCGACACTCCTGGCTCTGATAGCGACGAAAGCATCAGCCCATCCGAGGCTGCATCTGAGTATAGAGCATACCATAGAAACTTGACTCAGCATTTGGGAACGTGGCAAGCCTGTTGCTCACAGCAGATGAAGAAACGAGGAAGGTGGACGTCTCGTGTGGATAATGACGAGCAGTTGCGAAGCTATGCCGAAGAGCGACCACGAAAAATTGCGCGGACGGTGTAGTGGCATTCGTCTTGTAGTGCATACGTTCTCGATGATGATACCGCAATTGCTTACTTTCACGCTGCTGAATTTATATTGTATAGCTTCCTCTAAGATCCGACGCTATGTCTCAATTAAAGCAGGCAGAGAGCGGCGTCTTTTCCCCAGCACGTCCTTGCACAATCACGTCAAAATGCCTTATTTTATACACCACAAATTCGAACTCCTCATCCATCCATCCATCCATCCATCCATCCATCCATCCATCCATCCATCCATATCCATCCATCCATCCATCCCTATATAGAGGGCGACAGTGAAGAATTGTGGCAAAACTCCGCCGGCTAATGTCGCGTGTTGTCGCTTATGCTCGCGTGGGCCACGTAAGAAACCACGCGAGCGAAGCGAGCGCCATGACAAATTTGGCGAGCGGAGCGAGCTGTCTCTTCAGCCGCCCGGCAACCTCGGCAACTGGAGCGGGCCGTGTCTCGGCAGCTGTCGGGGTTTTACACGGCATCCCGGTCTGCCCGGCAATGCCAACAACTGGAGCAGGCCGTGCCTCGGCAGCCATCGGGGCTCAAAATGGCATTCTGGCACCCCACAGGGAACCTCACGGGGGAGCCTCATAGGGCAGAATCTCATAGGGGAGCCTTATGGGCAGAACCTTTCATGGAATATGAAAAGGGAGCCTAATAGGGAAGCCATATAGGCAGGATCTGGCAGAGAAACCTTATAGGGGAATCTTTTGAATGTCATCTTGCAAAATCTCATGGAGGGGCCTTATAGGGGAATCTTATAGGCAGGACATTATAGAATATCATGGGAATTAGACTTTATGGGCACTAAAAGTGATATTCTAGCACCTTATAGAGGAGCTTCACAAGAGAGCCTCACTGGCAAGATCTTATAGAGGAACCTGACAAAGGAACATAATAGGTAAGCATAATGGAGAAACCTAACAGGGGAATATAATAAAGGAACCTATATAGGAGAACCTTATATGGGCCATATCTTGGCAGCTGTTGGAGCTTGAAATAGTATCCCAGCGCTTTATGGAAAAGACTTATAGGTATGACCTTATAGAGGAACTAAATAATGCTTGACAAGAGAGTCTTATATAGAGAATATTATGGGCAGGACCTTATAGAATATGATAAGAGAGCTATATTAGGGCAAAATAATCTATGGGCACTGAACTCATAGGCACTAAAATTTACAGGCACTGGACTTTACAGGCACTAGACTTTACGAGCACTGGACTTTACAGAGACTAGACTTTATAGGCACATGAGACCGAGCACTGTAACAAAAACTCAGATTAAGCATGGTTGTGCCGTCGCAACGCGACGGGTGAAAAGCTAGTAAATAGAGGGCGACACTGCAAAATTGTGGCGCTGGGCCGGCGGCTCACGTCGCGTGTCTTCGCTTATGCTCGCGTGGGCCACGTAAGAAACCACGCGAGACCACTGTCCCATAGGCTTCGGGACGCGAAACGGAGCGTGTCGGAGCTCGAAACGGAGTTGGTCAGCGCGCGCGTGCCCGGGGCTAACCTAAGCATAGGGAATTCTCTTCCCCTGGCACTGTCTTGCAGTGATTTCTTCAGGCAAGGGGGCATTCAGCAAGTGCTTAGCTTGGCAACCACTCTGGGCTCTTGGTTTTGTTTGCAGGTATTTTTTGAATAAATAAATAATCCATAAATAGAGGGCAACAGTGAAAAATTGTGGCACTTGAGCAATGGCTATGCTTGCACAGGCCACATAAGAAACCATGTGAGCAAAGCAAGCATCCATGACAAATTGGGTGAGCAGAGTAAGCCATGTTTTGGTGCTCCTAGCAACCCTAGCAACTAGAGTGGGCTATGCCTCTGCAGCCATTGGAGCTTGAAATGGCATCTTAGCATCTTACAAATGAACCTTACGGGGGAGCTTCATAGGTGGGACTCTGATGGGGGAGCCTCATAGGGCATAATCTCATAGGGGAATCTAATGGATGGAACCTTATAGGGAGCTTTATATAGGAATCTTACAGGAAGGACCTTATAGGATGTCACAGAAGAGCCATATAGGGATATTGGGGCACAGGAATTTTAGTAAGCAGAGTGAGCCATGTCTTGGGTGCTCCTAGCAACCCTAGCAACTGGAATGGGCTATGCCTTAGCAGCCATTGGAGCTTGAAATGGCATTCTAGCACCTCACAGAGAACCTCATGGGGGAGCCTCATGGGTGGGTCCTGATAGGGGAGCCTCATAGGGCAGAATCTCATAGGGGAATCTAATAGATGGGACCTTATAGAGAGCTTTATATGGGAATTTTATAGGAAGAACTTTATAGGATATCATAAAAGAGCCATATAGGGATATTGGGGCACTGGACTTTATGGGCACTGGACTTTACAGGCACTAGACTTTATAGGCACTGTACTTGACAGGCACTAGACTTTATAGGCACTGGAATTTGTGGACACTGGACTTTGTGGACACTAGACTTTATGGGCACTGGACTTTACAGACACTAGACTTTATGGGCACTGGACTTTACGGGCACTGGACTTTATGGGCACTGGACTTTATGAGCACTGGACTTTATAGTCAGTGCACTCTACAGGCACATGAGACCAAGCATTATAACAAAAACTCAGATTAAGCACGGGCATTGGACTTTACAGGCACTAGACTTTATAGACACTGGACTTTGTGAACACTAAACTTTACAGACACATCAGACCAAGCACTGTAACAAAAACTCAGATTAAGCATGGTTGCGCCGTCGCAACGCGACGGGTGAAAAGCTAGTCCCTATATAGAGGGCGACAGTGAAGAATTGTGGCAAAACTCCGCCGGCTAATGTCGCGTGTTGTCGCTTATGCTCGCGTGGGCCACGTAAGAAACCACGCGAGCGAAGCGAGCGCCATGACAAATTTGGCGAGCGGAGCGAGCTATCTCTTCAGCCGCCCGGCAACCTCGGCAACTGGAGCGGGCCGTGTCTCGGCAGCTGTCGGGGTTTCACACGGCATCCCGGTCTGCCCGGCAATGCCAACAACTGGAGCAGGCCGTGCCTCGGCAGCCATCGGGGCTCAAAATGGCATTCTGGCACCCCATAGGGAACCTCACGGGGGAGCCTCATAGGGCAGAATCTCATAGGGGAGCCTTATGGGCAGAACCTTTCATGGAATATGAAAAGGGAGCCTAATAGAAAAGCCATATAGGCAGGATCTGGCAGAGGAACCTTATAGGGGAGGAATCTTTTGAATGTCATCTTGCAAAATCTCATAGAGAGGCCTTATAGGGGAATCTTATAGGCAGGACATTATAGAGTATCATGGGAACTAGACTTTATGGGCACTAAAAGTGATATTCTAGCACCTTATAGAGGAGCTTCACAAGAGAGCCTCACTGGCAAGATCTTCAAGAGGAACCTGACAGAGGAACATAATAGGTAAGCATAATAAAGAAACCTAACAGGGGAATATAATAAAGGAACCTATATAGGAGAACCTTATATGGGCCATATATTGGCAGCTGTTGGAGCTTGAAATAGTATCCCAGCACTTTATGGAAAAGCCTTATAGGTATGACCTTATAGAGGAACTAAATAATACTTGACAAGAGAGTGTTATATAGAGAATATTATGGGCAGGACCTTATAGAATATGATCAGAGAGCTATATTAGGGCAAAATAATTTATGGGCACTGGACTTTATAGGCACTAAAATTTACAAGCACTGGGCTTTACAGGCACTGGACTTTACGAGCACTGGACTTTACAGAGACTAGACTTTACAGGCACATGAGACCAAGCACTGTAACAAAAACTCAGATTAAGCATGGTTGCGCCGTCGCAACGCGACGGGTGAGAAGCTAGTAAATAAAGGGCGACACTGCAAAATTGTGGCGCTGGGCCGGCGGCTCACGTCGCGTGTCTTCGCTTATGCTCGCGTGGGCCACGTAAGAAACCACGCGAGACCACTGTCCCATAGGCTTCGGGACGCGAAACGGAGCGTGTCGGAGCTCGAAACGGAGTTGGTCAGCGCGCGCGTGCCCGCGGCTGCTGCGAGCCTTGCGATACCTGATCTCTGCCATCAACCATCATCATCTCTGTCCCAGACCCTCATCTGTGCTCTCCTCTGCTTTATTCCTTACTGGCTTTTCTCTCAAACTCTACTCTGCTCTACTGGGTGTCTCTGAGCACGGATTCTGCTTAGAAAAAGCCTACAGGGTGTGAAGTCTACCAGCACGGCCTTAGTTTGCTGTAGCCAAAAGCAGTCTTTTCATAGCTGCCTGGACCTCTCTCATCCTGCGGTGTTTCAGTTGCTCAGGTACCTTTTACCACGATCTCGCAGTCACAACGACCTGCTTTGCAGACAACGGGTGACATTGAGTCGTCAAAGAGCATTGGGAATCCTTTTCCCCTGGCACTGTCTTGCGGCAATTTCTTCAGGTGAACTGTGAGGGGGCATTCAGCGAGTGCTTAGCTTGGCAACCACTCTTGGCTCTTGGTTTTGTTTGCAGGTGTTTTTTTTATTTAACTTTTCACAATGAGTGTTCCACCTTTGTAAGTCTGTGTTGCTTGCATCATGTCTATTGTGCTCAACTCTTTTTGTAGGCCTCCTAATGAGGGTGTGGTGGAAGTCTGGATGCCTGCATTGGCACCTTTGTGAGTGTTTTTGGCTTGCTTGGATACTGTTTCAGTGCTAAAATTCTCTTTAGAGATGATGATGAGGATGATCTCTATATGACACCTCCACCTGAGACTGCACATAAGTAGGTGTTTTACTTTTTGCTTATTGGTTGTGTGTACTCATATTTGCTATAGTGAGAACACCAATGATAGTGAAGATGAGGATGATCTCTATATGACTCCTCCACCTGAGAATCTCAATGGGTATGTGGTTTTATTTAATCTTTTTATGGTCATTGGCTAAAAAGAAGAAACTATAGACATGTTGAAAACCAAGAGGCTGTTGAAGAGGCTGCCCATGTGGATGTGACTATGACAAGGTATGCAGTTTTTGTTAAATCACACAAAATTTGTTTATTAATTTTGGGGTTTATAAGAACTCCTCCTAGGACTCCTGAGCATGAGCGCCAGACTGTGCGAGAGCAAGAGCGTGCTGAAAGGCTTCAGATGACTTCTCCTACTCTCCGGCGCGAGCGTTCTGCATTACGAGGCTCTATTCGTCAGCCTGTTTTTGAGGATCTCTCTAGACCTTCCCATCCTGCTACTTCTAATTCTGCTCAGCCTCCTATTTCTCTTGCACCACCCATTCAGCTTCACCAGCCTGCCACACTTGCTCCTCCTGTCCAGTCATACCATTCTACAGTGGCTGCTTCCTCTGCTCCATCATATCATCCTGCTCAATATGTTCCTCCCCACTTTTATCCTGCTCCCATGTTCCAACACTCTGTCTATCATGGTGCTATGGCTTATCAAATTCCTGGACAATATCCTATCTATGCTCCCCCTCCTATGCCTGCACCACCACCTCATTATTGGCCTGTGAATGTTTCTGCCCATCCTAATCTTCCACGCCATTTGATTGGGAATCATGATCGACAGGCTCGCATGCGTCTTGCAGCAGCTAGCCATCCTGACTATGAGCGCCGCATGATGAATAACTTTGAACAGAGCCATGCAGAGCGTAGACGGCATCGTAGAGAGAATGCAAGGCCTGAGACGCAGTGGTTCCTCTTCCTAATCCTGTCCATCATCCACAGCCTCCATTATCATCTCGGCATAATATGCAGGCTTTACAATACCAGCAAGAGCAGCAGGAATTTGATCATCATAGAGCTTCCCTTCATGAGCAGCATCTTGAGGAGATCCACCAATATCTTATAGAGGCCCAGCAGAGACATATAGAGCATAGAGCACAAACACAGGCAGAGCAGCAGATTATTCTTGAGCAACAACAAGAAAACAATGCCCAGCCACAAGAAGTCCATCAGTATCATTTGAACCTTTCCCAGCAGATTCACGATGACAATCTTGCCATTCAACACAATCACCATGCTCTAGCTCAAAATCAAGTAATGCAACAGCTACCTCTTGGTCGTCGTCCTTATCAAGAGCCTGACGCACGCTATAGTGTTGGCCATATGGATGTTGAATGTTCCCACTGCAAAGCCCTTCACTTTTCCTCTAAAAAGCTATCATTCTCTACTCGCAATCACATCCGCTTTGGCATGTGCTGTTTACAAGGCCAAATTAGGCTGCCTGTGTTATTGGACCCTCCTCAAACATTGCGTAATCTTCTCTGTGGAGACACTGAGAATGCCAAATCATTCAGGCTAAATATCAGGCAATACAATAGTGCATTTGCATTTACTTCTATTGCTGCCAAGCTATCAGATCATGTTACCACTACTTCTGGGCCATATGCATTTAAAATCCACGGAGAACTTTATCATCAAATGGGTACCCTGCTACCACCCAACCATCTTAGACCTTCCTATGCTCAGCTCTATGTTATTGATCCTCAGGCTGCACTCAATGAGCGCAACAATGCCAATCCTAACTTGAAGTCTGAGATCATGAATAACTTGCAGGATATGTTTCATGAGCACAATCCTTATGTTCCCCTGTACCGCCATGCCTATCAAATCATGGCAGACAAGAATCCTGGAGAACGAGACAAGCTTGCAGCCCGTATTGCTGTCTTGCCCAATACAGATCATCGCCACTATAATGAGCCTACTGCAGATGAAGTTGCTGCCATCATTCCTGGAAGTGGAGATGAGGAAGTGGACTTGCACAGAGATATTGTTGTCTGTTATAACCATGGAGGTCTAAAGCATTTCAGCCATCTTCACCCTCACTACAGTCCCTTGCATTATGTGACATTATTTCCACATGGTGAACAAGGCTTTCATCCCAATATTCCTGCTCATCCTGGACCTAATGGCCAAATGCTCTCATCCAAGGTGTCTCAGCGCTGCTATTATGCCTATCGTCTTATGCGCCGTCTGCTTGATCCTGAAACCATCTTTAGAGCTGGCAAGCTATTTCAGCAATATGTGGTTGATGCTTGGGCATCTATTGAGTCTAGCAACCTTTTCTGGATCAGGAACCATCAGAAGGAGATCAGAGCTGAAAAGTACCAGTCATTGTTTGATGCTATCCATGCAGAAGCTGAGGTAGACCTAGGCCAGCGGGGAAAATGTATTGTGCTTCCCTCTACTCATGCAGGCAGTCCACGTTATATGTATCAGCTTTTCCAAGATTCTATGGCTATCACTCGCCACTGCCATAAGCCTGACATCTTTATCACCATGACTGTAAACCCTAACTGGCCAGAGATCACTGAACAGCTCTTAAAATATGATGGTGGTTCAACTCAACAGCCTTTTGATCGTCCAGACTTGGTTGCACGTGTGTTTGCCTTAAAGATGAAGGCTCTTATAAAGGATATCAAGGAGGGCCTGTTTGGCAAGGTGGCAGGGATGGTTTATACCATTGAGTTTTAAAAGCGTGGTCTTCCTCATATGCACCTTCTTCTTTTCCTTGATGCACAGGACAAGATTCAAAGTGCTGAAGATGTGGATAGGATTGTCTCTGCCCAGCTTCCAGATCCTGCTGCCCATCCTATGCTTTATGAGTCTGTCACAAGATACATGCTCCATGGACGCTGCGGCCCTGAGTTTCCTCAAGCATGTTGCATGGAAGAAAAAGATATTGGAGGCACAAAAGTCAAGCTTTGTAGCAAGCGCTATCGGAAGGACTTTACTGAGCAGACCCTCTATGGTGAGGATGGCTATCCTACATATGCTAGGCCAAACAATGGGCGCACCTTCACTCGGCATACTATGCAGTTTGACAATCGTGATGTTGTTCCTTATAATCCCTATCTCCTTGCCAAATACAACTGCCATATCAATGTGGAGGTCTGTGCATCCATCAAGGCTGTCAAATATATCCACAAGTATATCTACAAAGGTCCTGATCGTGCTACACTTCAGATTGGAGACATTGATGAGATTAAGGACTATGTGGATGCTCGCTATATTGGACCTATGGAGGCTTGCTGGAACATCTTTGAATTCCCAAGGCATCTGGAATCCCCCACAGTCTATCGTCTTCCTGTTCATCTCCCTAATGAACAGCAGGTATACTTTGATGCTGATGATAATCCTGAAGAAGTCTTAAACAGAGACAGGTCCCAGAAAACCGAGTTGACTGAATGGTTTATTGCCAACCAAAAGTTCCCTGCTGCTCATGCTCATACCTACCAGGACTTTCCTCTTCACTATGTCTGGAACCAGTCAAAGAAAATATGGACTCCACGTCAGCAAGGTTCTACTATTGGCAGAATGTTATTTGTCCATCCCTCTGCAGGCGAACACTTTTACCTCAGAACATTGCTCACCATTGTCAAAGGTGCCAAGGACTGGAAAGACATTCGCACTTATGAAGGCATTGAATATCCTACCTATCGTGATGCCTGTTTTGCACGTGGCCTTTTGGAGGATGATGGAGAGTGGGATATGGCCTTGGCTGAAGCAGCAGATATGCAGACTGGAACTCAACTTAGATCCCTCTTTGCCACCATTCTTCGCTTCTGTATTCCTTCACAACCTCTTATTCTTTGGAATCGCTACAAGGACAAAATCTGTGATGATCTGCATGTGCGTCTTACTGCCATGGGCTTTCCTGATCCTACTCAAGAGGATGTCTTTGATTATGGCCTCTATCTGCTGGACAAAGTCCTTACTGGAATGGGAAAGCGCCTCATTGACTATCCTCCTATGCCTTTGCCTCTGCAAGATTGGAACCAAGCTGCAAATGTGCTTCTTCAGGATGAGCTCAACCATGATTATGTAGCTCTTTGGGAACAGGTCAGTTACCATGCATCCTTCAAAGTTGACCTTGAGCTGACCTTGCATTTCAGGTGGAGACTAATCTATTGACCTTCAATGCTGAGCAGAGAAATGCCTATGATGCTGTCATGCAGTCAGTCCAGTCCAACCAAGGCCAAGTCTTCTTTCTGCACAGTGCTGGAGGTGGTGGAAAGACCTATGTTTGCAACACTATTGCTGCCTTTGTCCGCTCTCAAGGCAAGGCTGCTCTTTGTGTTGCTTCTTCTGGCATTGCCTCCTTGCTTCTAGATGGTGGTCGCACTGCTCACTCTCGCTTCAAAATCCCCATTGAGGGTCTCAATGAGCGCTCCTCTTGCTCTTGGGAGAAAAACTCTGACTTTGATGGTCTTATTCATCAGACTGGGGTGGTCATTTGGGATGAGGCACCAATGCAGCATCGCTATGGAATTGAAGCTGTTGATCGCACTCTTCAGGATCTTATGGGCAACCCTGCTCCTTTTGGTGGTGTTACTGTGCTGTTTGTTGGAGACTTTCGTCAGACCTTGCCTGTGGTTCCCAAAGGAAGCAGAGAGCAGATTGTGGCTGCATCTTTGCGCAAGTCCTCACTCTGGAATCACATCCAACTTCTCACTCTCAAACAGAATATGCGTCTAGACCAGACTCCTGAAAGCAATGCCTTTGCTCAATGGCTCCTCAATGTTGGTTCTGGCCATAACCTTGGTGAAGACAAGTCTATTGAACTTCCTCCCAACATGCATCTTGATAACAACACTAAGGAATCCTTGGTTGACTTTATCTATCCTGACATATCTGATCAGCACCCCAAACCAGACCACTTCTTCCTTGACCGTATGATTCTTTCTGGGCGCAATGACACTGTTGCTGAGATCAACAAGGAGATTCTGGCCAAGTTTCCTGGAGAAGACAAGCTCCTGACCAGCATTGACTCTGTCAAGGACATAGAGGGTTATCCTATAGAGTTTTTGAACTCCATCAATATCTCTGGCCTTCCTCTTGCTCACCTCCATGTTAAAAGAGGTTGTCCTCTCATTCTTTTGCGCAACATTGATCCCTCTCATGGCTTATGCAATGGCACTCGACTCATCTTACTTGAGGCAAGGACACATGTCTTGAAATGCCGTATCTTGGGTGGAGCACATGCTGGAAGAATTGTGTTTATCCCTAGATTAACCCTGGAGCCATCTGGAGAAGCCTGCCCTATTCCTTTGAAGCGCAGACAATTCCCTGTCCATGTTGCCTTTGCTATGACCATCAACAAGTCACAAGGACAGTCTGTCAAGTTTGTTGGATTGGATTTGGAGCGGCCTGTATTTTCCCATGGCCAACTTTATGTTGCACTGTCACGCTGCACATCAGGAGATAGAATCAAGGTGTTATTCCCACCAGACTCACAAGGGACCAAAACCACCAATATAGTGTACCCTGAGGTATTGCAAGGCATTTTGGATAATCAATAGTATGTCTTGGATTATAATCATTGTGACATGGCTAACAATTATAATAGGACTTGAACAAGGACTGTAGTATAAAACTTATATAGAAACTTCTTACACTTTGACTCTCAATCCCCACTCTAACTTTTTATATGTATGCTTGAAATAAAACTGCTACTCTAACTTGGCTGCTTGACTAAAACCCAACCACAAACTAAGCACTATAACATAAACATAGATTAAGCACTGTCACATAACCTCAGACTAAGCACTGCAACAAAAACTCGGATTAAGCATGGTTGCGCCGTCGCAACGCGACGGGTGAGAAGCTAGTCCCTATATAGAGGGCGACAGTGAAGAATTGTGGCAAAACTCCGCCGGCTAATGTCGCGTGTTGTCGCTTATGCTCGCGTGGGCCACGTAAGAAACCACGCGAGCGAAGCGAGCGCCATGACAAATTTGGCGAGCGGAGCGAGCTGTCCCTTCAGCCACCCGGCAACCTCGGCAACTGGAGCGGGCCATGTCTCGGCAGCTGTCGGGGTTTCACACGGCATCCCGGTCTGCCCGGCAATGCCAACAACTGGAGCAGGCCGTGCCTCGGCAGCCATCGGGGCTCAAAATGGCATTCTGGCACCCCACAGGGAACCTCACGGGGGAGCCTCATAGGGCAGAATCTCATAGGGGAGCCTTATGGGCAGAACCTTTCATGGAATATGAAAAGGGAGCCTAATAGGGAAGCCATATAGGCAGGATCTGGCAGAGGAACCTTATAGGGGAATCTTTTGAATGTCATCTTGCAAAATCTCATAGAGGGGCCTTATAGGGGAATCTTATAGGCAGGACATTATAGAATATCATGGGAACTAGACTTTATGGGCACTAAAAGTGATATTCTAGCACCTTATAGAGGAGCTTCACAAGAGAGCCTCACTGGCAAGATCTTCAAGAGGAACCTGACAGAGGAACATAATAGGTAAGCATAATAAAGAAACCTAACAGGGGAATATAATAAAGGAACCTATATAGGAGAACCTTATATGGGCCATATATTGGCAGCTGTTGGAGCTTGAAATAGTATCCCAGCACTTTATGGAAAAGCCTTATAGGTATGACCTTATAGAGAAACTAAATAATGCTTGACAAGAGAGTCTTATATAGAGAATATTATGGGCAGGACCTTATAGAATATGATCAGAGAGCTATATTAGGGCAAAATAATTTATGGGCACTGGACTTTATAGGCACTAAAATTTACAGGCACTGGGCTTTACAGGCACTGGACTTTACAAGCACTGGACTTTACAGAGACTAGACTTTACAGGCATGAGACCAAGCACTGTAACAAAAACTCAGATTAAGCATGGTTGCGCCGTCGCAACGCGATGGATGAGAAGCTAGTAAATAAAGGGCGACACTGCAAAATTGTGGCGCTTAAGCGACGGCTATGCTCGCGTGCTCCTCGCTTATGCTCACGTGGGCCACGTAAGAAACCACGCGAGCGAAGCGAGCACCATGACAAATTTGGCGAGCGGAGCGAGCTGTCTCTTCAGCCGCCCGGCAACCTCGGCAACTGGAGCGGGCCGTGTCTCGGCAGCTGTCGGGGTTCTGCACGGCATCCCGGTCTGCCTGGCAATGCCGGCAACTGGAGCAGGCCGTGCCTCGGCAGCCATCGGGGCTCAAAATGGCATTCTAGCACCCCACAGGGAACCTCACGGGGGAGCCTTATGGGCAGAACCTTTTATGAAATATGAAAAGGGAGCCTAATAGGGAAGACATATAGGCAGGATCTGGCAGAGGAACCTGATAGGAGAATCTTTTGAATGTCATCTTGCAAAATCTCATAGAGGGGCCTTATAGGGGAATCTTATAGGCAGGATATTATAGAATATCATGGGAACTAGACTTTATGGGCACTAAAAGTGATATTCTAGCACCTTATAGAGGAGCTTCATAAGAGAGCTTCACTGGCAAGATCTTATAGAGGAACCTGACAGAGGAACATAATAGGTAAGCATAATGGAGAAACCTAACAGGGGAATATAATAAAGGAACCTATATAGGAGAACCTTATATGGGCCATATATTGGCAGCTGTTGGAGCTTGAAATAGTATCCCAGCACTTTATGGAAAAGCCTTATAGGTATGACCTTATAGAGGAACTAAATAATGCCTGACAAGAGAGTTTTATATAGAGAATATTATGGGCAGGACCTTATAGAATATGATCAGAGAGCTATATTAGGGCAAAATAATTTATGGGCACTGGACTTTATAGGCACTAAAATTTACAGGCACTGGGCTTTACAGGCGCTAGACTTTACAGGCACTGGGCTTTACAGGCACTGGACTTTACGGGCACTAGACTTTACAGGCACTGGACTTTATGGGCACTGGACTTTATAGGCACTGGACTTTATGGGCACATCAGACCAAGCACTGTGACAAAAACTCAGATTAAGCATGGTTGAGCCGTCGCAATGCGATGGGTGAAAAGCTAGTCCCTATATAGAGGGCGACAGTGAAGAATTGTGGCAAAACTCCGCCGGCTAATGTCGCGTGTTGTCGCTTATGCTCGCGTGGGCCACGTAAGAAACCACACGAGCGAAGCGAGCACCATGACAAATTTGGCGAGTGGAGCGAGCTGTCTCTTCAGCCGCCCGGCAACCTCGGCAACTGGAGCGGGCCGTGTCTCGGCAGCTGTCGGGGTTTCACACGGCATCCCGGTCTGCCTGGCAATGCCAACAACTGGAGCAGGCCGTGCCTCGGCAGCCATCAGGGCTCAAAATGGCATTCTGGCACCCCACAGGGAACCTCACGGGGGAGCCTCATAGGGCAGAATCTCATAGGGGAATCTAATGGATAGGACCTTATAGGGAGCTTTATATGGGAATCTTACAGGAAGGACCTTATAGGATATCATAAAAGAGTCATATAGGGATATTGGGGCACAGGACTTTTAGTAAGCAGAGTGAGCCATGTCTTGGTGCTCCTAGCAACCCTAGCAACTAGAGTGGGCTATGCCTCAGCAGCCATTGGAGCTTGAAATGGCATCCCAGCACCTCACAGAGAACCTCACGGGGGAGCCTCATAGGTAGAACTCTGATGGGGGAGCCTCATAGGGCAGAATCCTATAGGGGAATCTAATGGATGGTACCTTATAGGGAGCTTTATATAGAAATTTTACAGGAAGGACCTTATAGGATATAACAAAAGAACCATATAGGGATATTGGGGCATAAGACTTTATGGGCACTGGACTTTATAGGCGCTGTATTTTACTGGCATTAGACTTTATAGGCATTGGACTTTGTGAACACTGGACTTTATGGGCACTGGACTTTACAGGCACTAGACTTTATAGGCACTGGACTTTACAGGCACTGGACTTTATAGGCATTGGACTTTGTGGGCACTAGACTTTGTGGACATTAGACTTTACGGGCACTGCACTTTATGGACACTGCACTTTATGGACATTGCACTTTATAGGCACTGCACTTTACAGGCACTGCACTTTACGGGCACTGCACTTTATAGGCACTGTACTTTACGGGCACTGCACTTTATGGGCACTAGACTTTACAGGCACATCAGACCAAGCACTGTAACAAGAACTCAGATTAAGCATGGTTGCGCTGTCGCAACGCGACGGGTGAGAAGCTAGTAAATAGAGGGCGACACTGCAAAATTGTGGCGCTTAAGCGACGGCTATGCTCGCGTGCTCCTCGCTTATGCTCGCATGGGCCACGTAAGAAACCACGCGAGACCACTGTCCCATAGGCTTCGGGATGCGAAACGGAGCGTGTCGGAGCTTGAAACGAAGTTGGTCAGCGCGCGCGTGCCCAGAGCTAACCTAACCATAGGGAATTCTCTTCCCCTGGCACTGTCTTGCAGTGATTTCTTCAGGCAAGGGGGCATTCACCAAGTGCTTAGCTTGGCAACCACTCTGGGCTCTTGGTTTTTTTTGCAGGTATTTTTTTATGTAAATTAATAATAAATAAAAGGGGACAATAAGAAATGGTGGCACTGGGCTAATAGCTCAAGTCATATGTCCTTGCTTACACTTATGTAGGCCACATAAAAAACCCTAGCAACTAGAGTGGGCTATGCCTCTGCAGCCATTGGAGCTTGAAATGGCATCCCAGCACCTCATGGAGAACCTTACAGGGGAGCCTCATGGGTGGGACTCTGATGGGGGAGCCTCATAGGGCAGAATCTCATAGGGGAATCTAATAGATAGGACCTTATAGGGAGCTTTATATGGGAATCTTACAGGAAGGACCTTATAGGATATCATAAAAGAGTCATATAGGGATATTGGGGCACAGGACTTTTAGTAAGCAGAGTGAGCCATGTCTTGGTGCTCCTAGCAACCCTAGCAACTAGAGTGGGCTATGCCTCAGCAGCCATTGGAGCTTGAAATGATATCCCAGCACCTCACAGAGAACCTCACGGGGGAGCCTCATAGGGCAGAATCTCATAGGGGAATCTAATAGATGGGACCTTATAAGAAGCTTTATATGGGAATTCTATAGGAAGGACCTTATAGGATATCATAAAAGAGCCATATAGGGATATTGGGGCACAAGACTTTATGGGCACTGGAATTTACAGGCACTAGACTTTACAGGCACTGGACTTTATAGGCACTGGACTTTATAGGCACTGGACTTTGTGGACACTGGACTTTATAAGCACTGGACTTTATGGGCACTAGAATTTATGGGCACTGAACTTTACGGGCACTAGACTATATAGTTAGTGCACTCTACAAGCACATGAGACCAAGCACTACAACAAAAACTCAGATTAAGCATGGGCACTGTAATTTACAGGCACTAGACTTTATAGGCACTGGACTTTGTGAACACTAGACTTTACAGACACATCAGACCAAGCACTGTAACAAAAACTCAGATTAAGCATGGTTCACGTAAGAAACCACACGAGCGAAGCGAGCACCATGACAAACTAGCTTTTCACCTGTCGCGTTGCGACGGCACAACCATGCTTAATCTGAGTTTTTGTTACAATGCTTGGTTTGATGTGTCTGTAAAGTTTAGTGTTCACAAAGTCCAGTGTCTATAAAGTCTAGTGCCTGTAAAGTCCAGTGCATGTGCTTAATCTGAGTTTTTGTTGTAGTGCTTGGTCTCATGTGCCTATAGAGTGCATTGACTATAAAGTCCAGCGCCCATAAAGTCCAGTGCCCATAAAGTCCAGTGCCCATAAAGTCCAGTGCCCGTAAAGTCCAGTGCCCCAATATCCATATATAGCTCTTTTATGATATCCTATAAGGTCCTTCCTGTAAGATTCCCATATAAAGCTCCCTATAAGGTCCCATCCATTAGATTCCCCTATGAGATTCTGCCCTATGAGGCTTCTCTATCAGGACCCACCCATGAGGCTCCCCCATGAGGTTCTCTATAAGGTGCTAGAATGCCATTTCAAGCTCCAATGACTGCAGAGGCATAGCCCACTCTAGTTGCTAGCCTGTAAAGTCTAGTGCCCATAAAGTCTAGTACCTTAATATCCCTATATGGCTCTTCTGTGACATCCTATAAGGTCCTTCTTATAAAATTTCCATATAAAGCTTTCTATAAGGTCCCATCCATTAAATTTCCCTATGAGATTCTGCCCTATGAGGCTCCCCCATTAGGGTCCCACCCATGAGGCTTCCCTGTGAGGTTCTCTGTAAGGTGCTAGAATGCCATTTCAAGCTTCAATGGCTGCTGAGGCATAGCCCACTCTAGTTGCTAGAGTTGCTAGGAGCACCAAGACATGGCTTACTCTGCTCACCCAATTTATCATGGATGCTTGCTTTGCTTACATGGTTTCTTATGTGGCCTACATAAGTGTAATCAAGGACATATGACTTGAGCTATTAGCCCAATGCCACCATTTCTTATTGTCCCCTTTTATTTATTATTTATTTACATAAAAAAATACCTGCAAACAAAACCAAGAGCCCAGAGTGGTTGCCAAGTTAAGCCCTTGCTGAATGCCCCCTCATATTTTACCTGAAGAAATCACTGCAAGACAGTGCCAGGGAAAGAGAATTCCCTATGCTTAGGTTAGCTCTGGGCACGCGCGCGCTGACCAACTCTGTTTCAAGCCCCGACATGCTCCGTTTCGCCTCCCGAAGCCTATGGGACAGTGGTCTCGCATGGTTTGTCACGTGGGATTAGCCGACGGCTAGTTGCCACCAGACCCCTACTGTCGCCCTCTATATAGAGATTTGGCGAGCAGAGCGAGCTGTCCCTTTAGCCCTCGACGGATCGCCGTCGCCGTCTACGAGCGTCTCCATGTTACCAGCTGTTACCAGGCTCGTAATCGTAGGCCTGACAAATTGCGCCCGGCAACCTCCACAATTGGAGTGGGCCGTGTCTCGGCAGCCATCGGGGTTCCACACGGCATCCCGGTCTGCCCGGCAATGCTGGCAACTGGAGCAGGCCGTGCCTCAGCAGCCATCGGGGCTCAAAATGGCATTCTGGCACCCCACAGGGAACCTCACGGAGGAGCCTCATAGGGCAGAATCTCATAGGGGAGCCTTATGGGCAGAACCTTTCATGGAATATGAAAAGGGAGCCTAATAAGAAAGCCATATAGGCAGGATCTGGCAGAGGAACCTTATAGGGGAAACTTTTGAATGTCATCTTGCAAAATCTCATAGAAGGGCCTTATAGGGGAATCTTATAGGCAGGACATTACATAATATCATAGGAACTAGACTTTATGGGCACTAAAAGTGATATTTCAGCACTTTATAGAGAAGCTTCACAAGAGAGCCTCACTGGCAAAATCTTATAGAGGAACCTGACAGAGGAACATAATAGGTATACATAATGGAGAAACCTAATAGGGGAATATAATGAAGGAACCTATATAGGAGAACCTTATATGGGCCATATCTTGGCAGGTGTTGGAGCTTTAAATAGTATCCCAGCACTTTATGGAAAAGCCTTATAGGTATGACCTTATAGAGGAACTAAATAATGCTTGACAAGAGAGTCTTATATAGAGAATATTATGGGCAGGACCTTATAAAATATGATAAGAGAGCTATATTAGGGCAAAATAATTTATGGGCACTGGACTTTATAAGCACTAAAATTTATAGGCACTGGGCTTTACAGGCACTGGACTTTACAGGCACTGGACATTGAGTCGTCAAAGAGCATTGGGAATTCTCTTCCCCTGGCACTGTCTTGTGGCAATTTCTTCAGGTGAACTGTGAGGGGGCATTCAGCGAGTGCTTAGCTTGGCAACCACTCTTGGCTCTTGGTTTTGTTTGCAGGTGTTTTTTTTATTTAACTTTTCACAATGAGTGTTCCACCTTTGTAAGTCTGTGTTGCTTGCATCATGTCTATTGTGCTCAACTCTTTTTGTAGGCCTCCTAATGAGGGTGTGGTGGAAGTCTGGATGCCTGCATTGGCACCTTTGTGAGTGTTTTTGGCTTGCTTGGATACTGTTTCAGTGCTAAAATTCTCTTTAGAGATGATGATGAGGATGATCTCTATATGACACCTCCACCTGAGACTGTACATAAGTATGTGTTTTACTTTTTGCTTATTGGTTGTGTGTACTCATATTTGCTATAATGAGAACACCAATAATAGTGAAGATGAGGATGATCTCTATATGACTCCTCCACCTGAGAATCTCAATGGGTATGTGGTTTTATTTAATCTTTTTATGGTCATTGGCTAAAAAAAAGAAACTATAGACATGTTGAAAACCAAGAGGCTGTTGAAGAGGCTGCCCATGTGGATGTGACTATGACAAGGTATGCAGTTTTTGTTAAATCACACAAAATTTGTTTATTAATTTTGGGGTTTACAAGAACTCCTCCTAGGACTCCTGAGCATGAGCGCCAGACTGTGCGAGAGCAAGAGCATGCTGAAAGGCTTCAGATGACTTCTCCTACTCTTCGGCGTGAGCGTTCTGCATGACGAGGCTCTATTCGTCAGCCTGTTTTTGAGGATCCCTCTAGACCTTCCCATCCTGCTACTTCTAATTCTGCTCAGCCTCCTATTTCTCTTGCACCACCCATTCAGCTTCACCAGCCTGCCACACTTGCTCCTCCTGTCCAGTCATACCATTCTACAGTGGCTGCTTCCTCTGCTCCATCATATCATCCTGCTCAATATGTTCCTCCCCACTTTTATCCTGCTCCCATGTTCCAACACTCTGTCTATCATGGTGCTATGGCTTATCAAATTCCTGGACAATATCCTATCTATGCTCCCCCTCCTATGCCTGCACCACCACCTCATTATTGGCCTGTGAATGTTTCTGCCCATCCTAATCTTCCACGCCATTTGATTGGGAATCATGATCGACAGGCTCGCATGCGTCTTGCAGCAGCTAGCCATCCTGACTATGAGCGCCGCATGATGAATAACTTTGAACAGAGCCATGCAGAGCGTAGACGGCATCGTAGAGAGAATGCAAGGCCTGAGACGCAGTGGTTCCTCTTCCTAATCCTGTCCATCATCCACAGCCTCCATTATCATCTCGGCATAATATGCAGGCTTTACAATACCAGCAAGAGCAGCAGGAATTTGATCATCATAGAGCTTCCCTTCATGAGCAGCATCTTGAGGAGATCCACCAATATCTTATAGAGGCCCAGCAGAGACATATAGAGCATAGAGCACAAACACAGGCAGAGCAGCAGATTATTCTTGAGCAACAACAAGAAAACAATGCCCAGCCACAAGAAGTCCATCAGTATCATTTGAACCTTTCCCAGCAGATTCACGATGACAATCTTGCCATTCAACACAATCACCATGCTCTAGCTCAAAATCAAGTAATGCAACAGCTACCTCTTGGTCGTCGTCCTTATCAAGAGCCTGACGCACGCTATAGTGTTGGCCATATGGATGTTGAATGTTCCCACTGCAAAGCCCTTCACTTTTCCTCTAAAAAGCTATCATTCTCTACTCGCAATCACATCCGCTTTGGCATGTGCTGTTTACAAGGCCAAATTAGGCTGCCTGTGTTATTGGACCCTCCTCAAACATTGCGTAATCTTCTCTGTGGAGACACTGAGAATGCCAAATCATTCAGGCTAAATATCAGGCAATACAATAGTGCATTTGCATTTACTTCTATTGCTGCCAAGCTATCAGATCATGTTACCACTACTTCTGGGCCATATGCATTTAAAATCCACGGAGAACTTTATCATCAAATGGGTACCCTGCTACCACCCAACCATCTTAGACCTTCCTATGCTCAGCTCTATGTTATTGATCCTCAGGCTGCACTCAATGAGCGCAACAATGCCAATCCTAACTTGAAGTCTGAGATCATGAATAACTTGCAGGATATGTTTCATGAGCACAATCCTTATCTAAAGCATTTCAGCCATCTTTACCCTCACTACAGTCCCTTGCATTATGTGACATTATTTCCACATGGCGAACAAGGCTTTCATCCTAATATTCTTGCTCATCCTGGACCTGATGGCCAAATGCTCTCATCCAAGGTGTCTCAGCGCTGCTATTATGCCTATTGTCTTATGCACCGTCTGCTTGATCCTGAAACCATCTTTAGAGCTGGCAAGCTATTTCAGCAATATGTGGTTGATGCTTGGGCATCTATTGAGTCTAGCAACCTTTTCTGGATCAGGAACCATCAGAAGGAGATCAGAGCTGAAAAGTACCAGTCATTGTTTGATGCTATCCATGCAGAAGCTGAGGTAGACCTAGGCCAGCGGGGAAAATGTATTGTGCTTCCCTCTACTCATGCAGGCAGTCCACGTTATATGTATCAGCTTTTCCAAGATTCTATGGCTATCACTCGCCACTGCCATAAGCCTGACATCTTTATCACCATGACTGTAAACCCTAACTGGCCAGAGATCACTGAACAGCTCTTAAAATATGATGGTGGTTCAACTCAACAGCCTTTTGATCGTCCAGACTTGGTTGCACGTGTGTTTGCCTTAAAGATGAAGGCTCTTATAAAGGATATCAAGGAGGGCCTGTTTGGCAAGGTGGCAGGGATGGTTTATACCATTGAGTTTTAAAAGCGTGGTCTTCCTCATATGCACCTTCTTCTTTTCCTTGATGCACAGGACAAGATTCAAAGTGCTGAAGATGTGGATAGGATTGTCTCTGCCCAGCTTCCAGATCCTGCTGCCCATCCTATGCTTTATGAGTCTGTCACAAGATACATGCTCCATGGACGCTGCGGCCCTGAGTTTCCTCAAGCATGTTGCATGGAAGAAAAAGATATTGGAGGCACAAAAGTCAAGCTCTGTAGCAAGCGCTATTGGAAGGACTTTACTGAGCAGACCCTCTATGGTGAGGATGGCTATCCTACATATGCTAGGCCAAACAATGGGCGCACCTTCACTCGGCATACTATGCAGTTTGACAATCGTGATGTTGTTCCTTATAATCCCTATCTCCTTGCCAAATACAACTGCCATATCAATGTGGAGGTCTGTGCATCCATCAAGGCTGTCAAATATATCCACAAGTATATCTACAAAGGTCCTGATCGTGCTACACTTCAGATTGGAGACATTGATGAGATTAAGGACTATGTGGATGCTCGCTATATTGGACCTATGGAGGCTTGCTGGAACATCTTTGAATTCCCAAGGCATCTAGAATCCCCCACAGTCTATTGTCTTCCTGTCCATCTCCCTAATGAACAGCAGGTCTACTTTGATGCTGATGATAATCCTGAAGAAGTCTTAAACAGAGACAGGTCCCAGAAAACCGAGTTGACTGAATGGTTTATTGCCAACCAAAAGTTCCCTGCTGCTCATGCTCATACCTACCAGGACTTTCCTCTTCACTATGTCTGGAACCAGTCAAAGAAAATATGGACTCCACGTCAGTAGGGTTCTACTATTGGCAGAATGTTATTTGTCCATCCCTCTGCAGGCGAACACTTTTACCTCAGAACATTGCTCACCATTGTTAAAGGTGCCAAGGACTGGAAAGATATCCGCACTTATGAAGGCATTGAATACCCAACCTATCGTGATGCCTGTTTTGCACGTGGCCTTTTGGAGGATGATAGAGAGTGGGATATGGCCTTGGCTGAAGCAGCAGATATGCAGACTGGAACTCAACTTAGATCCCTCTTTGCCACCATTCTTCGCTTCTGCATTCCTTCACAACCTCTTATTCTTTGGAATCGCTACAAGGACAAAATCTGTGATGATCTGCATGTGCGTCTTACTGCCATGGGCTTTCTTGATCCTACTCAAGAGGATGTCTTTGATTATGGCCTCTATCCGCTGGACAAAGTCCTTACTGGAATGGGAAAGCGCCTCATTGACTATCCTCCTATGCCTTTGCCTCTGCAAGATTGGAACCAAGCTGCAAATGTGCTTCTTCAGGATGAGCTCAACCATGATTATGTAGCTCTTTGGGAACAGGTCAGTTACCATGCATCCTTCAAAGTTGACCTTGAGCTGACCTTGCACTTCAGGTGGAGACTAATCTATTGACCTTCAATGCTGAGCAGAGGAATGCCTATGATGCTGTCATGCAGTCAGTCCAGTCCAACCAAGGCCAAGTCTTCTTTCTGCACAGTGCTGGAGGTGGTGGAAAGACCTATGTTTGCAACACCATTGCTGCCTCTGTCCACTCTCAAGGCAAGGCTGCTCTTTGTGTTGCTTCTTCTGGCATTGCCTCCTTGCTTCTGGATGGTGGTCGCACTGCTCACTCTCGCTTCAAAATCCCCATTGAGGGTCTCAATGAGCGCTCCTCTTGCTCTTGGGAGAAAAACTCTGACTTTGATGGTCTTATTCATCAGACTGGGGTGGTCATTTGGGATGAGGCACCAATGCAGCATCGCTATGGAATTGAAGCTGTTGATCGCACTCTTCAGGATCTTATGGGCAACCCTGCTCTTTTTGGTGGTGTTACTGTGTTGTTTGTTGGAGACTTTCGTCAGACCTTGCCTGTGGTTCCCAAAGGAAGCAGAGAGCAGATTGTGGCTGCATCTTTGCGCAAGTCCTCACTCTGGAATCACATCCAACTTCTCACTCTCAAACAGAACATGCGTCTAGACCAGACTCCTGAAAGCAATGCCTTTGCTCAATGGCTTCTCAATGTTGGTTCTGGCCATAACCTTGGTGAAGACAAGTCTATTGAACTTCCTCCCAACATGCATCTTGATAACAACACTAAGGAATCCTTGGTTGACTTTATCTATCCTGACATCTCTGATCAGCATCCTAAACCAGACCACTTCTTCCTTGACCGTATGATTCTTTCTGGGCGCAATGATACTGTTGCTGAGATCAACAAGGAGATTCTGGCCAAGTTTCCTGGAGAAGACAAGCTCCTGACCAGCATTGACTCTGTCAAGGACATAGAGGGTTATCCTATAGAGTTTTTGAACTCTATCAATATCTCTGGCCTTCCTCTTGCTCACCTCCATGTCAAAAGAGGTTGTCCTCTCATTTTTTTGCGCAACATTGATCCCTCTCATGGCCTATGCAATGGCACTCGACTCATCTTACTTGAGGCAAGGACACGTGTCTTAAAATGCTGCATCTTGGGTGGAGCACATGCTGGAAGAATTGTGTTTATCCCTAGATTAACCCTGGAGCCATCTGAAGAAGCCTGCCCTATTCCTTTGAAGCGCAGACAATTCCCTGTCCATGTTGCCTTTGCTATGACCATCAACAAGTCACAAGGACAGTCTGTCAAGTTTGTTGGATTGGATTTGGAGCGGCCTGTATTTTCCCATGGCCAACTTTATGTTGCACTGTCACGCTGCACATCAGGAGATAGAATCAAGGTGTTATTCCCACCAGACTCACAAGGGACCAAAACCACCAATATAGTGTACCCTGAGGTATTGCAAGGCATTTTGGATAATCAATAGTATGTCTTGGATTATAATCATTGTGACATGGCTAACAATTATAATAGGACTTGAACAAGGACTGTAGTATAAAACTTATATAGAAACTTCTTACACTTTGACTCTCAATCCCCACTCTAACTTTTTATATGTATGCTTGAAATAAAACTGCTACTCTAACTTGGCTGCTTGACTAAAACCCAACCACAAACTAAGCACTATAACATAAACATAGATTAAGCACTGTCACACAACCTCAGACTAAGCACTACAACAAAAACTCGGATTAAGCATGGTTGCGCCATTGCAATGCGACGGGTGAGAAGCTAGTCCATAAATAGAGGGTGACACTGCAAAATTGTGGCGCTGGGCTGGCAGCTCACGTCACATGTCTTCGCTTATGCTCGTGTGGGCCACGTAAGAAACCACGCGAGACCACTGTCCCATAGGCTTCAGGATGCGAAACGGAGCATGTCAAAGCTTAAAACAGAGTTGGTCAGCGCGCGCGTGCCCGGAGCTAACCTAAGCATAGGGAATTCTCTTCCCCTGGCACTGTCTTGCAGTGATTTCTTCAGGCAAGGGGGCATTCAGCAAGTGCTTAGCTTGGCAACTACTCTGGGTCTTGGTTTTTTTTGCAGGTATTTTTTTATGTAAATTAATAATAAATAAAAGGGGACAATAAGAAATGGTGGCACTGGGCTAATAGCTCAAGTCATATGTCCTTGCTTACACTTATGTAGGCCACATAAGAAACCATGTCAGCAAAGCAAGCATCCATGACAAATGGGGTGAGCAGAGTAAGCCATGTCTTGGTGCTCCTAGCAACCCTAGCAACTGGAATGGGCTATGCCTCTGCAGCCATTGGAGCTTGAAATGGCATCTTAGCATCTTACAGAGAACCTCACAGGGGAGCTTCATAGGGCAGGATTTTATAAGGGAATCTTATGGATAAGACTTTATAGGGTGCTTTATATAGGAAGGACCTTATAGAATGTTATAGAAGAGTTATATAGAGATATTAGGGCATAAAACTTTATGGGCACTGGACTTTATGGGCACTGGACTTTACAGGCACTGGAATTTATGGGCACTGGACTTTATGGGCACTGGACTTTCCAGGCACTGCACTTTATGGGCACTAGACTTTATGGGTGCTGGACTTTATAGTTAGTGCACTCTTCAGGCACATGAGACCAAGCACTACAACGAAAACTCAGATTAAGCATGGGCACTGGACTTTACAGGCACTAGACTTTATAGGCACTGGACTTTGTGGGCACTGGACTTTGTGGACACTAGACTTTATGGGCACTGCACTTTATGGGCACTGCACTCTATGGGCACTAGACTTTACAGGCACATCAGACTAAGCACTGTAACAAGAACTCAGATTAAGCATGATTGCGCCGTCGCAACGCGACGGGTGAGAAGCTAGTCCCTATATAGAGGGTGACAGTGAAGAATTGTGGCAAAACTCCGTTGGCTAATGTCGCGTGTTGTCACTTATGCTTGTGTGGGCCATGTAAGAAACCACGCGAGCGAAGCGAGAGCCATGACAAATTTGGCGAGCGGAGCGAGCTGTCTCTTCAGCCACCTGGCAACCTCCACAACTGGAGCGGGCCGTGTCTCGGCAGCTGTCGGGGTTCCACACGGCATCCCGGTCTGCCCAGCAATGCTGGCAACTGGAGCAGGCTGTGCCTCAGCAGCCATCGGGGCTCAAAATGGCATTCTGGCACCCCACAGGGAACCTCACGGAGGAGCCTCATAGGGTAGAATCTCATAGGGGAGCCTTATGGGCAGAACCTTTCATGGAATATGAAAAGGGAGCCTAATAGGAAAGCCATATAGGCAGGATCTGGCAGAGGAACCTTATAGGGGAAACTTTTGAATGTCATCTTGCAAAATCTCATAGAGGGGCCTTATAGGATAATCTTATAGGCAGGATATTATAGAATATCATGGGAACTAGACTTTATGGGCACTAAAAGTGATATTCTAGCACCTTATAGAGGAGCTTCACAAGAGAGCCTCACTGGCAAGATCTTATAGAGGAACCTGACAGAGGAACATAATAGGTAAGCATAATGGAGAAACCTAATAGGGGAATATAATGAAGGAACCTATATAGGAGAACCTTATATGGGCCATATCTTGGCAGGTGTTGGAGCTTTAAATAGTATCCAAGCACTTTAT